TAAAAATCAGTCAAAATCTCTTGCGGTCCGCTCTCGACTTTCTTCAGAAAAGCGTCTCGAAGCTGTGCTTGGGTTAGCAAAGCCCGTTTTAAAACCAGAATCCTCGAACCCTTACCCGATGTCTGATTCTTTAAAAGGTCGGACCTGAAAACTCCAATTAATCGAGAGGTATTGGACGAAAAGATTTGATACCACTTACATACTCATCTCGCGCATATGAGCGATCGAAAAAACAGGATTGAGCATTTTCCTTTGTTTACGATGTTGTTCGCCTAAAAGTAAGCATTCGGGGATTTAAAGCTCAACACTCGAATCGACGCCAAGTTCATGGCCTACCCATCGTGCCTAATAGGCCATCACCGAACATCAAACTATTTCCTCTGCGCGCAGTAACTTAATCCTTCAACACCCCCAAAAGAGGGCCGTGCTGGCTTACTCGATGAATGCAGCAGTTTCTTCGTAAGAATATTGGTCCTACAGAAGACCATAGCAATTAGGAAGGATATTAACGAGAGAGCCTTCGGCGTTACTCTACCTTCACTACGATGTGATGCATAGCTTTTGGGTCGAAGAAATAGAGCTGGTTGTCCTGGCCGGCAAATTCATAAATGGTCAAGAAGAGAGCCAACATATTGCGTACCCCGAACAGCGCCTTGATATTGATAACACTTATGTCTGTTTGGAAAAGAAACTCAATCTCCCAGGAATTGTAAATTTGCAGAGACACTGCATAACCCAAGGTAAGAGGAAATCAAGCCAGGAATGTTGACGACAACGCACCTTTCCAAAACGACTTGGGAGCTGGGCCAGGAAATGTTGTCCAGAGGCGATTTCACGAAAAAATCGCGGTACCTTCTCCATAAGACCCACGACACGGCATAGAGAAAAACACCCTTCAGTACGAGAAGGAGCATAGTGCTGAGCGTCGAAGTCGGGACTTGAGAGCGCATTGCGCAACAGAGGGGGACCAGGAAGCTAGGCCGGTGTAGCAGCAACCTTTTTAAGACGATCTCACGAGGCTCCGAGGGAGAACCAGGATCGATGTCGGCGCGAAATTGTCCTGCAGCATCGGTCATGCCGAAAGGTGTACGGGAAGTGGATTATACGGATCGGAACGAACCAATATCCTTCCCACTACTAATGCTTACCGACGTGCACGTGCAACGCCCTTCGTGCAGTGTCACATGTGCACCACCTGCTATGACAGAAAGCCATTTCGTCCATCCACTGTGCCCATTGTCTCCACACGTTCGACACTCTCTCGTCGACGCCAAAAGTTCCACAGAGCTCTGTGAAGCACTTATTCACGTCGTACTCGGTATGCCAATGGACTTATTATCTTCTCCTATAGTAATTATAGCTTATAGCGATCTCTGACCCATTTATCGTAGGGTGGTTCTCCTTTTACCAAGCCGGATACTTGCATCGAGATATCAGCATCAGGACCGTGTTTCTCTGTCCGAGTCCTGTTGAACAGCGCGCCTTTGAGATCTCTGCAGACTTCCATCAGACCGCCACGAAATCGGTTGAAGATTTGACGCTGCTCCTCAAAGGAGTTTCAGTCGATGAATGCTCCTATCAGTTGAACGACATCGAGGAGAAGATTATGCGGGTCGAGCAACTCGTGCAAGAGCTGGGCGTGACGACCACTTGCAGCGCCTTCATTATCGACAGCGATATGGCTATTCCTTGGGAGACCTGTTTGGACTCTGGGCGTGACAATCAAGAAATATTAGTGGGTAGCCATTCCTTGCGGCGATTGTCTCCTCTAATTGGGTATAGGGTAACCCAGAATTCGTGTCCTCGAAGCTCGCCCAGTCCATAGAGCGCAATTCCGATTATCTCCAGTCCCCTGTTGACGATCTCTTCTCTGTGTATTGGGTGGCGTTGTGGGCAATCCTCAACAACATCCCTACTTCTAGGAGGTCTGACGACGAGCTCTGGTGGAGAAAGAAGATCGCAGAGGGGCGTCGGTTTAGGGATGATGCTTCCGTGGACATCTGCAGACTTTCCCCGAGGGAATGGAAATCACAGAGTCCTATTGTGCAGCAGTGGTCGCCGGTTCTGGATTCTTGGTTTCAGTCCCTTGACAGGTTGGACAAGGACTGGAGACGCGCGGCAGATCCCCCAGATGATGTGAAGGTTGAGAATTCCCGAGACTTCTACCTTCCTCTTTTCCACTACTTCGCCCTTCGCGGCGTTGCTGACTTTTTGGAGGTGATCAAGTCCCACTATACCCAGCTTTGTAATTACCTACCTTTCGCGTAATGTTAAGTATTTCGATTTCATATCCCGCACCAATTGCATCGGAACAAGTGAGATACTCCGAATGTCTTAAGGCTTGCCAATTCAGCATAGCATCAAGCTAGACGATAAGGATGTTTGCCGCGTCCAAGACTACTGGTTATTGGCGCAATTACCGGACTATGTGTCTATTACTCCTTATCTAAATGATGATAAGAACACGAATGTAAACGCAACATCTGTCTCTGATTAACGGGGTTTAGGACAGATTTTGTTGATCCTAAACCCCGTCCTGCGAACCTTCAACCATGTGACCCTCCGATGTCTTCGTCTCCTCCCGAATCTTTTTGAGGTCGCATGATTTGTAGTTGACAACGACGTTCAGGATGTTCGGGCAGCTCCTAGCAATGCGCCTCATCATCTCCGGATCGCACAAACGCTCTTGATCATTGGACAAAAAGAACCTGAATTGGACATTCACCAATTTCGGGAAGAGGCCCAACCACTCTGGAAAAATTGTGAGAATGTCCGCCGTAAGGTAAGTAGTGAAGCTGGCGATGAGCTCGAGACACGAGACGCATGCTAAAGAGGAGATGATGCTTCCTGCTTGACCTGCGCGGTGGTGGGAGAGAAACCACTCTCCCAGGCGATAGTTCTCTAGATGTAGTGCGAGGGTAATTGGGTTGCGCAGCGGACAAATGGATTCAAAGACTTCGTCGAAGGGTGGGTAGTTGGCAGCATCATTGTTATGGTGAAGGACAGGCATCCCTAGAGTCCCTACTCTCTGCAGGTGAGGGAACGCCTCCTGATCCCGCTCACCCAGGATCCAAGTGAGGTATGAAGCCTGGACCCCCACAGTGATCAGACGAGGAAGCTTCGGCGGCTTCGTAGATAATTTTGCGGGTGCTGCTCCTCCGAGCTTCAGACGGACAATGGAGGCGTGACGTGATAGGAAGAAGGACAGGTCGACAAACGCTAAACGACAATTGTTCGAGTCGCGAGAGTTCTTGACAAGGGTCAAATCGAGGAGTGCTGGAAGACGAAGAGATCTTAGGAAGGATTTCAATAACGCTGTTGGCACAACGTCGAGGTACACTGCCAGCGTTGTGAGGGTTGAGGATGACCGATGGAGGATTGACAACGTCCAGGGCAAGAATGGCTCTTGAAGGTGCATGTCGGATGTGAGAGTGAGGTCCTGCAGCCGACACGGTGACACTTCTTTTCGTCGACGCGCAGTATGGAGACCTTTGGCACGATAAGGAATCCGTAACTCGAGGACAAAAAAAGAGAGAGGACGCACCTTTATTCATCCCGTGCAATGGTGTAAGTAGCGAGTCACTGCGCACTTGAAGCCGAGCACAACCCTTCTGTAAAGCGACATCAAGCAGAGATGTCCACTTCTCGAAAAACTCTTTTCATCCACTTGTAATTTCGGGCGATAGTCGAAGAACTGGAACCCAATCATGACAATGTGGATGTAGGCAACAGAAGAAAGTCTATGTAGAAGGCACGTCAACTCGTCCACTTCCTGCATGATATCACGATGCGATCTGAATGTGTAGTAGATGCCTCGGAGGTGCTGCACGAACAGGGCAACACGGAGGGCCCAAAGGGTCTCTACTGGAGCGGTAGAAGACACGGAAACCGACCCAGCTGCCGGATTGCTGACGTTGTTGCGAGAGAAGAATAAGTGCAAGCCCAGGTGGTGGGTGCACTTGCATATTAGACTGAACTGAATGAGAGAGGCATTGTCAAGTTGTTGGGCAATTTCGTCGAGGAGTTCGACTGGGAGGTCCGACAGTGTTGCTCGTGCAGCTTGTAAATAGGCTTTTCGGCGCGCTCGGGTCTGCATCGTGAGTCGAAGAGCTCCGTCGGTGTTGGAATAGCAGCGTTTATAGCTTGATGGTGGTTGTTTCAGTTCAAGAAGGGGACGCCAAGTTTGGACCTGATGCACTTTGTGGCAAATAGGGCAATAGGGCATCACCAAAAATTGTATCAAATCCTCCTTGGATATGTACAGCCCAGCAGCAGCAAGATCATCAATACCTCCTCGTAGGGATCCCCCCTCTCCCCATTTTCACTGCGTTCGAATGAGGGCACCCTTCCCATATAATTAGTAATTGAGTATTGAGTAGTCAGTGCAACACAAGCGCGGAATGCGCCTTTCTATCCAATTCCGCAACTATTCCTCGGGTTCAGCGTTCTTACACGAAGACTTACGTGTCTTCATATCGGCCCCTCAACGCCAGGTAAGACGATGGCATTCCAATTCGATGCTGCTCCTGCTGGGTCCGGTTGGCGAAACGGACATCAGCTAGTTAATCAGCCCGCTTGAAGGGTATTAACAGTCATACCGAGCTGTTCGCTCGGGTTCTTCATGACACGAGGATAGGGTGCAGATGTTCCGGTGGCGAAATCTCTTTGATAGCTACATAGCGAATTAACGGGAAGTTCCCGCAAAGATCGGAGGGAAAGTAGGAGAGGGTGCTTTTGGTTTTGGTCCGACTCTGGAAATTCGACGATGCTAACAGCTCAATTGCTCTGAGCTAATCAGAGAGCGACTATCGTCGGATGGCGGCGGAGGGGCGACAGGAAGTCTGGGAGCAAACGAAAGATTCCCAATCCTAAGGTACGTTAACGAGGGCACGCGAACGGTTCAAGGAAGTATTTGCGCCCTGTCGAAGAGTGTGAGCCTGATGCTGACGAGTACGAGACGTGTAGTAATTGGCGCATTGTTGAGGGTATTAGTGTCAATGGGTACACGGAGGCCGAAATCCAACGATCGTGTCCAACATTTATACTCCTGTGCGCGCTGGCTTCGCATTCGCCTGAAGCAAACTGATGTGTCTGGTCTGGCGCGGGGTGACGGTATAGCTATAGGAATAGTCCCCAAGTCGAAGTTCTCCTTGTCTGTATGCGCGAGATGCTTGGACTTGGAGTGGGAGGAGATTCGTCGTCGTGCTGTCGAAAAATTTCGGAGGATAATTGGACCGCCCTCTTCGCCCTCTGACGACGCGTCGATGCCCTGATAGTAGTCTAGAAGATCCCGTCTCGGGTTCGGCAGGTGTCTGAACACAGCTTGGGGAAATATCCCAACATGGTGGCATCCTCGAAGTCTGAAAGCTGTATGCAAACACTACAGCTCCTTGATTTGGTAAACGAACGAGTGAAATGGCGAAAAATGCCTCCTCCGCATCTGCTTGCTGAGCCGAAAGGCTGCTTCCACGTACAAGCCACTGAAAGGCTTCCAAGGGACAAGAACGTCTGAAAGATGACATCTTGGTCGGGGTTACACACAGGAAAATGTGCCCTGCGATCATCAGGATCAGGATAAGTTGGACGCGAGTGGCGAGGTTTTTGGCATCCGGAGATCGTGCAGTGGTCGGCGACTGTTACGTTTTCCGGGCGATCCAGGCTCAAGTCGCTGAGGCAGGAGGCAATGTGCATCAACAACTCATCCGGAGGAGGTCTATTCCACTTCTTGTGTCTGTTGGAGACTGGTTTCTTGTTTCGATGTTGCTGTGCCAAAGAGCTCGGAAGGATGATGATCGAAGAAGGGACAAAGCTCCGCGTTATGAACTATGAGCTGGCTCTATATGTTAGGAGCAATGCTTGGGGCGGCGTCATCCTGTGCGGAAACGTAAACCGTAAGCCATATGGCAGCACCTTTCAACCAGTTGACTCACTAGCGGCCAAGACCTCGTCAGGACAGCCTCCTCCGACCGGCCCTCTCTGCCCAGTTTGATTGCAGTTAGATTGGGGCATCTGTCCCAAAGCAGTCGGGTGCTCAGTAATTTCTGTTGGACATATGTGTTAGGAGACACGCCGTCTGGTATGAGTGCCGGATTGTGCACTGACATCCAGTCGAGCACCCTTTGCGTCGATTCGTTGCTTAAACTCGTTCCTTCGCTAACGACGCGCAGCTCTTCAAGACCCGGAAGCGGATGATGAGAGTGGGCTGAGTTGTCGTCGTTCAATGGCATCGGTTCATTTGATGAACGGTGCATCAACCAGTCAAGGAGTCCACTGGAATCCAGCATGTCGATGACCAAAGCGAGCTTTCTGTCCGGGTTGCGTCCGATAGCGTCGAAGATTGGGTAGAGATGATCGACCGGGTAAGGGTAATCTCTCTCCGACGGTGCACTCGTGCTTCGCAGCGGCTTCACGTGGAGTTTGTGAAGTAGCGAAAAATTGCCACGGTCCTGGTATTGAACGAATGGGAGCATGTATTGAGAGTTGGCAGTCAAGGATTGGAGGGACGGAAGGAATGACGGGTCCGAATCCGCTGCTGGAAGATCGACCACTCCGACAGCTTGGTTCCCAGCAAGGTCGAGGGTTGTGATAGTAGGGTGGCGTTGGAGGAACGAGCGGAGATCTGGGAAAGCGATAGAGAGGTTCCCAATCGTCAGCTGTGTTAATGAAGACATGGTGATCGAAGGGAGGATATGACACCAGTCGAAGAGGGTAAGTGAGGTCTTGTCAACAGAAAGTCGCGTAATAGGCGCATTATTGAGGGTGTGGATGGTCCATGGATATAACGAGGCAGAAAACCATTCGCTTCCGTCGAATGAGATTCCTGCGAGTAAGGGTTTACGAGAGACTGCGATGGTATGTCTTGGTTTGCGCGGAATAACTGTATACGAAGTGCCATACGTGGCGGGGGGTGAAGAGGCGCCGGGAGGGACCTTTGTCGTATTTCCATTGCATGTTATGCTTCGCCGTGGCCATAGGGTGAAAAGAGGGCGAAACACGTCGAAGAAAAGCTTCGTCATTCGGTTTGTAGAAGTCGAGGGATTCGGGGCAGAAGAAAGTATGGGGTTGTGCTGCGAGAAATCGAACGCGAACGGGCCTCCTTCTTTGCCGGCGTCCCAGGCGCGCGGATACATGTTCGTGACATCCAACTGCAGATTTGGCCGTTCCGCACACGCCCTCAGGATGTACGCCAGCTTCGGAATGTCGTTGAAATCCCAAAGTTGTATGTCTGCGCATTCAAGAGTCGTTACGCGACATATAAAGGAACGAATCGCGGCCAGTTCCTTCTTTTTTATTGCGGGGTGAACCTGGATGATTGCCTGGAAATACGAGCCTTGAAAGGGCGCTCCTGGTTCGAATGTAGTATGGGTCATAACTTCACGACGGTCGCAGATTAACACCTTCCTTGCAAGCATCATTGACTTGATGGTGGCGACGCGTTCGGCAAGGATTTGTGATATCCAGATATCATAGAGCCGTCGACAAGTCTGGGCAGCCTGCGTTATGGTGTCCAGAGGATCGAGCTGGAGATACGTCCCGATTTCGAGGAGAAGTTCGTTAGGCAGTTCGAGGAAGTTCATTCTGCAGCCCTCCACCAGTCTGGAATAAGGTGTGAGAGAGAAAGAGAAGGTGTGAACTTTGGTCATGTTGTGAGCTTGACAGGCGCCTGCCAGACTATTCCAAACAAGAACGGTACGGAATGTTTCTTCTTCACGTACCTTCAAGGGCGTATTCACCCATTTACTTCGGAGACAATACAGGATATCTACAATGTCCTCACATCACAACAAAGGATGGCAGGATGTATCCGAGCCACCGCATTGAACGACAAACACGTCGCGGAAATGAAGGTGTTCTGGGCAAAAACATGTTGGTTGAATGTTGCTCACATGAAGGGACCCCTGCAGCATACGGCCTCCTCGGCGAATGTTTTGTGATCATGAAGTACATGTGTGCATGGAAGGGGGAAATCGTATAGCAACTCCGAAGTCAAAGGAACCGTCTACTTGCGGGCCGTCTTTGCCTGGGACTTAATAACCTTCTTCACAATCTTAGCCTCCTCAACGAGGAATGCCCGCAGAATTCTAAACGTATTAAGAGCATTGAGTTTCAGGACCCTGGAGCGAATAATGCACAACTCACCGTGACTTCACGCAGTCACCGCATCTTGAACCACCATACGCACGCGTCACAGTCTTTTGGCGCTTCGAGATCGTGGCATACTGACGAGGGCGGAGGGCAGGGACCTAGATATCGGATCAGCAGATGCAGCCAGCAACCCAGGACCAACATAACGCACTCCAGGGAGGGCGACGCCACAATCCCCGCACTTGGGTGCCGAGCCTAGCTTTTTGAGGTGGTGGTAAACAAGCTTGCCACCTGGGGTCTTCACAACACGTCGGCGGTTGGATGTGGTGTTATAGGGTTGGCGCTTGCGGAGAGTTACACGTTGGGCCATTGCTGAATCTGAGAAGAATTTGCGGAATCAGCGCAATGCTCCTCTATATTTCATAGTTCGGGCGTTCAGGTTGCATCGACAGAGAGTCGCGCGCTCGTATCCGTTCCTCTCTTTCTCCAGGACCAATATCTCTTCGGGCCCCGATCGCACGCCCAACAGCTACGCCCGCATGCCTCGTCGCAGTTTCCTTCGCGGACCAACCAAACTTCCAGGTCGAGAAAAGGAGCGTCTACTCACAGAGACCAACTTGAAGAGGTTATACCTGCAAAGTAATCGTCAGGAAAGAGTTACGGCGGTAAACTAGCATAGTTTCCCTACCTTGTCTTGAGGATGTCGACGGCGATGGCGGACCTATGATTACAAGCCGGTGTGTGGCTGTAAAACTGACCAGCATCATCGGCAAATCCCGCCATGCCGATAGTCACGCCTTGTGTGTCCATCTCAAGCGAGTGTCAACAAGGGTCAATAACCCTTTTTTGACCACACTGAATCGACTGTGGGTTTTCTGCGTGTCCTAGTCCGACAGTCGGCGGAGTGTTGATCTGCCCGTGTAAAAGCCTTGCAGATTGACGAAGTCCATCTCTTTTCCCCCATATAAGTATGTGGGCCCCTTCATTCTTTGCATCTATACGTTGCGAGCTTACACTGATACCAGCGAGGGGGGGCGCAAGCTCACTTCTGGACCCTAGAAAATGGAATTACTCTTTTCGATTATCCTTACCTATAGCCTGGCCCAGCGACCCCTGTCCATGACGCTAAAATAGACATTTCCCTGATGGAATAACATAGGTGCAAGGGCACCCCGAACCCCGACACGCCATTCTGATTAACGAGTTCTAGAAGGCGCTTGTCATCGCAGATCAGGCAATTCGAGCTTGAGAGCGGGGCTGGAGGAGGACATTTAAGGCAGATGAAATTCTGCAAGGAACTGGGTTTCAAGGAGTCTCCCTTCTGGTGACGCGCCGGACAAGCGCCCGCCGTTGTTATTGCTCCCGCGGCCCCCGATCTCCGCTTTGCTTCCATCGTGGGCGTGGAGTCAATGTAGATTACTCATTGTCTGGGCGAATAGCGCTCGACTAGTGACAGGTAATGACTGGCCTAATATGACTTGCGAAGCGTGCTAGAGGGTCACCATCACCGCCCCCTTGCGGACGTTCGAGATGCGCAGTGGATGTGTGAATTACCCACTTGCCTGTAAGATACGAGAAAGCATCCTACTTCGCCACTAGCCGACGGATCGAACACACCAGCCGAAGGCAACTCGAAAAGTACCTTGTGACCGCCGGCTTAAGGCTGTCTGACCATATTTCAATGACACTGACAATTGAGCAGAACTTTATTTTCTGCAGCCGAACTTAAACCACAGCCAGGCTAAATGCACTCGAGTTAAATGGATATATTTGCCTTCAGATGAAGGAAGTTCCCTTTCGATTTGAATGCGCAGTGATAGCGATATTCTCCAGGAGAACGGCCGATACCGGCCGTGGACATTCATTGACTCCGCAATCGGTTCACAGAGAATTATAGTTCAGGGAGGGAAAATTATACCCTGAATCTCACTCTTCTGCTTATCTTCTTCGCAACGACTTCGAATAATAGGAGATCTTCGTACCCGCCACTCTGGAAAGGTCAGATAGCCTTCAGTCTTTATTCGACCAATGTTCGAATGCACCGAAGGTTATAGGGGACAAGGACACGGCCAAAAATATCATAAGGCGGGCATTGTCCGGTGTCCCATGGTCGCGGAAATGAAGAGTGGCTCTCGATGTACTTATGCTTGGAAGATAGCTGAAACGGCTACCTTGAAAGGCCAGTCGTCTTTTTCGGAATGCAGACAGGCTCTCCTTGGAGAGCGATGGGCGATCAATTATATATGAGGAATGCCATGGGGAACAGTGTCTGTTCTCCTCTGGAATTCGTTATCGAACAAGCCTTACAGAGTCGTCGAGGAGAGCGTGGCGCATCGTCCCGGCCCGTGCCATTCAATGGTCCCGCGGTAGAGGCGCAACTTTATTCTCTGTTTCGGTCAACCCACTGATGTAGAAGGTCAGGCCAGGTCGGTCAAGTACCAACATCGATGTAGAGACGAAATTACAATAGAACCGGAGAGCTGGCTGTTTCTGACCGTACAATTTTCACTAGGCCGTCTCACTCCAGACCTGTGACGGGGCCAGGACACGCGCAAGAAAAAACGAGGGGGCGTTGATCTCGAGATGGGGCGGATTGTGGGTATAATGAATGGTGGCGCGCAGTGAATAGCTCAAGGCAATGCAGGTCTTCCTTCTTCAAGGAACTGGTATGCCTGCCGAGCCGACTAAAGATGTGGACATGGGGGGTTAAAGCGGATCAAGAAGACGCCGTGGGTGAGTAAATAAATTCCAGGCTAGTAAGACTCATCAGACAAATCTGAATATGGGGTCCATCGCACACAGATACAATCCGCGATCCACGACGAGCAGGGCTGTCATCAGTCAACCAGTCACTGCTAGATTGTCAAGATACGCTCAAAAAGCATGATATCCGAGCACCCATTGAAGTCCTAATTTCAGGAGGCTGGAGAGCGCCTGTGTGGCTTCAGAAATTAATTATCAGCCAGCCAGGCGTGCATAGCAGTCGCAAGTCCATTGAGACATGATAAAACCGCGAGCTTCCATTCTCCTTGCTGAATAGAGGCCCCAGTGAAATTGTAGAGAACGACGCCACAAGATGATGATCATTGGAGTCAGGAATCGTAGGCGACGCATGCTGAAGAAGAAGCGCAGAGGCATGGAAGTCTGCTCGGGTTTGTGGTGACAGTTGGGGAGGAAGACATGATGGATTATGTAATCGAAATGTCGGTTCAAGTTCGGTGTCAATAAGCAGCTTGTCTCTTTTCCCAATCTCCCGAATGGCGAACAGCAAGAAAGGCGCGGCGAAGGTCCAAAAACTGCCGCAAAATAAGTCTATTGGAAAGCCTCAGGTTGCTCCTGGGTCTGCTTACAAGGGGTTAAGCGCAGCACAGGTCGCTGAGGCGCTGCCAATGACCTCGTACATCTCCGTCGTTGCCGTGCACTCCACCCTCTGGATATTTACGACCCTTTATCTCCCCCGAACGACGTTCTTGAGTGAGCTAACAACGCCGGAGTGGGACTCTGTGCAGCTGTCGTCGAAAGATCGACCACAGCACCCATTCATGGTGGCGTTAACGATGAACCCGACGGTGACTCTCGCATGCATCTGCGCTGGTGCGGTCGTGCTGCAAGGCTGGTGGGCGGGGTGGATGCGGAATTGGTGGCTGGAGCTGGGCATTCGGGCATCGGGGGACGAAAGGAGGACCGAGAAGGCGTTCCATGACTGTCAGAAATTGACTGTGCGTGACCAGCACATATCAAGACGCGAATCTTGAACTGAAAACAGAGCTGAACTCGTGGCACGAATTTATAGATGGTCCGGAATGCGTGGCTAGCGACCTTCACGGCGTCTTTCATGATACACGTTGCTCTAGTGCTTTTCGGGGCACCTATCGCAAGGTGTTGAGGATATTTTTGGTCACCCAGATCTGCGCTGACCCGCGCTCTGCGGTTTCTCTTTTCAGCCATGTCTTGAAGACGTATCTGCTTGCCTTACTCGTGTCGATAATGACTGTGTATACGCCTGCCTATGTTATCGGCGCCCCGACATTGGGCAACAAGTCATTGTCCGTCGTCAAGCGGTGGACATGGGTTCGGCTGTTCGCCGAGTTTTCGTGCGTTGCACTCTGACCCATTTATTTTCGCCTTTGACCGTGATTTATTAAGGGCAAGGAATCCCGTTGAACGTGCTCTGGTTTACCCTGTCTGTGGAACACTGTTTGGCTGTTGGTTGGGTGTGATTCCAATCGCCCTTGACTGGGACCGCCCGTGGCAGGTATGTCAGCCCGATCGAACAGATTTCCGCCTTGCTAAAGTACCCTTTTCTTAGGCTTGGCCATTGACACCTGCCTTTGGTGCCATTGCAGGGTACATCGTGTCGTCGATGCTGGCCCTCACCATCCATACCGTGGTACAGCTGGCAGAGGAAAATATTCAGGCTCAACTCGAAGTAAAAGACTCGAAAATGTCTTAAATTTAACATCTACATAGGTGTCATGTCTAGTCTCTACTCCGAGTAATGTTCGGTCTAGGCTCCGCTGTAGCTACTATATGCAGGCTCTATGTCGCCGTCTCGACGACTCGGAAATCTCCTAATGCCTGCGTAACATAGTCAGGAACGATGGGAGAAGGGTTAGGTCCTGTGATCTCTTCCTCCGTTGTGATTCCTATGGGACAAATGTCAGTAATCAAACCGAAACGACACGGAAGCCTGGACGGACCCGTGAGCACAAGGAGAGTTGTCAGTCCGCCATTCTGGCCGAAAAGAATGTCGGTGTTCAACCTGTCGCCGATTATGATTGTCCTTGCAGGATCAAATTGCACTCTAACATTGCATCAGCCAGAAGCACGACGGAGGCGAGGTGGGTTAAAGACGAACTTGGCCTTGACACAATCCAGCATGGTGCTGGCCGGTTTTCCTGTGCAGACAGGGTTCCTCCCGAGCGCGTACCGGAGTGGGGCACTGATAGATCCAGCTCCTGGCAACAGACCATGCGCACTGGGATAGGTACTATCTTCATTTGTGGCTATGAAATGACAGTCGGGGTTGCGAGTTAGATATTGGAAGGCCTTAGAGAGCTTGGTGTAGTTGATCTGAGTGTCTAGACCACATACGACGGCGGTCACGTCGGGGTCCAAGGTGAAGTCGGCGAGAGTGAAAGGCTCTAGCGTGTTATCTGCGGGATTCTGTCACAGAATGAAGGATCGTGATTAAGAAGTGAATTTTCTCCCTAAGGGAGGTTTGGACACGCACAGTTCCGCCAATGAATGTTATGCCCTCGTCACGAAGTTCTTCTTCCAAGCCCCCCATCCCAATAACAAAGACCTTCTTGGTCTTGGGGAGCTGGATGACCGAAGAAAGGTAGACGGCTGCTGCATATGCAGATCCGTAGATTTCGTCCTGCCACACAACACGTTTTCATCTTGGGAGCCTGGCCGCTATCTCTCTCCCACACTCACCACATGTGCCTCGACACCCAGCTGGTCGAATTTGGTCTTGTAGCTCTTCCTCGACTTGGTGGCGTTGTTCGTGACGAACACGACCTTCTTATCTGGTTTCATTTAAACAATCAGCGATGGGAAAAAAGACAAGGCAGCACGCACAACATACTTCGACGACGCAGGATGTCCAGCACCTCGACAACTCCGTCAATCAGATGATCGCCGCGCCAGAGGACGCCATCGCAGTCGAACAACCAAGTATCATAGCTGTCTAGCAGCGCCTCGTACTGTTCTACAGATGAGATGCGCTTGCTCATCGTGCGGGGTCTTGGGAGATGGTGGGGACGGAACAGAGTGCAGCACGATCACGTCGGACTTCAAATTCCAATGAATCGTCGTGATCGGTCAGTCTACGATGGCGACTTAGAGAAGTTATCTCTTCACAATTACTCCGCGCTTTCCTGAAAGGAAGCTCTGACCTGCAAGACGGGGACGCACCAAGAGTGCGAATATTTTCACATTAAATTTGAACACGCTCATGATTTCACATCTCGACGGAAATGACGGGCCAGCTTCTCCACATAAGGTTTCATGTAAAATATTTCTCTCATAGCCCGTGTCGTCCGTATTTTCAAAAGTTGAAGACTATCCAGTCTTCGATTGGTTTGCCTTTAAATGCGTTGGTGTTGCGGACGACCGGCCCGTCCTTGCTTAGTAATTTAACCTTGTGGGAACTTTACGGAAACCTCCTTCCTTCCATCTTTCTGACCTCATCTTGACCTCATCTCAACGCGAAATCAAACAACAAAGTCCGTACGGCTCGCGTTCACCTGCCGCACGTTTAGGATGAACTCAGAAATTCCTCTGCTTCAATGGAAATGCAGATCCTTAGTCCCACCATCATATGCGTATTTTTTTTCGGGAGAACCAGCCCGGATGAACTTTTTTCTCCAGCCCAACACCGCTTTTGACATCGAACGCAATATAGACAAGTACGGTTTTGGCACCTTTCCAAGCGTGTTTAATTTTGCGCGTACATGTTCAAACATGTGGCTGAGGACACGACTGACGCCATTTGGTACGTCTAACTTGAAGCTGTGATGCGGAGATTTGACGGTTGTTTCTTGGGCCAAACCCAACTGGCCTATATGGCAGAGCTAATTTCCATGCAATTCAATGCTGTACAAAGCGAGCTTCCCCGTTGGCTGGAACAATGTGGCGGAAGTTGGGTCTTCTTTCTTCTTTTGGTATCTCAGCACCATAAGGATCTTTTCGTTCGGTTGTCCCAGTGGGTCAGTCCTCTGTTGGCTCGTTCAATACGGCGTTTCTGACGCTCCAGGGAAGATCTTATCCCGACCGACGGCTGCTTGCAGGACCCTCCGGCGGCCACTTTCCCGCAACAGAGCCCGGGGCCAGCAAAAAGTTCTGGTAACTTCCAACGAACCTTTTTTCCACCAATCTGGATTACCCATCCATCAGCTCCAGGCTCAATGGGGTCTCTCAGGACACGGATATCGGCGTGCAGTTAAAGGTATATTTAGTCCTGAAAGAATTGCCAGAGTCTTCTCTTCTGTTTCGTGTTGGTTTCGGCCTCCTTTCTCCCGCCGGTGTACCCGTTATGATATCGCTGGTAGGGGGTTCCACGAATTCTAAATCTACGCTTCCCCGCACTCATGATCAATGCTTCTGTCTCCGTCATGTTCTCTCGTCCGGCCTTCCAAACCGAACTTTCTTGGGTCTTCTCACCACTGTCAACCCACGGCAGGCTGAACCTTGTCTCTTTGCTTGGAGTCCTTCAGAACTCTGCTCCACTTGTGGCTTGATGAGCGGCGAACTCAGGTTTAGGCCTTTATATATTTTAACGGACGGTTTGCTCTCAACATAGAGATAGGTACAACAAAAATAATGCAAACATGCAGAACACTAGCAGACAAGAGGGCTAGAAAACTTCATCCATCAGGGTCTTCGCCGCTTTCGGGCGTTTGGGAGGCTTATCGACAGATTTTTTGCTAGGTCGTTCGGGCTTTTCTTTAATCGGACGAAGCCACTCACTCCTAACCTCCTCAGGTCTGGTGCTCCAGCAGTCGCTAATCTCGTAATCGATGTATCGTTTGAGTTTCACTTCCAATTCGTCGCAGACAAGCAGGTCGATTGTGTCCATGGCGTCTCCCAGGTCTCTTAGAGATTCATGGAGAAATTTAGTCGTCAGGATGCGGGATTCCGTCGAGAGGCGTTTGCTGAAGCCACCGGCGTTGCTTAAAATCTCCGTCGGATACTTTGCCTGTCGACCGCGCAAAACAGCAGGGAGGCCCTTACCCTCCAGAGGGAAAATCGGAACTTTGCTCCATCGTAGTTTATCTGCATGTTCTGCTGAAACGCACACCCCGTCGCATTCGCTTACGAGGCCTATTTCTGTCAACTGGTGTCAAAGAATGTCTATCAGATGCCAACCTCGTATCCTATGAGTGTTCCCTCGCTTGGGATAGGAACATCTCGAAAACGTAAGAATAGGCGAATAGGCACGCACGCTTCGAAAGTTCATCCCAAGCGCCTTGGTCTTGACCTTGTTCACTTTGAAATAGGACAAAATGGCGTGGATGGCTTCGACTCCGGGATGGTCGTTCAAGGTCCGACTTAGAGCAGGAAATCTTTTCTCGTGCCATTTCAGAAGCTGTGGCGCGCTGTTAGTGAGTTGAAACGTTTGCATTGAGAGTACCGTCACTCACGGGTCCGACGGGGATTGAAATAGTGGTTGCACCAGCCTCGACGCAGGCGGCTGCGTGCATGAGGCAGCTAACGAGATATAAGTTCACAAATACTCCCTCTTTCTGCAACATCTGAGCAGCAAGTATCCCTGCATCGGTTGCAGGAATCTGCCAGAAAAGTCAGTCAGCAGCCAAATGGTGTCACTTCAGGTCAAGTGCTTGTGGAAATCGGAAATACACACGCTGACAACGATACTGCTTTTCGGGACCCCTCTGCGAGAAAGCATTTTCCTAAGACGATTCGCAGAGGCAACAAGAGAGGCAGTGTTCCCATGCGCTCGAGGGTCAACGAAAGTGATGTGCGGTCCTTGCACATGATCTCCGATGGCGCATGCCAGCTCCGTGAACTGATAAGCAGCACAAACAAAAGATCCGAACTGATAGTCAGCCGTTTGTGTGTTCAAGAAGTCCGGTTGACCCACTCACGAGGTGTTCTACTGCCAGTGTGACGTGCTCTTGGCGCATCTCTGTCCCGTTTTCCCTGCCAGACATGACGTGAGCTTCGCCCGAGTCGGTCGCCGTGGAGCGAAGAGAACTCAAAATATATGCAACAAAACGCACTCGAGGAAAGCGTCTAACGCCTTCTGCGTGGCCAGCCAAACGTAAGAGTCTAGATGTCCTGTGATGATCTCCTGAAGCAGCGTTTCTGGATTGAGCATCGACCCGCTCAAGTCGTGAATAGAGAGGGCTATAATTAAGCGCCGTAAGCGGCTCGCGCGCAACATTGCAATTGCCTGAACGGTTAGGGAGCTGTGGCGTACTTTCAAAATTAAGTGTATCAGCGATGATCGCTGTATTATTATCCTTCAACTTCCGTTCTAATCCACCGTCCAGCGGGATTGTGGCTCGAGCTAGAAGCTTGGTTGGAACAGGCATTGGCGAAGGCTGGAATGAAAACAGTGAACTCTAGTGTGGTGGCGTTGTTGGGAGGGATATAGGCGCCGAGGCGGGTGAATGTTCAACTTTGGATCTGCGGCGAAAAGGAAGATTGAAAGGATTCAATTTTTATATCGAAAGTTGTCGGTGGCACTGTGGCACTGTTGTGGACGGCCAATGCGCGTTGTTGGCGCAGAGGCCACTTCCTTTTTGGGCTACGCGCTGTGGCACGCGCCTGCTGCCCAGAGCACGCGTCGGCTAGTCGGCTATTACCGCGACCAGAGGGCTAACATTGAGGAAAGGGCTTTGTTGTCTGTGGTTGCCATCTGGAGGAGGAACAAAGAGGCTGAACAAGGTGCTGCCCATAATTACTGGCAGCTTCACAACGGCTAGGCGACTTGCGTCCTTGAAAATCCGAAAGGTTCTGACAGTACATACGACGTTGACATTATTGATTCCTATCCCACCTTCTCCTGCCGTTATAGCATCGCCGATCTGGTGGTCATAATCCTTACCCCATCGCTTCTGATCTTCTCTGTCTCACGATCAATTAAGCTTTACCTGAGTTTCGTAAATGAAGTTTCGAAATCAGTGTATTAGATGTAGTAGATCACAACGTGCCAAGCACGAGGGGGAAAATTACAACACTGGAGCCTAGGGGACAACATTTCATGACGAGAAAGCAGGTACGACGAGGGGTATATTCTATGACATCACATTTACAAAGCATTTGGACGAGGGAGAAGAGGGAGGAATGGAGGAACGAGGAGGGAGGCAAGGAAACGAGAGCCCCACCGTCATCAGCGGTGGAGATGTGCTCTGTCAGAGGAATAGGCGTGCCAGTCCATATTATTGTGGTTCTGACTTTGGCTGTTGGAGTATGAATATTGGATTGAGGGGTGATGATTGGCGTTTGCGCTCTGTGATACGAAGAGATTGCTGTGAGGGAGTATCGCGACTCGCGAGGCAGCTGGACCTACGACGTATTGGTCGTCCTCCACCTTCACCGGGGCATAGTGGCTGTTCGCTGGCGAGTAGTTACTGGACATGGAGTGGTGGTCAGAAAGATGCGGGCGATGATCGATTTGAGAGTGCACAGGAGCTTGCACTTGAATGGGCTGGAGAAAGACAGGTCGTTACTAGGATCCTAGTCCTTATCCACAAAGCGCCGCCAAAGGCAAGCAGAAGGAATTCAGGAAGGAATAACACTCGCCGAGAACGGTGGACTCGAGGTAGCACTCGAACCGGAAGGGGTATTGGGCATTTGGAACGGGGGCGCGTGGAGGCCGCCGAAGATGTTCGCATTTTGGCCGTGTCCTGCTGATGGTGAGCTCATGCTGCCGTTGCCGTAGTGGTGGGACATGGGCTGGGGAATGGTTAGAGGAGGGGGAGGTCGAGTAGAGGGCTCATGGCCGTGAGGTGGCGTGTCGCTGGGGCTCTAGAGGGGCAAGAAGATCCGTGTCAGAAATTGGGCCGACATTCCACGACGCCCTGGCTACGCACTATGTAGATGCCATCCTGATGCCCTGGCTTACGCCTCTTCAGTCCGTAGTCTCTGTCGCAAATTCGGGGGTCGGCGTATGAGGAGAGTGACCGCCGCGTGGAGTCGGAGGAAAGCGTCCGGGATCCAGAGTCGGTGAGGAGGCGTCGAAGCTCGTCGTTTTCTTTCTGTAGCCGACCATTTTCCTGCTCGAGCTCCTTGATCTTCAGCAACGGTGGTGGAAGCGCGGCGACTTGGTCGGTGGAATATCCAACAGCCAGCTGAAGCTTGGTGACGGTTTGTTCGAGCTGTTGGTGAGGTCAGGCCTCATTCCCGGCAGTGGGAATGCGATGGTGGACGCTCACCTGGTCGATGTACGCCTTTCGCTTGGCTCGATGTCTCGCCTGCGCTTTAGCGTTACGGCTACGCTCAGGGCGTTCAGGTTGTGCCGTATGACCAGTAACAGACGACATCAGTGTAACGTAAGGTCTTGTGGGGGAATGGGGATCGGGGTTGGAAAAGCGATACAGAGAATGAGAGTCAAACTTATAGCGTGGTCAATAATGCAGCGCCCGTTGTTGGGTTTTATGAATCCCATTTTTCTCTGCTCTCGAGTGTTGAGTTCCCGAGCTGTTCGTTTTCCTCGATCTGGAGATAGACCACTGAATAAGGTTGACCCTGGGCTCTTGGCCGTGAACCAGAACCCCGGGTCGCCCTTCGAATCTTGGACTTTGGAGGTTTCGCGTCGTATCTGTGATCTCCCACTCTGCTTAACTCCAAAAATCTTCCTGTAGCTGGGATATAATTCCTGAAGCATCTAGTGCCTGCAACGAGGTTTATTCGGCCGTCATGCTGGGGCCTGCCTCAACATACTTGACAAGGTGTAGTGACCCACCGTAGGATTTTAGGTGCCATCGGCAGCGGCAAGTTGCGGCACTTGGTATCTTCCAGCTGTATGGGCGTCGTGCCTTAGGTCTTCTGAGTGATCGGGGATCAACAACAAAATGCTTCCGCAGCTTCCAGAAACGGACATAGATAGTGACAGATTTCAAACTCCGCGAACACCCATTTGTAGCATCTTCTCCATCTTGTTTCCCGTCAGGGTATCCAGCCCAAATGGTTTTGTGGCGCACGCCTTTCTGCAAATAACTCACACAACGGTGCGTATACTCAATATCACCCCTCGGACGCCATGGGGCTCCACCACGATGCCCCACGTTTGGTCGACCTTGTCCACGTTCCAGTCTTTCGCTTGCTCAAGTTCTTTTTGCTAGGCCGCAAAGCCGCGAGGACGCTCCCAGTCTCTGCAAAAATCATTTAATTAAGATGGTTCACTTTATCTCCTCCATGAGGGCGGTGGATTTTGTGCTGATGTCCTATGAAATGAAGCCCTCTATCGCCAATTTTTTCAACCACCCGAAATCATATACCTCCTTTCGTCGCGGAAATCTCCACTTCACAAGGATTGTATTGGCTCAAACACTCGAGGTTCGGTACCTAGCCTACAGAGGTTGTTTATAGCTGTAGACCCAATATATCCGCTCTTTCTAAGAGGTAACACCCATCCACGTTCATTGATTTCGGTATTGCGAACCCTCCGATTCAAAAAATGAGAGCCAGCAGGTGGCCAGGAACCCCTCGATGCTGATTAGTGTTCAGTCGCTGCATGCAAACGATGAGAAGCGCCCACCACGGAAGATCCCGTCCTCGTTCTTGCAGCGTGCGCTTTGTCAGGTTGAGTCTGTTACGGATCGCAGGGTCGGTCATCAAACCCAGCGAAAGGCATGAATAAGTAGTGCCAATATTATAGAGACTCCAAGGTCCAAGGTTACTGTATAGCAAAAAAAAGGTAATGGGGTTGAAGCTTATACTCGCTTTTCCTATAGAATGTCAAGCGATTGGTGCGTTGATGACGGTCGAAAAGAATCCCCGTTCTCCAAGTGCGACCACAACTGAGGCAAGACCCACAAAAAATACATCTAAACCTTCGATGTCGATGAATCCATCGGAATACGGGGCGGTATCACTGAATCATTATTTCCTTAGGGGACTGGTCCCGAACCACCCGAAAATGTAGGGAGTGAATCACAGAGTGACTCGCGCCAGCCAAACTTACACCTGAAGGTACGAGGGCTTTGTTATCTCTTGATATAGCCCCTTTTGTCAATCGCGCAGGGTCGACGGGCATTGTGGTCACATTTCTCGGTCGGCCTTGGCTCTCCTTTTTTGAATGAAAACCTTAATTTTGCTTCCGGCCCAAGGAAATCGTTGTTCAGCCACGATTGGCGATGCCCAGGAACGATTTCTGACGACGAGCGTTTGGGAGCAGAATGGTTAAATTCAAACACAGCGGCGTATCTATTTCTCATGGACATATACACCAGGAATACGCGACCCGAGGATGGTGCGAGAGAAGCGCTCGCTCCTGGGCCGTCATCGATTCATCATGTGCCAGGGAGGCCCAAATTGTGTATACGGCCGACGTTCAGTCCCGCATCATTATTCTTCCATGTTATTTAACCTTTCAGCGCCTCGATGTCGAGCAACCTCACACGAAAGCAGCGAGGACTTTTATCCAGGCGAGATAGTTTTGCGCGTGGCAGCGACCAGGCGAGGTACTTCCGGGTCACGAATACGCTTTCCATAGCTTTCAATGATTGTTTGACCCCGAGTGCCCTTAACTCTCCTCCGCCTAGACAGTCCGCATCGAAAGCGGCTATGAAGACAGCAACACCCTGGATACGTTGTTCTTTGAACTTTCGATGGCGATGCTACATGCCAGAAAACCGCGTTTCATGAAATTATACATGTGCGCCGATTCAATGCCCAATGCCCTAAGTCGGATTAGGGGACACTGGCCGGCGAGCGATTGTAAAGGGCATTTCGCATGGAACGCGCGACAGCGGTCGTTGCACGACGAACACGAGTAGGGGTCCTCCATAGAACGTGTCGACGGACCGTAGAGCACCCGCTGAGCGCGTTGTTCATGGTCCCCAAACGCCATTTTTGTCTTGGATGGGAAAGCCTGGACTGCTTCAATGGTTCTTTTGTTGAGCTTTCCCTATCCGCAATGTGAAGGGTGGATCATCTTCCAGAAAAACGCGGGCAATCTGAATTGCAGGTGCACTACTATCGCGAAATGAACGTGGTTAATCACTCAGACAGGCAGGTGCGTCCAAGAACAACGGCGAGGAGAACGTGCAATCAAGAGGTTGCGTTTCCTGGAAATGCATTGGCCTTGTGCACCACGTTGTAGGCACGAAATGACGAAGAATAATATCCGCTAGATAATAGAAGTGTGACAGTACAAGAGGCGGACCGTCAATAAGCATCAATAGTCCTGATTCAGTCTTCGTCATCGTCCGAAAGAATCAACCGTTTGCTGCGGTGGGCGTGTGGTTGCCCGGTCTCTGTACCGCCTTCTTGGGCTGAAGGTGAGTCTGACTGATCCCCGACCTCCGACGATGCGACAGGTGAGGACCGGGAGGGGTTTGATGCAGTCGAGGCAGGCCGTTTCATAATCGGTCGGGGGCGAGGGCGAGGGCGGCGGGCGGTGACCTGTGCATCTCCTGGCTCACCTTGGTTGACAGCCTGGGTGTGGGAGTGTGCAAGGACCTCCACATCGCTGTCCATATCCGGTTCCAAGAGGCGATGCTCCTGGTCAGCTGAGGTCGCGGACTCCTTTCTCCCCTTGCGTTTTTTGGATTTGGAACCGCCCTCCCCGTCTTTTCTACGCCGCTTTTTTGTGCCGGTAGGTTTCATCGTAGGAGGACGATCGTTACCAGCAGACGCGGCGGCCAGAGCAGCCCTTTCACGGCGTTCCTTCTCTTTCTCCAGGAAAGCATCCATCTCCCCGTATTCTTCGTCACTGTCCCCGATAAACTGAGCCGACTTGTACACTTCCTTTTCTTTTTTCTTCTTCTCTTTGAGTTTCCTTCGACGCGGCTCACCGTCGGATGAGAGGCCCTCATCTCCAGAGTCAGGTGACGGGGAACGCCGACGTCTGCGACGTCGCTTCTTCGCGAGCAGCTGTGCTGCTTTCTTGCCATCAAGATCGATTGGCGTTTCGAGGAATTGCTTGATGACGTTGAGGGTGCGCTGGAGCTCTTCGATGGAGATCCCTGAAGGAATATACCACTCCAATTCGTCGGAATCTATTCGGACGAGAACGAACAAAATTAAACCAGGAAAGGTCACATATTGCAGGTTCGCCATACCTTCGTCAAGGATGAAAAACTTGGACAGGCGAAAGAGAAGTTTGAGGTTGGGGTTCTTCGTCGCCGCCTCCGCCTGTTCATCAGTCTCATAGGGAATCACTGACAGCGACGATCAGAACAATGGGATTGGGAAAACATCTGTCCCAACACTCACAATAGTCAGTAATTTTGGCCAGTGCTTCCGCCGACGCCTTCACGACTAAAGGGTTCCCGTCCTGGACATCCTCTTCGTCTTCTTGGTTGCCCGTCTCTTCAATAATCCGAGAACGTTGACCCACTACAAATGCGATGATCTGCCCCAGGTGTAAGTTAGCCCCGATCCGGCAGTATTGCGGTGCACGTTTCATGAATCGACGTACTTCTGTTGTCCACTTGACCAACTCTGTTTGACCCGCCTCCACCAGACAAGCAATCGCTATCCCAAGCTGATCACTCCAAGAGTAACCCTTTTTGACTTCAACGTCTGGCGGGAACCGTGTGTCTGGGATCGTTTTCGCGTCTTTCTTGGTCTTACTTTCCGGCTCCCAACTCGAGTACTGCTTCCAATTACCGCGGTTCTTGGGGAAGAGTGCCTATAAGTAAAGGGGCTCAGAATACTGTGATTCCCGTGGAAGTAGATTTCCAATACGGACGGACCTCGACTGCGAGGAATGGCTCCTTCTCCAACGCCTTGAAGAATTGGCGCAAAATGAAATTGACGAGAGCGATGAGGTCCTTGTAGGGTTGATCCCGAGGAAACGACTTCTGATCTGCGATGATTGCTTTGAAGAGGTTCAAAGTGGAGACCTACGTAAACAGTGCTGTTATCAGTCTCGGACGCCGTAATACCATAACGCAACGAGTGCGCGTAACACGGACCTTGAAGAAGAGGCCCTCCGCTTTAGCTTTTACTGCTTGTCGATGTAACAAGCTAACGATGCGACGCATTTTCTCAGACGAGGAGAATTCGCGATAACGGGCGAGGTAAGTCAATAGGGTGTGAGTGATTTCCGCTTGGGCAAATTTCTGAGGATCGAATCTGAATGACAAACACAGGACAGGGAACAGGATACGTACACTCTCGAATGCTTCAAACGTGAATAAGGTCTCGTTAATGGCTTCCTCCCGTTCCTCTTCTTCTTCTACGTCAGGGATACCGTCTTCCTCTGAGACACCTGGAGAAACTGTCAGGAACGGGACTCCACACATTACGGCTGAGTTTACCTTTTGATTGTCGGCGTCGCTTCGAAACTTTCTGCCTGACATAAGTGTCCTTTCCCTTCGTTTTGCCCCAAGATTCTAACATCTTGAGAAGAGCGTAGGAAAGGTAGACACTTGAATCCAGGTACACGAGTGACTGCGTTCCAGGCTTGTACGTCTTCAAGCTGTCGAGGGCAATATCAAGGACCTCGCCGTTATAGACCAATTGCTGTTGCAAGACATCCGCGGCCTCCCTGAGGTTATCGTCACGGATATCCGAAGACGACATTTTGTCTATGAGAAGGAGCAACTGGGTAAGGCATTCGATGCCCGCCTGCAGTTCGGTCCAAAGCTTGGGCTGCGAGATGAGAATGTGAACATCGAGTCAGTAAGTGCGTCTAGGTGATACAGGAGGCAAGAGTCTCGAACAAGCGCACCTTTTCTTCGACCGCCTCCCTCATGCGCTTTAACACCCAGATGATCCATGATCGTTCCATCACCTCGGCAATGAGCCCGAAGTCCCACTTGTCCTCGCTGCTCTCTCTCTCATGTCGTTCCTTCGACCGTATGGACAGGAAGAGTTCCAAGAACCACTTTGTTACGAAGAGAAGGCGGAGGTTGTCTTTCTCGGTTATCTTTGGGCGCTCTGACCTGATATCCTTCAAAAGTCCGGCCAAAAAAGCTATACTCGCACAAAAGGGAGACGGTCATCGATACCGTGCACGATGGGAAGGCGATGGCTGGAATAGACTCACGATTGAAGCAGGACTCGAGGAACCCTGTAGCTAAGTCTTTCAAGATGATTCTGGCCTCGAGCGACAGACTGTCACTAATCCCCATTTCGTCCATCTTATTCACCTTCCTGGCTTTCTGGCGTTTGGTGATATCCATGATGCTCCCCGACTCTCCGGATATTGCCTGTTGGCGATGAAGCACAAAGGCTCGCGATGACGACGACGCTGCGGGCTGCGAATCGGTTCCGTTATCTGCGGACGCCGTGGTGGGCGCTTTCTTGTTCGTGTTGAGCTTGACGGAGATGGTTGTTCCGAAGCGTGAATGCCGCGAGCTAGCCTTTTGAGCAATACTTTGTCGATTCCGATCTTCCAGCGCGAGAAGACGTTGCAGGTTCTCTGCAGGTTGCTGAACATCGATGTTAATTAAGCATATGAAATGGCTGTCGCAATCGTGCGTACCTTCGCCTGATCGACAGTCAGAGAGGCCGGTTGGACTCCTCGGAAGAGAAGATAGAGTATCTCAAGCACGAGGGTGTTCCATCCGTTGAAAAGCGGGTCGTCGTCGGTGTTAGAGGCTATGGTGAGCAGCAGGTCGAGCGTATGAGTCTCCGACAGAACACGAATCAATTTCGACTGAAGAGCCGAGAACTCTGCTTGATCGGCGCTGCGATGGGAGCTTGCTGGTAGGTCCTTGATGAAGGCAAGATTTCGAATAAGATGGAGAACAACGTTGATGACCTGCCCGTCACGTTCGACTCGTTCTTTCGGATGTTTTGCCAGCGGCGGCAGCATAATCCCGAACATTGCTTGAATAACCCCAGGTTTCAATAGTGCTTCCTTGTAGTGAAGGTGACTCTCCAGCAGCTGGGTGAAGTCGGCTCCTCTGTCGAGCTCCTCGTCCAGTTCCTTCAACTCCTCTGCCATGTCGATGGGCCACGTCATGGCTGTCATGAGGTCCACGCAGGTAATCGCACGCTTATCCTCTACGAGGCCCTTTCCGGCCGTCTCCAGGAGAATCGCAACCAGGTCGTTTGGGAGCACACGCATCTCCCAGAAGAGTCGAGCAACAGTTCGTTCGTCGTCAGTCTCGTCCTTGCGCCACAGCTTCTTCAAATCCTTCAAGCACCCATTAGCCTCGTCTCCCATCACATATCGATCCCCTTCATAACCACCCAGTGCATCCACGACACGTCCCACTACCGGTGCCAGAATCTCTCTTCTATCAAACCATTCCTCGCGCCGTTCCTGCTGGTCGTCATCGTCCGAGATATCGATAATTTCCCTGTTCATGTCGGTGACTCGTACTTTCGACAGATTTCTTTGGGGGTATAGGAACGAAAGGCAGAGCAAGAAGGAAGCGCAAGTCTCAACAGAGAACAACCAAACCAAGAACGTGACCAATTGACTAGTGACAGGACACCATGATCACTTGGTGTGACATATCGTGAGTGTGACACTTTATCTAATCAGTTATATTAAGCGCCCACATGTTCTGCCAACTCATAATATACGCCGGCCAGACAGATAATCTTATGGCGGGCGCTCCTATCCGCCATCATCTTGATTACGGAATATAACGGGACCATAACTATGTACTCTGCCCTAAAATGCCCCAATTCAGTTGACGAGGACAATAATTAAAGCCCGGCTACATTCATAACACTGCTATACGACTTCGTCTAATCCTTTGATCAGCAGAGAAGGTGTGTTCTATCACAATGGATTTTTTTCCCAAGAGTTTCCGACAAAAAGATTAAATAGGGATTGCATTGCGTGCTAACCCCATTCCGCTCAAGACCCAACTGGACTTTGCTCATAAGTAGAAAAGGAGATACGAAGATTTCGCTTCATGATCATCATTTATTGCGGACCTGCAGTGTGATAGCGGCGCCTTATTGCCAGATCCCCCTTTCTCTAAGGAGAGGTTCTACGTGCGCCACAGGCCGCACACCCTCACACGAGGCAAAGGTGCGGGTGACACCGAGTCTAGATCTTATTTGACTGCCACGGGTTTGATAATCTTCGCTGTTCGGATGCATTCCGCATCGTCCGGTTGTCAGACATCCCCGAGTCCTCGCAGAGTTTTGATCTGTTGTTTCTCCTTGAAGTGGTTCTCTTTGGGGCCTTTCTGAAGAGAGTTATTTGTATTCATCTTTCTAAGCTCCGTCCTTCGCGATTCCAAGCATTTTCTGCTCACTTTCAGAGTACTCGGCTAGGTAAGTCTCGGCAAGTATCCGCCTTTATGTGATGCGGAGAGCTTACGACAGCTAACGGCATGCGTTGCTGGAAACAGGCGTATGTCGAAACCCACGGTGATTTGAGTTTTAAAGCCTCGATTATCATAACCAAATGATCACTGTCGCCGGCGGAAGAACTGTACGGCGTGCTTGATCCGATTCCCCGACGGCAGTCTGACTCCACGCCTGTCTTCCGAATTTCTGGGATCCATGTGGAGTGACTCTTTCTTGACGCCCTTGGCGATTGGAATTCAGGAAAATGCATCACTTGACTAGAATGAAAGGTCTTTCTGCCTTCCGTACCGGAGCCTGAGACATGGATAGAATCACCTTATCAAGTTATCCTTTCTCACTCTTCTTAGCCTCATTGATACAAGATAACCCCGATTAGGTCTGCAATGTATTCGATGGACACCTCCTTTCAACATCCGGAGACATTCCGCACTGGGACGCACACCAGGCTCCTTCGGTCTGTTTTCTGTATTCTGCCCAACAACACAGAGACCCTGATGTTCACTTCAAACTCAGCGAATGTCGATCGAATGACGAGTTTGGTTGCCTCCGGGGTTCAGGGGATCTCCGCTCCAGCACATTCGCGGAGTTATCGAAAATCGGGTAGGCGTCGCCTTTTATCGCCTGCAACCCTTCGAAGGCTGTGACCTCACGCCGAGGAGAATGCACGGAAAAATGGAGCGGAGATCAAGAATAATCAACTCCGGATCTTCCATCCCCACTCGACCTCAGAAGTCTTCCAGAAAAATACACAAAGTAATGATTCGGAGGAAATGAAGAATGTGCACGCCGACGCCGCGCTGACCAAGGGACCCGCAAAGTGACTCGTGTACGGCATGGGGCAACGGAAGTAATTGACAGCACACTATAGATAGGAACTGGAAGAGGTGCTCAAGGAAGATTATCAGCGACAACGCTCAGGGTATGAAACCCTCAACATGGTCGGCGCTGCTCGTATGTGAAATAAATTTGCTTGGAAGCAGCATAGAAACTCGCAGTCTGTTTGGGGAAAATCAAACAAAACCATCGTAGTCGGAGTCAGAGAGTCGAACCATGAACCACTTCAGTTCCAACAGAAGGGCGCGGTTAAAATGGAGAAATGTGGCGTTGGATCAAACCCGACGAAACTTGCATCGCAGTTAGTGGGTATGGCGTATATTTATAGCCTTTTCAATCTCCAGAAACAGTGAACGCTCCTGCAGCGCTGACAACAGTTATCAGTATAAGTCATCTGCATCATGAGAAAATGAAGCTGCGATCCAGGCGGATGACGATTAGACTTTGGCGAATGTGAACTAGATACTCTCGTACGCAACGTATCAGGAGAGCCATCGAACGCAGGAAAAACATGGAAATGGCTGCCGTCTGCGCTTTTCAGAATGATAACCGGGAAGGACAACAGCACCCTAATCACCTAGTGCTAACACCACTGACGGTGTCGCGCGAGCCAGAAATATGTAGCCAATCATAGCAAAAGGACACAACTTTCGAACCAAGTCCTGGACTCCTAGTCCGATCAGGTCGATATCAAGAGTTTGGCACCTCATGCACCCATTGTCAGTGTCTAAAATTTACAGAAGCGGCAAGTCCAAAGCCCCGGCACGACAATCGCCCTCCCCGCGAGGGCTCCATGAAGTATTTTTACAGTGGCAATCATAGCAGGAAAGAAAGCTAACCTTTCACTCCAAGTACCAGCCGCCGCCGCAAGTCAACTGGGTGCGTGATAAGAACCCTATACGTCGAAGGCGGAGAGCGCAGCTGAGTACGCAACCGTTCAATTTTGAAGCAGGCTGAAGCAAAAATTTGCATAGGCGAGGTGAGCAGCAAAAGTAAAGACCGAACGTTCGCTGATCTGCGCTAGTACAAAAACCTTCGCCGCAAGACAATCGTCGGTTTGAAAATCCATTCCGGCGGAATAAAATTTCACGCAAACGGGGATGAAAGCAGGTGATACTTGAATTGTGGGGCCGCAGATATCCGTAACAACCCAACAGAGCATAGACGAAGCACTGTGCAAGCTTTGTCGGGCTGCCAGTTCCGGCTCGACAATCTTGTCTTCAGGCCCTGCGCCACGAAATACCTGCATCATCGGGAAATCGTGCAGAAGACGAAGCAAGACATCTGAAAGGGCATACTCGAGAAGGGCATGGCCTGCACGTTGGGTATGCGGCGCGACCTTTGAGACGCTGGGAGCACCAGGTAAAGCACTGCTCTGTAGGTTTTGGAGAGGCCCTAAACTGTATCATTTGGTGTTCTGGTGTACTCGTACACCGAGCGATCTCGACCAGGGTTTACAGTATGTCGCGTTGGCGGCGGAGGATTACGAAGGTTCGAAAACGATCACGTTGGGATAGAACTACCTCCTAAAACAATTGAAGCATTAGAGTGGGCAGGAAGAGTGATAGAGACCTGTGATGTTTAGGTGTCAGCAAGTGGCGTACAGGCACCACCCACTAGATGTGGGTGTAGTAGTTGCTGAAGGTTCTGATTACTCTGGCCATTCCCACCGGCGTTCACTTCTCTGCATGTTGCTACGGAAATCGAAGGAAGACTGTGCAGTGGCCCGTTAAGCCCGAGCTTGAGCAGGAGTCAGTATAATGGCCGTTATTCAGGCCAACGGACAGGGATCCCAGTGACAGAGTTTGTTGAAACAAGCACAGAGCGACCAATAGCATCGAAACTGCAGAGGAACGTGAATTTTCTGCGTTATCTAAGTTAGAGCGATAATAAAACCGATCGCTAGCACACACCTAGTAGTTCCTCGCTATGAAAGGGTTTGTCAAAACATAGGCAGGGCGAGCGGTCGGAAAGAGTCTACGAAGCGACGTTGAATCCTATCACAGGCAGCTGAGCAAGCAGAGTGAGTACCCTGCGGCTACAATCCGTGCCCGCAAAGACGAGCACGACCACCAGCTTGGCTACCAAAGGAGCATGTTCGGAGCTACAATAACCACCAGCCTCATGTTCCAGAATTCAAGCTCAAGCTCAAGGTTCACGGATGAGCGCCTGAGCATCAGTGCGGAGAAAAGATGAACACAAGGTCCCTAGTGGTCCACAGTGCGTCCTGCAAGAACGAAGACATCGGATGCGAGTTGGCTGCGAAATGGGGTTCGGAACCTGGAATTTAGAGCGATAGACTTTGTTGTACTATGAAACGCGCCGACCCCTCTTTGTAGACTGTGTTCAAATGGAAGACGATGGCGGGTGCGGTTTGAGCTGCAGTTCGGTCACGGTGTCGGCGGAATAGATCATCAAACGCTTGCCCACTCAAAGTACTAGAAGTACTTGAATCAACTTGATGGCACCAGAGGGAGACGTTGATGGCGATGGACAGCCAGCGGCTCCGTGTAAACACAGCACTTTCTGCCGGGGTTAGCACGCGTTTAAATCGGAGGACGGGGATCTGCGGATGCATGAGACGAGACGGATGACTTTGGAGACTGGGGAGGCCGGGGTAAGAGCACGGATGCTGATGATGTATGCGGACCTGCTTACTCGGTCTTAGAAGGCTGCGAGCGCGCCGGGAAGGCACCTAATCAACGGAATAATGACCTCGATAGAAGCCCGAAGCTTCAGTATGCATTGAACGCCCGCAACCGCGTGTGCAATGACAAACACTCTCGGCAGAGCTTCAGTCCTGAATTAGAATTTATGATCCCCAAATGGCAGGAAGAGGAGTCGAGGCAGACTCGACTGGTGGACTTACAAGGCCGTTAACTATGTATCCATCAACGCAACTAGGAATACAACGCGCACCTTAAGGAGATGTGCACTGGAGGTGCCATCGAAACTTGTGGCGCAACTTAAAGGTTTCTGACCTGGAAGGACTGGTTTTGAGTTTCCGATAAACCAAAGAGTTCTAGGTGCTTTCCTTTCTTCCCCGCCCCGTTGGATCATCACGAACCACCACCGAACATAAACCCTTGCACGCGCCTCCAGACGACATCTGGGGCCAGTCACCCCCCGTACATGATGATTAGAATAAGCTAGTGGGGTATATACTTGCCTGCATATTTTCTTTTTTCTCCGTTCGTTGTACCTGTGGGATCTGCTAAGACACAGTTATTCGCTTCGAATCTCCTTCCACTTTTGACCGTGACGATGTCTAAATGACATGGCAAATCAGGCCTCTAGAAGGTGAGATCCATGGCGAGTTCTCGTCCCCAACCAAGGTCAGCCACAGCAACGTTATACTCGTTCACGTTTGGGAAAGTACATTGTCCTCGCGCTCTCCCGCAGTCACTCGTCTACAGATTCGTCATGGATCACCAGGTAATGGCAACGCGCACCTCATGCCTTCGAATATCTAAGGCTCTTTCGTCTCTTGCCCTCGTCGCCTTGGTGTTCGCGCCGTTCGCCGTCTGAAACATCTAAGGAAGTTAACTTTCGAGAAATTTTCGAAATATAAAAAGAATCTTTCTTTTTCTCGAGTATCTCGTCCCTAGCTCTGGTGGCTCATCTCAAACCTCGCATAGGGCCGACGAGCGTGCAGGTGAGTCTGACGACGTGCAACAGTTGTAGATGGTAGGAGTCAGCCACGGTAAGCACGACCTAGGGGGGATTCCTCTGGAGACTGTAAGAAACAATTTTAATTCCACTTCACACTGTAAGATGTACTCAAATACTCACAGCGACACCAGAAATGTGGTGGATTTAGAGGTCCTCCCGATAGTCAAGCATCTACGCATTCGAGTCGTAGTGGTAGCGACTCATCGGGCCAGCGCCGAGGATCTTCTTCGAGACGTGCTTCTTCCTCGAGCCTTCAAGGGTCTTGGGTGCGAGCGCGGCTGCTGGGATTGGCAGGGTGTCCTGGAGAGATTGTTGGAAAGAGGTGCTGGCTCGGACCCAGGACGAACGTGCGTAGGCGAAATAGGTTGTGGAGACGAGACGAGACAGATAGATGTGATGGGTGGCTGGGTAGCGCCGTGCGGGGCGTCTGCATGGGCCGCTCCAGTACTGGCATCTTCGAATGCATTCCAATTCTACATAGTAGTACACACTTCCGAGTGACAACTACTGGGATTATGAATAGATTAGTATTTGATATAGACTCCACTAACCGCTTACCTCCCATTGCGTGTCCTGCAGTGACGACCGGCGCCAACGTCGCTCAACGTCAAGCATTTGAACACGAACATTCCGTGATGAGCTTCCCGCGCCTCATCAAAGGATAAGATAAGATAATGAAGTGCTAAGGCATCAGCCTCTGGTGTACACAATGGTACACATCTATAAAATCGTGATCGCTTTTTTTCTCATTCTTGTAGTACAACCCGGTTCACAAATTCCAGGGGTTCGTGAATAGAATTCCCCTTCAACTTGCCCCCACCAGACCCTCTTTTCTCTTACGACCGTGTCTACACCGATCGATGTTCTTGTCTAGTATCGCCGCTTTCTCCTCGATCCTCCGCAGACACCTATCCGTTGACGCAGAAAAACTTGTCAACCTCCATCGAGGATTATCACGAAGAACGAGGGCAAGAACGAAAACACCGCCAACGGAGTCAGAGCCTTGACTCGATGAACACCACGAAAAGACCCACTAACGGCGCCGACAGCACCAATGATCCAGACGCAGAGAGGCGTGCAAGGACGTATGTACCTTTTCTTTTTCTTCTTCTACCAACGCGAAACGATGGGCTGACCGCCGGATGCAGCATGCAGGCCCTCGACGCCTTCATCGCCACCCAACGTGTGCTTCTCGAACGTCAAAAGGCGGATATTACACGATTGCAAACTCTTCAGGCGTCCTTGAACGAACGACCTGAGCAAGTGATCGAAAATCTCAGCGCTAAGGTGCGTTGCTCATTCTCGACTGTCCGACGGAGAGATTTAATTTCTTGCCCGTGTACAGCTGGCAGACAAGTCATTCCGGCTGAGCGAGCAGCCCGAGTATCGGATTGGGAAGATGGCTCAGGGTTTCGAGTGGGCTGCGTTTGCAGGATGTGGTAGGTGATTTTTCTTTCCTTATGCTTATAACTCTTTTCCTCAAAACATTTCTCGTCTTCTTCGTCTCTCTCTCTAATTGGTGTCACAACCTGTCGACGTCGTTCCATACCACTCAAACCTCGATGCCGTCCTCGACGCCTTCGCCGCAGATCCAACACGCCTCCAAAACCTGACAACACGGGCCATGGCGGCTCTTGCCGCGCGTGCCGTCCCACCACCACACCCACCCCATACTACGCCTTCTTCCACTCCGCCCCAGATCTCCGAGCTGCAAGCCCTCGTGCGCAAAGCACGCATAGACCTCGTCGACCCCGTCCTCGCACGGTGCTCTGAGTTCGTCGCCTCCCTCGGGCCTGACCCTGTCCCCGACGAGGAAGACGAAGAATGCATCCAGACACGAAAGGAGAACGCCAAACGTTTGGCGGAGAGGGAGAAAATCAAACTGCTTAAAGAACGGAAGCTGCGCGCGAAGCCTAGGTGCGGACTCTCTGTACGCGGAGGTGTGCTAGGCACGCAACAACTGGGTGTAACAGGTGTACGAGGCGGACCACGGGCGCAGCCGGAGGCGAGAGGGCAAGGCGAGGAGGGCGTGTGGGTACGTCAGGACGGGGAGGACGAGAGTGGGGATGTAGACGTCACTTTCGATGACGACGACTTCAAGGCCGACTCGGTCCTGCGTATGGAGGATGCAGAGGATGAAGTGATCAAGGCAATTGGACCGGGCAAGACCCTCCTGCACCACCTCCCGCCTCCGTTGCCTCCTTCGTTGTCCCCGTCGCCATCGCCGACACTCATGCTTGAGGACGATAGGCGCAGGCAGAGGGTCAGGAAGCCGACGCGGAAGGTTCGAGAGCTCGAAGAGCGGGCCGAGGAGGAGAGGCCGAGGCCGAGGGGTAAGGTCGTGTTAAGAATCAATGGATCTGCGAAGGTTGTGGCGAAGGAGGAGGAGATGGACGTGGACGTGGATGCTGGTACTCTGGATAGAATGGAGGAGGACGACGGCGAAGAAGACGAAGAGCAGGACGAACTTGACTCCTCGTCTGACGTTGACTCGGATTCGACGCTTGCACCCAATGTCAAACCTTACAAGAAGATCAAAGATGCGAAGAACACCCCGAGTGCCGGAAGAGGAGGAAGAATCCGCAAACCTACAGGCCCAAAACAACTAAAACCAAAGCCAGAGACGTACAAGCAGGCGTGGTCGATGGAGGAACAGAATTTGCTCGAACAGCTGTTGGAGGCGATACCTGATGGGGAGAAGTTTAGGTAGGTACCTTTTTTTTCTTGGTGTTGGCATTTTTTCGACGGTTTTTTTGAGAGCATTTATTTTTTCTTTCTTTCTTTCCTTTGCTTGAAACGTTGGTGCCCCTTTCGACCCTTTGTTACTGGATTATCTTTGTTCCTCGGCCGTTTATCCTCCCTTTTTTTGCTAGATGTTCAGCCTTGTCAGCTGGTCATTCCCGCCACCGGTCGTTCCATTTCTCGTTCTGTGTCTTGTGGTTGTGATTTGTCTTTCGTTCGTCGTCCGTTCTTCTGTGGGGGCTCTTCTTCCTCGTCCTTTGTCAGTTTCTATCCGTTTATCTCTCCTTGTACCTTCTCCTTCGCTTTTGCTGTTGTTGGGTCGTTTCTGGCTGGCGATCCTTTCGTTCCTCACTCCATGTGGTCTGCTCTTCATTCTTTCGTCGTACAGGTTAGTTTTAGCACCGACCTGGTACTCTTTTTGGCCCTGTCTCCTCGTCCCTTGGGTTTCCTTTCTTCTTTTCTACACCATGAACATCATCACGACGCGAGCACGTTCGTTCGTTGGAATCGTTCGTTGGAATCGTCCCTTCTTGTCTCTCCTTTCTTCTTTCTCTTCCACTGGCTAACCTCTCCCTCTCTTCCGCTTCCTTCTTGTTATACCAGGTGGCAGAAGATCTCGCGCGCAATGGACGGTCGGCGGACGCCTCGTCAGGTCGCGAGCCGCGTGCAGAAGTATTTTGAGAAGCTCAAGAAATTCGGGGTAGTATAACCTTGTGGTACTACCGGCGACCTTTGGTAGCACCAGGCGCTGGCACGATTTCGGGTCGATAGGCAGGCGTACGCCCGGAGCAGGAGAAGATGAGGCTAACGAGGAACAAGACACCGACCCCTTTTGACTGAGCGGACTCGGCCTCCACTTTTATCCACCAAGATACTTGAGACGATATCTGAAGAGGAGAAATTGAGGTAAGTTTTTGGCCGCTTCCTTTGCTCTTTTTGCCTCCGCTTCCTTCACGGTCCGAGTATATTCGTCGTTGGCATCTTCCTTCATTTTTCTATCCTCGTGACATTCTTTCTCTTCCATCTGCTAACCCTTACTCTCTTTTGCCTTGTTTTATGCTAGGTAGCAGAAGATCTCGTGCACGATGGATCGCCGGCATACACCTTACCAGACTACGAGCCTCGATCTACTTTGAAAGGCTCAAGAAGTTCGGTGTTGGGTTACGGATAGCTGGTTATTGGTGTCCAAGCTGGAAAAACGTGAACCAACTGTTCACAGTGGAAACTCGGACCACGGATGACCGATTGTGTGATAGTGTTTGTTATGGAAGGGGGTACGATACGACAATACACGTCCAAGGACTCCAAACGTTTTTCTTTTACAAGAGAACTCCGACAGTAACGTTTGCATGCAGGGCCTGGGGTGCACGCTGTTTGCTGATGTGGTGACCAATCTCAACTTCGTAAGACACATATAATATAAGGAAGCTACTGCTTCTCTTGTTCCATTAACAACTGGAGCCCTTCAACCATGTCATCTGAAAGAAAACGCAAGCACTCGGGGCAGGTAGTGCAACAATTTGTTCCCTTATGCGTACAGACTGATAGATCTGTGTCCTAGGATCCCTATGGGATAGCTTTTCTGGGAAAACCGGAAGGAGCGTCCATCCACAACTCGCACGTCCAAATCCATGTCACGAACAGCAAGTAGTGCGACTTTCTGCAAAGGATCTTGAGTGATTCTCAATGGCTTTGGACTCGTAGACTCCAAGAAAATCAACAGTATGACGCCGACGAGGTTCCGACAGGAAGTAGAAGGGAACGACCGAAACCGAATCTCACCTGCCGTGAGCTCAAGTCCTGATGGCGTGGGTAGTTGATTGACTTTCTCCGATCGTTCTGACAGTGGGAGTACTCAGGCCAGGCCGCGACGGCGGTGGAACGAAATATACGTAGGCCGTCTTATGGTCACCGAAAGGCGAGGGTCACCGTTATGGGACCCAGCACCAGACCGACGCCGTCCGCTTGAATATCGCCGCGAAGGTATCAGAATCGGCGACGTTGGGTTCATCACTGAAGACCTCGGTTTCTTCTTCGTTTTCAACATATTTAATGGCTGTTCTCCGGACAATGGGCGGCAGGACCTCATGCCGTTTGACCTGCCATCGGAGAATCTCGTGCTATCCGAGGTGCGAGAACCTGTGGATAGCATCCTCGGTGATGCTGTCGAGCGACGAATACACGGTCGCAACAGGTGAGTTTCACGTTTGCTGCTACACTTCAGCGCACCTTATCTCAATACTGGCTGCTAGTCTGTCATTTTCGACCAGGACTGAGAGCGCGCTTCTCGTCCTCCCCGAAGGTGCAACCAACCTGGAGCTGAAGGACATCCAGGCTCTTCGCCGGTTCATCAGGCGCCCCGACGTCGTCGAAGGCTGGTATCGCTACGCGATCGGCCACCTGGGACTGTCGATCCAAAATGGCGACTTGCGGGTCGTGACCGGGACTCTTAAAACAACGTCCTGGGGCATGGCCGTTACTCAGGAATCAGAGGCCAGGACTCTTGTTAGTTTCCGAAGTCAACTGGACGACGACGATGACGACGTGGACCCTTCCAGGTTTCCAGATGGAGCGCCTCAAGGATCTCGCAAGTTTTCGTGGGTGGACTGCTCCGGGAAGTTCGTCGCAAAAATTGGGCCAGACGAAGCGGAGGTGGATTCTTTGCGAACTGGGGCAGGTGCAGGTGTTACTATGACCGGGCAATTTGAAAATCAGTGTCTTTTCCTCAAAGCCCTGGTAGCGCGACTCTCTGATAAAACGTGGCGTGCGCTGGAACTTGAACTCCACATTGTAGACGAGGAGGAATCAGGACTTGAACGCCCCTTGGTAGATCTACGAACCGCTGCAGCTCCGTCGAAAGGAGCGCAAGTGCTCCATCCACCAACGTCGAGCCAAACTAGACGTTCCTTGCCCTCAGCATATAGCAGCGAAGTGGAGATCCCGGACATTGAGGCCTTTCCAAGGACGAATCCTGCGATTCCCACTAGACTGCTGGATAACATTCCTGCCCTCGACCCTCCGTCAGAAACAGTAAGTACTCTAACACGAACATCCCCCTGGCTCTCATATCATGGTTCCTAACTTCCTAGGCAATTCGTGGTATCAGCAAAAAGCTTTTAGATCTTGTGAGCAACGCCTTTCTTCCCATACGTTGATTTCATTCCTCAAAGCAACAAAATTCTAGTTCCCTCATGCAAGACTCGCACTCCTGCATGACGACAACTGGTGTTCTGTGTTAAGAGAGGTCAGCCGAAAACGTTGCTCTCCCTGGTTTACTGATTGACCTTCGATCTCTGGTAACAGACTGACAAAGTGATGCCTACTATTTCAGAACTCTGGGAGCGCATAAGGGCCTCTCATGAGATTTGCGAAGAGGATGGTAAGATAGTCAATACTTCAACCTTGTAGGAGATTATTGATTCACTCAAAACAAGGTGTCGTGTTCTTCGACGATGTCCGGGTGCGTGAGGACGAAATGGATCCTACGGTAGTTTGCGATCTTGAAGAAGACGACCTTCCAATGGAGGAATTGCATGAGCAAGACGTTACTCACCACCACCATTCTACAGCATGGGAGACAGAAGATTGGGCCGCCGAGAAGCACCCTCAGGTTTGTACTTCCTAAAAAGCAAACTGAGCAACATTCGGGCTGATATTGGAAATTCAGGACACCGTTAATTGGGGCTCGCCTGGCCTGTCTTTATGGGCTGCCACTCACCGTGGGCCTCGTTTCTCAAAAGGACTTCGACGACTCGACCTGCCAAACAACGCGGCAAGTTCTGCCTCGTCGGAAATCGAGGCTTATACACGAGCACCGTCTTCGCCAGACCACCCCTTCGTCTCTGAACAAAGCAAGCAGCAACGTCACGGTGAGCACCTTGGGCAAAGCCGGAACGCGAGAGCACAGGCGCGGCATCGGGCGAAGCGCAAGGCGTACATTGAAGAGGTAAGTGTCCACAATTGTGCACATGTGCGTGCCCATTTACGGGAGGGTGGTCTGACCGACGGTACCTCTCGAACAGCTCGAACAAACCGTCGCAAAGCTCCAGATGGCAGTTGGGTACTCAGAGGAGCAAGTCGCTGCTCTTCCGTCACCGTTAGTGAGGATGAAGGAACTGGAGCAGGCAAACGCTCAGCTACGGATGCAAAATGACCACCTTCGGCGGCTTCTGACTGACTCAGGTCAGACAGTCTTCTCCGACCTTTCAGGAGGGCCACTCCGAGATCAAGACTCTCGAGCTTTGAACGAAGACGAGGTCTACTTGCATGAGCCGATCCGTCTGGTTCTTCCGATGGGCCTGCCCACGCCACGCTCGAGCAGCAGGATGAAATAGACGATCTCTGAGGGGGATAAGGTCACTGTGGGAGTTATTCTCTCGTTTTCTTCTTGATTTGTGGCGGTACCATCTCCTCTTTTCTCCTTCGAGTGTTGTACCAGACTAGTGGGTATGATATGCGCAACAGACGAGACGCCCGCCTCATTTTGATCGCACTTGACAATTCATGCTGTTACCGCACTCTTGCAATCATTTTGTCCAATAGCCCGCAGAAATGGTGACAGTTGCAACCGACTCGGGCCTTCGACTCATCGACACCAGTCACAACTATGGCGTTCTGTGAAAGTTCCTACCACAACATTTACAGGAGGCAGCGCCGGCAAAGGTGCGAGCAGTCTCAGTCTTCAACCCACAGCGCGGGACTGAACAATTCGCCTGGTCTAGGTAATAGGGATTAAATAAAGCATTGTGCACACATGTTTGTTCCATAGCTCGTGCGAGCGAGCGCCACGAGCACAGGGACAACACATGCGCTCAGTGCAAACAATGCTTACCCGCGAAGGAGGACGAAGAGCAGGCCACCAAAATTATCAACCAGCAGACACGGGCCGCACATGTTTGACTTGGGCTTGAACACCATATTATCCTTTACCACATTATCGCCACCCATCACATTCCAACTAGCGCGATATTCGACTCTCTGTTCCCGCCTCGTCTGATCTGATTGGGGCTGGTCGCTCGTTGTTTATCGGTCCTTTATGTTCGACGCCTCGTTCCACAAATTTGCAAAGTGGTTTGGGGAGCTCCAGATGTTCAACCAGCGGGCGCTTATTATGTAAGGACCAGGGCGTGAAATACGACGAAAGATACGGGGTCATTGGAATAACATGTAATATGTATGTTTTCCTGCTATCTTCCACTTCGAGGCAGCTGTGGTGGGTACTTGGTCCAGCATAAGCATCAGCAACAGTGTTGGAGAAACGGGGTAAGTAGCGCTGCTTCTCTCTTTTCTTTGGGGAAGAGGCGATGCAGGGCATATGACCAACTGACATGAAGGGTGACTACCAATTCATGATCTAGAGAATAGACGATACTTCAATCTTCCCTTGTCCTCCCATTGACGCCATCACGCCCCTCGGAGTCCTTTAGCATCCAGCCATGTCGTCCAAAAAGAAGGTGTTTAAATGAATTCTCTCCTTTTCTTTTTTGCCTCATTGATTTGCGCCCAAAGGATTCTGGTGGAATATCTTTACTGGGCGCTTCACAAGGAATGTCCATCACCAACTCAAGCATCAAGATTATTGTCAATCAAAGTAGGTAGTGTCATTGTAAAGGACCTTGGGGTAGTTTCTGTGATTGTTGGCCTCACAGCCTGCAGGTTCCAAGACAGTCAACAATATGACGCCAACGAGGCTGCAACAGAGGACAGAGGGGCAGGCTCAAGAACAAACTTTGGGTGAGAATGGTGTGCGTATCCTGTGGAATTTTAGGTGCCTCAACACTTCTGATAATCGGTGTGTACAGCCAACCTTTCCCCAACGGCGGTGGAGCGAAATATACGTAGACCATCTTATGGCCATTGAAAGGCAAGGGACACCACTATGGGACCCCACACCAGATAAAATCAGTGTCTCTTCCTTAAAGCCCTCGTAGCATGGATCAGTGACAAGAGGTTTCATGTGATAACAGCTGGGCTTCAGGTTGTCGATGAGCAAGAGCCAGAGCTTGGAGGTCCCTCGGTAGATCTGACAGCCGCTGCCAGTACAACTTGAACAACCATCTCAAGACGCACTATGGTATTACTGACCTGGAATGCCAGTTCTGTGGGAACCCTTTTACAACAAATCCAGTGAAGAAACAACATAAAGAGATCTGCAAAGAGAGAGTCAACCCAGCGGCGAGAAATCCCTCAGACATGTCACGGTGTTCGAACGTAATAGTCAAGGGAGGCCCTCTATTCCTCTATTCTAGGCTGTGAACTGCTTGAAATAGAATAATTATTTTCCCTGTATTGACTTGTATTCTAGATGCATGTAGCATCATGCTTTCAATATTTGAAGTTGACATCTACCACAAGGCTTTGTATGATGAGAGCTCTTCACCTGCGCTTTGAGCGCCCTACTGAATATGAAGGGTCGTTGACAACCGCGATACGGTGACGGGCATCGGGGACAGGGGCTTGTGCGAGCTACTTGCCATCCAAGGCTGCAAGGACAGTCCCACGGGAAGAGAAGCGTGTGTGTGTAGAATGGGGAGGTGGGGAAGATGGTGCGCTAGCAGTCCAGAATTCGGCAGTTGGGTAGCGGCGCTTCGAGGGGAGCCACAGGACCAAGTGCCTGATAAGACATTCTGACACTGCTGGTCAACCTCAAGGGAGGCAGGAGACCTGAAGCGGGAAGTCTGAAGAGATAGGGTGAGTCTATGGCCTGAGTGCTTGGTTTCGGTGTGGTGCATTGGCGAGGAAAATTGGGCAGAGCAGATAACTGGAACGGGAAAGTGTCATGGGTCGGGATAAGGGACAGGAGACCAGAGACGAGATAAGCGATTACTGTGTACACGTGTGCAATTGGAAGCAATCCGGTCCACTCGACCGATGGCCTGGCTTCATACCTATACTCTAAGTAGTGTCTTGAGATACTTGATGGAATGCGAGAGTGCGCCCGTCGATACGCCGGCCGTGGTCTGTTGGCACCAGGCGGAGGTCGGTCCTCGGAAAGGGATCTCGCACACGTGCATGAGCAATCGTGGCTATAGGAAAGAAGCGAAGGAGTACTTTTCGTGAGGATAAAAGGAAAAGCTGCAGCAAATTGGACAATATGTAGGTTGAGATGCAGATCTGATGGATATCGGCGCAGAGTAGAGTGATGACTAGCCGGCGGGTCATGTCGGCCAAATCAGGTGAAGGTGCAGCGCTCAGCACCGAAGAGTCGGGCGCTATGCTTCAAGCAATCAACACTGAGAGCGGGGTCTGGCGGTGCGACTAAGAGAGAGGGTGGATGTTTAACGAGACGGTAAGAGGATAACAGAGGTTCAGAGCACGAGAGAAGAGCAGAAAGGAGAGGAAAAGAGCGAGCTGGCCATCGGATTCGAAGGGCTTGCACACAGTGCATCGCACATTCATTGAATGTAGTTGCTGGTCCGACGATGGATGAGGCGTGGAGAGAAAATTTAGGCAGGACTCGAAGACGAAGACTTTGATGTTAGTGTTCGTGACGGACGCCGGACGCTCAGGCTGGGCGGAGGAGTGACGAGGAATGTGGGTTGGTGATGTGTTGGTGCGGGTATGTTGAATGTCCGATGTCGAGGTGTTCGGGGTAATATAGGAGGAGGCGATAAGTGAGAAAACAGAGGGTGCGAAGGCAGAGCTTTATAAATACACATTTGCGTGGGCAAAGGTAACAAGAGCGAGGGGGAGCCCGAGGACGAGTGGCTTCGCGCCGTCGATTGGCGTCCGTTACCGAACATCCGAACTTGTTTCCTCCGTCTGCGTGAGGGCGTGGACGTGGCCGATCTTGCAGCTGTGTCACCGTGGCGAGTGGCCAGCCATTGACATGAGAGTAAGAACGATAGAGCGTGCTGATCTGATCGCACGTCGCACCGTCCCGTCGACCCGCCCGTCGATCCGGTTGATTGAATCTGTGAGACCCTGCCACATCATCATCATCGTCCGCTTTCCCCACCTCCATCTCCAGTGTCCAGTGCTAGCGTACACCCATCCATCCGTCCATCGTCGCCGTCAGCGTCACCCTCGACCGACTACACATTCACACGGATTCGATCCCTGGGCTTGTCTACATCGAATCTCCCCGCTCTCTGTCGCCCGCCCTCCCTCTCAAGCTCTCACCAGCACCTCTCACTCACTCACTCCCACTCACGCAACGCTCTCTACCCACCTAATAACGGGACCAAGTCGAAGGAAGGATGGCGACCAAGTTCGACGCCAACAACGCACAGAACCTGCTTGAGGTCCGTCCGTCTCTCCCTCCGAGTCCCATCCCGATCCCACTCTTTCTCCACCAAACCGACGCACAAGCTGACGACCCCACGCACAGATCGAGAAACAGTACGCGTTCATTCACGAATACCCTTCACGGACTCAACGTGGTGGAACGACAGGTTCGCAGTGAAAGCCGTCGAGCAGGCTCAGGTGTGTTCGCTCTCCTCTCCCTTCGCCTACTGCCTGCTGCCTACCACCCCTTCTCTCCACGCGGAATCCCTGGACCGTCCGCTGACTCCTCCCCTCCCGCACAGACGTACTGGAACCTCCTCGAGAAGATCGACCCAAAGGACCTCAAGCTGACAAAGTGAGCGTTCCTCTTCGTCTCTCCGCTCCTGCCTTCCACCCCCGCCGCCTTCTCGTCCTTTCTCTCCTGACCCGCCTTCCTTCCATTTGCCCCTTCCTTCCAACCCTCTCGCCTCTGCCGCCTTCTTCTCCTTCCCCCCCTTTTCCCATCATTCTCGCCTCCGCCTCTGCCCATCCCATATGCATGCTCGTTTTCCTCCTTCTCCCCCAACGTCCTAACTCTCCTTTCCTCTCGACCGTGTCACCCACTCCTCCTCCCTTCTCTCTTCCGTTGCCCGTCCCTTTCTGTCTCTCCTTCCCTCCCCACTCTCTCTATCCCCCCCCTTCTCCTTCCCCCCCTTCCTACCCTATCCCTGCCCTTCTCTCCCCCATCGCCCCTTGATGGTCGTCGCTGACTCTCCTTCCCCCTTTCTCCTCGCTGACTCCCCTTCCCCCCTTTCTCCATGCTCTCCTTCCCCTCTTTTTTCCACGCTCGCCCAACCCACACAGATACGACGACGAGATCTACGACCACTTCATATCGACCTTCCCCGAGCTCGCCGAGGCGCCGTACGACAAGCTCGCAAAAATAGACGAAGATTGGATGAAGAGCAAGGAGGGGAAGAAGAAGTGGAGGGAGTTTATCGAGAGGTGCGTTGGTTGATGCTTGGGTTGGGTTGGGTTGGGTTGGGTTGGAGGATGGCATCCATCGTCGGTTTCTTTCGCATTCCTTGTTCCTCTACGACGTCCAGGGACAGGGACTCCTCGCGAAGGATAGGATCGCTGACGAGTGCCTCGGAATGGACCGCAGCTATAAAGACAAAGTACAAGACTACAACTTTGGCTCGCTCATACGCACGGACTGCACGGATGAGTATGGGGAGAAGAACACGATCTTCGGTGCGTCGTGCGTCTCTCGATTCTCATTATTCTACTGTCGTCCCTTTGTTTTCGTTTTCTATTGCTTTTGATTTCGCTTTCCTTCCTTCGACCTTTGACTCGTTTTACGGATCTTCGCCCTTGGTCGCCGAACGGATCGTTCGGTCGAGTGGTAGCGGGAGTTAGATTGCGAGGTCAATTCGCGCTGTTGTTTCCTTTATTCCCCCTTCCCCCTTTTTCCTCTTCCTCCTACTCTGGTGGACAGCTAACCAACCCCGTTCCTCCTGGCGTACAGTGACGAGGATACAGTTCTACGCGTTCGAGGTACGTTCATTTCCTCCCTTCCTCCCCTTCCTCCCCACTTTACCCCTCCCCCTCCCTTCTTCCCTTTCCCCTCCTTCCCTTCCTCCCCACTTTTCCCCCCTCCTCCCTTCTTCCCTTACTCACCCAAACTAACACTTCCTCCCTTCTCACCCAAACCAACAGATCGCACGCAACCGCCTCGGGCTGAACGCACAGGCCCACGAGCTCGCACGCGCCGAAGCCGAGAAGGAGCGGGTCAAGAAGGAGAAGGAGGCGAGGGCGAAGGAGAGGGCGGAGAGGAAGGGGAAGGGGCGGACGTAGGAGGAGAGTGGACGTAGGAGGGGGAGGGCGAAGGAGACGTAGGAGAATGGGGGTGAGAGGATACGTAGGAGAGGAAGGAGGGGTGGACGTGGGCAAACGACAAGTGGGAGTACCTCTACTTATACCCGGTGGATACGAACAAAAAGGAAGGAACAGAGAAAATGTGTATTGGGATGGAAGAGGAAACATGGAATTTGTAAAGGAAATTTTGGGTATGGATGATCTGGGCGTGATGAGGGTATGCGTGAAGATGAAGGTAAAGATGAAGCTTAAGGCCAAGGATTAAATATTGATGTTCAGCCATCAATTTCGATGTCAGCGTCAAAGGAAGGAAGGAAGTTCTGGCGCCTGCGCTGTGAAGCTCCTCCTGTGTCCTATGTATGGGCTCTTCCGGGCGTGATCCAGGGCGAGGAGTGTGGATACTATCGCATCTCAACGTTAACGAACGCTTGCACAGGTGACCGCTTTCTTTTTACACCTGTAGTACACTTCACAATTGTCTGCATAACTGATACGCTCCCGAGAAACTGGAACCCGACGTCTGTGTACTAGAGTATCGTAATAATAGCACTGCCTTCTCCGAATAGCACGCTCCGGATCCAGCACTGAGCATAGCTAAAGGACCCTAGAATTTAATATATATATATATAACTTTGCCTCCCTCCATGCTGGCACGACAGACAACAGAGTGATATTACTCTACGACTGTACTGATTTTTGAGCCGGTGGTGAAGGACCCCTGTGGAGATCGGTTGGTGATTCTGCTAACGAGGTCTTTGTCCTCTTCTATGGGTAAGAGGAGTTTGCACCGTGGACACATGCTGGTCCTCCCCCGCTCGCGCGAGTTATGGAACAAACCAGGGTCGACATGGGTATAGAGTGCTTTGATTCCTGTACACAGTTCGTTGGAAATCCGTGTTTTCTCTTGGAACATGGGAAGCATACCTTTGCCAGCACCAACCCCCTTGTGAATGATATTCTGGTTGAAATTTCCACCCGTAATGAGTACACCAGAGCTGTGGCTGGCGTCGATGAGCGAACTTGCTGCGACTGTCGCCATTTGCGCGGACTGTTGGGTGAAACGGTGGCGAGATGGTGGGGAAACACTAGTGAGAGCTGGCAATCGGTGCTGACACTTGGTCATCCTGCGAACCAACTATCCTCTTATTCGGGTTTCACAGCACTGTCGAACGCCGAATGAAATGAAGTTTGCCTCGCGGGGCGCTATTTAAAGACAAGAGCACCTATGTTTGTGACTTCCAGTTGAGCTTTCCTGGACGAGAGGAAAGTAAAGCGAACAAGGTCCTTGAGACGTGTGAGAGAAACCAGTCACCGGTCTCTTCGAGTGGAGATGCCAGCTAACAGCTAGCGCCGCTATCCAGCCATCCTGCAGTTCAGACCTGGGTGTCTTCGTCCGGATTTTGGGCGCTGCCAAGTGACATAAACGACGTGAGTTCAACTGTTCGTTCACTCTATAAAAACGACGTGAGGAAATCGCACACAACCGAAGGAAAACGCAAATGCCAAGCTCTTCGACGATGGCGTAGCTTCGACTGATCTAACCGCGAACACGGCACAAGGTCAGCGACGTCTTTCGAGAGACATTCTGTCAAATCAGGAAAAAAGGAGGAGACTTACAGCGGGGCCTCTCGACCCCAAGCCTCGTGCGCTTCTCGAAGTGCTGGCATGCGCTTCAGCGAGCATCAGTCGTACGCTGCACACAACTCACAGGAGTGAAGGACTTCAATGGGTTTATTTGAAATCTTCCAGGGAGGAAAGAAGTAGGGGTCGGTCCGGAGGCCGGTAGCTACTGGGAGTGAATATTTGAACGCTGAGGATAAGTGCACCAACACCCGAAGACGGCATAGACACAGAAGGATGCGGTGGTGGGAGAAGAGTCACAAATAAGAGGGCAAGTAGCAGATAGGAGGGCGAGGGTGTGGAAGAGTGAGGGGTCTTAGGGAATTTGATGTGTGAAGGATTTGGGCGCGTGAAGTCAGTGCCGTGCCGGGGGGAAGGACAGCGATGAACGCCTGACGAAAGCGCGAATGGCTCAGACAGTGGAGTTGTCCACAGAACGAAGAAAGGAAGAGAAGGGGAAGGAAGGAAGGAGGAATGGAAGGAAGAAAGAATCCAGGGGGGGCGGAAAACACAACTCATCTCGAATGCGTAGAACTGTATCTTGGTCACTGAATATCATCCAACCACCCAAAAGGCTCGTCAGCATCCAATCACCCATTCGCCTCCAACCCATCAAGAAAGGACAGCAGGGGAAAGACAACGCGTCGTGGAAACACAGCAGCAGAAAGACAACGCGTCACCGACAGAGAACGGCGGAAAGGTGACCGATTGTAAAAAGGCCAGAGGCGGAGGGACGGAGGAAAACGACGGAGAGGAAATCCACAAAGAGCAAAGAAGGAAACGAACGCACGCACCGTAGATCGTGTTCTTCTCCCCGTACGTATACTCGTCCGTGCAGTCCGTGCGTATGAGCGAGCCGAAGTTGTAGTCTTACACTTTGTCTTTGTAACTGCAATCCATTCCAATTCGCTCGTCAGCATCCTATCTTTCTCTCTATTCCACCGAAAGGAAAAGGGTACAACAAGAGCGAGAAGCCTCAAGAAACGCACCTCTCAATAAACTCCCTCCACTTCTTCTTCCCCTCCTTGCTCTTTCATCCAATCCTCATCGATGTTGGCGAGCTTGTCGTACGGCGCCTCGCTGAGCTCGGGGAACGTCGATATGAAGTATTCGTAGATCTTGTCGTCGTATCTATGGGAGGAGCGCCAGCGATGACCACCACGATGGGGGAGAGAGGAATGATAGAGCGAGGGCAGGGCGGAGAGGGAAGAGAGGGGAGAGGGAAGGAGGATGGGGCAGGGCGTTATTTTGGGAAGGGTGAGAAGGGACAAAGAAGGCGAAAGGGCGAGGGGAGGAAGGGAGGAGGCGGAGGCGGAGATGAGGGTGGAAGGAGAAGGCGGCGGAGGCGAGAGGGGTTAGAAGGAAGGGGAAAATGGAAGGAAGGCGGACGTTACTGAAGGAGGGAGGCGAGCAAGTTGGAGGAAGGGGGGTGGTAGAGCGGACAAAAGGCACAGCAGAGAGGGCAGGAGAGCGCGGGTGTGCGAGAGGGGGAAGGGAAGAGAGCCAGACGAAGGCAAGGCCGGAGCGTAGAAACGCGGAGGGACGCCCACTTTGTCAGCTTGAGGTCCTTTGTGCGATCTTTTCGAGGAGGTCCCAGTATATCTGCGTGCAGGAGGGGAGGAATCAGCGAACGGGATCATTCTGCAGGAAGGCAGGGGAGAAAACACACCTGAGCCTGCTCGACGGCTTGTACTGAGAACCTGTCGTGGGGCGGGTCCGAAGGGGCAAAGGGAAGCAAGGGTGCATGCGTGCTCAGTCAGCCAGGACGCGTACTGTTTCTCGATCTGTAGGTGAGGTCGTTAGCGTTTGTGATGGTTCGGTGGGGTGGAAGTGGGGAGGGACAATTGCTTCGGTGAGGGTGCAGAGCGAGGGAAAGCAAGGGATGGTGAGGACAGACCTCAAGCAGGTTCTGTGCGTTGTTGGCGTCGAATTTGGTCGCCATCCTTCCTTCGTGTGTTATGAGTGAGTGGGTGGGTTGGTGAGAGGTACCGGTGAGACTAAACAAGCTCGGGGTGGCGCGAGCAAGGTGTCCTTCAATCAATCGAGTCAGTGCGAGTTGCGAGTCGGTCTAGGATGGCGTGGATAGGGTAAACGCTAGCACTGGACCCTGCAGGTGGAGGTGGGGGAAGTAGGCGATGATGCATTAGGGACAGTCATCCATTACATGTAATCCTTTTCGTCCATATCATCCAAGAACCAATGTGCCTCAGTCTTAGCTCGGACTTCCTTCGGGATCGCCGTCAACACCTTCAGCTTTAACAGCTCGGCGAGGGCCACGGCCATCTCGTAGTGTTCGTTGGACACCCAGGTCTCCGTCTCGAAGCCAACCATGCCTCGGCACCTCTCAAAATTCTCGTCCGCTACTCGCAGCTTCGCGCTCAGCTCCTTCGTCTTGCGCAGGTCCCCGGGTTCGAACGCGACTGGACATGGCGGCACACCCGAATCCCCCGTAAGCCTCCCCCATATCTCCGTTGCCTCTATCAGCGCAGTCTTCAGCGCGTGAGTCTCGCCCTCCCACGGAGCACCGGCCTGGTCGAAAAGGCGGCGGATGAACACGGACACGGGGTCCGATAACGCATCGTGATGGAGCTTGTTGTACGCCTCCGTGTTCTTGACGTAGTGGAAGTGGGCGAGACGGCGGTGGTAGAGTCCTATCGCGTGGCTCTGCTCGGATGGGTCCAGCTCGTCCATGTTCGCCGGCAGCGAGGGTGGGACGAGAGCCTGCGAGACCGGGTCATCGTAGTTCTGCAAGCGACCTGGTATACCAGCGAGGAGAAACGGGGGTAGGATCGAGGCGTGTTGCCAGTCGAGCAGGCCCACGATTTTCAACTGGTCAGAGCCGGACGACGACTTCGACACGATGATGTTGCTCGGCTGGAGATCGGGATGGCGGATACAGAAATGATGGAGGGCTGGGTTCTTCTTGGAGATGAGCGAGGGTGCGATGAGAAGGTAGCGTTCGAGATTCTTGGTGTGGTCCGACGGTGACTGCTCCTTGTACCCGTACGCCTCCCTTCTTTCACGCTGGAACGGTAGTAGCGGTCGACCGAACCGTTCTAGATATGCCAGTTCCTTGCGAGCTCCTGCTACGAGCGCTGCCTCGGCGTTTTCGTCTATAGTCTCGATTAGTTTCCAACAAAAGAAAAAAGGCTGAGAGTGGCGTACATGGTCCCCTGTCCACGTCGAGCTGCGACCTCCTTCCGTACCACATATGCAGCCTGGCATCTGGACCGACGCAGAAGCGCTCGTCGTCGAGCGGGATGCCCACCGTCCTCCCTGCCACCTCCTCCAGGTCATTGGTATAGTAGAGGCTTCCCCCCGCCGGAAAACGAATCTCCATCATGCGAGACTCGAGTTGAGCAAGTTGCCGCACGACCGAAACGACATCCGGCTCCTCCAGCTCCAGCCACACGTCGCTGAGCTGCGTACCTCTCATAAACTCCATGAAAATATATTCCGTCCCCGCAGCGTTGTCCGACGAAGGAGAGTAATCGTACACCTCGGGAATAGGCAGCCCAGCTGAGGAACGGAGGAAACGCATTGTGGCCACTTCACTAGCGATGGCGTAGACCTTGGGGACCGTGACGGGGTACGGGATGCGGGCTACCATCTCGAAGCCGCCGTGCATGGTGATAAGGAACGTCCGGTTGAAGCCGCCCTCGGCGAGCTTCACAAATGTGTCGATATCTTGAAAACTCCGACCGACAGACTTGGCCGCAAGTCGACAAAGCTCGTCGACATTGAACTCACGTCTGCGCTCTGCGAGGCGAAGATCATTGTTGACGCTGAATGTGCGAGATTACGGATTAGACATATACGCCAGAGAACAACATGTATGTATAAGACTTACAGCCAGCGTCCCGATGAATAGGAGAAGAGATCGTCAGGAGAGTCTGATATGCTTGAGAATGCACGATGTGGCAGCTGCCAACAGGTCCGAGTGAAGTTGGAGGAAAGACATGCTGAACGCAGCGAGGAGAGAGGACGGCGCAGAGGAGAAGAGATTGAGACTGGTAGCAAATTGAAGACGGGTCTCGCACGCCCAAGGGAGGGGTGCATGCGAATGCGTGCGGAGGGTTCTATCGTCCTAGACGATCGATGAGGCCTGAGGGGGAGCAGGAGCTCGTCGTCGCAATCTGGGTCTGCTCGACAGGTCAAGGGCCTTTGATAAGTTTTGGGGTGGTCTCTCCCACTCTTGTCATTAACCTCGCGTTAAGATTGAAAACCCACGAGCGTAGTGTGACTCACACGAGAAAGCTCAAAGAGAGGAGACAATGTGGTGATACTAATAGCAAAGGAAAATGTTGGTTGATTGCCGCGATGCTGATTCTGACGGAGACTCGGGCCGGTTCTCTTCCCACGGCCTTCTTCAAGTTCTCGTCCTCTCGATGCACTCTTTGCTCTTTCACTCCGTCTGGTGACTTTACTTCCCTTCCCTAGTCGCCCATCCTCCCCGGATCGACATGATTTCCTCGACCGACCTACCATTCATTTCTCCAGCTTGAACGAATCCTGTTGATCCACCGACCGACCGACCTGCTCCCGTCTCTTCTTGGTGGGATGACATGTTCGCGGTTCCAAAAGCCGTCGAGCATGCTTGAACTCGACACTGGGCGTACCGGAATCTCCTTGAGAAGAGTGGTCCAAAGTAAGCTGTCCTCCGCCTACTCCGTCCACTCCCAGTCCCTTCGTCCACCTCCACCTCCCCTGCCACCTCCCCCTCCCTTCGTCGTTCTTGCCATCTTTTTATTTCCATCTCTTTGTTCCTTTTTCCCCTTCCTCCCCCCCTCCATCCTTCCCCCTTACCTCCATGCTCTTTACTTTCGACTTTTGCTCGTCTTCGACCGCACTGCACGGATGAGTATGAGGAGCAGAGCGCGATCTTCGGTGCGTCCCTTCTTAATATCCTTCCTCTAGCTCTCTGCAGTTTCCTCCGTCCCGCCTTTCTACGACCGGCCGTTAAGCATAAGGGTTCAAACGATCATCAGAGGAGGCGGCCTCAAATCGCCTCGACTTGGAGGCTCTTAGAGGTGCAAGACCCCATGACAATCGACGGTAGGTGATAGACGCTCGTCCGCATACTTACTGATACTCCCGGAAAACCGGTGATCCTCGGTATACCACCATTACTATTTACTTCTAATATGATGGCTGATTGGATCCACAGAGCTGATACATATTTAAAGGACCCTAGAATCTAAAAAAAAAAACTTTGCCCCCCCCTCCATGCGGGCACGACTGACAACAGAGTAATATTAGAAGTTTCTTGAGAACCACAGCTAGTGGCAAAAATGAGCTCAGTCGTCTCGAGCCCCTTCTCGGGTAGCAATGATGATAGCTGATGAGCCGGCTCTGCTTCTAACCCCGGAAATCACGCAAAACGGCTCTTTCAAACACTTCGTCATCGCGATCTGGGCTCACCACACCTCCGACACCTCGTAGACGCGTCATAACAATCACCCAAGCGACTCAATAGGCCACAAATGATCACTCAGCAAGCACAGCTATCCCCGTGACCATCACCAGCTCTCTCCATGTGCACGAAGGCGCTCGGCGCGCCACTCTTTCCGCTTGAGGCAAGTCTTGCTACCTCCCCTGCCCCTTGCCTCGTCGTTTCATCTCTTATTCTTCATTCATGTTTTATAAAATTTCTCTTTATCTTTATTCCTGAACCCGGTTCGGCAACGCACTCCCTGCCGGTCTCCCTTTTTCTTCATAGTATAAAAACCTCTGTATTTCGTGCTTTTATGCAATAACACACAGTTCCTCGTCTCATTTGCCCACTCGGGGCACTCGTATCTCATCCTCGCCTCTCGTACTCGTCGTCTCTCGCCTCTCAGCCTCGTTTCGACTCGCCGCCTCGACCCGCAGTCACCTTGTCTTTCGAATTCGCCGTCATCGTCGTCCCATTCCCACGCTTAGCGCCCTCGTTCGTAGTCCGTCTTCGAATCGTACGAGCCCCCTGGTTAGAGCCGCACAGCCGTGGAACTCGTCCTCGCACCTCAGAGCCGCTCGTTACGGTATTTGGGTGTGTGTTTCTCCTTTTCCTTATCCACACGATCACCCCGCTGTAGGCACATCATAGCATACCCTCACCGACGCCGAGGAAGAGAGGAAAAGGGAACGGGAGCCGCTTGTTGACGTGTACAATCCATCGCCACACCTCCCTTCCCGCCGCATTGTCTTCGAGCCCATAGACAGCAAGCACCTTTCCCGCCCACCTGGCGCGCTCCTCCTCGGTACTTGCAGCCAAGGCACTTGCGAGTGGAAGTTCGATGAGCTGCCGCACTTGCACGTCGAGCGCCCTGTTGATATCGATGGGTCGTTGAGGACCGCAGAGTCGATGGATTGCCGAGTTTCGGGAATGCTAATTGCGATCTGGAATGCGATGGTGGGGACAAGACGGTAGAGGATGGCGTCGGTTTCATGGACGACGGGCGGGAGGAAGATGCTGCCCAATAGCCGCCCCGGTGCGCCGGGCAACTGATAGACGGTGGGAACTCGGTGGGCCCCAGAGGACAACATTTCTAGTAATTGTGTCGGCCTCGAGGGACCTGCGTACCAGCAGCCGGCCGGCGATTCGGGTGACAAGCTCTTCGTCCTCCTCTGTAGGTATGGGAGATTTGCAACGATCGCATAGGCTGGGAATGTTCCCCCGCTCGCGTGAGTTGTGGAACAAACCAGGGTCGGCGTGGGTATAGAGGGCTTTAATTCCTGAACACGAATCGTCAAGGTCCCTGTAGTCTCTCGGAAGAGGGCACTCGAACCTTTCCCAACGCCAACATCCCTGTGAACAATACTCTGGTTGAAATTTCCACCCGTAATGAGTACACCAGAGCTGTGACTGGCATCGATAAATGGGGCCGTTGCAACCGCCGTCATTTTCGTGAACTATTGAGGGAGGCAATAGCGAGAGGGCGAGAGATGGTGGGGAAGCGGTAGTGAGGGCTGGAAGCCAGTGCTGGCACTCGGCCATCCTGGGATCCAAGTATCTTCGTACTCGGTTTCACACCACATACTGCGCAATGAAATAAAACGTACAAGGCACCTGCCTCGCCTCGCGGCATTCCCCGAGGGCGAGGTGAATAACATTAACGGGACGCCTGGTGAGTGGATGCCACATAAGAAGAGAACACATTCCAGTGGATGTCTCCGATGCGAGCATCTCCGCCGTCCTCAAAGTCAGGCACCCCCAAGCGCACCTGCTATTGCGAGTTTAGGAAACCCACTTCCCAAACTCGGACCAACCCGCGGTTGCCAAGCCCTTTGGCAACTGTTCAAGCTTCTTCAACGTCTCAATGTTCCTGTCCAGGCCTTCACCCAGGACTACGCCCCCATCATTCAAGCGAGAGTAAACACCTACAGCTCAACCCCATCGATGACAACCAGTAGAGTAGCAGAGGTACAAGTATAATTATGCGAGTAAATGCATTGTGTGACGCAGTAGCGCAGTGGTATGTATGCGTATAAAGACAGTGAGTGAGCGGGTGCATCCCAAGAAAACATTATCACAAAGAAAAGCGAAAGCGCGGTGCAGATGTAGGTATATAAACAGAGGAGAGGAAGAAGGAAAAGGGAGGTGTCGCAGTAAGTACGTACAAGATTGAAAACACACAGTCAAACGCATGGAAGGGAATTACGGAGCGGTTTTTACTCTACTTCACCAGCGGGTCCTCCGCCTCTCTTCTTTGTGTCTCGTCGCAACGACCAAAGCGGGAAAAAAACGCCTCCTAGATCGTCTATAGATCAGACACATCCCGCTCGACCTTGCCCGCCTGCGCGACGTTCACCGCGAGCCCCGCGCCCGAGCGCGCGGCGCTCCGGTAGATGAGCGTCGCGGCTGTTATGGCTGTTGTTGTTGTTGCGGAGGGGAGCAGAGGGAAAGGCGTGCGTGATATCGGACGGCGCGTCGTCGGCGACGGGCGTTGCGAGGCGCGTTGCGCGTCGATGACACCATACCATACCACACGACGATGCGACGGGGTATATAACGATGCGATGGGGTATGACGATACGATGGATCATGGGGAGGTTTGAGTAAGGGTCCAGGTTCATTTTGGATTTTGGGGTGCATCATTCATTGTAGGGGTCCATTTTCATTTGAGATGGTCACAGCAACAAGCAGGTCGAACGTCGAAAGGCGGGTCCAGAGCGCGGGCAGGCAACAGATGGAAGTCGAAGGCGAAGCAAGAAGCAAGAAGGGACGAAGGACGGACGATGGTGTAGTTGCCAGGGCGTGTCCATGGTGGCACGTCCGTGTGGAGATTCGCGTGAACGGGCCGTTCCAGGATTCGAAGTCGAAGTTGAGAAGGGCGAGAACAGGGCAGAGTGAAGTAGAGCAAGAAGAGGAGGGGGGGAAGGGGGAGGGAAAACATCAGCAAACGGCTCATAGACGAGGACTCAGGACGTGCAAAAGGGCGGAGGAAAAGAAAACAAGGATGGCGGGGACGAAAAATGAACAACGCGTCGAATGTTAAAACGCCAACCACTCGAGGGAAGACAGGTAAGGAAAAACTCTACACGCTCACAAAGAAAGAAAAGAAGAAAAGAAACAAAGGAAGGAAGGAATAAAGTACAGCGCAATACAGAGTATACGAAGCACCAGAGCAAGAAGCGACAGAGAGCAAAAACTCACATAAAAAACTCGTACAGAACGCCAACGCGCTCGAGAAGCTCGCCGCAGCGCACCAGAGCGTCTTGGCCTCGCACTCCCAGGGCATCTGCGTCGCGAGCATGATGCCGACCGCTATTCGTTCGATGCGAGTTATAAGTCGGTTGGTTAACACGGAGAAAGCGAGAGGTAAGGAAGTAATGGAAAGAGAGAGGTAAGGAAGTAATGGAAAGAGCGAGAACGCAAAAAAGCGATACGCACCCAGCCAAACACCCCCGAAAACCGCAAACGACCCAAAGTGCGCGTACGACCTGCAGAGCGGGTTGGTCGATTGTGGGCGGTCGTTGAAGTGTAGCCTAAATTAATTACCATGTTATCATTTCGTATTTTCTTGTTGGGGTAGAAAAGAGACGCACAGTATGGCGATCCACACCCAGGTGAATACCGAGAGGCCGCCTGCGAGTTTGCCGAATATCCCTGTGTGGGAGGGAGGGAATCCTTAGTTTCGATGGCAGAGAGACATGAAGGAGAAGTTCGGAACGGAGAAGGGACGCACAGAGATGAGGCGACCGCCCGTTCACGAACCCCGCGAGCGTGCCGAAGACGCTTTGGAGGATGGCGGTGAAGAGGGAGAGGCCTGTCGTCGTCATCAGCGGGTCGCGAGTTACGTGGCGGTGGTGGAGAGGAGGACAGGGGGAGAGGGAGAAAAGGTCAGGAAGGAGCAGCACGCCATAGAGAGCGACGTACAGTAGAAAGGTTTCCTTGTGACGGGCATCGTTCACTTTTCGTTGAGGGTGGCGGCGAGGCTGTCCGGGTGACTTGCAATGGGTTCGTATTATGTGAAGTCGGCTGGCGGTCTGACGAGTGAGGCGGGTTCGGTCGCGTTGGAAAAACTGGCGAAGGATCGAACTGGTGGTGGTGGTGGCCGTGAAGAACCCCGAGCAAAGTCGTAATTGTAAACCGTACAGCTGGACGGCCGCCGTTGGCTGGCAATTGGGCGCACTCTCCTAACTCTCCCTTACCTAGATTCTATGAACTTCTAGGCGAGGCGCTAGCGCGGCGTGCGGAGATAGGGGCGTTGGCAGATTACGTTGTTGTTGTTGTTGGAGACTTGGTGTTTTGGCGTTTTGGCGTGGATGATTTGGCGTAGGCGTTGGCGGATGAAGGGATGGCGTGTGGCGCGTGGTGGTTGGCAGTTGGCGTACGGTGGTTGGCAGTTGGCGTACGGTGGTTGGCAGTTGGCAGTTGGCGGCGGGGAGGTGGGTGGAGCGGGAAGGTGAGTTGAACGGAGGAAGAGGGTAGAGTGGCGGAAGGTGGAGGGTTAGAGCGGAGGGATAGCTCAGAGTCAGAGTCAGAGGTCGCGGGTGTGCTCAGTGGTAGAGGCGTCGACTAGGCGAAGCCTGTCAGAGTCGAAGGAGGGTTACGGCGAACAGCGAATGAAATGAAGTGAAGAAAGGATAACGAACGAGCGAGAGGTGGTACGGCTGTTGTTGGAAAAGAATCGGGTAGCGCGATGGTATTGGGGTTCGATTCAGGGTCGGATTTCCCCGTTTGGGTAGATACAGGGCCTAGAGGCTACGGAGAGGCGGGCCGGAGAGGCGAGAAGAGCATGGGGGCTTGGCATTGTCGTTCTTGAAGCTGTTGGGCACGACGACAACGACCTCCAGAGGTGTACGTGAGGCGAAGCTTGGGCGAAGCGGGCAAGGAGGCTCTAGTGAGTGGTCTCTCGCACACTGACCTGACCTGACCTGACCTGACCTCTGGAACGCGTCTCACCAGCAAAGCCGCCATTTGGCACTCTCGTGTTCGTTTTGACGCCGTCACTCCTCGCCAACCTCCCCTCGTCATCTCCTCATCGGACATCCACGTCCACATCCCTCCTCACCAGTCTCAAGGCCTCATCAATGATCAATATTCAATGTTAAACGTTTCCATCACCAGACTCGGTTCATCAACGGTGCGCCTGCGCCTGCGCCCCGCTACGCCGCTACTGGTACTCCGCGCGTATCTCATCATCTCATACGACGCTTATTGAACGCGTAAACCCTAAATCTTTCCCCGAAGCGGGGCCAAGGAGAGCTGCGCCGGGTCTGCTATACTCAATACTCATCGACATCCGCTTTGACGCACCGCCCGCCGCACGGCTGCCTAGGGGGCCGGCGAAGGCCCGAACGATATCGATACCTACATATGGCGGGGTTGCGCTGCCAGTGGCATGCTCGTATGTAGCATTCGAACTCAAATTCACACCCTCCTCGAGGTTTCGAAACTTGAGCTTGAAACCCATCGCAACCATGACCACCAACACGGGCGCCTCAACGCGGATTCGCCAGCGATCCTCCTACTTACCTTGGGGCGGCCCTTCGAAGGTCCATTCCTCTACCCTGCTACACCCGGAGGATCATACGGGTAGCCACCGACCACCCAGACCCTCAGGGCCTCACGCCGACATCCGGTGCTCTGTCTGCTCTGTTTGGGAGCCAGGCCTTTCGGTGGGCGGCCGCGGATATAAAGTACATCGAGCTCTATGTATCCTCTGGGCTCATTGGCGCTCGCATTGACGTTTTCAGTTCTAAGCTAGCGTTCAATATTCAACGCGCTACCGTCGACATATCCAGTACCCTCACCCCTCCCTCACCCCTGCCCAAGAGCACAGACGCCACTACTTCAAGGCCACGAAACAAGATGAACGACGAGCGTCTCCCTCCTTTTCGTGCCGTGGCACGCACGCTCCCCGCGGCCGGGTTGATTCGTCATCAGACGCACGCACGCACGAGAAGTATGATTCATCTCTTTTTGGGCAATGGGATATCTAAACTCGTATATACACAGCGGCACGACACGTCCGAAAACAAGACGGAAAACGGCGCGCATGCAAGTGTCCGACACTGAAAACAAATCATTTGAAGGACACATACATACATACGTGTGTTGGTCTAACGTCGGCTGGACAAATGCATGGAAGTGCCGTCCACGGTGGAGAGAAACAAAGTAATATTCTTGGAAACTGATGCTGTCTATCCTGAAGAAAGAGCGAGGGGGGTATGATTCATGCATACATACATGTAAATATGGGGGGGGCTAAATTGCTCACGTCGCATTGTCAGGAACGAGTCCCAATTTTCGAAATATCGTGCCGATGGTGAGGTATGTAGAGCGCACACCATGCAAGGCTAACGGGTAGAGCATTGAGCAGAACGGCCGAACTTCCCGAGTGTAAAAACACCTGCTTTATACCTAGGCAGCTTCGCGGCCCCTTGGAGAATGGCACAAGGTATTTTTCGAGCTCTGCAGAGTCGTCCTGCAGCTATCGTTCCGGTTTAAACACGAGAGGTTCCGGGAAGACTTGTGCAAGATTGTGGGTCCCATTGATACCACCGTCTGTTGTAGCAGCCAGGAATAAATTGATAAATTAAATTAAAGGACACGTACTCCTGCAGGGATGAGCTCTCCGAATATAACGACGTCTATGGGTCCTACAACACGAGGCAGCGGGGTCACGATGCCATGAGCCATCCTCAGCGAGTCTTTAATGATGGATTGAGAAAGATGCTGCCTTACCAGGTAAGGGATTTTTTCGAGTACCTCGAGGCCAGGCGAAGCATCTCTGTCGGGCCAGGCCTCCTTCAACGCCGTCGTGAGCTTATGGTAAATACATTCGTCGTTCAAGATGCGATATGTCGCCACAGTGCAGACGTTTCCTACCGGGTCACTTCCAGCGAAGACCTTCACCCAGAAGCCACTCCCGTGTGACGGGAGGAAGGCGCCGGTTCTCAGGCTGTGGCGACAGGAATTCGGTGATGGTATACTGTTTCATGTTCGACATTATGCAGGAATCCAGGATGTCGTCGATCTGTGCAACCATCTGCTCACATAGTTCAATTATACTTCTGGCGCTCGGCCTCGGGACAGAAGCGAGGCAGTCAGGCAAATTAAGCAACACCGCTTTAATGAGGGGGGGGAAGTGCTTAAAGACCCACTGGCGGATCAAGGGGAGAATGTTATCACCACCTTCTCGGCGCCGGCGTATGCGCAGCTCACGAGCTTGGCTGCGGCTGAGTACCTCAAGGTGGTTAGTGGCCGCCGGGTTCAGATAGAACAGGAGGAGACGGGGAAAGTGTGGGCGGGATTCGAGTTTGAGCAGAGGGTTCGGATGGGGGTTGGGTGAGTGCGGTGGAAAGTCTGTCTTGAAGGATCCTTGGGTGCTGCTTGGGGGACGTATAAGTACAAAGGCCCTGCAGTGATGTTTGAGGAAATCTGAATTTTGAAATGAGATGCAGAGCTCCGGTTTCGAGCTTCTCGCATTGCCAAGCCCAGACCTAGGCTCCTCCCCTAAACGTTCACACCTTCCATTCGCGGTATTGTGTGGCGAGCAGTGATCGGGGTCGGCGCGAACGCCAAGAACCCTTTCAATGGCATTTAAAGTACCTACAAACAGCTTTTTCATGAACAATTTGCCGCTCACGCCAATGAGAGATTGTGAAATGATTTGTAATTGGTGTCATGTTGCGTCTTCACCCTTATAATCCACATCGGCATGAGCAATATGTTTGTACCCCAGCAGGCCGATCATGAGACACAGCCCCACCGTTTCTGGTTCCCAAGTACGATGGTACATGTCTGCGTACTCTAGTATGTTCTACGCGAACACCGCGAAGCCCGAAACTTAAGCGAATTTTACAGCCTTACGTGATACTATCGAGGACACAGCCTCCTCCGCCAGCTACTTGCTCCTGTCCATGAAGGTCTAAGCATCGTCGAATTGTAAGGTGCTCATCGAACAAAGGTTGAAAGGTCTACGTGACCGATGGCAGGTAGGTTACCTTCCCTTGAGCCACAATCTCGATTACGGCGTCTCGTTCGAAGGATGTGAGCTAACATCGTTTTTGGTTGCCAGGATTATCTCGTCCTAGTCCTCCTCCCTTGGTGACCCATGCATATGGAACTCAGCGCAGCATACGCACGATCGCCCTAAACGCTCTTCGAAGACTCTTCGAGCCAAAGGTCCTCTTCCCTCTGATGGCTTTCCTGGGTTGTGTGATATGGGTGCTAACGTAGGTCTTTCCTTCCTGCTTTGTTCGTGCGCTCTGAATGAGACAGCTTATGTACGTTCCAGTGCGGTGGGACTCTTCAATAGCGGGACTAGGTTTAGAAGCGGTGAGTTGGTCTTGTGTTTCCAGCCCGAGTGGGCATGCTGACGCCTCGTTTGATCGGTAGATTCAGTCGCCAATCTAGCAGCGTTTGTGATAATCGTAGGGACAATATACTTATTCGTGGCTGTAATTGAGGTGGGCTGAAGATCGTTTTCTCTGACCTGCTCAGCTTGTAGCTAACGTCAACTCCTCGACTGGAAGGTGTTCAGCATCATTGTCGCGGCGTACAGTGTACGCATCTTCCTCTCAAGATGTTGATCATGAAGCACTGACCACAGAGACGACTAGAGAAAGCTGGCGCATATCCAAGCGATCGCGTCCCTCTCGATCCTCATCTTCCTGATTGTTGCATTCCTTGGAATTTTGAAAATTATAGTCCACTTTTCCCTCAAGGTGAGTAGCACAGCCTTTTGGGTTCGAGACTTCGTGGTATTTTTTCGACTTGGCTGATGGTGAATACAGGAGAATATACTCGAGGTGTGCGTAAGGAGTGTACGCGACGGGAAGGTGGTCTATGTAAGTGGCTAGAATCTACCCTTGCACGACTAGGAGAACTATGGGGCTGACCTTCCCTCTTATCGCACAGACGGAATTTAAAGGTCCCAAGTATGGTGCTGCAAATGACGCAGATGAAGCAGCGGCATGTGAGTACCCAATGTCGTAAATCCCCTCCGCTCAGGCCTTTCTTCTTTAGGGTGCAAACGCACTTGGTCGCGGGAATCGTATTCTGTGATCCTATTGGCGCTCTCGATGCCTTGTTATGCGATTTTCATCTCGACTTTGGCGTTCGCATACCTCCGGTATGCCAGAGAACTGGCGTTGGTGAGTCACGTCCATAACTACCAGGTCGCCGCAACAGGAAACCATGGAAGTGGGGCATGAACTTTCTGCTCCTGCGAGCACCTGTGCGAGACAAGTGAGAACCTCGTGCGCGAGAGTTGAATTATTCAACTGTAGACTAGTGATGGTGGTGTATACGAAAATAAACTGTAGCACAAGACTTGAAACGAAGAGAAGCCTGCGTCATTCTGCGGCGCGTTCATACTTCAATCAATGTTATCCTCTCGTTCGTGACACAGCAAAGGAAGGCCTGGGTCCTAAACCTGCTCGAGGGCTAACAAAAGGAGTCATTTCAGCGAGTCCTAGGACGCAGTCAACCGCGAGCGTCCCCGGGCGCTGAGACCAGTCTGGCCGGGATGTGCTGACGTGATGTCTCAGTGGTCGCCAACACTAGTAGGGATTTACTCAAGAAAAGTCTTTGGTGACACTGCGATTCGTAGAGCGTGCGGCATTTGAAACAATTCCCACTTTGGTTAGTTTTACCTATTTAGGTACTTCGAGGGACATAGCGTTCGCCACAGCTAGCCGAAACCTGGTCTGAGACTGGAAACGAGGCCATTCTATGACGTGTTGTGAGACAGACTTACACGAATACCCGCTCACACCAGACCAGACTGGTGAAGCTGACACGAAGAAAGGAGGCGGACAGGGGTTTCTCCAAGCCTTATAGGCGCGCCGGCGACGCTCTTCACCTTCAGAAAACGCACATACGCCCCACACAAAACCTTTACACCATTTACATCATCCTCAACTTAAACCACACAATGTCCATGAACGACTCCCCCAAGTTAGTTTTTTCGACGTCGTCCAGCTTCGAGACGCATCGCTGACCTCCTCTCTAGCAAGACCAGCGGTCAACTCCACTCCATGAAGGGCTCCATCGTCGAAGGTGTACGTGCCCTATTTTCTCCTCTGCCGCTCTTCTAATTCTTCATCTAGGTCGGCAACCTCACCGGTTCGACCTCCTGGCAGAACTCCGGCAAGAAGGAGCACACCGAGGGCGAGACCGAGTACAAGGCCGCCCAGGCCAAGGGATATGCCGAGGGCACCATGGATCGCATGAGTGGCATGAAGGACTCCGTCGTTGGTGCGGTGACGGGCGATAAGATGCAGCAGACTGAAGGTGTATCGCTCTTCATATATTCTCGATTTCTTGTCTGGTCGCTGACGGAAGTTGATGTTCAGGCAACATGGCGAGGGACAAGGGCAAGATGCAGCAGGAGGTCAACAAGCCCGAGTGAAGCGCCTAGTATATAGAAGCACTTCGCTTGTATTTCCGTCTCTCCTGCGCAGTCTATATACCACGTCTTGAGTGTTCTGTTGAAAGTTGCTTGTGGAGACGAAAGTTGTTCCAATGCTGCCACATATACGGGCGCTGACGGGAGGTCCACGACAGGGAACATGGACGACAAGGGGAAAACGCAGCAGGGGAGTTGCATCTTGAGCTGATTCTGCCGGTGTTATTAGCTTCCTACTTGAGTTAACCTCTTGTCTATCTGGAACCGCTATGAATGCTTGCCAGGCGCTATGTCCTCGCTTCGCGGGGCAGACAACGACGACTGAAAAGTATCTGAAAGCCCAATCTATTAGTAATTCTAGATAGTAGCAATAAATAAGATAATCGTATCCCATTCATTGTGATCACCTCTGCCTTCCGTCGTTTCACCGCCGCTTCCCGAGAACCTTGACAAGCGCAGCCTTCAAAACACCAACAGCCTTCTCCGTCTCCTTCTTGGTCAGTGCGCTCGTCAAGGCAAGGCGGATGCTCGGCCGGGGCTCGACCACCTCCTGGCCCTTCAGTCCCTTCGCCCTGGTCACAATCACGCCCTGCCCTAGGCACTCCTCAATGACCTCCTGCAGCAGACGCTCCTCCCCCTCATACTCTGCCGGGGTGAGCTGCGACTTATCTTTTGAAGAAACGATAGACTGTGGGTTCGAGTGCTGGTGCTTGCTCGACCCAGAGCCGGTCGACGCAGATGGTGACATGGGGGGCGCTGCGGGGTGGGACGCGCGGACGTTGACGTGGATGACGGGTGAGGCTGGGTGCGAGGGGATGGTGATGCAATCGAGCTTGTCCAGGACAGCGCGGGCCGTGCGGATGTTCTCCTGCAGGGTCTCGAAGATGGATGGGGTGCTGCGCAGGATGTTGATGCCTTCTGAGGCACTCACGGCGAGCAGCGCGGGCATGGAGGCGGAGAAGACGAAAGATGGGCCGTTGATGCGTTGGTGGTCGATGACGACACGCGAACCAGCGCAGAAGCCACCACAGGAAGCCAATCCTACGGCGCATGAACCGAGGAGGATGTCGACTTTCTCAGCCTGGTGGAGAAGATTAGGGGTTGTTTCACAGGTAAATAGGTGAAATACGTACAGGAACGTTGTACAGCTCCGTCAGACCACGTCCAGTTCGTCCCACTGCACCGAAGGAGTAGGTTTCGTCCAGGATCAGGCGATATTTGTACTTGTACTTGAGCTCGATCTGCCACGCTAGGGTTAGCACCTATCCTCGTAAAAAAACAGGCCTACTTACAAGCTTTGGCAAATCAACCATAACGCCATCCTTCTGGAAAATGCCCTCCGTGATGATGAATCTCCTAGTGACTGGGCCCCGCCTCCTCTTCCTCTCCTTCTCAACGCCAATGAGAACCTCTTCAAGACTGTTGAGGTCGTTGTGGTCGAACCAGCGCACAGTCGAGCGAGAGATCTGAATGCCCTTCTGAATGGCGAAATTTACGGCACGGTCAGCGACGATGATGTCGCCACGCTTGCAAAACGCCGGGATGACAGAGGAGACGGTCGAGAACCCCTGAGAGTAAAGAATGCAGGCCTCGGTGCCCAGGAAGTCGGCAATGTCGTTCTCCAGGTCCATGTGGACGTCTAGAGGAAGTTGAGTAGATTTTTCGCGTACTAGTGCCCTGTAACGTACCAAGGGTACCATAAAATCCTGGCGGCCCACAGCTGCCGAGTCCGTATTTGCGCAGTGTCTCGACTGCACGCTGCTTGATGTGTTCATTCCCGGCGAGCCCCGTGAAGTTGAAGCTGGCGAGGTTGACGGCGGTCTTTCCGGTCGACACCAGCTTGGGCTTTGGGCCATTGGGGCCCGCAATGATAGGCATGCTAGCGAGGTCGGACTGCTCCGTACTGGTCAGAGGTTGGGCTAGGGGTTCCGGAATCCATTCATCAATGAGCTCGTCTATTTCCTGTCGACGTAGCTGTCAGCCCTACTGTGATAATGCTGTGAAAAAGACGACCCACCTTCTCGCTGAACTGAATGAAGTGCTTCCCATTCCTGTCTGCCCTTGTGCGCGACTGCAGCAGGGTCCAAACAGCGAAGGCGAACAGAATCAACTCCAGGACCGTTCGCCCAGGGTCATTCCTGTGCGAGCTCTTCACGTAACGCAGGACTACCGCTGAGCCTGGGAGCTTGTCGAATGTCGTCTGCGCTGTCGACAACGTTGACTCGAGGAAGGCGAACACCGGCTCGAGCGTCGTCGAAGTCGCATTCATGGCTGCTGCAGATAGTATAAGACGCTACAAGCTGTGAAAGACTGTATAAATATGTCTTGCTGGTAAGGGAAAGAAAGCTCAAAAGGTCAGGGACAAACCGAGCTTTCGTCCTGGAACATTTGGACGAGAACATTACGTAATGGCGATGATCAGCCCAATTTCGTAACGCTTCGAGCCAACTTCGAGCACTCAAGCAAAATGGTATAGGCGGTGTAGGAAAAACGGAAATACAAGCGAAGGCTATATACTAGGCGCTTCACTCAGGCTTGTTGACCTCCTGCTGCATCTTGCCCTTGTCCCTCGTCATGTTGCCTGAACATCAACTTCCGTCAGCGACCAGACAAGAAATCGAGAATATATGAAGAGCGAATATACCTTCAGTCTGCTGCATCTTATCGCCCGTCACCGCACCAACGACGGAGTCCTTCATGCCAGTCATGCGATCCATGGTGCCCTCGGCATAGCCCTTGGCCTGGGCGGCCTTGTACTCGGTCTCGCCCTCGGTGTGCTCCTTCTTGCCGGAGTTCTGCCAGGAGGTCGAGCCGGTGAGGTTGCCGACCTGAACGAAAGATTAGCGTAATGGAGACGTCCGAAAGAAAGCCAACTTACGCCTTCCATCATCGACCCCTTCATGGAGTTGAATTGACCGTTGGTCTTGCTAGAAAATAAGGAGTGAGCGACGATTCTCCAAGCGGGCCGTTGAGGAGACTAACCTGGGAGAGTCGTTCATGGACATTGTGTTAAAAAGATTTGGTTGGTTGGATGGGTGGTTTTGTTTTGTGTGCGTGTGCGTGTGCATGTGCAATTTATGAGGACTCGGAGCGTCGTTGGCGCGTTTATAAGACTCTCGGAGCCTCCTTTCTTTTTCGTCAGCCAACTCAGCCCAGTCTGGTTTCAGCGGCGGACGAGCGGATGCTTGTGCCGGACTGGGTCCTAGGGCGAGGAAATGATCCCTCCTGCCAGTCCCAGACCAGGTCGCGGCCTGCCTTCGCCGTGTGGCGAACAGGAGGCTCCTCGAAGTGCCAAAATGGGCAAATATAACCAAAGTGGGAATTGGGCGCTATACTCCGAACTGCGGCGTGTACGACGGATCACTGTACGTGCGGGACTTATTGCAGGTCAATCGAGCATTATCTTGACTTGGTGCGACGAATCACAGAGTGCGTTTGTGCTTGATTGCTAGAAGCACGGTATCGCAGCGGGAAGAAAAACATCCTGACGCAGAAACGGTTTCCTGTCATCGAGCCGAAGATTTCTCGAAGCACTCCAAACAACCAGTAGTCCAGATGACGCGGGTCAGAATCACGATCAAGAAGCTCGTTTGTGGGTATAAGCCGCTGCCCACAGGGTAATAGCCCTAGGGGATGGTCGATGGGAGACTGTTTTCTCCGCCTTCTCCCAACGCATACAGTCAGACCCCTCTTAATCCATACCTCTCGTAAGCCATACATTCCCATAACCCATAGGTTTTGGCCGCTACCAAACCAAAATTTACACCAAATTGACCTCTCATAACCCATAACCTCTCATAACCCATACCCTGGGCCGTCCACCGAGGGGTATGGGTTAAGAGGGGTTCGACTGTATATCTAAAGGCGAACAAGCGCGAACCACGCGGGCAGCAGTTGCACTTACCAAGGAGTTGTTCTACAGTCTGGCAATGCTTGTCGTTTCCTTGCCCACTGCGGGAAATCCTTGGCGGTGAGAGCGGTCAAAAAGCTTCCGCGGATGTATTCGCTTGTACTCGTATGACACTTGTATTCGAGGGGCTCTGACAGGAGGAAGGTGATTTTGAAAATGACAGACAGCCGCCAGGAAACCGACGTTTCATCGTCAAATCCCCGAGATGCGAGTGGCTGGATGGGCGTCACCGTGAAGGCATGGATGTCTTGGAGGCGTATCGGCGAAATGAAGCACGTTGAAGCGGGCATCTTATGATTCCTGATCACGAATTTCCGGCAGGTCTTCAGGATCAAGAACAAGGTGAAAAATCATCATCCTTGGAAGTTGGACCAGGTGGAGTATCATCTAGTATCATATTCATGAGTAAACCTGAGCTTGTCCTTCCGGGGGCATAAGTTACAAAAACCTCTCGTTCGGGCAAGAAACGTCAGCGCTTATCGTGTAAGGAAGTATATAGGAATCACAATCATGATCAGGCGCATGCGCACAGGGGCCGGGGTCTGATTTCCTCCTTCAATGGGCATCATGGACTGCAGGTGGCGGATTAACAATCAGAACTGAGGATTTTTTTGGCAGCCTTTCCATCAACGCGACCCAACGAAGGTTATCATAAAATGCATTTGATCAGTGTGGAATTGTTCTGATCAGAACTTGATAAGAACCTCTATTTTATTGACGAACATGTAACGATGATGGGTAAGCCGGGGATCTGTGAAGAAAGGACTGGAAAGGGACATTTTGAGGAGGGTCTCAGCGCCAGCGGCTCGGGGGTTGATGCAACGTTGATACATAGATATTGATGTGCTGGCGAGAAAAGAAGGATAGATTGCGGAAGGGTTCTGATTCGGCTTGTGTGGCCACTATGCGACCGGCGGCCTTCACGTTCACAGTGCCATGTGCGAGAGAACTCTGATCACCTGACAAGTGTCAATCGCACGTCCACAAGTGAAAGAAAATCATACGAGAACTCAAAGGGCTTATTCGAATGGGCAGGAAATGCAATGAGCGGTCTATTGAACCGTTGAACGTGGTACGTATGGCTACATGATACTTGTTAAAATTAAATATGTCAAGTGCGGGTTCTACCGAAACGCTCGCGTTTTCCGGGTATAAAATCCAGAATGAACAAAGTCAAAATAGAAGGGCTGTGATGTTTAGAGGGGGACCCATTTACAGGGCGAGAGCGATGATGCCAACGGCAGCGAGACCGGCGAGGGTGTTGGCACCGTGGCTCATGGCGCCATCAGTAGATGTCTGGGCTGGAGCAGCAGTGTCGGTGGTGGTGGGGTTGGCTGGGGAGGTCGCGGTGGCCGTGGCGGTATCAGCGTCGGTGCTAGTAGGTGCAGCGGAGGTCAAGGTAACACCCTATAGACCAACGAAAGTGAGATATTGTCCGAAGTAGGAAGGAGAGAAGAGGCTACGTACGACTCTGAGGCAGAGTTCAACTGAGAAGGCCAGGGCATTCTGCAGGTCCTCGCCGCTGCAAGATGCCAAGACACAGCTGGTTGTGCTGTCGACGAAGGCCCTGTTGTTGCACAGGCAGACATTATCGGTTTGCACACAGCCGCCAAAGTCGGCGGAGGCGAGGCAGGGGAGCATGCAATCTGAGGAGAGACGCATTTAGACAAAACAAACGGTATGAGGCATACATGAAGACATACTGGGTATGGCGTCCTGGCGGGCGATGAGGGAAGCGGATGCAGAAGCAGCAGCGCCAAAGAGGGTGAAAGCAAAGGTGGAGAAACGCATTATGACTTCTTGTAAAGTGGGTGAAGCAGAGAGCGAATGTGCAAGGACAAGTTCGAAAGTCGAAAGTCGAAGGCGGGAAGAAACTCGGCGAGGAGCTGGGGAACAATTCCGTTGAGGACCCATCTTTATATACGCTCGCCCAAAGAAGCGTACACCACGAGCTGATATCAGGGCTGCCATTATGGTTCCTGAATGGAGAACCCGATTGAATGATGGCTGGGAATTCCTTCGCTGCACCCAAGCCTGCATGGACATAGGGAATGCCGTTGTGCGCCCAATAGCATGCTTAGCCAGAATAAGCGATAGATGAGCGCGACTCTGCGCGAACCCAAGAAAACTCCGCAGAACAATGCCCTACAACTATGGGTTTGTGGGGGATAATGGGAAGAGCAATAGGGTAACAAAGGAACAAAGGGCTTCCCAAATATGGGCGCGCGATTGTTGATCGTCGTGTGCCCACGCTGCTTGTCCCTGCTTGCACAAGGTCGCCGAGCGCTGCTGGTCTCGGCACGGCAATTCCCGCAAGCTGGCAAGCCACTTAAACCTTACTTTGTTTACACAACAGAGGATACCAAACAACGAGTGGGCTGTCCCGACTTGCTCATCGACTCCGACATCCTCAAGACATGGTGCGTCGTCGTCACCCACAATGCGCGCAGGGTGAATTGCTGACTATGTACTCCTGATATAGGCACCTGCAGCAACCAAGAAAAAGGTGCATCCTCCCGCCAGATAACGCTCACCAACCCCGAACTTATGCTTGCATAGACAGGCGGCAAGACTCGTTCTGCGCTCCAGGATGTCGTGACCCGTGAGTACACCATCCATCTCCACAAACGCGTGCACGGCCGCTCCTTCAAAAAGCGTGCCCCCTGGGCCGTCAAATCAGTGGTCGAGTTCGCACAGAAGGCGATGGGCACATCAGACGTCCGACTCGACCCCAAGCTCAACCAGGCCGTCTGGGCGCAGGGTATCAAGACCGTTCCTCACCGGCTGCGAGTTAAGCTTGAGAGTGCGTAGCTATCTCTGTGGGCTACCAGATTAGTTGTGTTGATGACACGGTATATATTTGCAGGAAAACGTAACGACGAAGAGGGCGCAAAGGAGAAGCTTTACACATACGTCTCGCATGTTCCCGTCGGATCGTTCAAAGTGCGTCTCCCTATACTCTCACACGTACACTTTATTCACGTACTCTCTATAGGGCCTCCAAACGACAGTCGTCGATGCTGAGTGATATCCTCCCCCGCCACCTCATTTCTTCTTTATCCATACATGCCATGCCAATCATATGCCCGCTACGCACCCACGCCTATGTTTTGCGCAATCAAAATGTTTTCCATCATTGTATTCATCAGGGCTCAGCGTTGCCTCCTTTAATTCTCGCACCTCCCGCTTCATCTGTCCTCGCATCATCGTATTCGCGTCATATCTGTCTTGAGCAAGCTACCGATGACGCTTTCAGATGTGAAGATGAGGGATAGAATTTACCCATCCAATCTTGGTGCCGTCTCCTGATATCTGTTCCTGGGTCTTAAATTTATGTAACATGCCATGGGTCATTCTGTTCCGTGATCAGTCCAACTGTTCTCGCAGAGAACGTGTTGCTGCTTCACTGAGAAGCTAACCCCACCAATGTTCCGAGGAAGAGTGACAGGCGACATTCGAGTCGCTATAGTGCAATTTGGGATACGTATGTATACCGTACAATTATCATTCGTTCTCATACATCGGTACAACTAGTACTATATTACGGGAGAAAATCGTAAAACATGCATAAGAGATGGAATCTCTAGTCCATTCGTTCAGTCAGTCAGTCGTTCATTCATTTGGGCGCTTCAGCGGAAGGGATTCGGGGTCCTGGTCGTCACATCCCTCTCTTCACTGGGACCATCATCGTGCTTCTGATATCCATCCTTCGTATCATCGCCTCCCACAAAGCCAGGCGGCTTGCCGGGGTACGGCGGCACGAACGCGTCCGTGCTCTGGTGGGGGGGCGGGCCCGCAGGCGCAGGATACGACTGGTAATAGCCTGGAGCGCCACCATATTGCCCGCCATATGGCATGTTGGGGTTGTACGGCGGGTTGTAGTGCGAAGGGAAGGCACTGCCGAAACGCTGCGGCTCGCGGGCGTTGTTGACAGGGCTCGTCGGATCGAGGACCTGCCGCAGGTAGTTGAACGCGACTACCGCGAACATCATCGCCAGCACAGTGGTGATCAGGAAGGCGACAATTTCTGACCACGAATCGCGGTCGTACGAGCGTTTGCACCCTAAGAAGAGGGTTAAGAGGCTGGGCAAGGAAGTGAAAGGCAGTGCTCACATGCTGCAGCCTCTTGTGCGTCAAGCACTCCACCGCGGATGGGACCGAAAATACCCGTCTGCTAGACGTCAACACCTGCCTGTGCTTCATGTGAAAGGAGTTGCTCACATAAATGATGGTATCGCCAGTCGTGGCATTCGTGCAGACGTTGAGGATGTCGTCCTTGCGCCACATCAGCCGGAAAGCCAAGGAAGGAAGGAAGGGGCGTACACACCTTGAGCGTAAAGTGGACAACAACCCGCACCAGACCAACAGCCGCAATAATCAGAACGACGAGGCCTGCGAGGTAGGCGTATATCCGGACGAACACTAGCTTTTGCTGCTCCGATGTCAGACCGACTACATCCAGGTTGCTAGGACGAGTATACGTACTGTCGACGCCGCAAATATACCGAAAATCTGCGGAGATGTCAGCGGTGCTCTATGCACAGGACGTTGTTAACATACCTCAATGCCCATCACGACCATGTAGAGAACCCCAACGATGATAGATAGCAAGCTCAGCTTGCTCGATCCATCTGAGCGACGTTAGTAAGAGCCGGTGAAAGAAGGCCGTCCAGACGCACTGTCACTGTAAATCGGTGCATTACGGAAGAACCCAATTCCTCTGCGAATGCGTTAGCGAATTCAGCAACCTCTCGAGCTCGGTACTCACGAGAATAAGGACCAGATGCCACCGAGGACAGCCACTACAGAACAATGAGCTCCAAGTGAAACCCTAGCCTTCAAATGAAAACTTACCGGTGATGACGACTGGCCGTAGGCTCCTTCGATATATCCGGGTCACGAAAGCGTAAGAGGGAGGTGCTCCTGGAGATCAAGAGTCAGGGAAAGCACATATATTGCAGATTTAGGAGATATTTGCCTGTTTTCGTCAAACAGACGTCATGATCAGTTTCCTTCTCCTCCTTGCTGATGAAAATGGAGACTTGCCTTGGGGAGGTGGTGGTCTTGTGTCCATTGTGGGTTAATTGAGCGTTTGCGTAGGCACTGGGTACTGGTTGAAGTTTAAGAGTTGAGAGAGAAGGCTGTGTCTAGCAGCTCCGTAGGCATGTTTGTCGTTGTTGCTGTTGCCTCATTGTGCTCACAGCCAAGACTGCGCAGCAACCGGCCAATGCAAGGTGGGCCTTATGGCCCTGTGCATTTGCTATTGTTATCTGTGGTTATTCCTGACAGATCAGGATACGACGGTGCTCCTAGTTGTAAAATTAGAAGAAAGCCCAACGACGTTGCCAGACGATGCGTACCGGTTGCTCCGACAAGACCGATTGTATGCGATAATTATAACCGCTTCCCAGAAAACACGAGCCTCGTATGAGCTTCTGGACCGTCGATGGCAATGCAGAGAAGATAGAGGAAGGAAGAAAGAAAGCTAGAAATTCTGTGCGACGCGGGAATTCTGAAAGTCGCGCACGATGACGTCATCTCGCACGGACCAGGCGGGCGCCTGTCAGCTTGGAAACAAGCGCCAAGGATCCGACACACTATTTTGAGCCTACATTTACATCTCTAAATGACTGGAGCTTGAGTGTACTTCATGCTAGCCCCGTTGATGATGAAGCTTTGATGGGCAACAAAACGCTCTTATGCAACTGCAGCAAGCGCCTATGATATAGGCACCATTGCTAGCTACCGATGCAGAGAGAAGGGCCTTCAATGTAGAATCCCCTGCCAATTAAGCATTGTCGAAGGTGTCAACAGTGGTCATAAGATGGGAGTGTTATGGAAGCTGGCCCTTGCAGGTTCCATGCGAGGATCGGACATCACTTGGTGGGCAGTTCCAAATTATGGATCCTTTAAAGTACATGGAGGGAAACGGACAGCCAGACTAAATGCCAGGCCATGACCTCTATCGAGAGGAACCACTCAAGTTGATTGTCATGAAAAGTAGTCTAGCTCCAAAGACTTTAGTAGCATACTAGAGCGTCCGGAGAGCGCCAACATCAGTCTGGATAATTACCGTACACGTCCAATGGGCCTGTTAAACCTGTTGGCTTTCGAGGAGATCAGGACTGGGATTCTGGGTGCTTAAGCTTCCTCTATTGGTTTCTCAAGATTGAACGGACTTCGTTTAACATCAGCCTTTCGATAAGCCTAAAAAAAAAATATTTTTCTCACTACATCCTGTTCATGGTCATTATTCCCTTCGTTCATGCCTCTTTATCCCCGAGAAACATTATTTCGCTTGAAGCTACTCTACGATGATAGTACTTGTTAAGTATCCTGGGCCTATTGCTGGAGCCCCACTACCATATTTGAACATCCGCAACTGAAGAGGCGCCCGTCCTCAGCCTTAGATAAGGTCCCTGCGTCCATTACCCTAAGCATACACGGGGGGATCAGTGACACCTGGAATAAGAGAATGGTCCCAGTAGCTTTAAGGGCATCAAGTTAAACGGTCATTGTTACCTAAAGTTAGCAGCCTCTCACATAAAACTCTCGTCTCACTGCTCGGAGTCGTCTGTATGCTGCTTCAAAATATCTTCCTTTCCCGAACCTTCTTCTCATCTACGAACTCGTTGTCTGCCCTTCTTTCACAACTCGAATCCGAGGGGAGAAAATTAAGCCCCCGCGCGAGTCTCCAAGCCTACAAACATGCGAATCTTAATCTCTTTTAACTAGGTATAAAGGTACGTGAACTTAAGATACTGGGATGTGATCTCGCAATGAGCATTCCCTCTGTACTTATACATTCTTAACCACGTCAATTTCGGGCTGAGAGGCTCTATGTAAAAGATATTGACGTGGGTCCGGAAACGAGCGCTGCGAGTATATAGATGGGCTAGGTTTATGAATATCTTTGATTTCAGTCCCCGACCTCAGTTCAGGTAAAGGGACCCAGGAAAGGAAGGAAGGAAGGAAGGAAGGAAGATAGAATTCCCGGGGAGGTCCCAATGAGGGTACGACCGGTTCGTAGGTACGTAGAGGTACAAGCTTTCGTTGTCGACACCGAAACGAAGGCTGTGTCGAGCCGGAAGGGTCGGCGCGGCATCAATTTTTGCCTTATGAGGGCCTCATCACGGTTTCTGTTCTTTGTCCGGTACCACCACATTCAACTGCTAGCCAGTATGATTCGTCCTCCTCCGCTCACACTCAAATGTACGTGTACCGCTAGTTCTGACTTCCTTAGCGTGCTTTTCTGCTATGCTAACATCCGGCGAATCAACCTAGACGACAACAGGTTTCCACGTAAGCACCGACTTTTCCCATTTCTTGCCCCACGGCGGCCATTTCTGACCTCTATTCCATGTTAGTTCCGACTAAGACTGCGAGTCCGCCAAAGTCGAAGGGATTTGTGGGCCAGCTGTATAAAGCGAGCTGGAAGAACCCTATCATCGCCAGTGAGTCTACCTCGTGGCTTTCGCCGAAGTGAGTTGTTGACGGACCCGGGCAGTTGCTGGTCTCAATGGTTTGCGATGGGCATATGCGTAAGCTCTTTTTTATTCGCTGCCGAGAGATACTCTTGCTTACCATCTTACAGTGCTGTTCGTGTCTTCATGTTACTCCTAAACTGGCCCTATTAACCTTCGTTGCAGTACAACTCAGTGTATGATGCCATCGTCGATGATGCGGGTAAGGAATAATGGCCTTTCTCCCAAGAAAGTCGCTCATAAGTCCCATAGAGGGAGCGCATAACCTAGCCAAGGTTTCAATCACGCTGAGCGTGATCTACGTAGTCGCGTTCTTCATTGAACTATACGGGGTCATCAGTGTCTCAATGGTGCGTTCTTTTCTGACTGTGTTGCGACTTTGGGCTCAAGAGACCCTCTTTTTGTAGCAACGTTTGGGCTTCATTCGTGCATACCTGTACCTCACGTTCCTCGCGTCCCTGTTGGTTACGTCCGCCAGTGTGCTTAACGGCGTGTCATATTTCGTCTTTGCAGTATGGGAATCTGTTGCCCTGGGTTTTGTGATATTAACGATGCTCTGTTTCTGCAGGAGGATCTCATGTGGGAGTGCTTGTCGTTGGCTACGGAAGGTCATGGATATGAGAAGTCGTTGTTTGTGCGTTTCATCTACGCGACAATGTCGGAATGCGCCTAATTTCTTTTCAGCGGTCGCACCCTTGGCCCGGGGGTTACCTTCCAATACCTTCTAAAATGGCCAGGAAACGTACGTCCAGCCCTAGTTGTATCCTGTTCCTTTTCTGAGGAGTAATGCCAGAGTGCGTTTACGCCTGGGTCAGCCAATCCTGGTCACAAGTGGCCTCCGTCTTTATCTTCGGCCTCATCCCTGCCGCCATCTACTACGTCCTCGTGTACGCCTACTACCAGCAGACCATCAACCCTTCGCATCACGCGAACCTGCTGGACACAGGCCGCCGTCTCGGATCCTCCGTGCGGACGAATTACCAGTATCAACGGGTGCAGAACAACGACAGCCATCGTGGCGGGGGTGCACAGGGCTCGACCACCAGCCGGATCCAGAACAACGTCCTCACTCCCCGAAGACAACGGCGCCTTCAAGCTCAGTCCAATCCACGGGCTGTGCGCGGTGTGGGCGGTGCCAGTACCAGTCTGAGCACCAACACCACTGGAAGGCCCATGGCCGCCTCCTCCCTCCCTGGCGTCAAGCGCACGTTCACCTCGCGAAGCCTCAACCGACCCAATCGACCCCCACCTCTCATGCGGAGCCCGTCGCCGCTCGGTCTGACCCCAGGACCACCCACCTTCAACAACCACCGTTCGAAGGTGTACGCAGCGTTCGCAGCTCCGGTTGCGTCGTCGGATTATGACAAGTTTGTTTGAGTGGACATTTCTGTCTTGCACACAACACACACACACACAACGGACTTCGTGGGTACTGGACACACACACGGACCTTTTTCACTAGCTTGAACCTAATACACTCGTTGATCCCATCCTTGTTGGCATGGAATATGCGGAAGTGCGAGCTTGTCAAGAGTCAGTGCACTGAACAGTACTAGAGGAACAACGTCCCAACGAGTACCTTTCAGAATCTCATATTTTGAGAATCTCCTCTGTTCTATACTGGTGAACACCTCCTCGCTCATGAACCGCAATTGTGATTATGCCCGCTGTATCTGTGCCTGCACCTCCTGCCAACGCTCGCTATCCACCGAGTCGGGCTCAGCGCCCCAAAGGAGAAGCACTAGCTTAGGAAACGCAGTGTTCAAGAAGTCGGACACCTCGCTAGGATTGTCAATGCGCGACCATCCAACGGAAAGAAAAGCAAGATTATGGCCAGCAGCCTTTGCCATAAGTTCCTCAGGCAACACGCCACTCCCTGTAAAGCTGTAGGACAGCGAATCAAGCTTACGGCAATAAGTCGCGAGCCACAGGAGGCCGGCCAGCGTCGTTCTTGGCTCGAGATCCTCCCGATTGTTTTCACAGTAAAGCAGCTCGATTCGCGGCCAAGATTGAGCCATTTCCTTGACCTCGGCGTCACTTAGGTCGAAGGGATGCATGAGAGACAACTTTCGTAGATCGGTGAACTGGAATAACGGCTTCAAGGTGTCGAAGGTGATGGGGCAGGGTAAGGCGTCGTCCTCGTTGGCGACGCCGGCTTCTTCCTCGAGGGCGAAGTCGACCAAGGATGTTCTGGAACAGTAAGATGCGATGGCGAGGATGAGCGAACACAGGTTGTCCTGAGTACATATTCCGGACGAAGACTGGATGCGGAATTCAGTGAGGTTGGAGGGAAAGATGTTGGTAAGAATCGTCGGGAGGGAAGTTCCACTAAGATTATGAGTCCAGAGCACGAACTTCCTGATCTGCGGCTTCGAGAGAGGTTTTGCCTCTAGAATTTGGGACACGGCCACCGCCTCTTTGCAAGCGGTCAGCTCACGGAGGCTGGGCATTCTAAGTATGGTGGCCATCATCTCGTCGGACAGCGAGAACCACTCGCAGTGAAACACCTCGAGGTCGAGGCCACAGAGAAGCTCCGCAAGAGCGTGCGTGAACAGCGCTTGCTGCTGTGTCTTCCATTGGGTGCTCTGGGAAAGGCGTAGTATCTTTATATTGGCAGCTTCGAGGGGTATCCCGATAGCTAGGTGCGAGAGCTGTTGAAGGTGCTTGGGATGCATTATCAAGCAGAAGGTGTGGACGGAGGGAGTGAGGAAGAGGGAGGTATATTCGAGGTCGTTGCTTGAAACAACACTTGTCCTAAGATTAGGGAGAAGCACCGTGTGTCTCTGTTCGAGGGCATGGCGGATAACGTCGTCCATTACGAAGAAGGCTGAAGGCGAGCGTTCTAGAGGGTCCAAGCCTCCGAGCTGCCTTACAAATGGCGCATAGTAGTCGAAACGCCCCCAGTCGCTTGAAATAGTGGGTCTTCTGAAGGTCTGCTCCTCGTGGTAGAGTATAGAATACGAATTCATGATGAAGAACGCACTATTGTCCTCGGTTGAAAGATGTTGTGCCGCTCAGATGGAATTTCTTTTTCCAACAAATCCTCCGGCATGGTCAAGAGAAGAGGAACCACCGAATACAGTGACTTCCAAAGCGACCGCAGAGCAGGTTCTCTGAAGCTGCGACACGTTTTTGCGACTGAAAGAACGCTGGCTCGGTCAAAGGCTTCCTCGTTGTTCCGGCGTTCGACGGCAACACTATCCAAGATGAGGGAGAGGAGCTCTTCTATCTGAAGACAATGAGGAATTGTATCTGAATCAACACTGTAAGTTTTGGTCAATCTTGGTAGGAACAATCCCCAACTGAGGAAGACGTACTACTCAGCGCCACTGACGACTGCCGAGTGAGGTCCATGCAGAGCGCTTTGGGCGGAAAACGGTGATGCTGGATCTTTGAGCAGGCCCCTTGGATATAGTCTTCTCTGACAAGTGACTTTAATTGAAGGTGCAAAACGTATGCAAGAGATGTGATCCTGCAATTTTGCCAAGAATTGCTAAATCTGGGTCACTAAGCTCAACGCCGCTCAACTAGTTGTCATGAACCGAATTCGAACACTCTGTATTTAATGCGACGACATCAAGATAGCAGTATGTACAATCGAGCCTCGGCTCTCGAAGGAGAACAGAATCGAGAGAGAACAATGATGTTGCTTAATCTCCGGTGAAAAACTCCACCACATTGCCAGGATGATTACTGCCTTTCGGGGGTTTGATAATTAGGTCTGCTTGTTGCCTATCGCAGTCTCGGTCAGGCCCTTGGAAGACAATAAATCAGCGGATACTACTCACAACCTCATGCGTAGCAACAGCTTCCTGTTTGTAGCCTGCATCTCTGTCCCAGCCTTTATTGCACGAGCGAACAGCTCCGCACGATAGTCTGTCTTCTTCGCTTGGAGAATCTTGTTCTGACTATCCACTCTCCCCTGGATGAGCCCAGACTGAATGAGGTTTACAACTTGTTGTTCGACCTCTTCGATCGTCCACCCAAAGGCTGTACTCATTCGGTCGAGCTTGATAGTTGCAAAAGGTTGGAAATAAAGGACAACCGCCCAGTTACGAATTGAATTCGTGAGCTCTCCAACATGTGGGGAAAGATGTATATCTGTGTAGTGACGCGTCTAAACAAGAACATGAGACACAGACGAAAAGAGGAAAAGGCAAAATTACAGTATATCTCTCAAGCAGCTCCAGAACATTTTTGAAATTGCTGTTCATGTAAGACTCGATAAGCTCTCGGACGTAAGGTTCTTGTTCGATGTACACTCCGAACAGTGAGTTCTCCAAAATCCTTGACTTGACAGCAGATCGTTGGAAGGTGGCCAGAGCACACAACGTACCGTAGATGGCGACGTCGGCAGGCGATATGAGCTGCGCAAGGGTGAAAATCAAACGCTCCAGGCGTCGCTTATGCACTTACCTTTCCTATCCAGTCGCCGAGGTCTTTTGGTGCACCTACTTTGAGGAATGCCTGAGCTGCCTTCTCATAACTGCCTTGCCCTAGATGCGACAGAGCTGTGGCGAGGTCAAGTTTAGCTTGAACATTGTCTCGCTCGACCGACTTCTTTTTTGCGCCCGTGGTCACGGTGGGAACTGGTGCTGTCGGCCCTGAGGCATTGTTGGCCGCCGTGGCAGCATCGAGGGCAGCATCGGCTTTGAAAACATATGTCGTCAAATGGGCGTAGTTTCTTTGTTCGATGAGGAGCTAGATAGCGACATTCAACGTGTGACGATACAGGAGAACGCAATTTTACCTCAAGAATAGACATGCACATATCCAATACATGTTGGCTCGTGGTGCAGAACTCGCGCGATTTCGTGTAGTGCTTCAATGACGTGCCAAAATCGCCAGTGGCACGGTAGAAATCGCCCAAATCGCGGTGTGCCATCTACCAAGTCTTAAATTCAGGTCCCACGGAAAGCATTAGACACGTACTCGAATGCTCTCCTTGATCATATTGTTGCTGTACGTCTTCAGCTCGACTTCCAACTTGGTGCGATCAGCCTGGTTCTTGGCCAACACCTCGTCCGCCCACTTCGTGTCCAGCTCCCCCAGGTCCATCATGTTGGGAAGGGAAGCATCGCTTGTCGACGAGATCTGCTCGTACGCCTGAAACAGTGATTGGAACATCGAAGGGTCGCGCGATTGGTGTATGTGCTGAGCGCAAAGTTGGAATGCTTCGGGGGCTATCGATGGGCAGAGACACATAATGTGGATCAGCCTCTCGATAGCAGAGCGACCTAGTGAACTATTTAGAAAGGAAAGAAGTAAAGGGATTTCGATGACGCTCACCAGAATAGTTTGAGATGTACCCCTCGAGATCAAACGGATGTGCATCGTCCACTGGCAGCGCCAGCCTTCTAGGCGGCGTTGAGCTCGATCCCGCTTGCGCTTCCTCAATTCGATCGATTTCCATCATGAATTGACTCTGTACGGCGAGGTGGTCGATGGCGGTCAGAAGCAAAGACTCAGTAGGCTACGCGTGCACCATGAATTTCCTAATCCGGGATGCTCATTTCATTAGACTGTGACCGTCGGACCGAAGCAACTTCAACTTTCCAGAGGCTGGCTTCTAATAAGCCTAATACACAAAAGACGCGGAGAAACTGCAATACAGGGCAAAAATGTGAAAGTGCCAAAGCCTACTACTCGCGATCAAACTTCTTCCAGGCGTGTTTCTCGTACTCGACGATCCTGTGTGTCCGTTTCTTAGGCCTGAAAAAAGATTAGGCCAACTATGCACCAAAGAGAAACAAAAATGAGCATACAGGATGCGAACACGGGGTTCGATGAGCGCTCGTTGTTGCAAGCTTTGGAATCGATCACGGAAGAGGTTGCCTTCAGGCTGGAAAAAGGGGGTCAATAGGCATCTCGTCACCAGAAAGATCAAACACACTTTCAGACCGCGAAGATTCTCGCTGAGGTCTTCGCCCAGCTGCACATCGATCTCGCCCTCCGGTACCTTGTATTTTCCCAGCTTTTGTCCCGCCAGACCCTGCGTCTTGAGTTTCTCAACTAATGCAAGTTGTCGCTGTTCTCGTTCCTTCTCTCGGGCAGAGAGTAGTCGAGAATTCGCTTTTCGGATTGACCGAGCGTCGTTGATGGACGCCAATAATCGTTTACGCTGTGCTCTTTCGGCAAGGGCTCGTTTCTGGATAGGGTGAATGAGTAAGTTCATGCGAACATCATGGGGAACAAACCTCAGCCAACAAGCGGACAGCCTTGTTTTTTTTAGCCTGGGTCTTACGCGGTTTACTCGTCGTGTTGGATCTTGAGAGGCCATCAGAAATTTGCTCCTCATCCAGTCCCAATTCTTGAACCTTCATCCCTGGCGCAATGAAATCGTCGTCCTCCTGTGTATTCTTCGCCGCGTCAATCTTCTTCTTCACCTCAGCCAATTTCTCCGCTTCCTTCACTCGTTTCTCCTCCATCGAGGCGGCCCTCATGATCAACTCTTCATGAGCATCTGCAGGCGGATTGTACGATGTCCCAAGATGAGGTTCGACGATTGCCGGCACCTCGATGAGATCTCTGGTTTTCGTTGTGGTCGGAGCCTGATTGAAATACTAAGCCACCATAACTTTGAGAAAAGCAGACATATCCACCTTTGGCTTCCTCTTTTCCACAGTTTCCAGACCATCCTTTACTCCCTCGGCAGAACTTCCCTCTTGCCATGGATCATACGTCCCACTCTGCTTCACGGCTTCGCTAAGTTCCACAATGCCGCTCCCTGGCGCGTATTCGGAAGGATCCATGATGGCATTAAAGGGACCCTTCCTCGGCCGTTTGGTGATACGCAACAGCTTCTCCTTGTCTTCCCTGCTGACGGTGGACTTTCGTTTCTTCGAACTCGAGGTTACTCGCGAAACGACGGCAGGTACAGCCGATCTTTGGGCAAGAATCTTTGAAGATGTTAGCTGAGACGTCGAGAACCTAGGAAGAGTATGTCGGACTAGGCCACATCAATGACGTTTTGCTGGGGCTGGAGAAACCAGACATACTTTTGTCGTCTCCCTTGAGGTCTATTTGGAATAAATCTTCGTCGGCGGTCTTTGATAGAGCAGCTCTACGCTTTTATCAAATTTGCGCTGTGAAATAAACCTTCACGACGTACCCAGTTACTCTCTCCTCCACCCGCATTCCTTCCAACACCTCTTCGACATCCTCGATGTTCACATTTTTCCTCCACGCACGCTTGCCTTTTCGACTGGATTGATTGTGTTGAGATGGCGCCCCGACTGCTGACGCAGACTTCTTCCCCTTGAGAGGTTTGGTCTTCGCTTTTGGAACATCCATCGAAGTCGCTATGAGAGATTGAAGAAGGTCGCGTTACATAAGCTCTGGCGCAATGTTTAAAAAAGGCAGGAATTATTTTGGAGTTAACGGGTCAGAGCAAAATATAATTCAATCAGAATTACATATAAAGGAATCATGGTGGCCTTTTGATATCTAACCGTGCAGCCAGTGAATAGGCACCACACCTTTCACAAAGGCTGAATACAATGCAAAAAAATTCCTTCGCCCTCCGTGCTACTCCTCGAGCACTTTACGACGTTCTTGACCTCTTGAAAAAGGAGAAATAAAATGGACGCTATGGGAATTGAACCCATGACCTCAGGCATCAAATCACGTGACCAAGTCCCACGCGAATGCAAAGCATGCGCGCTACCCCTGCGCTAAGCGCCCGTGTTTGAGGGTTCTCCTTTTTAAATCTAGACCAGCATTTTCCGGAAGTTGCCGAACAGACGCGTGACGCAGTGCACAGCCATCGAAGATCAGATATCGACGTAAATGCGGGTTCCAAGGGAAAGGAGCAATTTCGGAGGCCTCTGGCCTCTCGGATCTATATCCTCTCTTACCTCTCTCTCCTTCCCTGGTCCATTTGCGTGTCGTTGCAGCTTGGTGCCATTGTTTTGGCGGATGCTAGACTTGTGACGGTATGGCATGTGAGTGTGACCACGGTTACTACACAACAACTCGGTAGATTTGCTTTCAGCCCTACCTGGATGTAAACAGGAGCCAGGGCCGATACCTGAGCCTTTCTTACTATTTAAACTTTCCCAGGCTGTATGTCTTCAGCGAAGGTGACCAGCCTGGCTTTCAGAAGCGGCCGCGCGCATGCGATATCTGTCGACGGAGGAAAGGTGTGTCTCACCCTGGGCTTGAAGTGAGATTACCATATCACTGTCGTTTCAACAGTTCGCCTCGTTTCCTTCCAGGTTTTTGATGCCATATTTCAGTTCTCTGAGCATGGAGATCTTCGGTGTACAACAGGCTACACAATACTACCCTGTGAAGTCGCACGACCTGAATGAAACGGTAAGGCCGAACCCACATTGCTCGATACCGCCATTCTTCGGCACTGTCAGCTCCTCCGTCACTGGAGCTATAAACGGGTACGAGCCGACGCTCGCTAGGACGAGTGAGGATATAAGATACATTCTTCCGCTGGACGGAGAGCAGCAGCGCAATGGTGCTTCAGCTGTAGACGGTGTGCCATTGTCCGCTGATGATGGAACTTTGTGGGTGAATGCACCAGTTAGATTTGGGTAGGCTGCTATGGTCACCGCCTACAGAGCTGCTCACATAACTACCTCTTTCCACCAGGCCAGATGATTGGGATGTGTATCTGACTAACGCAAACGTCTCCCAGGGAAACGGCCAATCTTCGTAACCTCATCTATGGGCAACACGAATGTCGAAAAGTCGGCCTAGAATGGGTACGAATGCTACAACAGGAAATGCATGTATATATTGTTTCGATGGTACGTACATGTGTAACGTTAATCAATCGATTGTTCGGAGTAGTCAAAGTTGGGAGGAAAAGTTTGCAGCACCCTCGTCTCTTGGAGGCTAACCTTCTTTCCCTTCCCACTGGAAGAGAACGTCAACGTTAGATCAATGCACTTGCTTCAGAAAGAACAGAAATAAAACGAAGAAAGCAATAACTTAGGTGTTGCCTCGGTGTGGGCTAATAAGCAAGAGCCGGAGATTAGTTGCTCAGAAGAGCGAGGGAGAGCCCGATCAATTGGACACACTGGTGCAGAGAGACACTTCTATCGTCAAACAGCAAGTTTGAGATAGCTACATAAGAGTACAATGTGAGATAGAGAACATGATTGCCGTAATGGTGGCCTAGTCAGAAGGGCGAAGAGGCTTCACAACCGGCTTCCTATAGTAGTTGGAAGCCAGCCTGACATAGCGGCTACCTTCCGAGCCATCGCCCTGGAGAGGCGTGTCAGTATCAACTGGGACACGGAACTGGTAGATTCACTGACGATCATGACGTTAGGGAAGCCAGGGTCGAACTCAACGACGCTCTCAAGGTATCTGATCTGTTCATCGGTTAGATCAATATCGAGGGCCTCAACGTTAGCAAGGAGATGTTCGATCTTGCGTCCACCGAGGATAGGAAAGACATATGTCGTTTTCTGCATGAGGTAGGCGATAGCGACTAACGCGTAGAATGACTGGGGTTATTCGAGCGAATCAAAAGTGGAAAAGAAACTGACCAGATGTGATGTGCTTCGCTCCGACCTCTGCAGCGATTTTCTCCAGAGCAGCGCAGACCTTCTTCTCTCTTGTCGTTCCTCTCCCAGTTGGGGTCGAGAAGCGTTCTTCCCTTCTCGCCGGTTTGGCGGCGCTTTTCTTCCTCCGCGTCGGTCCTGATCTTTCCGGCCGCGAGGACATTCCAAGGGGCCAAAGCCATTCCTGAATAAATGCATTAAGCATGCAGAATTTAACGAAGCTCAACCAATCGGCTTACCTTCAGACCTGGCCATGGGGATGATGTCGCGCTCGAACGATCGCTCCATGACGTTCCACGCGCCTTGATAGACAACGAAGGGAGTCAGGCCATGGTCGCGGGCATACTGGTTCGCTTTCGCAACGATCCATGCCGGCGTATCTGAAATACCCTATCAACATGGTCAGAAAGAATTTGAGACGTAAGAGAGAAAGGGCTGCTCACAAGATACAAGACCTTGCGCTGCAAGACCAAAGAATGGAGAGACCTCATGACTTCTTCGATGCTGGCGTCGTGATCCCACCAATGCAAGTAGAGAAGGTCGATGTAGGTTGTTCGAAGCTTCTTAAGGGAGGCTTCGACGGAGAGGTGTAAAGACTTGTTACCATTGCCAACATAATTGATCGTTTGCTGAACGGAGGGGTTGCGGACTTTGTAGTTGGTGGTGTACTGAAAGGAAACTGAGACGCCGTTCAACGCGCTTATCCTACATAGAACTTACCTTGGTCGCAATGAAGAGTTGGTCACGAATTCCTCGCATCTCCGCCCATTCGCCAATGAACTGTTCGGAGGTCTCGTCCTGACTAGAAGAACATATCAATAAATGAAAAGATAGGAGTGTTCGCGGACTGACTAGTTGTTGGCAGTATCAATGAAGTTACCGCCATTGTCGAAGTACGCGTCGAGGAGCTTGAAGCTGGACTCTTTGTCCATGCTGCCCATTCCAAGCGTTTGCCATTTGTCGCCGATGCTCATTGCACCGAGCTGGAGAGGCGAAACATGGACGGCCGCGTTGGGGGACAAGAGGCGGTAGTGACCGAGCTTGGTCTTTGGTTCAGGAGGCGGGGCCCAGAAAGACATATCGATATGCTTTGCGGTGATTTGAAATCGAGAGGCTGGAAGTCTGAAGAAGTGGGAAAGAGTCCGAGAGAGCTAAGGGGTGATACCACGATGGTGGCCTGTTAAATAGGCTGGTCTGAGATCGAGTCCTGACTCGTCCGAGCCTCGCTACCGCGCAGGCCATCGATAAGACTTTGAGGGTGCTGCTGCTGATGCATGATGGCGTACGTCAGACTCCACCGAGCTATTCCGAGTCCATGAGAAGGTGTGCGTCGGATATGCGACCCCAGACGGAGGTTGCGATGCGCCCGCACTCGGTATCCTGTCTCTGGTTAGGGGTTAAACGTGAAATCTGCACATATTTGAACGCTATCAGAGTAAACCTGAGGGAATCGTGGATGAAAACTCGTGCCTTTACGCTCGCGAACTTGAGTCTCGACCTAGAAAACCTGGAGAGCAAGGCATAACGCTCCTTGAGGTCAAGGGCCGCTCGCGTAAAATTTCTGACAATGCAGTCTTTGTCTTCCCATTTCAGGGCAGGCCCCGCATGGTCAATGTACAGGCTGGTGGACCAGACAATTGCGCCAATCTGGAGGAGGGTGTCATCCGAAGCGCCGACCTAGTTTCGAGAAGACCTCAAGTACTAACATAGTTCGCGAATTCCAAGATTCACTTACCTTCTCACAGGAGTAGTCAGCCAAATCCACGTTGAGACAGCTGAGCAATCCAAAGAGATGCTCACTTACTTACCAGGGCATTTGAGGGCCGCGAACGGGCCTAAATTATTCGAGGTTCAGGCAGTGATAGAATGGCGCCGAAAGAAATCTTTCTCTTCAACAAGTGCTGACAGGGGCATAGATGAGGCCTATCCCTGCATCGCAAGTAGAAATTTCTTGAAGTTCGAAGTAAATGCGATGGTCCAACGAGATGGAAAGCAGGGTCAACTTGTCGGGAATTGCCGAAGACCAGGGCTTTCCACTAAGTAGACTCAAAGATAGTTTCCACTACGCACTAATGATCGTCTCCAAGCTGTACCTTCAAGCTACCATCCAGGCTTGAACAAATTCAAATCCAAGAAGTCAAGCCTGAAGCTAGGGCTACTAGGCCCGAATCCTCTGAAGTACTACTAGCAGTAGGCTTTGCTTTGAGGCACGTGCCCCGCTGCATACTGTGCTCTTCACTCTGAGTCGAACTACCCATATTAGTCTCAAGAGTAATTGCACTCACCAGAGGGGACGACATCGACATGAACGACGAAGATTCTTCAAGACCGACAGAACACGTCGACAAGGGAAAGCGACGAGCTCAGGAGCCGTCAGAACGCACACCCCTGCTTGCTTCATCTTCTAGAACAATAGAAGAGATTGCGGAGCCGCCAGACTCCCGTAGACGACTCCGGGCAACGCTCACCACTGTATTTCTAGTTTCTCTGTCGATATGTATCTCTTTCTTTATCCTGGCGGCTCTCTTTGCTTGGTCGTACGCCTCTCGTGCTTCGAACCTCGACCCAGAGCACATCATCAACCACGACCTGGTATTCTCGGGACCTGACAAGGTGGACGTCCTGAACATCACAGACGACGGTGGGATATGGCTAAACGTCAAGGGGAGGATGGGAATGGACGCCGGGGCCGTCATAGGTGTTGGGAGCAGCGAGGATGATGGTTTCTTGGAGAAAATGTGGAAAGCCGTGGGGCGATGGGGAGTGCGGACCTTGGACAGGGTATCCGTCAACCTGACGACTATCAGAATCACAACCGACTACGACTCTTCGGCAGTGCTTGTAACGGTAGATGTACCACCAATTGAGGTCCCACTGGCAGCGGATCCTCCGATGGACAAATCGTGGCTAACAAAGGTGTCGACGCCTGCTCTTATCCACCCGACAAAGAATACCACCCTACTCTTCCGTTTCTTGAAGGAGTCGTGGCACCGTGGGACGCTGGATGTACGGGCGGACGTTGGGCAGGCATTTATTCGAGGCGGGCCATTGAACGTGGGTGGTTGGAGGAGCAAATTCATGGGCAGGATGTCGAACATCAAGTTGTCCTTACGGATGAAGAGTGTGTGCCCTATCCTCGTTTGTTTCTCTATTTAATCTTTCTATAGTGCCTTCAATACCTGGATTTCCGCCACCTGGTCGAAATGTACCGTTTCCAAGTGTACCGGACCTCGTGAAACTGCAATCGTTTCGAGTCGCATCGGAAGATGGCCAACTTGCTCTCAACGCTACTGCGACCGTTGTAAACCCAGTACCTGCCGACTTTGTCCTCTCCGTGCCCTCATTACCTTTCGTGATCTCTTTGCCGCACAAGCCACCGATCGACCTCGCCTCCGTTTCCACCAAGCCATTCCGTCTTGCCTATCCCAAAGTCACGCTCTCGATTTCCGGAAACGTCCTGCCCATATCCACCTCTTCTTTCAACGTCCTCTCTCAATTCGTGACTCGGTATCTCTCTGGCCAGTCAAACATCGTCCTCGTCTCGTCGCCCCTCCTTCCAAACCTCAGCGTGGAGGCAGAATTCCCGGGGCCGTATCCGCGCCCACACCTGCTCCGCAACGTCACTATTCACGACATGAAGATACGGGCCACAGGTAGCGTGTTCCTTGCGAGCGGTACGGTATACGCGCGGGTTGTGCTGCCTGCAGGCATCGAAGTCGGGCTGGACGTCTTCCGTGTGTTCCCTGACGTGCTCATCTTCGATGGCGAAGTTCCGGAGCCTGCCCCTCTGGAGCTCTTCGAGCACAAGAACCACAAGAAGCATAACGAGACGGCGCCTCCAGAGGTGCCGTTGCCGGACCCGCTGCCAGAGAAGGCGTTTGGGCACATCCGGCCTGACGATTGGCTTCCGTCGGTCAGCAATCCAATCGAGCCGGAGGGCGGCAAGGGTATCGCGTACGAGGTTTCGGCCAAGGTCGTTGATGTGCCGCTCGAGGTCCTGCCTGGGAGGCAGAAGGAATTTAGCAACTTTGTTGGGAAGGTCCGTCTTTGATTGTGCGTCCTCGCCTTTGGAGTTTAGTTAAATGGTGTCTACAGGTGATATTCGGCTCAGATGGAGCAACTGCTGGCATCCAAGGTTCCGCCGCTGTAACGGTTGCTGTAGAGGGTCTACCTTTACATGGACCTGGACGAAAAGCTGGCGAGGTCGTACTCTCTGGGCTGCCTTTCCAGGGAAGCGTGCTCGTTAGGAAGAAGAGCTTGTTCAAATTGAAGCAGGGATCAACATGGATGGACATTCTCCATAGAATCCGTTCGCATATCCCTATCTAATACGGCCCTCGTCGTCTCCGCTTGGGGCCTTCCAATTCGGTGGAGTGTAGCATATTTTGGACAATTGCTTTCTGTAACATCAAATACTTATACGCATTGTTTTCTTGTGGTCCTTTTTAGGGGTGTGCTTTCGGAAAAGGTGTTCTGCCTGCCTCTTCGTGCTTCCGGAAACTAGGGGCTCTTTCGACAATTAATTTTTTTCTGTTGTACTGCTATAACGACTCTATCTCGAAGTTTCTTTGAATCTCTACACACTTACCTCAATAATGATCCAATCCTAGCGAGACCGCACAGCGCAATTCTCTGATTCGGAGAAAGTGATCGGGGTCAATCCAGCTTGGTGTGGCGCACTGATCGGCGGTGTGCTCCCAAATCTTTACCAAATTTAGAAAATTAAGATAGAGCAGATGCCTTCTTCACTTGCTCCTGCAAGTCTACCGCCCTTATTCAGCGCGGAGATGGCCCGAGAAATTATATGTATTCCAATAAAAAAGGCAGCAAGGACTAGAATTTCCATGCTCCTGCAATTGATTTGTTAAACCACTTCTTCATGCGCACCAACAGTGGTGAGCAGCCTGAGTGGAGGTCGCGGCGAATTATATCGGCGGTCGCTGATAGTATTTACTCCCGTGAGAGAGAGAACGACCCCCGTTTGCGCGCGTGGTTCGGAGCATGAAGGTACGTAATCTGAAAGAATGGTCAAGCTTGAAGACTGAGGTCTAGGGGCCTTTGCCGTCTAACACCAATGCACCACGAATGGCAGTGAAGTATTGTTCATTAAATGGCTAGTAATTATTTAGCTCTTTCAGATGGCAGCCAAATAGGTAACTAAATAGTGAGAGTCATTGCTTGCGCGTGTGTATGGTCGATAATGATTAATGAACGTTGAACTCCATTCAAACTTTGCTCTTCGAATCATGGTTTCGAATGACTAAAACGAAAGTCACCCAACTTCGAGCTGAAAAAGCCCTTGAAAAATAAAAAATGTAAGCCATCGATTCCCAATCGTGAACACCCTTGTCTTGGCTATCCGAAAAGGAGATCATTGTCACACGAGGGTCCAGCACCGCCTCCTTGTCTTAACGGCCATCATGACTTTGCCATTCTGTCTTTCCAGCTGCTCAGGGACCCCTTATGGACCACGAGAAGCCTTCAACAAGATTTACGGACCTCCCCACCGACATCCTGCGAGAAATCATCTCACATCTCGATAACGACGGCCTCCTACAGCTAGGGAGGACCTGCAAAGATACTCACACTCTCGCGTTGAGCGAGTTTTTCTCCCGAAATGACCTGCGAGAGCCCGAGGAAGGATTCATCGTCGCATACAAGAAGCCTATTGAGACCCTCCCCGCTCTCCGTGCTGCACTCTTCGTGAAGGACCTGCGACAACTTCACTTTTACCTCAATCCAAATCTCGACCGACTCATCGGCGAGGTGGCGGATTTGCGCTCTCTTGCCGCCCGAGTTTCGACCATGGAGATAGTCAGGCTTCACTTCTCGGTCGTAGACGGGTGGATAGACGCGTATGGTCAGTTCCCGTCCGACCGGATGGACAGGAGGATGTGGAAAGAGCTGTTTACGGGGCTGCTGGATGGAATTCTGAGCAAGTCATGCACACAGCTTCTTGTGAGGGGTGGAGAGCGCCTCAAGGAGTTGTACTTGTTTGAACCAAAGCCAGGTATGCACTCCTGCTCAGTTCCGTCCCTGTTTTCGTCGCATCTAACCGCACAATAGTACGCACACTGCTACCTCCGATCCGAGTTGAGACACGTCCAGCATCAGTCAGAGAAGAGAAGAATCAGAGGTCATTCAAGAAATTATTCTGTCTATTCCTTCATAGGACAAGAATGAAAGGGGGACACGTAGTGCAGAAGGTCGAAAAGCCATTGTCAAAGGCGGAAGAACGTCTTTCCCCTTCTACACCGAGAAATAAACTTAAGGACCTGGATATTCACTCTGACATGCTTCTTCAAGAGCCTTTTCTTGATTGGACGCTGTCACGAGTTGAGGCTGCCTCCGCAACATTGACGAAGTTGTCCTTCAAGTGCATCTCCGTTCCACGTGAGACGTGGCGGACCGTTCTCCAAACCCTCGTGCTTCCTCACCTGGTTGAGTTCGAAGTGTGCTTTGACTTGGTCGTATATGAGACGTGTGGCGCACGCTTCGTGGACGTCATGCACTTTCTTTCACAACACCCTTCCCTATCCATCGTCCATCTCCACGGAGTAGAGGTCCTCGTCCTCCCTAACGCCACCATCAAGCCGATCCTCCCTAAACTTACCAGCATCACTGCCCATCCGGTGTATGTCACCTACATCCTGCAGTGTTCGCGAAATAGGCTACCTCACCTGTCTGCTGTGTGCATCTCCACGGAGTACCTGCAAATGCCTAATTTCGACTACCCATCCTTCGACACCGCCCTTAACTCCATCGCCTCGTTCAAGTTCGCACAGCCTATCACTCTGACGCTCCGGTTCCAATCCCTCTACGGCGTCGAAGAGTGGTTTGCTGCTCACCGAGAGTTCGGGTCGCAGAGCCCGCTGGCATCGCTGCACCAAGTCAACTCGCTCATTATTGCCTGCGCTTGGCACGTTGATCTTCCGCACAGTGTCACAGCTAGCTTCGATGCTTGGTTGGCACTGTTCCCAAGCGTCGAGAAGGTGGAGTTCACGGAGCAGGCGATGGATGACCCCAAGAAATGCTTCCTTGACCCAGAGTTTCTGAAACGGCTTGCTTCGGCGTGTCCACAGCTGAAGGAGGTTGTTTCAGAGCGTAAGCTGGTAAGCGTCGCGAATATACGGGAGGAGCCTGCTTCAGGCGAGCAGTTACGCGGACCGAAGCGTAGTTGAGCAAACAAAAAGCAACTCATGACATCATATATCATTGTTGGTCTCATCGCGATATCGACGAGATAGCTCAGTCAAAAAATTTAGCTGCAACTCCGTTAATTATCTCCTGTTCCTTGACGCCATTCTCTGTCGCCTTCGTCGCGCTCCTACCAAATGCAATCGTTCTTGCTGACCTCCATTCACTCATGGTTGGAATTTTCCCGCTCTCGAAGGTCTTTGTAACGCCGACCCTTTGGAGCACGGGGCTCTGAAGGAGTGGTGCCAGGCTCATATCCTCGTCCGCCATGCAGAAGTAGAAAACCCCAAGGCGCGTGTAACCTTGCTGGTCCGGAGGAGGCTGGACCACGCTGGCGCTTGTTTAGGTAGCCATTTTGGGACATAGCTTCGCAAGGGAATTACCGATGGATTGTGGCATGGTAGTAGCCACCCGACACAAACTCTAAGGCGTCTCCGGCGTTAATAACCTGGAGGGAGAATTATCTGCGACCAACAGAAGGAAGAACATTCTGTAACACTCACAAGAGCGTTCTCGATGTGCTTTACCCACTTCCAGTCGCCTTCCTTCGTCAAGATCTGCAGTGCGGCCACCGGTTGGCTGTACAAAATTGTCATAATTCCGAAATCTGCGTATGCAATTCAGCTTTTTTACTCTTCCTCCAAGAATAAGTCATACCAGTGTGACCCTTGAGCCATACGCGATGGGTTTTGGCTTCATCTTCCTGGGATCTGGGATAACTGGTAACTTCGAACTCAGCGAGGACCTCGCAATTTCACACAGAATTTCAAGCGTACTATTTCATGAAGCGTACTGGAAATTTATTTGGGCAAAGCCTCGACAAGGATAGAGATGTTACTCACCATAGCTCTCTCCCACAGCATCGAACCCATGGTGTTTAACTAGGGTGTCTTCGGGGAGTTCCAATCCAAGAGCAAGCAGCCTGCATGTCACATATTGAGTCAATAATTAGGCCTTGCTGTGGTGGTACTCGAGGATTCTGACCTCAAGAGGGCATGGAGAATATTCTCGTGATTGTGTCGCGCAAAAGCACTTATCTCTGGGAAGAAGGCACGGAGCGCTTCTGGGTGCTCGCGCTTAGTAATGTCTTTGTTCACTTGAAGGACATCAGGACGTGATTCTTCGAGATATAATAATGGTGCCAAACAGACCATTGTAATGTTCTATCTGGTCGCGCACGCCGCCGTCGAAGCTCTATGCCAGTCAATGTGAGGATCACGCTTCTTGAAAGGAACAGAGGACAGACAATCACCCAATATTGGCGTAGTTTATATCCTTGAAAAGATCCCTCCTCTTCCATCTTCGCTACAAAGGACCTCTTTTCGGCTTCCCTGACCTGGGTAAATGGGACGTCTGCAATGTCGAAGACACGTTTCGTCTACTGTATGTTAAATAACATTGTCCATCGTGCGCCAAGTGACTTCATACCTGTTCAGGAGTGTACCCATGATTTATTACATAGAAGAATCCTTGGTTCGACATCGCGTCGCGAACTTGCACCGAGAGAGCTAAGCGCTCTTCAGGTGTTGTGGCTTTCGCTAAGTCTATAATCGGCAGTTCTGCATAGTCCACTGTGTGAATCATGGCGTTAGCATGGAACGAATCTCAGGGCAAGGGACTTCAAGGCATTACGATTCTCTTGCGTGCGAGGCGCTGGGACGTAGTGAGGCGCTACTGGGGCGACGAGATCGGGCATTTTGTCCTGCAATCAAGTCAAGTCTGGGATCTATAAATGAGAGGTCTGTTCAACTAACTCTAGAGGGGATATATTTTCCCGTACAGTGATCAGGTGTTTGAATTTATTGAACTGGTGTCCAGCTCCCCACCCACATCTATGTAAAGCCTATCTGTTGAAGGGGATGAAAGAGCGGCTTGGATGCTCCAGACGTCTGCATTGGTGAAGTTATAATAAAAGCATGCAACATGAGGCCGGCTTCGGATTATCATATTAAGCCAATGCTTGGGATTTGGATTGACGACTCTGTCTGAACTTGACATGTCCCACGTCCCGTATATTCAGCCTCGTGGTGACTTACAGCACGGACCAAGGTGAATAAGACATTAAGTTCTGAAGAAGTGAAGTGTGCTAAGTTTAACCTTCATACCTCCTATCATATAAGAGTCAATAAACCGGTGTTGGAGGTGCGCCGGCATCGTCTTCGACGAGTCAGTTATAGTGCCTTACAACAACTCCATGGAGAACCTCTTCCTCCACCCCTTTATCAGCCGGTTTAAGTTCAGACCGGCCATACGCAGCCGTCCTGGCCCTCCTCCACTCCATCATCTTCGGAGCTTCGGCGCCATTGAACGCACGAGTAATACCAACGCGCTGAAGTGCAGGACTTTCGAGCTGTGGCTCTAGAGAAACATCGTCGTCTGTCAAGCAGAAGTAGAATACACCGAGCCGCGTGTATTGTCGCTGATCAAGAGGCGGTTGAATCACCCTGGCAATGCGGCTAGTCAGTTATTTAAGGTATTGTTTGTATCAAGTTTTGGACGGACCGGTGGATCGTCGCTCGGTAAAATCCTCCTGAGAGAAATTGCAAAGCATCTCCCGCGTTGATTATCTCAATAAATGTTATGTTAGCACAGAGCATCAGGGTTTGATAGAGCTCACAAGAGCGTTCTCAATGTGCTTGACCCATTTCCATGATCCTTCCTTGGTCAAGATCTGGAGCGCTGCGACGGGTTGACTGTACAGAATTGTAATGGTCCCGAAGTCTAATATTTCGATGAGAAACTGGGGACGAAACATTGCGATGGCAGCCTACCTGTGTGCCCCTTCAACCACACATTTTTTGACTTGATTTCCTCTTCTTCTGTTCTTGGGTAGCTTTCAAGTTTACGGCTATCAGAAGTGGGTATTGACCAAGGGGTTAAGCAACTGACTATTTCATAAACCGGACTAAAGCACTATCAGTTGGATCCAGGGCCCGGACACTGTGGTACATACTCCTCTGGCAGTTCCAAACCTAGAGCGAGCAGCCTAAAGTCGCTTGATTAGTGTCTTCATTTCCATAATATTGGACTAATCACCGTAAGATGGGATGGAGAACTTTTTCGTGGTTGTATCGAGCAAATTCCGCAATCTCGGGCAAGAAGGGGCGCAATGGTTTCGGATGTTCGCGCTTAGTGATGTCTCTGTTGACTGAATACGACCTCAGCACGAGGCATGTAAGAACAAGATATTCAAGCGTACTATTGTAGTGTTCCAATTGATCTCGCACGCCTCCATCGATATACTTTGGATATCTTGTTCGTGAATCATGTCAAGTGAAAGGAGTTGAGGATATTCACCCAATATTGACGTGGTTTATAGCCTTGGTACGATCCGTTCTCCTTCATCTTGGCAACATACACCTTCTTTTCCTCCTCGCTCACTTGAGAAAAAGGCACGTCGGCAATATCGAATATTCTTTCGGTCTACGAAGGAGTGGTAGCACTCGTATACATCAATAATCAATAATCTATATGATGACTGACCTGTTCAGCAGTGTAGCTATGATTAATGACATAGAAGAATCCCTGGTTCGACATAGCGTTGCGAGCCTGCTCTGCAAGAGCTTTGCGGCCTTCATAAGTGTCGATTTTGGCGAAATCTATGATAGGAAGATCTGCATAGTCCACTTCACGATACCACCAAACCATTAGTCCTCGACTACAACAAGTGACACCTAGGAAGCGGGGCGTACAGTCTGCCTTTGTCGGAGGTGCAGGAACATAGTGAGCCGTCTTCGGGTGGGTGGTCGACATTGGATGAGGTGAGAGGTTCCATGAGAGGAGAAAGGTTTATTTTGAGTGCGAGGTGCAGTCAGGTGGACGTTTGCAAATCGTGAACAAGATATGACGCCATTCAGAACCAAGCCGATGGGCCAGACGAGATCAATAATAGGCTTAGGCTTTCGCTAGCGCTGCTATTAATTGAACGTCTTGTCGTTTCCCAGCGTCCCAGCTTGCAGAGGGTAGTTTATCTATCTGCAATTTGGCACGATTTGGCCAGCGTGCGGGTAAAGCCTGGTTGTGGGCGTGTGTTGACGCTTTGCAGCCGGATGTTCCGGTCCGGGCTCACAAATTCCGAAAATCAAGCAGGTATGATTCAAGCAAACGAAATGCACCAAATCTCTTTCCCTAATACGTGGATCGCGCGAAAAACCCATGAATCAGTTCAGTCCTGGATAGACATCTCCACCAGGGGCTTTGTATGCCTGTCGGGCCTTTAGTAACAGCTTTGCAAGAGGACAGAGGACGTACCCTGTTTGCGGCGTCGCCTTGGTAGGGGTTGAAGTGGATGCCAGGATCGGTGGCCCTGTAGGCGCCAGGGAAGCCGAGACCGGATGGGTTCAGTGACCCGCCGCCCGTTACTGCGCGTGTCGGTTTGAGATCAACGAATTGATCTTGAACAAATCCACGACAACTTACCAGTGAGTTGAATGCAAACCGGGTAGAACTGGGCACCACCAATGTTCGAGGCACCGTGCAGAGCAAGGTTCTCGTGACGGAGGAGCTACGCGCCTTCATCATCAGCTAGGTCTTCGAGTCATAAGAAGAAATCGCACGTAGTCGCCAGGAGCAATGTTCTTCGGGATCTTAATGTCATATCTAAAGCCAGTCTTAGCAAGGGTATCGGACGCCCACTCCCCGTTCTTGTATACATCTTGCTGGATCTTGAACCATGGGGTACCAGTGTCAGCCCTCCAGGATGAGCATCCCGTTGAGGGGCACTTCGCCATGTAGTTCAGCACGGGACCATAGTGGCCAAGGGGCCATGTGTTCCATTGGGCCGTAACTGTTCCTCCAGCAGCGACAGTTGCCGTAATAGGGCCCTACAGAGGAGCAGGTAAAGTTTTGTACAAACAATGTCGCAGGCGGACCGCTTACAGGAGGTAGTTTGGAGTTTCCGATTGAGCAAGTGATATCCTTTGACATGGGATCAGCGATATAGCCGCTGTCGGGTTTTGTCGCTCGGACGACTCTCAAGGGCTAGATGATGGTTGGGTAAGACTCTGGATCAAGTAAGTACTACGAGAGGCTACAACCTGCGGCGTGGTATAGCCATCTGAGGAGAGCGGAATCTCGTTAGAAGCCGATCTGGTGGAAATCCAGTGCAATGGACGCACCAGTCGTTACATCCCATCCTGGAATTGTCTGCCCATTGATGATGAGCCTGGGCACATAACCGTGGGCAGCAACCTTGCTAACGAAGGCCGCCGCGACGAGGAGCGAAGAACTCGAGAAGCGCATGCTGAACTGGCGTACAATTCGCGACGTAGTCTTGCAGGCGTCCCCCAGGATATATAGCGCAAAAAAAAAAACACAGCTTCCGGCTTCTTCACGTCGGATTATTGTGTCGAGCCAATTCTGCGGATACAAGTATGCTATTGGATGAATGTTCGAAGCAGGCCGAACATGACCCGGCAAGCGCCAAGCGGTCAGAAGGGGGAATCGCGGGAGGTGGAGTATTTCCGATTCATAACGGATGATCGTCAGGGAACTCCAGGAGCTGCGAGATGAACAGCTGGATGAAGAGTGGGTGCAGATTCATTGGACGTTTCGGCGGGCTGTCGTTGCGTCCCACAGGTCGAAGAAGCAAAAGAAAGCACTATTCCTGGTGCGGACATGTTCGCACCACTTAAAATCCGAATTTTGACCTTCACGGCAGTGCGCAGAACAGATCGGGCTTCTTTGTATTGGAAAATGATCCTAACAGGTGTGTTGACGGGAAAAAAATTGTCCTTGCTCAATTCAGTCCTGGGTAGAGCGCGGCTAGGTGGAACATAGACCTATCGACAAAATAAGCGTACGTTAATAGAGAAAGTTAGACTAGTTGACTCTACCTGGATTGCTGCATCTCCCTAATAGCCTCGCTGGGAAATATCTCAAATTTTTTCGGTTCCTGGGGAACAAGAAGCTTACACTTCAAGTGCCAGGGAAACTGAGGCCTGACGGGTTGAGGGTTCCTTCGTCAATCACTACTCTAAGTGGGTGGTGTTTAATATTCATTGGTGTAGGGGAGCTCCCTGACGAGGGTGAAAGCAGCCAGAATCGAAACAAGGGTGTGGCGCATTCTTGACAACGTGAAAGCAAGCAGCAGGTTTCTAAATGCTGGAGCACAAGATGAAATCCCTCCTTTATAGCAAGTCAGCTCGTCAAACCGCGAACAACCAAAATTCGGATCTCACTCAGATCCATGAATATACGTCTCAGCCCAACAGACTCCGGACATTTTCCGTATGAAATGCCACTCGGCGAAATTCGAAGCCCTAATGGCAGGGAATGGAGCGATATTGAAGGTAAGGTATAGTAGCCAAGGAGCACGCGACTAGGTCATGCTATGTCGCCGACCCGCATGGATTGATCATTGGAATACTGCGACGAAAGTGCATGTCGACCGATACGTTGAGACTAGCTTGGCAGTACTTTGGCATCGTCAACGTTATGGGACTCATTCACACTCACCAGTGATTTCTGGTCACTCTGGAGCCACAGCGTTTGCCGGAGGTATGCCTATAGGATGGTGGTGGTTCTGGTTGAACTTGTCGCGTCATCGTGTCGCTGTCACGAGTGACATCGGAACATAACATTTTAGAGCGGAGCGTGAATATGAGGACACGAAATTTAGATGCCCATCCTGTTCAGATGTCGCGCTGAGTCCACGTTGGCGTACGCAAGCATACAGGGTTTTGCATAAAAGGTTGAATACCCGTATTTTTTAATGCTGTAAGAGAAAATGCTTACTCCAAAATCCGGCGCCGAAGCGCATATTCCAATAAAAGCAAGTAATAAAGTGGTGGACTCCTCGGACAGAGCTCTAGTCACCAAATCTCCTTGCCCAATGATATCGAAAGCGACAACCTCGGGTATATGTGGAACGCCGCCTTGATAACTTCAAAATTGCTGACTATCCGGAGTCGTCGGAGGCTTGTGGACTCACGAAATCTGATGTTCTGTGCCACATTTTCCAAATATAGATACCACTGCCTGACCGCGTCAGGCAAGAGAAATAGGTCAACCCAATACAAGAGAATGGCTACGCAGTGCGTGGGCATTGTAAAGTGCTCTTTAACTGCCTCATAGAGTAATGGTGTGTTAACCTCTTTGCGCTTCGTTGATTCGTGGGACTCATACTATTCAAGGACGAAGAAATCAAGGGGTCCATGGAAAATGGTCTCCTGACGTTGATGTTCCCAAGAACCTCCCCAAACTAGCATATAACCACATCAGCGTTGCATAGACTACATGATCCCAAGCATAGCGAACGCAACTTCAGTAAAAAAAATCTAACTTCCGGACACTCGTAACACGTTAGCAGCCTTTCAAACCTCTTCTCTCATGCATACCTACCAGAATACAAAGGCTATTTAATTAAGCAGTTACTTGATTCGTATGATTGGTCGAATTGTGATGTAGTTCAAACTTTGAAGTCATTTGTTCTGGGCTTTCAAAGCCTGGTCAACGATTTCTCCTAGGCGTATGACGGCTTCCTCTTCCAAAGTACGCCCGACCACTTGAATAGATATCGGAGCGTCCTTGAAAGTTTCAGGGTCATCTATTAGAAGTAAGGTGAGTTAGTAGCCAACAATAAAAGTACATCAAAGAGACATTGACGCACACAAATCGTAATTAGCCCTGTCTTGCTCGTTGAAAAACTCTTCAACGGCCCGTTTGCCGTCTTGAGTGGGATTAACAAAGCCTACGGGTACGACCAGGGCGGTGTAATCAAGCACGTTCCAAACCATGGTATAACTCGCGTTCCTAATATTTTGTTAGCTCATTGTTCAAAATGGTGTCGCGGTGAGATCACTTACGAGTTCTTCCCATGGGGAGGTGCGACGAATGGGGCACAAGGCGAAATAATCGCATCCACAGGCCGGCCTGTGCCCGTCAGGTCCTTTGTCGCGTTCCAGTGATCGAGATATTCTTCTCTCAATCCTTGCCTCCTCTTCTGCTCTTGCCAGAGCTCGTATGCAGAGAGACCCCCCGGCATTGGACGAAATACGGGAGTGTCGTTGGGAGCTGTATCAGTGCTCTCTGAGACGACTTCCATGGTGCCTATGACGGGCTCTCCGCTGATTGCCGCGACGACGCGAAAATCCTCTGCTGCGCCAGCCGTCCAGATTTTGCCCTTGAAAATGGTTGTAAAAATGATCCAAGCAAAGCCTAAGTATTTCGCTTACTCCCGTGCGATAGATCTCTTCATGCTTGAGTGGTATCCAATCGATAACTGTAATAGCAAGGTTAAAGACGTCGAAATTCTTGTGCAAATCAGGTACAGATACCTTTGTGTCCAGCAGCGAGAAGGGCTTGTTGTGTCTCGCCTAACACTCGAATTATCGGTGGATGGGGCTTGGTCACTCCATCATCCCATAAGATGGCGAAGCAGAGATTCTGACCCTGACCATGCCCAACGAGACTGTATTCATTCTCACTCCAAGGCTTGCGAACAGCCATCGGGTCCTTGAGCCATGGCTCCTGGCCAACAACTGCTTTTATGAAGCTCTTGATACCGTCGATGCTGCGACAGAGAGGACCGAGGACAGACAAGATGGAGGCTAGACCCTCAAGGGAGTTTACGCATCCCGCGTAAGGAACTCGTCCGTACGACGGACGCAGACCATAGAGACTATTAAAAGCTGCAGGGATGCGTATAGACCTAGGGCGCTGTTGGCACTAGATAATTCGCGGATTCGAGTTGGGACATACCCTCCGATATCTGATCCTACGCCTAAAGGACTGCCTCGTAACGCTATGGTTCTAAAATTAGATCATCCTGGCTGACCCTAAGGGGACACCCACCGATAAGAGCACCTTCCCCTCCAGAAGATCCACCTGAGGTCAAGGAACGATTGTATGGGTTGCTCGTGCGGCCAAAAATATGGTTGAAGGTCTCAGGCCACTGGAAGGTTGTTCAAAACAGTGATAAAAAATTGTTTTGATGCTCCTGGCTTACCATCAGCGTCTGAGGGATATTCGTCTTCACGTACAAAACGGCTCCAGCGGCCTCTAGGATATCGACGAGGACGGAATTCTTTTCTGCGTATTGCCCGATCCACGAAACATAACCTAGGGGAAAATAGACTAATTAAAAGAGTTTAAGGGTCTTCAATATCTCGAGCGACTGACCCATGGTTGATTCAAGCCCTTTAATACTGATTTGATCCTTTAGAGAAATAGGTAGACCTTTGATGTTGTCAGTATGAGGGTTCGCAACCTGGATGATTGGAAGGCGCTTACCGTGCAAGGGCCCAACAACCTTTCCGGTTTTCTTCAAGTGATCGTCCAGCTCTGTGGCGCGAGCTAAGGCCCTATCAATGAATACTTCCGTCAGACAATTGACCTGTCCAGACTCATTTCTCAGCAAAAATATCCTAGCACCTAACAGTTCTATCCTCACCAGTTGGTGCGCGACTATCGCCCTCTTCGAGAATGCGTTGGTCGCCTCTACAGCTGTCCAAGTACCCTTGGCTAGCTTTTCCAACAGGAGGCCGACCTCTGAGTTCGTGATCTCAATATCGCGTTCTGTAAGAAGGCCCGACTTGTCGGGAAAATCGATGACATTGAGGGTTTCTGGGGGAGGAAGGTTGGTCAAGAGCCATTCCTTAGGTACGATTGCATCTCGCTGTTGCTTCTTCTCAGCAGCGATTTCCTTCCAGTTTCTGGCCATCGGTTTCGAAAAGGTCCTTCGATGTTGGGAGAGGAGGATAAGGAGGGACTATCTCCGAAGACCTGACTGATTATAAGTCCTCGTTCCCATTTGCCCTTCGGTCGCTATGATGCCTGTACGTCGGGTGACCATTTTGATTAGAGATGAAGCCAAGAACAATCTGTGAGTAAAAGGCTTTCCTTCCCTAAATATAAACGCGATAACGAAGCTCAAAGTTCTGAGCGTTGTGAAAACGCACTCGGAATAGAATGGTACTCAGTGAGGCGTTGATGTGGAGAGGTAACTGTTGACGTTGAAACGTTGAAATGTTGAAGCTTGAAGCTTGAAGCTTGAAGGCCGGCGGCATACCCGGACCGAGCCATCCATTACATTTTGAATCGTCGATAATGCTCGTACTTGTGCCACTGTGGATATAGAGGATACATCGCTTTATTGATACAAATCAAGAACAATCTTAGAAGGTGATGAAAACCTATAACTGGACTACTTTTAAATTGTACAATTACAATTTTTTGCTCTTGAATGGAGAAGAAAAGCGAAACGCGCAGACGCGACTACTTTACTGTACGGCAATCCTCTTCGGCGCGAGCTCCGGGATGCTTTTCGGGAAGGTGACAGTCAAGATGCCGTTGTCCATATTCGCTTTGATCTCATTGTCCTGCAAGAAGGGATGAGAAGCGAGCCAAATACAAGGACGAGGAAGTATTCACCTTCACTCCTTGAGGCAACTGGAGAGTACGCGAGTACTTGCCGTAGCGGCGTTCACGAACAGCGTAGCCTCCCTCGTCGTGCTGAGTGGATTCTTTCGTCTCTGCTGAGACGATAAGGCGGCCATTGTGAACGTCGATTTGGACGTCCTCTTTCTTGACACCGGGGAACTCGAATGATGCGGTAACGAGGTTGTTCTCAGCATTCTCGTGGAGATCCATCCTAAGAACACAAGTCGTCAGTTGAGAGCACGGAGGGGTAAAAGATGGGGAAGTATACCTTGGCTTGAAAGGCCTCACAGCGCCATCGCCGCCGTCCGTAACACGGCGCTGCTGAGGACGCCCGCCTTCATTTTGACGGCCAAAGAACGCCTCATCAAAGAAGCGGTCGAAGTCGTAGAAAGGCTCGTAGAAGAAGACGTTCGACATTATCTGTCTGTAGGTTTCAGATGAGGTTGTGTTCTGAAACATCAGTGCTCTCCAGAGCCCCCTTTATACCTCGAAAGTCCTCCACTCCCGTGACCAGGAGTGAACACCCTATGAGATCATATTGCGACATCGAGAAAAGTCTCGAATTTCGTTGAAAGCCATACACTAGCAGAGGAAATTTCGAGAACCTCGCCATTTTCCAATTAAGGCAAGTGTGGGGTCTGCCGGCAGAGCCGACTTTGTAGGTCCTCGTTCTGGGCTAACGAAGAACATTCTGGCGACAGAGATGACGCGACGGAGGATTCAGACATCATGAGGGTGGTGGTCAGAGGGACGGACAGGGTTCAGAAAAGGGTGAATTTTTTGGTCATCTCTCCAGGCTTTCTAGGTCCGCGCCAATCAAACAACGTCCTGCATAGAAGAGCGACAATAATGAGGCGAAGGAGCGCTTCTCTTATCTGGAACACGGATCTTCTAGATGTTCGAGGGTCAATACAAGGAGCGCGAGCAATCGAGAACGTTGCAGGTGTGAGAAAAGAGCAATGAATTGGCGCACTACGTGGTATAACAAGACGTGAAATCGTCGCATCGCTCGTGGTATTACTTAGATGACAAGCGGGTTGATAGCTACTAGATATAAAAACGTCAGTACAGATATCGTGGTAATAATTGGGGTAAGAGATAAGAAAGCAAGAGAGATGTTACATGTCGTGATTAGTTGACCATCGCACATTAGGTCCAGAATGCTCCCAAACCGACCTCATCACTTCTTATCCCTATCCCCATCGAAGAACTTGACCAGCTGTCCAATAGGCACCTTCCCAATCGGCTTCGGCATCGCAATGGGCTTCACACTATCCCTGCTCTGTTTCCGCAACACAAGCGGATCGACGAACCTGGTGGACCCGCCTAACGCACTGACCATGCCGTCGCCGGTCCTAGTGGCATTCGTATTGAGGCGTTCCGTAGACTTGGATCGAGCTTTGAGCTTCAGTGGCGCGACCGATTGTGTGGGATTGGCAGCAGAAGTTGGGCTTGAGCCCAGACCAGAGCCGCTTGCACCAGGGATGCTCGAAAATCCATATGCTGATTGTGCGCGGAGCCGCCTATTCGAAAGAGGCGAGGGCGAAGGTGAGCTTGAAGTAGCCAACTTGTAATCGCCCTGGCCTGGTCCTCCAGCGAATGTCGCACTGCTCGTCAGACGTGCAGCAGCAGATTTGCCAATCGTGTCTCCACCGAATTCCTTATCATCATCGTCCTCGTCCTCGTCTTCGGCTTTCTTTGTTGAAGAGAAGAATGTCGACTCGATGGAGGACTGGGGTCGGGAGAAGGACCTCGGCGTGCCACTTCGTTTTGGTGGGTCCGAGTCGGCACTGGCAGCATTGGAGGAAAGGTCGTCCGGGGCAACAATGGGACCACCGAGAGCGACTGTGTACCGTTTCCGTGGCGTTGGGCTGACGCTGGTTTGACGTTGACTACCGCTCTTGGGTGGAGGCAGCCCTTTCTCCGAAGGAGAAGGGCTGACAGTTCGTGCGGCGGCGGCAGGCGTAGGTGATGTCGTACGCCCTAGAGAATAATTTGACGACAAGGATGTCGACGATGCCGACGTATGTAGTGGACTTCCTGTGTTCGGCAGGCCTGAAATAGAAAGTGGACGTGTTCGACTCTTGGAGTTCAGGGATCCAGGAGGAGAGTTAGGAGGAGAAAACGCGTCAGGGGGTGAGGTGTAATCTCCTTGTGGGTATGGGAGGCGCGTCCCAGATGGTGTTCGCCTTGAGGAGGCCATAGGTGGGCTAGTTGATTCACGCGCCGTGATTGAGGAAAGTCGTGTGTGCGGTGTGCTAGGTATCGAAGAGCCTGTATGTTGCTGCACGAGCATCGATGTTGTTGGCTGAGGAGTAGCCGACATCGTGGCCGTTTGTGCCTTGGGTCCTGACGACAGATTGGAGGGCGCAGTGACTATCTTTGCCATCTCCCGACCCAGTTCCCCGAGGCGGCCTTGCAACTCTGAGAGTTCTTCGCGCACTTCTTGGAGTTCGTGCTGGACATCTTGCGAAGGTGCTGGGCTAGAGGTACCCTCTTCCTTTTCCTTCTCCTTGTCGACCAACCACTTCTCCACATCGTTCATCCGCTCCTCCAGAGCACGAACATGTCCCACTGTCCACTTCTCCAGCTTCTCAAACCGCTTGGCAATGGCTAGCAGCGTTCCAGGAATGTCCAAGGCTCCTTGAGCGTTGAATTGGGCATAAAGGGGAGGGGCTTCTCGCGAGGGTGAGGAACTGATGCTATCGGTAGCTCGCATGGGTGATGGCGTCAAATTGGGTGCCATGTTCGACATGCTGGGGCGAGAAGGGGTAGGAGACGAGGGAGAAGGGGGGACAGGTTTCCTCGTTGGAGGAGCAACTGGGATATGTAGGTTGGTAAAGGCAGGATCGTTGTACTTCGTCTGTGGGTTTGCGGGCCACTCCGCTAACCGCTCCTTCTCCTTCTCCTTCCCTTTGCCCTTCTTATCCTTCTCTCGTGCTTTGGTTTCTTGGATGATCTGCTGAGCAGGAGTGAGGTCTTTCTCCTTGGTCGGAGTCAGCTTGTTCTTCGCTGCTGTCCACCAGCTAGTCTCTTTGGAGGAATTCGACGGAGAAGGTGGATTAGGCAGCGTCTGAGAGCGCGACGGAGGTGGTGGTAGTGCCCTGGTCGTCTCCATCATAGCAAGGACGCGCTCCTCGACGAGTTGGCGTTGTTGTGCCTCCCTAGTCAAGATCGCCTCTGCCTCACGCCGGCTCCGCTCACGCTCCCGTTCTGCCTCGGCTTCGAGCTCTGCGTCGGTTGGCATCGCCCCAGGGGACTTCGGCGCGATCCCACCCACGAAGTTGTTGACACGCTGAACGAAGCTTGCCGCAAGATTGGATACCGACGATGAAGGTGACGGTGATCGTTTCCATTTGGGTGAATCATCTTCCTCGTCGTCTGAATCGTCGGCATGAGGATCTATCCCAGTCGAGCTGTCCATTACGAAGCCGTTTCGAAGAGGCGAAGGGGGGCGAGGGGAAGGTCTTCGCCCGCCATCTGGCTACAAAAAAGCAGAAGTAAGTTTACCGTGCAGCCTATTTCTAATGCATCCACCGTATCAAACGCTGAGAATATCTAACACTCACTGGATTCAACGAGCCCGCCGGCGAGGTCATCCTTCTCTGTTGCTTGCCAAGCTCCTGTTCTGGAAGTTGGAGGCCCGTCATCGCAACCGACTGTGTGGGACGATGCGCTATTGCCAGTAGAATACTGGTGTCCCCTCTGCCGCTGTCGGTGTCGTTATCGATGTCGCCGTCTTCGTGCTCCCTTTGTCCAATGTCGACGTTGAGCGTCGGCCTGTCTATCTTTCCCACGGTCACCACATACCCACTGTCAGCGAGACAAGTTGAAGCTTGAAGCTTGACCCCTAGTACTCAGCCCTACCGCACAAGTTCAAACCCTGAACCTTACCCAGAAAGCTATGCAACAAGCCCAATCGAAATTTCTGTCACCAGATTGAAATGATCATACCTTGCTCATATGCCCTGCCTGGAGCCGTCTGGAACTTGGGCTAGCTGGCTGTCGAATCTTCCTGCCTAATCGCGTCTACGTCTCTTTCATGGTCTGGGAGCTCGTGCGGAACGTATAAGGTGGGCTTTGGTGCTCTCTCCGACTAACCAACGCTATTTCTGCATGTCGAACGTTCTATTTTACGAACCATTCTACGACTTTGAACGACTATTCGAACAGGCATGGGCGGCTCGCCAACAAGGCGCCACTGCTAACACGCAAACCCATGCCCCAAATACGCGTCCAGACGGTATTTTGCGACCCTTTAGACCAAGGTGTGCCTCTGTTTTCTTGTCGATGTTAGTGTCCGACACATTATGCAGGATGGACCTCCACGAGGATGCAGAGAACAACGTCGTCACTGCCACCTTCGAGCTTCCGGGACTCAAGAAAGAGAACGTCCATATCGACATTCACAATCACCGAGTGACAGTCTCAGCAGAGAGCAGGCAGTCGGAGCGTTTCCACGAACGTGGTTTCGCTATCCGTGAAAGGCGCATCGGCAAGTTCTCGCGTACGCTACAACTTCCGGTGGGTGTAAAGGTTAGTCTAATAGTCGTTCAAAAATTCGTTCATATCGACTAATCTGCCCTTTTTTTTCAGGACGAAGAGATCAAGGCGTCTATGGAACACGGCCTTCTGACGCTGAGCTTCCCAAAGTCTGCGACTGATCTGCCTCCCAAGAAGGCCATCACCATCCAGTGAGAACATTCATTGGAGACATTTATGTCCACCTTCCCCAACTCAGGACGCGCCCACAACCTCCCTCTAACATCTGCATCTCGACGATCTCGCTGCATCATGCACCTCTGCTCATTAATCTTGTATCTTAAGTGTAACGTTGTGTATCAAATACTAGCTGCTTCCTTTCGCATGCGCCAGAATACAACGCGACCGGTGGAAGAACGACAAGTCACATAGACCATGGCAGCAGTGGTTGTCGATCGGCGCCTAACGAGTCAGTACTTGGTGCTAATGTCGGCTAAACTTAGACTTGGCCGCAACATATAGACGCGATGTCTAAGGGTCGTTCCTATTCATCAACGGAAAACTCCACGTACGTATCACACATCGCTTCCCCATTCACCTTCTCTCCACCTGAACCCATGAGAAACATTCTCTTTCCAACGAGAGTGAAGCGCTGCAAGTCCAGATCGAGTTTCGAAACCTCTGTCTTCATGTTGAAGCACTCCATTCGTTCAGGTTGGTCTGGCGGTAGAAATAGACGCCATCCCTCTACTGTGAGATAATCTCGCGGATGTTCAATATCTGGAACCCAGGTGCATAAGATGGCAGATGGAGTTGTCGGATTGTAGACCGCGTCCTTCTGGAGAGCATCGGGATCATAAGCACGTAGGTAATACCAGTGAACGTCTCGCGGCAGTTGTACTCCAGTGTCGCGGAGTCTTTCGAATATGTTCTTTCTTGGGATGAAATAATAGAGACTCTTGCTGGTGAAGTCAATCACTCTCTTGTGTGGTTACCAGACGTAAACATTTGCCACACCGGTAAGGAGCGACTAGAGGAATCCCACTCACTTCGGAGTCTCGAAACACTTTTCCAGGAGCAAGCAATATTGCTTGTCCACCGTGCACCATGACACCACTTCGAAAATTCTGTTGCAGCTCGTTGGGATAAGGTTCATCTGCCGCTATCCACTTCCATTTCAACTTGCCTGGCTGGAAAGCAGCAATGGAATACGAGCGATGGTAGGCTTGTTTTCTGGGTTCGTCGTACGACGGAACCCCTCCAAATATGTAAAGCTTTTCGTTGTAGGCCACCATGGCTGGCTTCAGGCGAGGAGCAACCATTCTAGGCTTCTGCACAGGCTCAAAGTCCACATAAAACCACTCGAGGTGTAGGGTGTTCACTGCAATCAGTTTTGAGGATGGAACATCGCGATCGAGATCGTGTCCGCCAAAAAGAAAAACGACTGGAATGCCGCTTATTTCGGCGAACGCGATACCAGGCTCTCCAAGTGCAGGAAGGCGTTTTGTCTTTCGCCAACATGCTGCAACAGCAAATGGGTCTCCTGGAACGGCATAAGTCAAGGAATCCTTGAAAATACGAACTTGAAGTGAGTGTAATCAGCATGATCGTTGTAGCCAAGCAAACAGACCGTCAGGTTTGTGAACTCCATTTTATCCATATCGCAGACGTAGAAATCGTTGCTTGGAATGTTCCTTTTGAAATCCTTGGGGTGCATACCCCCGTAAACGTAAAGTTTACGTCGTCTTGGATCTTCGGTAGTTTGGCATAGCTCCGTAAACTTCTGTAGATCTCCATGGAGAGGTGCAGCGTTCAGCCCTCGGACACGCGCTGCGCCTGTGGGCATAATTTTGGCGCTGCCTCTTGAAGGACTTGATCGGTCAACGAAATGAGGGCAAGGTTGTGGTTGCAGTTCGAAGAGAAACATGCTTCCATGGTGCCAATCCGATGATAAGATTAGATAAAGTCTCTTGTCTAGATCCACTGAGCAGCTAACTACCACTCCGTCACTCCTCAATCAAAATCTCAACAAATATATCACACATCTCCTCATCCTCGACTAGCGCGTCGCTCCGTCCCAAGAGCAAGACCTTCTTCCCAAAGCAAGCGCAACGAGTCATGTCGAGGTCAAGTTTCGAGACCGCGGAGCCGATACTCAAGCACTTCGTACGCTCAGGCTCATCTGGAGGCAAAAAGAGCCGCCATACTTTTTCAGTGAGATCTCCCGGATGTTCTGCGTCCGGAATCCATGCAGTTATCATGGCAGATGGTGGTCTCCAGGCCACAGTTTGCTGCAACACATCCGGATTATACGGGTGGAGGTAATACCACCAAACATTATTTGGCAGTGAATTGGGAGGTAGCCGTAACCTTTCGAACCTCCTTTCTTGAGGATGAAGTAATATAAGCCGTCATTGTCCAGGTTGATGTTCTGACCATTTTGATGAGAAGTACTAATAAGCGCTGGCGTTGATTCAAAAAAGCGTAATATACTCACGTGTTCTCGACTGATCCTTCCTGGCCCAAGAAGTATTGCCTGTCCATGATTTACCAGTATACCTTCGATGAAATTCTGCTTGAGATTGTCTGGGAATGGCTCGTCAGCAACGATCCATTTCCAACGATAGGAATCAGGTTGAGGGGTAGCAATAGAATAGGAACGATGATAGACGGGCTGAGTGCTTTCATCGTATTTTGGAACACCTCCGAAAACGTAGAGTTTGTTATTGGCTGCAACCAACGTGGCGTTTATACGTGGAGAGACACAAGGAGATTTGAGTGGCTCGAAGACTACGTGGTACCATTCGAGATGCAGCGTATTTATTGCAATCAAGCTCGAGGAAGCCTTTTCTTGATCCAGGTCGTAGCCACCAAAGAGAAAAACCATGGGGAGGCCGTTTATGTCTGCGAAATCGATTCCTGGTTCGAGAAGACACGGCAAGGTTTTTTTCTTCCGCTTAGCTTCGTCTAGAGAAAAAGGACGTCCGGGGGTGACATATGTCAGAGAATTCTGTGATTGTCTCATCAGTCGTCCACGTTGTCCAGAGTCAGCTGTCTGAAGCAGACCGTCAAGTCCTGGAACTCCATTCTATCCACGTCACACACGAAAAAATCGTGGCTTGGTTGGAGCCTGCACATATCCCTCGGATGAACGCCTCCATAAATATACAGCTTTCGACGTTTTGGGTCTTCAATGGATCGAGGCAACCCTGTCAGTTTCGGGATGCTTCCCCCAAATCGTCCAACACTCGGCCGCAGTGTATTTCCCGGGTCGTTTGTGGTGTCTATTTTTTGGTCCAAAAGCATGGAATGTGTAACGGTCGAAGACGGCGAGAACCATTCCAGATGCAAGGTGTTGATTGCAATCAGCTTTGAGGAAACTTGATCCAAATCACGATCATAGCCACCAAAAATTAGGATAACCGGAACACCTCTTATTTCGGTGAAAGCCAGCCCAGGCATGTGCAGTGACGGGAGGGGCTTTGTGCTTCTTGTGCATCCTGCTGCTGAAAATGGGTCAGAAGGTGTTGTAAAAACCAGAGAGTCCTATGCATGATACTCCGTTATCAGTGCAGTCGCTCAATCCGACTCAAAAGAGCAGCCCACCGTCAGGTTCGTGAATTCCATTTTGGCTATATCACAGACATGAAAATTATTGCATGCAATTTCATCTTCACTATCCGTGTCACTACTCTCGCTTTCTTCCTCTTCTTCATCCTGGGGATGAATACCTCCATAAATATAAAGTTTCCCTCTTCTTTGGTCTTCGGCCGTTTGGCACAGGAGCGCAAGTTTCGGCACTTCTCCCTTGAGATTCGAGACCTTCAGTCTTCCTATACGGGCGGCACCTCCAGGCATGTTTCCCGATCCACTTGTTGACTTGAGGTGTTTAAAAGCAAAGTGTATCAAGGTGAGAAGAAAGAAGCCACGTAAGTCGGTATGAGATAAGATTAGATAAAGCCAACACGCCAGGGTGGAGAACATGAAAGGGTGTATACGCAGCTAGGATTCGAGGATCCTACAACTATTTAACCAATATTCGGATCAAAATTTCGAACGAGTTTATTCTTTGAACGATAGCGATGATTTATCAAGGCCTTGCACCTACGGATAACGTCCCGGTCTCTGTTGCCTTTACCGCCGGCAATTTGTCCATCAACTTCATCCAAGCTTGAAGTCTTTCCCCCACGACTGCCCACTCTGGTACGGCCCTTAGATCAGAAAGCAGAGGATAGAGGAAAAAATCTGCCCAGGTGAGCTTTTCCCCGAATGCGTAGCCTTCGGACTGCATCAAGGATTCCACAACTGAGAGAAATCGCTTGAGCTGTTGGATTCCATCCTTGATATGGGCTTGTATTTCCGGTTCGGATAGATTGCCTTCGTCCGCCACCTTCACGCGGGGCTTTACAACTCCGACCTCGACGGCGGGGAACCCTATGAAGCCCGTTCAGAACGTGGTGCTTGTATTCAGCGGAACTCGACTCTCACCGAAAGAAGCGACGATGCTGACAAGCTCCCATACCTTCTCTTCCACAGGTAGGTCGACGCCCGACTGAAGTTGAAGCGACGGAACAGGGGAGATGCGGTCGATGTATCTCGCAATTGCCTGGCTTTCACGGAGCTTCATGTCACCTTGATTGTTGTTGGCGCCGTGTATAACAAGAGTCGGAAGGTAGCCCAATGGGTGGTTCTCAACTGCGAGCGCACTTTGAGGGATGGCAGCCTTCTGAACATAAGATATGCCTTTGTACTCTAGCCCAAGAGTAATGGTGCGGGTGAAGGTCGAGAACGGTGTCCCAATCACTGTATGAGAAGACGCGAGGGCCATGGGGTCAGGTGAATTTTAGTCGTGGCCGTTTTTATACTCTCCCATCATGGTGGAAGGAATCAAAGCAATTCGGAGACGGAAATCTCCTGCGAACTTCCGATGTTTGACTTGACGGGCCGGTGAGTCCGATCTTATCTTGTTTTCGAATCTAATCTATTACAGGCTTGACCTTTTATGAGGTCAAACTCTCCCGACAATCGACATGGCACCTTCCTTCGCCTATTTAATTGGTACGAATTCATTTCGTGTTCTGGCATTGTCGAATTTTAATGAGAAAATGGTACCAGAGCACATGGAAGAGGACGAAGAAACACCAAAATCCATCCCGCCCTGGGTGGAACTGGAATACGCGGTATGCAAAATCACTCTTCGATCACCAGAGAATGAGTGAGGATTCCTAAGCCATATATTCCATTAGCACATGCGTATTCTTGCTGGCTCGACTTCACAAGTCCAATTCACGCACCTCTCAAAATCGTCCTGTGAATCCCTAAATTCTATATTCAATGCGTCGTCTTCGAGCAACCCCGGATTGTCTGCATTCTCCTGTCATCAACAAGGCGTCGTTGGACTGATGAAGGACCTCGGAGTGCCTATCGATCAGGTCTGCCTCCTCGATCCCAAGGCGGAGAAGGAGTTATCCCCAGAAGATGGAGACGGCCAGTTTCAGTGGTTCCTGTTCGGGGTGTGTTTCTTTTAGGAACTGCTGAAGACCTGAAAAAAATCGATCATGAACCAGTAGGGCATCCTGGGAGACGATCCACCGAGAGATCGAACCTCCGAACTCCGTGTTCATGGGTTTCCGACGCGCCATCTTGGTCCTATCCAGATGACCACAGACACCGCACTCGGGGTTACGACAATTGTCGTTCATGGCAGGATTCCACTCCAGGATATCCCTTATACTGTGGGTGCATCATCATGGCGCTTTCTCTGCCCATGCTGACGGCCGTTTTCAGGATTATCCAACCATCAGGTTCAATGCAAAAGAATCTGTCGAAATGCCCTTCCGTAAGTCAGCAATTGTTCCTCTTCCCAAACCCTTCTTATTTTCATACCCCTAGGATACATCGCTGACGGCAAGGAGCCCCGTCTTCCACCCGGGATGAAGAAGCTCCTATACGAAGACCTCAACAAGGGGTTTGATTTCTAGGAAGAGCGAGTACAAATACACGCACTAAACTACATGAAAATAGACATTACAGCAACAACAAGAACACCGATAAAAGATCAGACTGGATGATGATAATGTAAGGTGCAAAGCAAGTGAGTGTTCATCCAAACATGCAATAGTATGTGGGCAAGATAAATAGATGAGGACAAATGCAAAGGAGCTGGGGAAGGCAAAATGCATCCTTTGCCCCATGTGTAAGATCTCTAAATAATAGTACAACCGAAGGAAAGTTCGGAAATGGAGGTAATTGAGGGCTGGTTACGAGGGAGATGCTGCATTCTTGGGCGAGGGCTTCGCATCCCAAGGGGCTGGGATACGTGCTACATCTGCGAGGTTCTGGTCTGCACGCGCATCGTTAACCCTATCGCGGTGGTTCATGTTCATCCTTGCGCGGCATCGCACAAGACGGAGCTTGGTTCGCTTGATCCCTATACAAGCCGGTCAGGCTGGCGTAACGCAGGAAAAAAAATGAAGAGACGCACAGGTAGCGATAGTATCGCGGTCCTCGTCCATGAATGGGTTGCCCGTCTGTAGGAGGTCGTCCTGCAGCGCATACAGGCACCAGAGCGACTCCTCGTACAGCTTCTCGCACTCATCCGGCTTCTTCATCTGGTCGAGCAGCTCCTTTCGGGCAGCTGTCCTGCTCTGTCGATAGCAAGCACAAGAGCCTATAAGCACAAACACGGACACCCCGCCACTCGGAAGAGAAAAACGCACCAGCATGAGCGCCCTATCGTACACGAGCTGATCAAGCCAGCTCTTCGGTCCGTCATACGTCACAGGAAGCCACATCTTGACCAGCTCTGCCCTGTCATTGCACTTCATGAAGTGGTCCTTGAACCAATTGAGCGCGTCGTCGAAGCCCTCGCTGACCACAAAGTCCCCATCCGGATGACGCATGTGCATGTGCTCTTGGAAGTTGCGCAACTTGTCGATGCCCTTCTGCGAGAAGGACATGAGCAGCATGTACACCGCCACGCATGTCACTGCGTTGTACTCCGCCTCCATGTCCGCGTGCTTGCGCCGTCGGGCCTCCTTCTCTGCTTCGCCGTCTCGCTTCTCAAATTTGGTTGGATCGCGGAGCGGCTCTGGAGAAAGGGTTACTGAAACAGCCTGGATAGCGAAAGAGGCAACTTACTCTGAGGAATGGCCTTAACGTAATCGTACATTTCATCCGCCCAGTGGGTCAGCACATCCGTCTTCTGCGCCAACTCTTCCAATGAAGCTAAAAGTTCGTCTTCCAGAGGATCTCGCTCGGCATCTGCGTCCAACGCAATAATGGGTCTTCGAGGCGACGACGGCGCGCTGGTATTGTAATCTCGTGAAGGGGATCTGCCTGCCGTCGAGTGTCCAAACAGCTTCTTTGAGGCAATGCTCAGTGCCCTGTTAAGAGCATTGGTGGCAGCACGGGAGGCCATACTTGAAGGAGAGGAGGATATAGAAGGGGCGACAGCGTTGGGTGGAGGAGGGAATGTTATGTTGTTTGGAGTCGTAGGGGAAGGGTATTCTGTGGTATAATCGGTGGTCGAAGGCATTCTTCGGTCTTGGAGGGGTCTTCGAGGTTGTGCCGAGATTTCTGCCAGAAGAGGTGTCAGAACCTGAACTACGTCGAGACAATAGGCCACATACCATCAACTGCGCGATTGAACTCAACGGTTCGTGGTTCCCCAACCAAGACGTACTCCCGTCTGAGATTCCCATCTTCCTCTGTCTCTCCAGGGATAAAGGATCCTTCTGTCGATAGCTGCCTCCGTGTTCCGCCTGAGGTCCCTGACTGCCGCTTAATCTGCGGAGTTGGCGACTTCGCTGGGCTGCTACGAACCCTAATGAGCCATGTACATAAGTAGGGTGACAAAACTTACCTTTCCCGGTATGAAGCGCCGTTCTTCACACCCTCCGTGTTCGAGGGTTTCCGGAAGTGAAACTTACTAGGTGGAATCATTGCTTTAGGGTCGAGTACCTCAGGAGGGATCACCTTGTGATGCTCTGGCGTAGGTGGTCGTCCATTCCACGACGATGTTCCCAAAGCTTCTGGTAGTGACTCCTGAGGCTTTGGAAACTTGGACTTTGCCATGGCCTTACTAGCAAAGAACTCTTCAAAGCTAGCCCTTTCCACGGGTTTGCGTTTGAGCAACATCCTAATGAGCGCCTTGATATCCTCTGGGACTGGCAGATCTGCACTTCCGCCACCTCCATTCTTGCCAGCTTGTGAGTTCGGGTCTTCGTCCGGAAAGGTGACCACCTTGCTTTCGATCTTCTTCAGCAACTCCATGTGGTTCTGAGCCCTAAATGGCGCTTTCCCCACTGCCATCTCATAGAGAACCGCGCCAACAGACCAGAGATCAGCCTTTGCGTCATATTTCTCGTAACGGAGTATTTCGGGGGCCATGTACAGCCTGTAACAGTGATGTGAGAGGAGGTGGCATGAAAGCAGAGTTGGACTCACGGAGAACCGCACAGTGTCTCCGCCATCATCGCGTTGGGTAGTGAGCGAGCGAAGCCGAAGTCTGCCACCTTCAGTAACGGAATTCCCAGCGGGTGGCCCTTTGCAAGCTCTTCAGGGGATGCGGGATTGAGGAGTAGGTTCTATAGGTGCGTCAAGGCCCGCCAACGAAACATGCTGAGTTCACTGGCCTGTGGTTTGATATCACGGTGGATGAGATTTCGATGCCGCAGAAATTTGAGGGCACGGGCTATGCAAGTCAGCTAAAATAGGGTCTAGACGGACAGCAGCACTCACCCAACTGTCGGAGGAAGCTGCGAACCGCGATCTCATCCAGCCCTCCTGTCCGCGGATGTAGGTAGTATTGCAATGCGGCCCCTGGACTTGGGACATATTCCAATCCCTCCACGCGCCCCCGCTTCTTGATGTAATTCGTGAGGTCTCCTCCCGCACAGTACTCCATGATAAGGTAGATATGTTTCTCGGCGCGCTGTTGAGCCACATGAGGCATGGACACCTTAACAGAGAGCCTACGCACCACAATGTCGATCAACTTGGTAACGTGCCGGTGCGACAACGACTTGAGGATCTGTATTTCGCTCTGTAGGTTCTCGAACAACTTGGACGACAGGCTATCGCGTTTGACGGCCTTGATAGCGACTTGATGGCGTGTCTCCTGCTGCCCTTCAGATAGCTGCAGTATTTCGATAGCTTGCAAGACTCACCTCGTGGTAGCCTTTATATACTGTCGCGAAACTTCCCTTCCCGATGTCACTCACGATGACATATGGTCGAGCATCGTTGTCCTCGTCTTTGCCGTTCGTTGCCGCGCGTTTGAACGGCTGGACTGCATTGGACATAAGCTCTGCGTATTTGTGTAGGTGGAATCCAGTATAAGGGCTTCTGCAGAATACAAAAGTGGTGGTTGTTGGTTAAGTAACGCACTGGTAGCGCATGAGGCTGAACTGGGACTATCATTACGAAATCACTTTGATTAGATAGCGCAAAGTCGAGATAAGATTCGACGAGTTTACGGGCCGATCCTTCAACTATATTTCAGCGTAGAAGAAGAGACTGCAAGTCTGCAAAAGACAAAGAGTTTCGCATCATGGGGAAGTGCATAAACGGATTGGCTGAAGCCACGAAATACAAAAATATGTAGGATATGTTTACCAATACACTGCTCAGTGCTACCCACTGAGGTCGAAGGACTTCCAGGCTCCAGCTCAAACGACAAAAAACCCGAAGTTGCTATAGCATAGAATGAAGTTAGAGAGAGTTAAAGAATAAAGCGGCGACGGGGATGCAAGCTAGAGCACTGGCGTACCAGATACCGATAGCGCTCCTAACGGCAAGAGCACCGCTGGCAGCATCATCGGCAGCCGCACTCTTGGTTGCCTTCGAGCGCGAGGTGGAGGTAGGAGAAGAAGCCACCCTAGAAGCCGGTGCCAATCCTGAGGATTCACCTTCAGCCCAAGGTTGGTTCCAGAGGATGAAAGGCTCGGACATGAAAGAAGGATAAGATTTCTTAAGGAAAGCAAGGTATTTGCCCTCGGGGTCCCCGTACACGGAAGCGACAGCGGCGATGTTGGGGTAGAGCTCAGCAGCGTAGCGGGTCTCGCTGCTATCCGTGGCCGAAATAGTCATTGCAAAATCGAGGGCGGTCTGAATGGTCGAGCCGGCGTTCGTGCGCTTGTGGAAGGCGTCAGTGTTCTTGCTGGCGAATTGGTCAAGGCGGGCATTGGTCTAATTGTATCTGTCAGGGATCAGAAGCGCCTCAGCATAGAATTCAACTCACAATCGTCGCGGCTAGATTGTAGGCGCGGTAATGGTAAGGACGAGTGCGGGCTGCTTCGAGGGGCTTGACGTGTACGTCAGCTTTGGTCATAAAACAACGCCAGTCTGCACACCTGTTCACCGCTGGCCTCGATCTGGTAGAGGTACTGAGTATTGAAGTATGCGGTGGTGACCTCCTTGGCGCCGGGGAGATCATCGACCAAAATCTTCAGAGCCGCGAGCTGGTTGTAGAAGAATGTGCCGTGATTACTGTGGCGCATACATCAAAAGAAGATCAAAAGAAGCTCGAGGAATTAATTACTTCTCTGCTTCGCGCTCTTCGATCGAGATCTCAGCTGTTTCCATCCACTGGATGTACTCCCGGGCCCATGCGATCATTTGGCTATCAAGCTCGGACGTCCAGACGGTACTACCGCCCTTGCGCAGAAGCAAAATGGCGGAGGTAATCTTGGCCATACCCTTCAAGTCCCTGGATCTCAGCGATGAGCGAGAGATACCGCATACATTCGCTGAATAGACGTACAGGAGACCAGTATGGCTCCCGACCTGACCATCGGGTCCACGCTTCATCTGACCGAAGTTAAGATGAGGGTTCATCCGCGTTTCTGTATCTAAGAACCATGCCCGAATGAAACGAACTGGTTGGATGTGAGGAATGAGGTCCCTGCATTATCTGAAGGGATACACACCAGCATCATTCTCGAATTTGGATGCCTCGTTTGTTCCGAACGTCCATGCGATTGCGTTGTAGAAGACAGCCTCCGACATGTCTTGGAAGTTGCCAACGTCGTTCACTAGGCGCCCATCGGGATTGAACTGGCCATCACGATTCCTGTACGGACAGGTGGTCCAGACTGAGAAGGAGAGTTTAGCGCCAACGACCGTCGATATGTGAAGGAACGAATTCACCCTGCTCAGGAGTCAGTGCGGTTGTGTTTCCTACACCGGAACAATCTGGCCACCAGCTTCAAAGGGATGAGGAAACAGTCAACCCAGAGGAAGACAAGTCGCACTAAGGTGCCCAACTCAGGTAGTCATGCTTGTCTCCGGAGGGTGGATTGACCGACTTGTCCATGACGCCTTCTCGACCGTTAGAAACGTTCAAAGGACGCGTAAACTTCGAAATCAAAACGTACTCCACGGCCCATTTACGACCGTCGGTCGGGCCAGCCTCTGTGCCCAAGAAATAATCTCTTGCTGTGCGCGATAGGTATGTGCGCCAAAGTTCTTTGCAAGAATGTAGTCCGGGTCAACAAAATCATTAGCGTATGCGGTTTGCGCGAGCGCGCGAACAGTGAGGACTGAAAGGACTGTGAGTTGAATGAACGTGGAGCGCATAGCGCGTTTTAAGGAAGGAATTGGAGTAACGGAGAAGATGGTGGTAACAGTCGAACAAAGAGAGAGGGCGCTGAATTCACAATGTTCCTGGGGACTGCATTCTTTAGGATACTAAACCGTGTCAGCCAAGGGGCAATTTCCAAAATTAACGCCGAGGTATACCCCTTGCAAGCGATGATCTGGGCTGACTCAGGCCGTTTCTGCCCGTTTTGATGGCTTGCTAGATTTTCAGGCGCTTGGCGTTGAGTCTCGTTTCTGCTCGTTTCAAATGAAAGTCACAACTTATGTAATGAGAAAATGGCAGGAATTGGAAGAAACCTAGTTAGCTGTCTACCACTTGCAGGAAAAAACCTATCTCCCTCGTCAAGGTGATAGTTGTGATAAAGATTGGGCGCATATCATGGACCCCTCCGCAAACTTACATTCGAGGAAAAGGAGTAGCGGTTAGTTTCGGTGCCGTCCTTGTCGGCATTTGATGGCACGAACATGTGAGAATTTGAGGGGCAATTTTCCCACATCTATTCCAGCTGTGCTTGGAAGGAAGGAAGGAAGGAAGTGTATTAACCGAGTGCGTAGTCGATTGGTCTCACTCAGGGTCTGATCTCCCTGAACATTCCGGGGATCATGCCGAAAATGGATGGCAGGCGGGACAGGTATGACACGAGGCTCATCGCAGACCCCAGGAAGCCCATCAGCGCGTTAGCTGCGGGTTTTGACTTGGCGCCGCGTGGGCTAGATATGTACACTAAAAATAAGAGCTTCTTGCCGGCTCTTGCCTGTACGCGTCGCGTCGGTGGCTGGACTTGTGCGCCTCTAAACAAGTGCCAAGCGCATGACTCGAAGTTACGGAACGGTAGTATGATACAAGATGCGAAGCGCTACGAAATGCGGGCGCTTAACAAGGGCTAGTGTAGAAGAGTGACAAAGAGTTCGGGTGACGACGCAACGGCACCCACGAGCCTCAAGGTGAGGACAGCAGAGGGTGAATACGAGATGCAAACCATGTTATTGCCCGCAAATTTTTGATCAGTAGATTATCTATACTACAGAAACTATTCAAGCAAGAATGAATGAGTGGGGGATTAGGGAGGACACGCGATATGAATGTCAATGTTGGGAGAGGAGGAATTTCTTGAGGAGGAAAGGGAGGCATGCCGAGCGCATCGGTTGCCGTGAAAACGGGTGGTGCTTGTCATGGGCTGGCTGCGCATGCTGACGGAGGGTAGGCAGGCCCATCTATCTGCTGCCATGACCTGTATGACACGGTGGAAGCGGTTGGACACCATATGCAGTATAGAGTCCCGAAACACAGTGACGAGGTGATAAAAAATGTTCTTGCAGGTTTTACAGAGTCAGAGGGGAGCTGGCTCGTCACCGAGCTATAGAAGGCATCGGAGGATTGAATATGTTTGGAGTAAGGTGTGATTCTTCCCAGCGTTGGCAGCAATTAAGTCTTTCATTAAATATGAGATTCATTCTCGAACAGGCAAATGATGGTTTACAAAGGACCGATTAAGCGCTCGCTGTCGGATTTCGTCTTCAGCATGCTATCGATGCGTGGATCTATTTTCTCTATATTTATGTTTACTGTGTACATGTGTATCGGTTTAGTACTGTTGATTAAAATGCGACTTGTGTTTTGTGCCCTACAATGTGAACTAGACGGAATATGAAAGGTCCTTAAATAGGAGGCCCGCATTAGATGCGCATCCTCACTTGCTTCGCACTGAGGTTCGCATTCCGCAAACTGCCTGAGACTCGAAAAATACTACTTTACTCAGTCGACGCTTAAGAAGACAACAATTTATTTTATTGTATAAAGCTTTAATATCTGCACCCAGGATACAGCGCCCACGGGTTTGACCAGGATCGGATGGTAGCCGCCGTTGCTGGCTCAAGCGCTCACCTCCCGACTGAGATATATTTCAGACGAACTGACTTTCCCTCTCTATGATCCACGTGTCCATTATGGTATCTATAGGGTACTTGTTAATGTATTTAGATCTACGTGGCCTCTTTTATCTTTCCACTCCGAGCTAGGTAGACAAATCGCTCTCGGAGGAGCTGGCGACGACTCGCACAGCCACTAATCAAGCGCTCGTCGTCGGATTTGGATTGTAGCGCACCACACTATTGAACGCTGCATTATCTTTTCTCACAAATAAGTTTATTATGTACACTTCTATCCATTTATTATAGTTTGCCGGAAAGTTGGTTGGTGTGGCTAGCTATACGACATAAATTAGACGAAATCTCGAGGGAGATCAGAGAGATTCTCACGCCTGCTCACCGTTTGCGGCCCGCAGCCCGTGTCACCCGCAACTGCATCGTAGTCATCGAACGGCGATTATACAGCAAATATCTTATTCCGGGGTGTTCTGGGTCCTCCCGATGCTCAACTCTTCTGGTGTTGATGCGCTGGGGGCGGGAGCGCGCGAGGGACTGTATTTGGCCATTTCGGGCTATCCTGCCACCTGTCAGCATCGGGATCAGACCCTGAGTGAGACCAATCGACTCATCACTGGTATTAACCAGCAACAAGGTCCCGTTCAGGTAACGGCCGGCCCGGTAAGTAAGGAAAAGTGCGCCTAAGTACGAATATACATATGTACTACTTCTCATCTTACTCCGGACACCAACCCCATCACTGTGCGATGATCTAACCACAAATGCAAGAGGGTCCTTGACTCAATCCAAGGATATGTGGGTGGCAGGATCACGATTAAAACCCTATGGGAGTCAAGCTGGGTTCTCCCACACTTGACTAGAGATTTTAGATCTCAAACTCATTGTGATCCGGGACCATCTGCATCTGCCAAAGACGACTCAACGGTCTCAGAAGTATAACGGCCCACCATGGACAAAAATAGGGCTTACCACGTAAATACCACCCCCCGCAATGAATATGTCACCCGAAAGTCCCAGATCATCGACGTTCGTTGACGATCATCAACTTTCATCAATGTTTGTCAACGATCTCCAACTTTTGTTGACGTTCTTTGACTTTTGTCAAAGATTTCCACCGAAATACCGTGATCTTCAACGTTTGGCACAGATCAATATGGTAGGTTTCTTCAACTTTCTGTTACCATTTTCACTGTGAGCCTCTCATTCTTTCTTTGACATCTGGCCAGAATCTTCAAGAATCTTTATATTTTTCTTCAGGAATGTGTTGGACCCCAGGACTTCGCGAGGGGCTTGGCACACTCAACTCATGTGCCAGGCCTATGCCGGCTGCTCTGCTTGCATGCTGACTAACAGTCGGGCCGTGGGGACCCACCAATCTTAGTCAGCAAGGTGTTTCTGCCCCGCTGACTAAGATTGGCAGGGTCCCACAGTGCGCTGACTAAGTCGTTGCTCCCGCCCTTCTCATCACTGTTGTGGACAGCAAGCTTGCTGTTCACACCATTTCCGGTCCATTTCCCTCCATTTTTTTTGCTAGTATCAATGTATGTAGTTATTAATAAATTTATGTAACATATATACTGTTGTAAACCCCCATAAGCTGTATAAAATGCGAAAACAATAATATGAATAACAGTCCCTCATCCTGTCACGACCTGTCCCCAGCTCCCGGCACAATTATCTGGCTCTTGAGGCTGTATCCAGCTTCTGAGGCTTGTGGTAATGAGCCATGCTCTTCCGGGACACTTCCGAGACATCTGGGAATGAGCCGTGCGCTTCCGAGGCACTTCCGAGGCGAGCCATGTTTCCGGCTCACTCCATTGTGTCTCCCAGCCATTGTCCCATTGTCCTTCATTGTTCTTCTTGTCCTGGCTAAGTTATCTATTACATAATCATGGTCCATTATTCTACATAGCATAAATACCCATGTACAGTAGTAGATTCCTCAGTCGGAATATCGAACTCGACATACCCCCTTTGCTCTAGTTCACTGCTGGAATCCGGCTCCTCCCTGTTCATCCGAAATCGGGGACACCCAGACGTTGCATGGTGGCGCAGCTGCCCTTTCCATCAAGCTGAAGCCAAGTCCCCACCCTATCCGGCACGGTCGTTACACATCCATACCCAGCCCTAGGCATATTCCCCAGCCCAGTAAGCATCTGGAGTATTTAATATAGACACATGTATGAATGGGAAGGCCACCATCCAGGTTATGGGAGTGGCAGGATATACAGTATCATGATGAGTAATGTACCTCTCCTCCTACCCCTCTTCCACACACCAATAATGCAACTATTACTATGGTTAGTAGCTCAATTTAATGGTACTACAATAGCACATTTTTAGGGCCCTCTATTTGAGCCATTTGTGGTTTGAAGGGAGAGGGTAAGACCCATGACCCTCAACAGTAGATATTTTATTAAAGAACCATACACACATTTATGGCCAATTTGACTTGGTAGATACTTAATAGTATTATGCTTGAGTATATATATGTATTTAAATATGGAGCACCGCACATGTGGGCAAAGATATGAGGAGGGGGAGGAGGAGCACATACCTCATCAGTCACCATGTCCTCCTGTCATGAATAACGCATATCGCATGCTCTAGGTAGACTCTATGGGTGTGTAATATGTATACCTTGATATTTTAGTAGTCACAGTTAGAGAATAGATGCTTGGGTGAGATGGTATTAAAGCAAGGAGGATATCTGCATAAAAAGCATGAAAATCATCCACTGTCACATAAATACATCAAGTAAAAATAATATATATACCTAGGCATGTACTCATACATTCTAAGAGCTAGCTGAAAAAGAGTTTACGAAATTAGAGCAAGATTGAGGTGAGATATGGATGAGACAGTGAATTTTGAAGGGCAGAAACTCAGTCACTACATGTGACTGTAATTTGCATCTTACTATCTACCCTTCTTTGGGAGTTCCTTTATCATATCTCACCTCAATCTTGCTCTAATTTCGTAAACTCTTTTTCAGCTAGCTCTTAGAATGTATGAGTACATGCCTAGGTATATATATTATTTTTACTTGATGTATTTATGTGACAGTGGATGATTTTCATGCTTTTTATGCAGATATCCTCCTTGCTTTAATACCATCTCACCCAAGCATCTATTCTCTAACTGTGACTACTAAAATATCAAGGTATACATATTACACACCCATAGAGTCTACCTAGAGCATGCGATATGCGTTATTCATGACAGGAGGACATGGTGACTGATGAGGTATGTGCTCCTCCTCCCCCTCCTCATATCTTTGCCCACATGTGCGGTGCTCCATATTTAAATACATATATATACTCAAGCATAATACTATTAAGTATCTACTGAGTCAAATTGGCCATAAATGTGTGTATGGTTCTTTAATAAAATATCTACTGTTGAGGGTCATGGGTCTTACCCTCTCCCTTCAAACCACAAATGGCTCAAATAGAGGGCCCTAAAAATGTGCTATTGTAGTACCATTAAATTGAGCTACTAACCATAGTAATAGTTGCATTATTGGTGTGTGGAAGAGGGGTAGGAGGAGAGGTACATTACTCATCATGATACTGTATATCCTGCCACTCCCATAACCTGGATGGTGGCCTTCCCATTCATACATGTGTCTATATTAAATACTCCAGATGCTTACTGGGCTGGGGAATATGCCTAGGGCTGGGTATGGATGTGTAACGACCGTGCCGGATAGGGTGGGGACTTGGCTTCAGCTTGATGGAAAGGGCAGCTGCGCCACCATGCAACGTCTGGGTGTCCCCGATTTCGGATGAACAGGGAGGAGCCGGATTCCAGCAGTGAACTAGAGCAAAGGGGGTATGTCGAGTTCGATATTCCGACTGAGGAATCTACTACTGTACATGGGTATTTATGCTATGTAGAATAATGGACCATGATTATGTAATAGATAACTTAGCCAGGACAAGAAGAACAATGAAGGACAATGGGACAATGGCTGGGAGACACAATGGAGTGAGCCGGAAACATGGCTCGCCTCGGAAGTGCCTCGGAAGCGCACGGCTCATTCCCAGATGTCTCGGAAGTGTCCCGGAAGAGCATGGCTCATTACCACAAGCCTCAGAAGCTGGATACAGCCTCAAGAGCCAGATAATTGTGCCAGGAGCTGGGGACAGGTCGTGACAGGATGAGGGACTGTTATTCATATTATTGTTTTCGCATTTTATACAGCTTATGGGGGTTTACAACAGTATTACAATATACATACATTGATACTAGCAAAAAAAATGGAGGGAAATGGACCGGAAATGGTGTGAACAGCAAGCTTGCTGTCCACAACAGTGATGAGAAGGGCGGGAGCAACGACTTAGTCAGCGCACTGTGGGACCCTGCCAATCTTAGTCAGCGGGGCAGAAACACCTTGCTGACTAAGATTGGTGGGTCCCCACGGCCCGACTGTTAGTCAGCATGCAAGCAGAGCAGCCGGCATAGGCCTGGCACATGAGTTGAGTGTGCCAAGCCCCTCGCGAAGTCCTGGGGTCCAACACATTCCTGAAGAAAAATACATGGTGTGGCGTCATGGAGGCAGTTCGAGGGTCTCAGAGATTCTTGAAGAAACTGGGAGAATAGGCCAGTCTGTGTCAAGGCAAATTCTCATTTGTTTTGGCCTCTGTCAACGGATCGGTGACGAACAGTGACATTCTGCAGGGTGTCATTCTTTGATTATTGTTAACATCCTGCCAAAAAAGGTAACTTTCTGTGCCGATTGTCAAAGAACGTCAACATTCTTTGACAATTGTGACCGTTCCTCGACGCTTCTTGATTTTGAACCATCACCATCCGGCCGTGGGAATTCGTCGCCCCCACCATGGCCGCGCTCTACACTACCGAACTCCTCTCATTAATCGGCATCGTCCTCCATCGGGCCCCACTCATTGCCTGATTCCTTATCTATTCATTAAACCAACACCTTTTCTTATTTATCGGAGAAGATCGCAACTTCGGCGTGGTTGTATCCCAATCGCTTTGTTGGAGGCCCGAAGACCTTGTTTACAACAACCTCAAAGCGCAACTGATGGCCCTACTTGACAGGCAGCCCGTGTACCGTCTTGCTCTGCTTCGCGCAGACCTTTCGGGGGCGCAACCTAGTCATGGAAGGCAACCCATGGAGGGAGGAGGCTAGTCTCCGATCATCAGCCGTGTTGCCTATGATCCGGCTACACCCCTTGGGGAGAAACACTAGATATTCGACTGCCTTCGCATGGTAGGGGGATGCTACAGGATGCGTGCCTTAGGGTTTGGGAAATGGGGGAGGAAAGCGGGTGGGGTTGTATCAGAGGGCGGAAGGCATAGTGGAAGGCAGAGTCACTCGTTTCAACATTTCACTTCCAAACCATCCAATCTCGTTAGGGGTACTTAGCACCTACATGTGCTGCCCCCGTCAATGGCGTTGGCCCGGCACACCAACCATGCAGGCGACTGACGGCTTGGAAGCTTCGGCGCCCAATGCTGGGAAGGACTAACACCATGAAGCCCTTGATTGTTTAGATTCGGCGAACCGCAAGGAAACTGGTCAGCTCTCACCAACTGTCTCAATAGCTGGAAGCTTCGGCGCCCAATGGGGCTTCAACCAAAGGCGGCGGGTCGAGGGATGGGATGATGAGGAGGGTCGTTTAGGTGTAGCCTACCTCCAAGGGACTGTGATCGAACACCCTATTTTTTGTGTATTTGGAGTACGTCTAAAATACACCCTACGTGGAAGACTTCAAAAAAAAAAAAAAAAATTGTGACCGTTCCTTGGCTATCGTGACCGTTCCCTGACTTTCTCCCATGTTCTGCCACAATTGTCACTGAATTTCATTTACATTGTATTTTTGTCCAGCACGGACCACCATACAGAAGGTTGATGCAGCAGGTGACACGGAAGTGAACATTGTCTAAATTTCTCCTCCGAGTAAGTGTCTCGAAAATAACCAAGGTGCAATGGAAAAATGGCCAAGGCAGTATGGTTTGTGCAGGGGACTACGAACATGGGAGTAGTGCCGAGTGAATGCATGCAATGCAGGCAGTTACAACTCGAAGAGGGCAAAGCAGAATGTAATAGTTTATTTAAACTTTACTGGTGCTTCAGACTTCCCTTTCTTAGAAGATGAAATCAGTGCCCGAAATATGAGCATATGGATGTGGTCCAAAGTCTGGCAGACCTGGCACTCAATAGACATAATGATAACTTCTGTGCTAGAGGCGGCAGGAGGGAATGAGGCACTCTCCGAGTGCGAGGAGCTCGGACGTCGTGGATAATCTCCTCTCCCGGGGCCATAGGCGCATATATGACAGCTTTTTCATACGAAGATAGACTCAATTGTGGTAGTTTTCTATCTCTCTGCCCATTTACGTAGCTGGGGGGACAAGGTGTCAATCATCAATGTCTTGGTCGTTCGTCCTGTGGTGGTGCGGAACAAGAGGTGAGACACTATGAGACATTCTAATCAGGGATCCTCAGCTGTGATGCTCGGGCGTCGTGAGCGACAACGAGGAGGCTCAAAGCCAGCAAGTGCTAGTAGCCTTAAAGCTCGAAGCTTGCAGTCTGAGCCGCTCGCGTTCTGGGGTGTGAGGCTTCGGTCTGCTTTCATGAGCAACAGCTTCCTTTGACACCCAGTTCCCATCACTCGCATCCAAGCTCAATTCGAAAAAATACCCAGAAGGCTGGCGAGGCAGAGCATTCAAGGGGTTGAGGCTCTGATCCTTGGAGGGGCGAGTTGTGTCTGCGAAGCCACCAGGGTCGTTCCCAATGCCACCGGGGAGAGTAAAGGAGGTGTGAGGCTCCGGTCCGCGTCCGTATTCGCAGCCGTCTACAACATTCGTCGCCCCTTGACACTGAAGATGGTCGGTCCCTGGCCTATGATGGCTCGACGAGCTCGGGGTCTGCTTTAATCGGTTTGAGGGTGTGCTGGAGTGTGAGGCTCCGGTCTGCTCTCGTCGGTTGTAGTAGCCTTCTTCACCAGGCGGTGTGAGGCTCCAGTCTGCGTTCGTATTTGCAGCTTCCTACACCGTTCATTGCCTGTTGATACTAAAGATGGTTGGTCCCCGGCGTATGACGAGCTCGAGGTCTGCGTTAATCGGTTCGAGGGTGTGCTGGAGTGTGAGGCTCCGGTCTGCTCTCGTTGGTAGCAGCCTCCTCCACCGTCCAGTTCCCTGACGATTTTGTGCAGGGGGTTCATTTACTTATGTTCGGAGTCGACGTCCTTGTTATGTTCCCACCTTCGACATGTACAGGTGTCCACGGCGCGGAGGGAACTCCTACTCAGTTTCGAGTCGGAAGGCTCCTGGATGTGAGCTATCTTACGGCCCGAGATTCTCTCAAGATGTTTCATCGTTGTTCCCAAAACTTGCAAAAAACTTCGGTGAGTACTACCAATACACTTGTTTATTGACCTCAGAGGCAAAAGTTGATACAGAACGCTTTGCCTCTGGCCTCATGTTGTCCATGCGCTACAGGCTCATGATGCTTACACAGGCGCTTGGACCAATACATCGTTGTGGCACCCTACTACAATTCTATGGGCCACAGTGAAAGTGGCCCGCGGCATTCACAGCGACGGAGGTGGCCCGACACTCTTCGTATAAAAGTTGGACGTGAGCTCCTGCATCCAGAGCATTTCTCTTCTTCATCCACTACTTCACTTTTATCCGATGCCGGCCATCCATTCAAAACTTCCAACCTTATATCTTCTTACAAGCCTTCAAATTGAAGGTTCGGGCCAGCCCTTTTGTTACCCACCCGAACGGGAAATAAGCCGTGATGTGCTCTTGGATGTTGCACCTGATCGCGAGGACCTGCTTCTCAATAAAAGCATAGAGGAAATCCGAAACACACTAAAGTTGCGGATTCACTCCGCTTATGGGTGCGTGCAGGTTGCGACTCTCGATGGACTGATCAATGAATATCGTACATATTAGGCATTGGCTATTTTATACCCACAGGCGGTGCGAAGTCAAGCTAAAAGATGCCACCACTCGTCGTTCCATCTTTGGCCAAATGGTGTTGAACACAAAGACCGATGATCATGTGGAAAACCGCGCGAGCAGGCCTCGTAGCGTTATACGTCGTTCAATGTCTGCCTCCTCGATCGCGGCCTCTGGTTCAAATAGTAGCCACCTGCGCGGGCGCAGCCAGAATCAGATAAATCTTGAAATTTGGGGAGGCCTTCGCCTGACCACGAAGGAAAAGCTTGTCTCGCCGCGTCCCCTCGATGCGACTCATATTCTGGTCATCCACCCTGCCCAAAGCCTGAGGCATGACAGGGTAGGCCACCAGGAGACCATTCGGCGTGTTCGTCGGAACCCTACATTCTCCGAGGTCGTTGAACTTCCAGTCAACGACCTCCTTTTCCTCCTTAACGTGCCAAACCTTATGGCACCACGAGGAGAGAGCTTCGCGTCCATCCTTCCGCGCAGGCTGCACAAGGAACTGCCTCGAGTTCTGATGGAGGTACCACATTTGGTTACTTTCCCAGAGCTCGTGGGGTATCTTCATACGAAAAATCAGGCAGCACTCTTCAGGAACTTCATACCTGAGTGGATGCGGGACATCATGCACCCCCTGCCACCAGTCCCTGGCGTTGTCCCTAGCACCAGCTGCGGTAGCTTCGGTTCTGGCTCCTGTACAGGCGAGGGTCGTCGTGTCCGAAAGCTGTTGGGCAGACTGGTGGGCAGAACTTCCTCTTCTTCAACCTTGAGTCTGAACTCTCCGGGATCGAGTGTGAACTCTTCTTTGTTGTCCGCAGAGGAACCACCGTCTCATTCGGAGAGGAGCCTGGCCTCGATCGCAGTTGAGATCGCGGAAGCTGCTTGGGACTTCAACGAGGAAGAACCAGGCTTCCTTGATCGGGTGGCTGGTCTCCTAGATGCCCTTCGCGACAACCTCAACCATATTGGTTACTTTGCGAAAAGCTTGTGGGACGAGCTTGAGATCTGCCGGGAAGTCGTCCGCAAGGCTATTTCTCATCAGAGGAGTGCAACAGGTGAACGTTACCAGGAAGAGCTCGTACCTGCACCTTTCGCTTGAAGAAAACGGCAGGCTGTGGATATGTATATACTTACTGACTCGATTCCATTTGATGTATCGGGATAATCTATGGTGTGTTATTAGGGATAACAAAGTGTCACAAGGTCGGAGTAGTCTGCTCTATGAATCCAGAGTCCTTCTAATTTCGGCAGATAGCAGTGGTATCAAAATAGCAGCCAATAAACGAGAATAGCAAAGAGGATAACAACGACAGACCTGACCCTGCCACCAAAGTCGATCCAGAAGTCGTTGACAAAGAATATAGGTCTAGGAGGCGGGTAGACGGCCACAGTTACGGTGTGCTTGTGGCCCGGGGTTGCATTCTGGGTTGTGATGAACAACGTCTGGTGGCTCTCATCATACGCCCACTTGTCGTCCTTCTCGAGCCCTCGGACAATTACTTTCCGCGAATGTGTAAGTTGCGAAGGGAGGAAAATCTCGGTTTGGCGGGAGGTGAGCTGGGTGTGCAGGGCGAGAGGAGGATTCGACACGCTCTTGGTGGTAGGCACAGAAACATCTTCAGAGCGGTTGGCCCATTCATAGGTGAAGATACCAGTGTTCATCTCGTAGTCGACTCCGAGCGGGACGCCGGCGGTCTTGGCTGCATATGGTCGGACGATGGAGGGCAGGATCCGGCCACCGTTGTCGAGCGACGGAGCGTCTTGCTCATAATAGAGCAAAGACGGTGGCAGAGCTCGTTTCCTACTGAACCATGAGAAGTTCTCGCCATTCCAGTCGTCACCCTTCAGATCATCGTTATACGGATTATAGTTCCACAGTCTGTGTAGCAAGGTCAGAAGAATCAAGGAAAGGTGGGCAAGAAGTACACACGTGAAACCAATCAAAGCCTTCTCGAGACCAGTGAGCATAGCATCCATCATGCGAGCTTGCCACGTAAAGTCGTCTGTCTCGAAGGCTTCCTTTTTGCTACACCCAGGCAGGTTAGCTTTCGGAGTACGCGAGGGGAAGAGAACTGACTTCATATCCATCGGTATGCCACATTCCCCCAAAATAACCGGTGTTTCTCCAAGGGATTTATAGCCATGCTCGACGATAGTTCTAATCTGCAGCGAGAAATTGTCTCGGGCGCCCTTTTGACCCCAATAGAACGCTTTGAGAGGGAACATGCCCTACGCCAAAGGTTAGCATTCTAATGGCTGAAGTCACGTAATAACGCACTCTGGAGAGGCCTTGGACGTTAACACTAAAGTTCCCAAATGCCTTCTCAAACAACGACTTCAAGTCATACCAATGTGGGACAAAGACCATGTTCGCTGGCCGTTGTTCTTTCGTCCACGATTTTGGGCAGAACTATTGAATGACGAGTCAACTCAGTCATTGAAGATAATATGATGCAGACCTCGTTCGGAATAGGCTCCAAAAATATTAGTTTCGAGGGAGATGATGCCATCCTCACTCGTTCACTCCATTTCGCAGCGAACGGGTAGTAGAAGTCGGTATACCAATCGATCTGTAGTGGACGGTCAGAGGCTATCGGCCCTTTGCTGTGCCATCGATCCACACCTTCTTTCCGGTATCTGGGTGTTGCCGAAAGTAATTTTCCCGTAATACGACAGCTTTGTCTGTTGTCGTGTTCCACCTCCAAACATCATGGTATTCCCATAGGCAACGACCTTGTGTCGGGCCATCTGGGCGCCATGCCTTCGTCTTTGAAGTATTAAGGAGGGTATGCGAAGTGTGTTTCGTTGGCATTGGGAATGAACGCGTCCAAGTTGCAACCTCGGTAGGGTGGCCAGCACCCAGTTGGAATGATTCAAAGGCTGAGGCTGGAGTGAAGGGAAGATGAACCTGACGACCAACTGAATGGCAGAAAGCGACATACGGACGTGCGATAAATGAAGATCGGTGTTGTAGTCGAAAGCATGCAGCGACGGAACATTGATGTATCCTCGATGAGGTTCGTTCTTCATCTGCCCCCTTCATAAAGACAACCGGATAGTAGAAGGGAAAGATCATACTAACCTGGAACCCAAGAACACCCTCAAGATCTCCAACTGCCCGCACAATCATATCCCAGGCATCCAAGAACGCGTTTTGTAAGAATTCCTGGATTGGCACATCTTGATTATGTTTATTCTTGACCAGCAACTTCGGTGCGAACACATTTCCGGCCCAAAAGCACGTTCTTCAGAGAAGTAATTCAGGTGGACGATCTTGGCATGTAGAAAATGGGACTCACGCCATAGTTGCAGCAGACAACTTCTGATAGCCACATGGCCACAATCCCCTCTCAGCCTCGACATGTCCTCCGCCTCTCTGGCCATGCAACCAAGCAGCTCCGGCATCCTCAATAGCGTGCAAATCAAACCCAACAACCTCTAATGTCCACGCCGGAGCGCCTGACCCCCCACAGTATCGAGACCACACGTCCTGGTGCATCGAGACGAAGGCTGTCATACCGTACTTAGGCAGCAACGAAAGGAGTTCGCGGATGTAATCTAAGTATTCAGTATCATACACTCCACTGAGTAGAAGTCATCGCGGTTAGTTTCAAGAATGGGCAAGAAATTGAAAGAGTACGCACGGTCCGCCATGCTCGACAGCTTCCCAGGTTACGAGGAATCGAACTGGAATGGAAGTCAGTATGTATTGTGCGGCTCGCGTAACAAGACATAAAACGCACTAAATGTCAACCCCCACCGGCGAAGACGCGAAAAGTGCTCATGGGCTTCCTCCAACGGGAACGGCCGTCCAACAAATGTGATGCACCTGTGGTCGCCCGGGAAGTTCTCATGGTCGTGGTCTGCTGGTCTTCAGACCATGAGATTTGAGGATTTCGCAAACGCTGGAAATGAATCTGACAAAACATACGTCTTGCAAGAGCCCGATAGATTCACTCCTCGCAAGTTACACACACGTCCCGCGCTATCGACAATATTCCGGCCGTCGATACGTAACCCTCCCGTCGCGCGGAGAGACCAATCGTGTGCATAAGTAGGCGTTGTAAGAGGCGTCGCAGGTGGGCTTTGGGAAGAAAGGAAAGCCTGACATCGTTGGTCGGGGTAAGTTAGGCAACTGGAATTGAGTCTACCGAACTCACTGGTTGACCTTCTTCTTGGGCTGTAACCTGCTCTTTCGACAAAGGTGAGGGTCCCGCTGGAATTCTGTCGTCCTCGACTAGAATGAAAGATGAGTCGAGACTCGACGGGGCGGACATCGAGATTTGTCGATGTGGTCAGAAAGAAAGTTAGGTCTTGGCCCCAACCTAATGTGGTTATAATCCAAGTGTTGTACATCGGCAACGCGCAACTTAAACATAATACATCACAGGTCATATACAGTCGTTATTGAATATAGTAGAGAGCTAGAAGATGATTCGGAACGAGGATCATGAAGAAAAATACCGAGTAGAGTCCAAAAAATAAACTACAAAAATGGAGCATTACTTGGAGAACGGAACCTCGATATAAATATTCCAGACCGCATTCGCGTCGACGCCATCCTCCTGGTCCGCATCTTCCATCTTCACGTCTTCAGGAGGGTCGTATCCCAGAAGCATCATCTTCCCGCCAGTCATGATGGCATCCTGAAAGTCATGATCAAGATCATACACTTTCTTGCTGATGTTGAGACAGTCGATTCGTTCGGTAGGTGTGAGGAAGAGATTCCACAACTCCGGGGCAGCCTCTTCCTTCCCCCAGGGCACCCATCCACATATGGTGATACATGGCGCTGAAGTGGACGATGTTGAGAGGGAGGAGTTGGAAGACAGAGTCGGAGGGGTCGATGCAGACACGTGGGTCTTTTCCTTGCGCGGCCTACCACGAGCCTTGCGTTCTGGGGGTTTCGGAGTGGCTGAAAGTGGGACGATGCGTGAATCGTTCGGGAAGCAGGTGTACCACAACACGTCTCGTGGAAAATCGCCGGTGACATCAACTGTCTGAAACCGATTTTGTGCGACATGAAAGAAGAAAAGGTTGTGTTCCGAGAATTGAATATGCTGAAAGGGACAGAAATGATACTGTAATCAAGAGACCTCCAAGCAAGATGCTTACCTTTCTATCCGCGAACCGACCAGGTGTCAATAAAATTCTCGTGCCGTTGTATACTGGAATCGCTTGATCAAACGCGTGATTTCGGGGTATCAAGTTGGAGTAGACGGCATCTTGGACAACCCAGCGCCAAACGTGCTCGCCAGGGAAGTACTCTGCGACGGAGTAGGAATTGTGAGGACCAGGATCTGTTTCGTCGAATCTTGTGTAGCCTCCAAAAATGAAGACTTTTGTGTTGATTGCAACAACAGCAGGACGGATACGTCCAATAACAGAACCACCTTGAAGCTGCAAGTAGAACCATTCGTTACATTTGAGGTTGATAACAACCGTTCGTGAGCTAGCCTCATTCTGGTCTTCGTCGAATCCCCCGAAGATAAAGATGAAACTGATGTCATGGAGGCGAATGAATGCACAACCGAAGCGTCCAAGGCAGGGAATCCGTCGTGTGGAGCGCTTCGCTTCTTCTTCGCAGAATGGTTGATAAGGATTCCGAAATGTCAATGAATCCTGAAACCCACTGAGTCAAAGGACTAACGTGAAACACGTAGCACACACTGTCATATTCTTCCACTTCATTGTGCCCAAATCACAGCAATACAAGTCTGGCGAGGCTTCAGACTCTCCTGGCCTGTCGCCACCGACCATGTAGACTTTGTTGTTGTTATATGGATCGTGGATGAACCGCCCGTGGTCGTTGTACGGCGGACACGATCCCTCCATACGCTGTACTATGGCCCACGCGTTCTTTTCTGACGATGAGGGAGTAAGTGGGCCTGCATGATGTTTCCTGACATGAATTGTCTTTTGTACTTCGTACGCCTTTTCGGCACGAGATACGCGACTTGTTCGCATCCGTGCGACTGCGCAACGACTTGTAGCCTTTGCGACGGGTGACGAATCGATGCAGATCATGTCGCCACGTTCGAGTATGTCGTCCATCGCGGGTTGCCTCTTAGAGGGGAGCAAACTCAATGAAGTTGGTTTGCACGCTCTGTGAGCGTGTTTGTTGGTTTACTAACCTGACACCACTCGATCAACAAAGACTTTCTCTCAGGCAAAAATAGATATCAGACTCACCTCTGAATTTTCCAGAACCTAGGTCGTCCAATACTGCCCTTCAACGCAAGTCTTCAGCTCAGCATATGGCTACTTTTACGAGGTGATGGTAGAGGTTGAAAGGGGTTCGGATTTTGCCGATCTTCAGTTCAAATCCACAACGCGTCGCGATCGGACGCGTTCAAGTCGTTGTTTTCCTTTATTCCCACTGGCACATCAACAAGGCGGATCCAAGAACCGCATTCCCAGCCCATCTTCTCGAGCCCGAAAATATGTCCGATAAATTGTTGACTCCTGAAGAACGAGCCCCACATTTGGAGGATTCTGAAGGAAATCACTTCTTGGGGGCCTGCACACTGCATCCCAGTGTTTATAAACTTTAGGACGCTATCGCAATCGGAAGTCAGTACATATCCCTAGTTTTCCGTCAACGATCTAATGACCCGTATCAGTTGTTGTTGTCTGGTTTCACCTGCTACCTGACTCTGACAGTCGCGAGGAACTTTCGGACAGCTATCACCTCCTCGGTCACCCGCTCTGATTTTCCACCTATACTGGCATCAATGGGAGCTGATCTATGTACGTATATGTACCCCCAATGCACTCAGGATGACGTTAACAGACACCGGCTAAAGCACGCACATGAAAAACCGTGTACATGTGAGTAGATGCCTTGCGCAGTCATCGATTCATCACCCATCTATTTTAAAAATCTGACATTGGCATCAACGCTCCCCAGACCCTCGAACGCTCCCCGCCGCCTCTAGGAACATGTCCACCGCCGCCAAGGACCTGCTGACTTATTTACTTATTCATGACAGCACCCGTGGAATGAAGGTACTTAAACTCGACCTTGGACAGATGGGAACCCCCCTTCGCATCGCCCTCTGCTCATCATGCTCGTCTGGGCTGCTTTTGTGACGAGTCTCCTCGGTGTAGCCGTAGCTGCTCCGCAAGTCAAGCTGGGGAAAACGACGCTAATAGGGAGAGACATCACTCTCTTGGGACTTGATTTCTTTGGCGGTAAAGCCCACCTCGCTCCGTTCATCACCTCGATAATGAGCTTGTTCACCAGGTATTCCGTTCGCCGAGCCCCCTCTCGGACAGCTACGGCTTAAACCGCCTGTCTTAAAAACGCACCTCAACGGCTCGACCTTCGACGCAAGTGACTTCGGCAAAGGTTGCCTTCAGCCGGTGAGTTCTAGTCACTCGGATGACATTCACCACGCGTTCCTAAAGCTTCTATAGGGCGGAGATGTGACTACCTTCTCAGAAGACTGTTTGACAATCAACGTCTACAGGCCCAGAGATACCCCTGCGAACGTGAAACTACCTGTTGTAAGTTCTTGGCAGCCTTGACCTTTGAACTGCACTGAAAAATTGCTCAGCTGTTCTGGACGTCGGTAATTTCCCCATCAAGTGGTAAATCATAAGCTGACAGAAATCTAGATATGGCGGTGGATTCCAAGCTGGACAATCTTCTATTTATAACGGAAGCGCCATCGTAGCGCAGAGTGTGGCCCGTGTATGTGCTCTCCCTCGACCATCCTATGTGTCCTGATCAAAATCTACCCAGGGCACACCAGTCATTTACGTTAGCTTTAATTACCGTCTCGGACCACTCGGTTTTCCTCAAGGCCAAGAATGTAAGATAATTCCCTCCCACAAAGTTTATCCAGGCTGACATTCTGTTAACCAGCTGAAACACGCAGTGCTTTGAACCTCGCCCTCAAGGATCAACTGGCAGCCTTGGAATGGGTCCAAGCAAACATCGGAACGTTTGGTGGGGATAAGAAGAAGGTAAGCCTCCCCTCATGCTCCACACCTTCGCGAGGTTAATCTCTCTAGGTCACAATCTTCGGACAAAGCGCTGGGGCTGTCATGACAGCAGTTCTATTTCTCAATTCACCCATCGAGAAACTTGCACGCGCAGCAGTAAGCATCTTGTGATCCGTTTTACCTCTTGGTCTGATGAGACTCGCTGGCCGTAGATCTTCGAGTCGGGTTCGGCGGCAACCCCAGTCGAGTTGACGGCTGCTCAGCGTCAAACAGACTGGCAGAACTTCGTGGCCGGTGTTCCGTCATGCGCTTCGCTGGCCACATCTCGAAACACCTACGATTGCTTGAAGAAGGCTAACTCGAGCGACATACGCTTGGGGTTGCTCAACGGCATCGCCAAAGCTGACGAGCTATTCGCGTTCGTGCCGACCATCGATGGTCCTCGTGGATTGCTTCCTGGTCTCGTTTCGCAGTCATATGCTAGAGGACGTTTTGCCCGCCTCCCTTTTATTGCTGGGACTAATCTGGATGAAGGTTCCTTCTGATTGGCTCTTGCTCACCATTCCACGGCTCAAGTGTGTGCTTAGGTACCATTTTTACTTCAACCACCGGATTAACAGAAGACGCCCTTCGCGCGAAAATTATTGCTAGCCTTTCTCCGCCTTTGGTGTCGTTTGCCGTTCTTAAGAACACAGCAAACGAATTGCTGGAACTGTACCCAGACGACCCTGCACTTGGTTCTCCTTTCAACACTGGTAACGAGACTTTCGGTCTTCCGTCTGGGTTTAAGCGCGAGTCCGCTCTCAGTAAGTCGCTTGCCTTAGTCCACTGAAGCCTAACTGGTTGGCGTGCATCTGTAGTGGGAGATATCGGCTTCGTGTCTCAGTGGAGGAGTTGGATACAGACTGCTAGCCGTGCCGGAGTCAAAACTTTCGGGTACTTGTTTACCCAACCCCAACCTTTCAGAGCGCCTGAGGAAGGAGGTTTGTGTCGCTGTCCTTTTGGGTCCCACCGCTCTCTCACTGCATCCCTCTGCCCAGTTTGCCATAGTTGCGAAGTTCTCTATGTATTCGGAGCTCCAAGGGATAGATCCGCTTCGTCCCTTCGCCTTAGCAGTCTCATGATTGACTACTGGGTGTCTTTCGCCACAAGTCTCGATCCTAATGACGGGCGTGGTAACCCTCGTGAGTGCTGCATCACTTCTGTGCATGTCTGCCTCGCTCAAGCGACAACCCAGGCCCGAACTGGCCTCAATATACGCCAGCCAACAAGGTTCGTCCTACAATGGTCTGGAGTGATGTGAAATCTAACCGTCAACTCAGGTCCTCATCCAGCTGAACGGCGATAACACCACTGTCATCCCTGACGACTTCCGTAAGGAGCAGATCGACTACATCAACTCCAACCCCACGGTTTTCCACCACCGGCGTGCGTTATATGCTCGTAGGAACCAGTATTAATTCCTGAGGGGCCGGGTAATGCTTCCCAGTTACGTAGACATGTATCTACCAGCGGGATGGACGTGGTTTATTTCATAATTCAATGCCCGCCTCTCGTGTCGATCGGTCATGGTGATTGTACTTGTGCCCAGTGGGCAGCCGATTACGTCATGCAAAAATAGGAAGTGACTTGGCTGCTGCGCCACACTGGCTCGGTTTCTTCCTTTTTTGTTCGCCCATTCAAACATTCCCCACTAGCCCGCGTGACGTTTCGACCGACCCTTACATTCGTCATTGCTCGGCGGGACTGTGAGGGGACTTGTTTCGTGCCTTTATCCCTTATCACTTGAAGGATCCTGCTACAGGCCACGAGGGAGCTGAACTCGGCGCCGCAGCTCCGCAATTGAGGTCCTGCTTCTCATTAATTTGGACCTCTCCATCTGAAAGTAGAACAGGGAATGGGGCTTGCCATTCCGAGGTAGAGAAGCTGAATGCGATCGTGGTATAAATGGCAGGAGCTGTCAATCACAAGGATAAGTGCTTCGAAAATCCAAGGTCTCAAAACGTTCGTATTCAATGATCTACATACACCCGCACACTGCGCACGCAGTTCCGTTCTTCCCTGGTCCCTTTACAGGTTTCTTACCCTTGGTCTGGAAAAAGCCGGTGGGCTGTAGTCTTACCGGCGCATGAGTCAGTCAGCTTGCTCATCTAAACGGCCTCCGGTATGTCGTCTGCCCGCTTCAACTCGGAGCATTACAAACCTGAGAGTCTAATTATCTTTTCCTTTAAAATGCGCTTCCACGATACATTTTCCCTTTTCCATCCTATGAGAATGTTATCCTTTGCTCTAGTTGCTATAGAAAGGCTTCTTCAGCCACTTCCACCAAAGTTCGACATAAAAAGAAGACTCTATTGAGCTGACGCGAATGCATTTCATAATTCATGCCAAGAAGTTTGATTACCCCGTGCCGTCAATGTCCCTTGCTGTGCTGTCTGATTTGGGGCCAAACATCCAACACCGAAACTTCCCCAACCCCTCCTTCCGTCTCGAATATCACCTAGGAATGTCCACCGCTCTTCAAATACCCTACAATCTCCCGAATATCTAGTCCAACACGCTCTGGTCTCTCAAGCAACCGTGTCAACGCCACGACATCGAAGCACTTAATAAGTTAACCAGACACGACGCGGATTCTACCTGGCTTACCCCTACGACCACTACCTACGACGCAGGACGCCTTTCACCGGCAATACGATACTTATAACGACTAAAATAACTCCGATAACCCCAGGGGAACAAGTGTCTGCATAGTAATCATCACACCGCCCACCATGTCTCACATCGACGCCCTTAAATCCCCCCGGCCGCACCCCTTGCTCAACAAGCAACTGCTGGCGAACGGCAGCAGCGTCAGTGTGAACGAGATGCCACACACGCCGTCCGGACTACGCGCGCAGCTGGGCCACCTTCTCCCTCGACATGCCAACTTCCGCGCCCGCGTCACCATTCATCAGATAGCCAGCGTGCCATTCGTGAGCGGCGAGTTCGGGGTGCGGTGGAAGTTCAAGGGGGTGCAGAATGCGCAGGGCCCGAAGCAGGGCCTGCTGGGGCGGGCGAAGGCGCGGCGGGCTGATAAGGGCAAGGGTCGGGAGGAGCATGGCGATGGTGAGCGCTTCCTCGACGCCCTGAGCCCCGGGAGTTCCGCGAGCGGCGGGCCATCTCCACACACTGCGAACTCGTCAATTTCTTCGCATTCTCAGCATCTCTCTGCCGATTGGAGCACCACCGCGACCTCGACGACCTCTGCGACGACGCCCAACTCATCAGTGATAACTATGGGGCTGACGCCGTCGACACATTCTGGCACGACGACGCCAGACTTGACTACCGTTCTACTTCCTGGAAGCACGACGCCGGCGCGTGGCATGACAACCTTCCTACCACTCAAGGAGCACTCAGTTGTGTGGGGTCAGACGCTTGATACAGTGCTGAAATTCGACATTGATCGGGAGACGTTCCAAATAATGCCCAGTCCGCTGAAACTTGTCGTTATGCAGCGTGTCATCCCCGACGATCCCCGTGGATCGCCGCAGAACCCGCGTCTTGGTGCTGTATACCTGAATCTTGCCGAATATGTCGGACATGGACCGGTAGAACGACGCTATCTACTGAAGGAGAGCAAGACGAATGCCACACTCAAGGTATGTACCATTCATATTGTAGAATGCACCGTACTCACTCTCGATATCGCAGTTGACTATCGAGATGGACTATGTGAGCGGCGAGACACACTACGTACCACCACCGCTCGCCAAAGGGGAGATTTTGAACGGGATCGCCGGCTTTCTCGAGAATGACATCGTCAAGAAGCGACCGCGTGCCTTGGACATTTATCAAGAACACGACGAACCCCTCAAGTCCGCCCGAGTACCGAAAACGGCGAAGTCAGAGCGCAAGGTGTCACCGCCAACCACCACATCGCCAGATACGGACAGCGACGACGATTATTACGGCTACTCGGAGGAAGAAGAGGAGTCGCCCAAGATCACAGAATCGGTGGAGATTGCATTCGACGTCCGGAAGCTCCCAGTCGCACAGGGCGTCAAGACCACTGAGACCCTCATCGAGGCGCTGTTCAACCCGGTGAAGACCAACGAGAAGTCCCAGGAAACCCCCTTCACCATCTACGAACCATTTTCCGCCGGTCCCACCCCCACCGCATATGGACTCGGGTTAACGGGCATCCCTATCGACCGCCACGCCACTATCACCGTCGGACAGGGCTACCCACAGCGCCGCACACACACCTCGCGCTACAGCACAAGTAGCAGCAGCGCCAGCCTTCGCACGACGTCCGACTCCTCGAAGAGTATGCCTTCGCGGGAGAACAGTTTCTCACAATCGGAGCATTCGTCGTATTCGGGCCCGTATCATGGTGTGCGGACTACGCCTGAAGGCCGGGTCGTGGTAGATAATAAGGGCCAGGATGAGTCCACAAGCTCGCTCGGGGGGATGAGGGGATGGTGGAAGAGGGCTATCGGGAGCCGACCAGGGACGCCTACCGCCGCCAGGGCATAGGTGGATTTGATATATTTCTTATTGCGGGTCAGTGGCTCAGTATCTGTTTTTCTTATTTCTTCGATTCGTTCTCCTCGCTTTTGCGCTATATTTGCGATTTTAGGTGATTTGTACTTCTCTGTAGTCTACGTTTTCGTTCGTCTTTCGTCACACATGCATCACGTTGTTTACGAATCGTCAGGTAATATTTAGTGGTCTTGCTGGTTTATATCTTATCGCTCTTGGGGTCAGTCTATAAGTTATTAGTGTTGATATTAGCTGGTGGTCAATACATATTTTAGAGAGCACATTTCGTGCGTCGTTCAGTTAGGAATTGGTCTGCCGGAGATGTTGTTCTCAAGTCCAAGATCTCCAGATTTCTGGCGACAATCAAGAAAGAGGGTCCTGGGAAGCTGGAATGTAAGCATGAACAGGGTACATATTGCCTTCTTCTGCGAGAATGTAGGGAGAAGGCGCACCCGATTACACAAGTACAAACAGGGACCCACACTTCGAGGTCAGCAACTGTCCGTCTTTGGATCGCGAAGCTCCATATTTTGGTACAAATCGTATGTCAACTTGATGTACTTGTTATCTCTTACTGGTGCCCTATTTATCTGCCGCTTAATCAGATGGCCTTCGTCGCAGAAGAGCCCGACGATGATGAAAAACAGCCGGATTCGAATTAATGAAGTCGATCTGTTTCTTGCGGTAGTCATCCGGGATGACCGTCGTATTATCGCCGTCCAACTGGAGAAGGACCTGATGCGGGGTCAATCCATTCTCTCTAAATGAAAGAATAAGAGCAGACAAACCTCGTTCTCTGGAGTATACTGCGGCCAGATGGGACCTGCACCAAAGTTATGAAAAAGTGATTGGGTAAATGAAACCGTACGTACGTTGATTTCCGAGACCATCGTTTGGAGTAAGACTGGTCGCAAACGACACCCAATAGTCTATCATGATGCTGCTGAGGTGAAGGGCTGACGCCGATCTATCACTTGGTACCCCATATACGAAGACAACCTCGGAGACATGCGAAACTGGAAACAGATCACGATCATCAAGCGAGTGCAGAAGAATAGAAGGGATCAAAACCTCCGTCTTGTGGCTTCCCATTGGGTTGAGGCTGGGTGAACAAGTACCCATACGTCTTCACTCCGACGCGACTCGCGGCTTGGATCCAGCTCCTGCGCTGAGACTGGAAGGTGATATCGCCCACTACACACGAAGAGGTGTTCTGAGCCCAATACTGGTAAATGAAATGCACGAGGAAAAAAACGCACTAATAGCAGCCTGTCGTTTGAACCCCGGCGGAAGACCGAAAGTTTGATTTCCTGTATTGAAAGGGGATCCAAGGGCTGGGTCGTCTGGATAGAGCTTCAGAAGTTCGTCCGCCGTGCTGTTGAGCAAGGAAGGTGCGACTAGAGGTGGCGAGAGACTGGAGATGATGGTAGCGCGAATGTCGTCCTCCGTTAAGCCCGTGGTTGGGGTGAAGGTTGTACCTTTGCCAAGTTCAGTCCAGTGCAGGGAGGCATATCAAAACTCTAATCTGGGGCTAAGAACACACCTTCATCCAAATTCGTCCCAGCGATGAACGGCAGCCTCGCAAAACGACCGCTATTTACGAACGTCGAAGCAATATCCGGGAACAAGCCTCCAGGACCATCGATAGTCGGATCGAACGCAAACAGCTCTTGGGCATCTGCCAGGGCGTTCAGTAACCCCAACCGGATGTCCGTGGAGTTCGCCTCCCTCAAGCAGTTGAACGTATTTCCTGATATGGCTAGTGAGGCGCACGAGGGCACCCCAGAGACGAAATTTTGCCAATTGACTTCCCGGTGCGCGGCTTGAAACTCAAGGGCGGTGGCCGCGGAGCCGGACTCGAAGATCGCCGCTCGTGCAAATTTTTCGGTGGGAGAGTTAAGGAAGAGCACGGCGGTCATAATGGCTCCTGCACTCTCGCCGAAGACGGTGACCTTACACAGGTTAGGTTAGAACAACATGTGACGAAATTGTTAGAAGTTCACTGACCTTGTTCTCGTCTCCTCCAAATACACCGATATTCGCCTGAACCCATTCCAATGCCGCCAACTGGTCTTTCAGAGCAAGATTCAAGGCATGCTTGTCATCAGCTAATTTCGTCCGGGTCAGTGCGAGGAAAAGGACGAAGATAGCAGTATCTCACCCTCTTGACCCTGTGGGAAGCCGAGGGGTCCGAGACGATAGTTGTAGTTGACATAGATGAGCGGCGTTCCCTAATAAGATACTCTTCAGTCACAACCGTGTACCTGATGAAAGAAGCCTACCCGGGCCACGCTTTGTGCCACGATTGCACTGGCATTGTATATTGATGCCAGACCATTCTGAAATCCACCTCCGTATCTGGTTACGCTTCAGTTTGCACGGCTAGCCAAGAGCAGATTACTCACGTCCAGAATAGCTACAATACCTATTACGTCGCATAAGCATGATTTGAAACAAAGAGAGACGTACAACAGGAAGCTTTGCGTTAGCTTTCGTTCCACTAGGCCTGTAGACGTTTATCGTCAAACAATCTTCCGAGAACGTCGTAACATTGCCGCCCTATCAGTTGCAGAGGTTAGTCGCCATTGACTTGATGGTGGTACGTTTTGGGATCCCTTTGGACGCACCGGCTGTAGGCAGCCTTTGCCGAAGTTGCTTGCGTCGAAGGGCAGAGAGTCCAGTTGCGTTTTCAACACTGGCGGCCTCAAGCGCAAATGGCCGAGCGGAGGCTCGGCGAAAGGTATCCCTGAATCGTAATATGAGAGTGAGTATCGAAGGCAGGAAGGAGTTCTACCGAACATACCTCCAAAGAATTCGAGGCCAAGGAGGGTGATATCTCTCCCAGTTAGCGTCGTTCTTCCCAGCTGAAGCTGAGGCGCAGCCGTGGCCAGTCCAAGGAGGGTAGCGACGAAGGTTGTCAAAAGTAACATGCTGCGAAGGAAAGGAGCGGGTGGGATATTGACTGGGAACGTACTCTAATTTATATTGGTTGGTTCCATCGGAAGGGTCTTCGCAAATGAAAATTTAGTAGCTAATCAAATCAGCAACTTGTTGGAAGAACGCAGAAGGCGGAAAGGATACGCCAGTGGCAGGCTAAGAATAGGCAAGTGAGAAAAAGGTAGGCACTGTAGCACCCGTGGGAGTACCTTGTGTCGTATGCCCCTCTTGCATTCTGACAGGCGCCATAGGAGATTTCATCGAGGTATTATTGACTGGAGGGTAATAACCCTAGGAATGGAATTGAACTGTTCTGGACGGGAAATGAATGAAGGATAGGACACTGGGACGTCTAATCCCGGTATTAAAATGCGAAAAAAGCAAGGTGAAGGTGGGTGTGAATTAAGGCAAACGAGGCTACACATGTGTTATAGATAGCGAAGAGTTTATTGGCTGGACGTTTTCTCGAGGTATGCGATAGTGTCTTCAACGCTATAAGTTGACAGCGAGATCAATACGGTTCTCGCCTCCAGCGCTCAAGAAACCTCACCTCGCAGGTTCCAATCCAGAGCCACCGTCATTCAAACTCGCAGCCGCCATCAGTCTCGCCAGACGCGCCGTTTGAAGAGTCAGAGGCGATGGCCCCGGAGAGGCCTTTCGTATTGAATCGAACCGCGAGATCGTCGGCACTGTGTACTGCTTCACTTTGCGCCCTTGTTGTACCAGCTCCGCTTCCCGCATTTGTGTCCTAAGCTTCATGCCACCGAGGCCCAAAAGCTCCGGAGCAGTTGTCTTCAGGTAGTTGTCCAAGCCACCTTTCTGCAGTAGCATGAACATAGCCCGAAGAACGTAAGCCAGAAACGCACCTTGTGAATCGTTTTCAGCGCCCGTGTCGTCAGCTTCACCCTCACGTTTCCGCCAAGAATCTCCGAAGGCACCCGTTTCCTTTGGACATTGGGCAGCCACGTCCGACGCGTCTTATGCTTCGAGAAAGGGACGTTATTGCCAGCCTGCTTCATTTTCCCTTGGAAAAGGCCGAACTGTGAGCGCTTGAAAGGCTGAGAGACGAGCCTTGGAAGAATTTTGCTGGAAGACATGACGGCACTTTGGGAGTCACTAGTCACCGCCTAAGCCGCCGATTATGTTTGTCTATACTTATTGACGGGGGGAATTCCGGGCTGGCATTTCCGACAGATCGAAATCAGTCCCCCCGTCTTCCTCCCTTCCCATTTCTACCCAGACGACGGCTCACGGAAGTTACTCGACGCCCACAACGAGGGCGGATTCCGAGTGAAAAGGATTTCTTATTCATTTGTTTGAAAATGACGTTCTTGCTAAATGTTACCAAACAATTTTACAGGCCAAGAAAATCTACAGCTTGTCCAATGACTTGTTTTCTCATTCCCCATCCTCTTGCAACGTTTCTGCGACCTCGTGGAGGTCTGGGGTATCGTTACCCTGTATCTTTATGAATCGCGAGCCTCTCACTATTCAGCCCCCAAGAAACTTTGTCAAGATCGAGCATTCGTTTGGAATGACTATATTCAGAACAAGAACAAGAACAGATGAACTTCTTAAACCTGCACCAGTTATCATAACACAGCCCCATCAAGCTCGCCTTGAATACAGACGGTGGAGGTGGCTTTCAGCAGCTGACGACGCGGCAGCGGTTCCGAGAGCATGAGCCTGACTTTTCACCATCCGGAGGACCGAGATTACAATTTACAAGAACGCTAAAATCTGGGTCGTTATGGGCATTTGTTGTTTTTATTCTCAAAGGGAACTCTTGTTTCTGGCTCAAGGGCGATTAGAGCCACCACCTTTGGTAAGTTCAAAGTCTTCCCTGCGGCGTGTATTCAAATATCTGATTACACAGCGCCTCCAAGTTAACGCCAGCAGCTCTTCACACTTAAATAAAGTTGAGACCATTCGATGCCTCAGGGCACGTTGCGCGGTCAAAGCTGAAACGCACACCGGCGGGCGTCTAGACGTCCAAGAGCTTGAAATGACTCACCTTCACGAACGCAAATTGCGATTTATCCAGGAACTCATTTCATGAAATGCCAACCAACGACGCAAGAGCGACTGTCAAATCATGTTGGACTATCCCTTTCAAGTGAAGTACGATCGACCTTGGCTCCTACGTGTCTTGAGCGAATCGCTTTGAAGCTCTATCTTCTCTGATCAAAAGCTGCTCTCAAGAAGAAGAAAATACAGTTTTACGCGAGTCGCGAAGCCAATGCGAAGCCCGGCCAACGTGAGAGCTACTCAAGTCTGGTGCAGAAACGCCAGATAACGGGGAAGGTAAGCCCTTTTAGGTTCGTCTCCGGATCGATCACGTCAAATACACCGAATCGGCTGCATGCATGGGAGTATCTTATCCGGGGATGGAAAGTATTGTGTACGTATCGCCCGTCAACCCTTGAAAAAACCTGGGAGCCATAAAGAGGTGCGGAACAGTATTGCGTTGTGTTTCTTTCCCGACGTCTCCATCCACTTCCTCCTCCTCTGAGCACATTCTTTGTCTCTCCCCTCGGCGCTTCTTATAATTATTTAATCTAATTGGTGTGTGTGTGTGAAGATATGCCTGCTCAGAGGAGAAGTTCACGACACAGCGACGCGTCAGGTGCGTGAGGTTGTGAGCTGAACTGCGAGCTGAAGTACTGATAGAGACGTAGAGCCTGACTTTGCTCTGCCGAAGGCGGAGGAGACCGACATCGCATTCGCGCCCACTGTCACACCGACGTCATTCGAGAGCGCGCCGTCGGAATGTTCACTTCCTGACACGGGCATCTTCACCTTCGAGCAGGACGAGCTTCTTCCTCGCCGGTCCACCAACAGCAGGAAGAAAGCGCCTAATCACATCCCACGGCCGCCCAACGCCTTCATCCTCTTCCGCTCCTCCTTCATCAAGAGCCAGCACGTCTCTACAGGCGTGGAGACGAACCACAGCACGCTCTCGAAGATCATCGGCCTGACTTGGCAAAATCTTCCCAACGAAGAGCGCCAGAAGTGGCATGCGCTTGCGAAGGTCGCGCAGGACGAGCATAAGCGCCGTTTCCCGCAGTATGCTTTTCGACCCATTCACAACAAGTCGAAAGGCGCTGCAGGGGAGAGAAAGAAGCTGCGGGAAGTCAGCCCCAAGGACAACAAGCGCTGTGCCAAGATCGCAGAGCTGCTCGTTCGCGGCACGACGGGCCAGGAGCTCGAGGACGCCATCCATGAGTTCGACAAGCACCACGTCCCGGAGATCGTTACGCGCTTTGAGACGCCGATCACGGAGAAGACCTTTGAAACTGCGTCTTCGCCTTCCAGATCCACGGGCAAGTCCGCTGAGAGCCCTTCAAGGCGACGCAGTTCTTCTGTCGAGTCCAATATCGATGCCCATCCGTGGACCGTCAGGTTCTCCCCGCCTCCGGGACCTCCACCTCAACTCTCACCAGTAGAAGAAGCTACGCCAACACCAACACCCACTCCTTCGTTTGAGACGCCTTCGTTCTACGCCAACCCACCTGCCAACCCACCACCTTCGTTTGTAAGGCTTCTCCTTCGAATCTCCGTATGTTTTGACTCCTGCTGATTTACTCCCACCAGGAATTCGACACATTCGCTTTCTCCATCGACCAACCTACCTCTCCATTACATGACGAGGGATTGGCGCCGGCCGCCATTCTCTCGGCGCCTTCATTTAATAACATTAATTCTCAGCCTCAAGACCCATCACGGCTGTGCCGTAACTCCCAATTTCCGGGCATGGACGGCGGCTGGCCTCGCTCCTGCTCTCCCCTTTCCAACTCGACAGCAAGCATGCCGACGACACCGATGCATATGACGGTGCCTTTCCCTGATCAAGGTTTCTGCCCTGGTCTCTTCGCCCCCAAGCCACCCTCCGACTACCCTTCCCTGGACGGATCGTACACCGATTTCACTCCCTATCCTACGCAATACGCCCCCGTATCGGAGCAGGCGCTGTACATCCAGGACAACGATGGGAAGGAGCTTGGGAACGGCATCGTTTCTAGTTACGTTCAGTCTGGCCCACCAGAATTCGGTGAAAACCAAGTCCAGATGTCTCAAGAGCCCCTGGATTTCTCGATGTTTATGGCATCGCTGCCGCCCTTCTCACTCTGAAAGGTCGTCGTCGACTTCCTTTTCCAGCCAAGGACACCCATTACACTCCGTTACGTCTCGCCCATTTAAATTTAAAACTATTATGTTACTGTATTAATGTGTGCTTCAACGAGCGTAACGCCTACCTTCCTGGGGGTTCCATCATTTGTCTATCCTTTCGTTTCCACTTACACACTACTTAGCAGCTGCAGGTCTCGACATCGCTTTCCCCTATGTGCTACGTCTCTATGATACGACATCTCCTCCTTGTTTGATACCCTTGGATTACATCGACACTCTGTTTAATAATTCGACATTGTATGTAGTGTACTTTAGCAACGTGTCCTCGGCGCCTCGCCAGCTTCGTTCATTAGTAGGACGCTGTTGAATTAAATGTGTTATAGGTATAGGACTTCGACGCTCCGTGATTAATCCAAATAGTAAGGCACGCTTTCAGGACGCTGAGAACAAATGTCCCCATCCCAGCAGAAAGCAAGTTGGATATCCAGGTCTCAAATTGAAGTAATTATACGGATGATGCACATTAGACAATAATGACGAGAAGCAACCCAGATTAATCAGGCAGGGACCCTTGTAGCTCTTCTCGGGTCTGGCCATCGCGCACGTTTAAACACGCGACATATATCCTTTAATATTCTCTAGTTTCAGGGGAAGGATAACAAGTAGACTGGGACACTCACGTGAACAACACCGCGGCAAATCTGAGCCATGGCATCTCTGCTTTCGTATACGGGATAGATCACCACAATAACGGCGGAGCAGATGGTCCAGGCAACGCCCATGATCACCCAAGCAAGCATGCCACTCGGCGAGAACACAAGGCCAGAGAAAAATAGTGGTAGAGGGATGAGGATAATCAGGAGGACAAACTGTATCACGAAGCTCGTGAGCAACTGGACTAGAGCGGCGGAGATAAATTCGCAAAACCTACCAAAGTGAGGGAAGACCACGACGCGAACTTGAACGCAGCTTGGAGAGTAACTGGGTTCAGTTCTCTCAACTCCTCTTGTTGCGTGAAAGCCTGGATCCTCGTATGGGTGCGCACTGATTCTTGCGTGTCTTCACCTGTCCATGTCGTCCTCTTCACGTCCAGAGGGATGTGCTCAGGGCTTCCAGCACGAGTATCAGTCTGTGTCAATGATGGAGTATCGATGTTAACAGGTTTATTAATTGCGCGGGTAGATCCCCAGTCAAAATCATCGGGCCACTATGGAAGCATTTCAGTACGAGTCGACAGGATAAGAACGGTAAGAAGAGCCGTACAACCAAAGACGTAACGACGGCAAATAATCCGCCCACAACGATGGAAGTTACATTCCCAGCAAGCATTTCGAAGTCGCCGCCACTGGTCTAACAAGAGGTCAAATGGAGTACACATGGGTTCTGAATGGGGACAAACCTCGACGTTGATAACGCCGTCATTTAATTTAGCAGTAGTCACCAACCAGGCGACGATCCCTGCAACGAAGCCGACGACGGTCCCCGAGAGGCAGCCAAGTCTGTTTGCCTTTTTCCAGGTGATACAGAGTGCGATTGGGGCAACACCGGATCCTAGGATCACGCCCATGAAGGTCTGGACAATAAATTAGTACGGTAAAAAAAAATACTGCGATTACACCCACATAGAGCCATCCCATGGAAATGCCGATGTAAAAGAATATGACCCCAGCTATGCCAGATACCAGTGCATAGAACGCGACCATGGCATGGCTCACGCGCAAGATCTGGGCGTCAGTAGCCTTGGGATTGATATATGCCTGTTTTTCATCGTTGAATATAAATCACAAATTACGCAGCAGATACAGTCCACGGAAATCACCTTGTAAACATCGTACGTTAGGATAGTGGAGACGGCGATGAGCTCTGCGGAGGATGCGCTGGTGACGGCTAAAAACAGCAGAACAAGCAGCGCTGCTGCGCCAGCTTTCCCGAGGAGAGCGGCGGCAGCTGCAGCTGCTGGAAGCCCAGCGGACACGTCAGCAGGAGTGAGCACCCTCATGTCGGGGTCCCCACGGAGCGCGACTGCGGCAAGACCGAGTGTCGTAGCGAAAGTGAATGGGATGGAAAACCTGATCGACATCGTGAAGGTAAGCTACGGAATTTCGAGGCACCAAACGCTGACCTACCATGCAAGACCGCCAAGCAAGTAGGCTCGAACGGTGCTAGCTGGCCGACTTGCGATAGCCCTCTGCCAGTAGGCCTGGTCCTGGAACACCGTCGCGAAATTTCCAACGATGTTGATGATACCAAAAACGAGGCCATTCGTCGATCGCATGGTAGTGTAGGATCCCTGGGCATTGCCGGAAACAGGTGCCTCGATTGCTGCTTTTTGAAGCAGTTCGTACATTTTGTCAACACTTCCGATTTTTTCACTCAGAGAGTACACGGTAAATATGAAGGTCTGACGGAGATCAGTAAAAAGATGATAAAATCCATAATCGAAATTAGTCGTACCAAGATGATGGCGAATAGAACGCTCGTATGGGTACTGAAGGTCACAGATCAAAAACTTGTCTGAGGGAATTTAACAATCAACTTACTAGTCACAGAGTAGAGTTGACCGCATGCCACCAACAGCGACGTAAATTGCCACCCCAAGTGGGATTAAGAAACAAGCCTGCGACGTTGTCAGTCAAGAAAAGAACCTGAGAACATGTCGTACCGCAACGGTGCTCATCCCCGTAAGGTCGGTGACTGTGGCTGAACCGCCAAGAATGAGCATTGAACTAACGGTGATATTGGTGGCGAGCCTTGCGAGAGAAAAATCAGGTCACTGATGAATAGCAGTATGAATACCACAAACCCAAAGAACATGAAAATTAAGTGAGCTGCGCGGCCCCAACGCATACCAACAATTTCGAGCCAAGTATGTGCGTATGGCGCGTTCATCTTCAACTTTGCGGCGAGCTATAAATAGATGTTACGGGGAGTCTTTCAAAAAGGAGAAAGGCGCTGACCATGGCAAACAGCAGAATTTGAACAGTTGCACCAGCTATGAAATTTTCAGTAGTATTCAACTAGTTTTAAAGACACATTACCTCCGTACCACCACGGACCACTGATTCCTGATGACAACATTCAGTTACGAGACCGAAACATTGAAACATTCACATCAGCCTACCGAATTTATAGCCTACCGCACAGCTCTGGAGCTGAGGAAATGGCATGAGTCGGGTGTATAATATCGGGTATAATATAAGGCTGCATACCAAAGTAGCAGCCCATGTCCACGCAGATACAATCCCCGAGGCTATGAGACCGGGTTTCACGCTCCGAGAAGCGCTCGTATATTCGTCGGGACTCTTGAGCGAGAAGGTCGTATAGCGCGTTTGAATAGCAGTGAGGGTGATCATAAGTGCGCTGAAAAATAATCCGATGCCTTTCCGTGCTCAAGTGAGGAAACAGAAGACGGTTCCGCGAGACCTGTCCTTACCGACCACTGGGAGACAGCCCATGAGAGTTGGCACTGAAGTTGATACTGTGCTCACTTACCGACGCCATAGCCAGCACCTTGCGGAAGGATTGTGGCCGTCATGTGCAGCTGTGGGGGCTAGTTGCACTCGAGGGGTGGGTGCTGACAGAAGAAATCGGAAGCGTATATGTGGACGAAGTCCCTGTTTCGCGTTTCCTATATAAGCCTGATCTTGGGAATGAATGGCACTAAAAGATTGAACGTGCCATTCATTGTTTGTCTGCATATCAGTAAGTTTGTCCTGTCATCAGCAGCAACCATTAAATCAATCTAAAGCACTTGCCATCTCTGGCCTAGGATGGGGTCATATCTCGACCGGCGTAAGATGTCCAAGCCCGAGACAGCTATCAGGCATCAGCGATGGAAGAGGGTATCGAGAATCGCGGAAATCCAGCGAAGAGCCCTGATGAACTGCCTCTTCCTTACATTCATTCCGTTGGAGTTGGAAGTTCGGTAACGTTCGGTAGTGGTGGAAGGTATTTAAGCTTTGATCGTGAGAATTGGCAGTGTCTGTTTCGGTCTTCGGCAATGTATTGATCCCATCATGCCGTCGAACTGCCTATACTGGATTTGGTCAATAATCCCCCTAATCTCAGGCTGTGTGGCGCTCCGAGGAGGACGTTGCTGAGGTGCAAAGTCTGCATGCTATCTGACTCATGCACCGGCGTATGGCCCGATTTCCTCTAAAGCAGCAATGTTGCATCCTCCACTACTCCACCAATCCGAGGGATTCTATTCTTCTCCCGAGAGAATGCTGGCACTGGTGACTGAAGGCGAGAAGGAAAGTTCTATTTTTGTGCATTTTTGCGCGGAATCTTTAAGGCTCCATCCGTCAGTGTTGTATTGTCCTTCATCAAATGTTCATCTCGGCGTTCAGGGTCTAGTCTGCGATAAGCGCTTCCACTGAAGATAGGTGTTGGAGACATTTAGGACGTCTATCCAGAAATATTTTGCAGGCGATGCTGATCAACAAAAGATGGGTTTCCTTAAGGGTGCCATACTTAAACCACTATCCATTTGATCGAGTATAAGATTCGGCAAACTCTCGCGCCCAGCGTAACGACATTTGGCACACGCCTCCTAGCAAGGATGATTCTCGCCATACCGAGAGACCTGCTAGGCTGGGGTGATCAGGATGGTGGCTCTGTGGCAATTATCCTAACCTCTCTCAATAGAGCATGCCTGGTAAGTGTTTTGCGCTCGTTCTTGAAAGCGACCTATGCTCACTTCCCGATAGGTGGAAACGATTCTTTATGGCAAGCATTTCGATTCTCCGATGTGAGTTGAACCGGGCTAAACAAAGCTTTGCAGGAATACACGTCGTCCTGTTCTGCGTCGCTGTCTTCGTAATCTTCAAGAACAACCCAGAGACACAGAAAATATTCCTACTTACGATCACACTCATGTTTGGCTTATCGACTGCAGACATGTTTTTCACATTTCGCGTGCTGTTGAAAGACTTCCCCATGCTATTTGACGGCAGAACGGACGTTCTCCTAAATCGCGTCTATCCAAAAAGTCCAATATTTGTCTCGAACAAGTATGCCCATTGCATTTATTGAACCCCAGTGAATTCTAATGTTGACATTCTCTAGCTGTATTGCAGACTTTCTTTTGGTACGCAAATTTCTATGCCATTTTCTTTTATACGCGATAGGCGACTCTAACCCTCCGTTCTCAGCTGTACCGATGTTTCATGATCTGGGGACGGCAGCCATACGTCGCTATCGCTTCTTCGATACTGCTGATTGCTGATACAGGTGAGCATGAGCTCATTTCCACTGTCAACCTAGCTAAATTTCGCACATTTACAGTCTGGGGGTGGATTGGAGCAGGGTCACCAGTCTTTTCCCTTGCAGCAAGATTTGCTCCGGTATATTACTGGACCGTTTTCGCAACAAACATCATCATGACTGCAGCAACAGGTTCGTCGCAAATTCTTGCTGGCACCGACTGAACTTTGAAGTTAACGCCTTTTTGGACACAGCCGGGAGGATATATTACATGGCAAACATTGCCGCTCCTCTCAAATTTGCTCGGAGTGGTGGTCGGAGGTATCACACCGCCATTGGGATATTGTAGGCTCAACAGAAAACATTTTACTTCCCGCTTCTGACGCCCATATCGTCAGAGTCGAATCCGGGGCGGTGTACTCTTTTTCCTTGTTGGCCCTTATCCTCTCGTTTGGGAACCCTAATCTTCGGGTGAATTTTGATTAGAATGCTCTATCCTTTCTCTTATTTTTCTTGTGATAGATTCTGTTTGCTGGAATCACGATACGCTTGGTGGTAAGCACCTCTTGGCAGTGAATGTAGATAGGCGCTAAATCAACCCGAGTACAGGCAATCATGCCCACTCTCATGATTGTCCAAGTAAAATTGGGCCGCAGCATTCCGAAATGCGACGCCGAGATCTCAATGGGCCCCGCAACGAGCAGACTCACCGTTGTCGGCCGGGGCACAGTCGGTACGGTGGTGAATATTCATCAAGCCTCGCGTTCTCGGCATTCTTTCGACTCGGACGTGCAGCCGCGGGGGCCTGGCATCATGATCACCCACACGACCCACAAGCACACCGACTCCTTGCCAGACAAAGACCCTGAAAGTCAGCCAGAGGCGGACATCACCCAGCAGAAGGACCATGGCACGGAATGATGATGGACTGGATATAATGTAGAGGGATATTCTCTGTAATGTAAGGCGCAGTCGAAGCCGTTTTATGCGATATTTAAGGGTTAAGAGCATTCCATGGTGCGAGTACCTCACGAGCGCTGATGAAAATAAAAGTAAGCGCCCATCCGATGTCTTGGATGCTGGGCACCCGAACACTAGTTTGGTATTCGTCCAAGTCGACAAGCCTTGCATTAACGTACGCACTTATCTCGCAGGAAAACGCTATTGGCACACGACATGAATGAGGAAACCTCCGGACATGATGGGGATCAGGTCGCGCCAACGTACCCATGGTGCACCTCCCGCAATGCATCGAGAACGGTGAAGGGCTTCGACGGTGCATGCGACGGTCATCTCGATCCACCAATAACAACCAGTCATATACGTGCGATAAGGACGAAAATGGATGAAACGACAGTGGTGTTCGAAGCCTAAACCGAGGAAGCCATTCCTCTAATCATTTGGATCATGCACCACGACGTCCAAGACGGAGCTGATCGTCAAAGTCAGTAACATCATCAAACGTGGTGTGACGAGAAGATCGCACCGGAGGTTCATCGAAAATCCGGTTTCGATGTCAGTTAGCGTCAAGCTATCTATAGAGTGCACGCCGGGGGAAACGGCGAGGAAGTCCATCCGAACAGACTGGCACGCGGAGGGCTTCAGAGGACTGGCAAGAGAATGCGACTGAGCTGAAGATAGAAGCAAACCACTAGTGATGATACATACCCAATCCGAACGCGACTCTCCAGAGGCAATACACCTGGATACCCCATCTTCCTTGAAGCCTGGCTCCCGCCATCATACACACCCATCTCCGCACCACCCCTTCTTCTCCTGCGTCGTTCAGGGCACGTTACCTCGAATCGTCTGGGCCACAAACTCTGATTGAAGACGAAGATATCCAGGGTGAACACGTCTAGTGGATAGATCTTTCCAGGTCCAAGTATAACCTCCTTCCCTCCGCGTCTCTCGTAGGGAAGAGGTAGTAGTCCAACCGACACGACGATGTTCTCGCCGGTGTTGCTTGATCCTTGAAGCTTCGCGAGCATCTTTTGCTCTCCAAATGCGCCTGACACTAGTGGAAGGGGGGTCTGCGGTACAGCACCAAAATCCGCGGTAGAGCCCCGGTCTCTCTTAATCTCGACACTTGGACCGAAATTGCCCATCGTTGACGAAGCTATAGGACCTTGTGACATCGGAGTGGGTGGCAAGGCGGACTTCGTTGGGAAAGCTGGGTACGCGGGCGTCATGGGCGTGTCAAAGGCGGTGGGAAGGCCAGTCTGGGGACCACCTAGGGCATCCTCGTTTTCGGGAACCAATATTGGGAGAGGGGCAGGTAGCTGACCCAAGGTTGACATCGGAGGAGGAGGCGGTGCGCTGTACGTCGTTGGCGACCGTAGGTACTGTGCCGATGATTGCGGGCCTAGCATGAGCGAAGAGGGCCGGCTGGAAGGTCCAGGCGACTGTCCATCCGTTGGTCTGAGCAACGATCTGTTCGGTGTGATATTCTTCAGCGTACGCCCCGCAAAGTTCGCCCCTGGTTGTAGGGTAAATCGTTTGCTACCCGCCGTAGCGGAATACTGAGGCGTCGAAGCACCTGAATACATGCCAGGCGTGCCCGTGGCATTCGTATTCGAGCTATACATAGAAAACACTGGAAAGGGAGAAGGCGGCTCTGGCATGGCATTGGGATAGTCGTTTTGATCGAGCATATCTGAAGGCTGGCTCTGTTGTGCAGCAAGATCAAGGACGCAGTTCCATCGTGACGAGAACGTTCGCGTTGGGTATGAGACGGAGTCCATGTCGGGTATCAGAATTTTGGACGTCAAGGGTGGAGGGAAGTAGGGCTTTCCGAACACGTTGATTGTAACTGCTCGTTGGAGGTCGGAGGAGGCTTGTGCACCTGGACGAGCAAAAGAGAATGCATCACTTTCTTCCGGCGACCGCATGAAGGTAACGGCATATAGGAGGTTGTACTGCGCCAACGGCCCGATCCTTAGAGGGAGAATCTTCTTCGCTGCCTCAGAGGTGAAGCCGTTTTCTCCCCATCCAATCAGAGTTGCTTTGGCACCCTCTCCTCCAATTGTCACGTCGACTTTCTCGACGACAAAACCAGCATTGGTCCCCATGTCACCAGAATTTTCGATCTCGACACAAAGAACAACCGTCCGCTCTTCGCTGCCTGCCTCTCTTCGTTCTCGGTCCTTCTCTTCTTCGTCAAGATCATCCACAGTGCCTTCTGTCTCGGGAAGCAACACGTAGGGCACGAAGACGGTACGCATGCGCACACGGAAACCCGAAGCTGTTTGTATCGTCTTCCGGTATGATTTGCGGAGCGTTGGATGTGCCTTACGTACCGCTGTCATAGGCGACGGGGATGGCTGCACGGGTGTGTTGACGAGAACAGGTGGTAGAGAAAACAACTTCTGGCGAGATTGTGTCCCTAGCCTAACTGTTGGAAGATTCAATTCGAGCTTGGAAAAAGTCGGGCCTGGTTTACCGTAAGCATAAAATGAATTTATCAGGCCAAAATGATTGCGCACCTGCCAACAAACCCTCCAGAAGATTAACTTCCTCAAGTCCGTCAAGTAACGATGCTTCGTCTTGCGTCTCCTGCGCCTCCGGCTCCGGCTCTTCCGTTGAGGCTGCACCAATCGAAGCGAAGAACCTTGCGAGTGGATGCTTGGGTGTTGTTGGTATGGGTTTCTCGCGCAGGGTGGCAGATACCGTCAAGCATAGCAAAGGGTCACTGAATGAGAGTCGGAGGAAAGCTGCTCTAGGTCAGTAATAGTCCAAAATTGTTAGAGAGCTACGCACAAACTGTTATCACCATACGATACACCCCTACCCAGCTCCGCTCATCTCTCGACCATAAAAGTGCGAACTCTTCTGCTGAATCGTCCGACGTATTGCTTCCCCATATCTGAGCGACCAACACCGTTCCTTCTGACGTCGTATATTTCCGGTCCAGATCTCCTGTTGCTGGGACTGGATTGGGAGTACTGGGCGGGAGGATGGATGGATGGGGATTTAGACGTCCACTTGGACGTCCAGCTGCCCCAGTTCGAGGGGTTGGTAATAACAGCCTTGATGTTTTAGGAGTTTCGACGGCTGATGGTATGGCTGAGATGTAGGCCGCCTCCAAAGAGACTTGCACATGAGCAAGCAGATCTCGAATCGATTCTGGCGGATGGCTTGTGTCCTCTGGGATGCTTTCTTCTGGATTTTTTATGTGCAGGAGGAGGATTGAGTGCAGCTGTTCGTCTGATATGATAAATCAATCGAAATTATATGACACCGTTGTATCTTACCGAAAAACGCCTGCCGCCTATCTGTCGCGTTTGACTTGATCTTTGCTAGCCATTCGTCTGTCGGGATTTGAGGCGGAAAGTCCAATGAGGTATCTGGGACTAGAGCATCGAGCACGGTTGTTGAGAAAATTTGGTCAAGTGAAAGAGCCATCTGGCTGTTGAGCAGATATGACCACAAACGTGACGCTTTGACCGTGGCTATAGGGTGAGATTGAATAGATGCCAGATGGTGTTGGTACAAGTTCAAGTCGTGATTTCGTCACAAAATAAGGAATTCATTACAAAATATTATACACTGGTGTGGGAACCGACTTTATGTGCGGTCAAAAAGGCGTGATAGGGGTGTTAAACTTTATATACACGATTGTTTTGTGTCAATAAAGTTCAAATAAAATTACAATAAAATCTTGCTTTCCCATGCTCATAATTTTCCGAAAATCATCACCTTTGAGGTAATTAGTAATGACTAAATTTACCCATCCTTTTGTTGCTCCGTAAAAGATAATAAAAGCGCGGAATTTGGGACGACAAAAAGGATTGACATAAAGGATTCGGGGATACTATAAAAGGAATGCCCGAGCCATTTATATCAAATTTTGCTCACAATTAAAGGCATCAATTACCTAACAATTATAGACGAACATAAAGATTACCTCAAAGGTAATGATTTTCGGAAAATTATGAGCATGGGAAAGCAAGATTTTATTGTAATTTTATTTGAACTTTATTGACACAAAACAATCGTGTATATAAAGTTTAACACCCCTATCACGCCTTTTTGACCGCACAGTGATAACTAATCACTGATTCTTCCTTGAATCATTGATGAACAAGACACTGCCGTAAAGGACCGCTCATGTCAATGGGCGGTATAAATTCCCGGTTGATGTACATGGCAACTTGCAGGTCAATCTCCCACCAGTTATGAGGGCATTTGTCTCCGGCCCAATCACCTTCCCAGACAACTACTTCACGACCCACTACGAGCCCAGAATTTCCGCTGCAATCGAGGCAGGGCATGCCTTCGTAATGGGGCCTGCTATGGGCATCGACGCAGTATCTCTCAGATATCTGGTCACCAATGGCGTAGACCCCGAAAACATCACTGTATATCTCAGTGAATACGAGTCAAAAGCGCTGCAAGAACGCGTGCAATGGTTTATCGATCTTGGAGGCAAGATTCATATCGAAGGTGTTACGTCGGCGGACCGCGACGCGGCGATGACTCGGGATTCGGACTATGACATATTACGGTACATGCCGATCGAGGAGCAGAAGGAGTTCTATGGCGTCGATTACTTTCCTCGAGTCAGCGCGACGGAGAGGAATGAGAGAAGGAGGCAGGGCTTACCTTTGTGGGAGAACCCTGGATTCACCACACATGAACCAGGAAAGGAGAAGGGAGGTCTATCAGGCACACAGAAGTTGAAGGAACGGCTTAAGGGTGTCTTTTCAAAGCCATCGAACACGTAGAAATACGTTAAATAGAGCAGCATACGTTGTAACGTTAAGCGGCATGGGGCTTGGAAGCTGTATCCGACTACGCTAATATTGCATGATTTCAACTGTAAATATGTAAATCTTACTAGATGCTCTGAAAAAGAAAGGGCATACGTTGCTTGTCCTTCTTATTGATCAGGGCCTTGATACCTTTGTCGACTACATCTTCGAGGCCTTGGAGCTTTCCGGCGGCCACTGCCTCCAACAACCCGACATGGTCGCTGTCACTGGTAAGTACACAGCACTGCCTATTCCAAAAGATCATCATTTCGACCGTATTAGTGCATGTAAGCAGCCACTTACCCGAAACCATAATCTCGCACAAGACGACCAAATTCATATCGAAGATTGGTATCTGTTCCCAAACGGCTACGTTTGAAAACATACCATGCGGGCGGACGTTCATCAAGGCAGGATCTACCGCAGCTTGGATATCGAACGCGATATCGATGCCAACTCCTTTGGTGGCCTTCATAAGAGCTGCGACAATTGATTTAACGGGGTTCAAAGGGTCGAATGCGAGAGTTGCTTCATACTTCGAGGTCTAGTCGCGTCGAATATCTGCTGGCTGTGAGACTAAAATCGTACGCGTGAGCCCAAACGTGCCGGATGAAGCGGTCACAAGAAGAGTGCCTGATACAAGTGGAAGACGAACTGCAAGGTCTCTAAGAGGAACAGCCCAATCTGTTAAGACTCCAGAGCGGTAGTCAACTTCTTGAATGTAGTGTATGCCTTTGATGTGGCCATTTCAGTGCTTTAAACGACCTGGATTTTGATCCCTGAAAGTTGTCCAGGCTGACGTTTCCAAATTGAAGTCGAAGGTTTTGGTTGAACTTTGCAAACTCGGACACAATGGGCGATCTGAGTCGGCTGACGAAGCCACAACGAAATTCAATTGGGCGTCGGCTTGACGAAGAGCGCCTGGAAAGGCTGAAGGCCCCTTTTAATGACCATCAAATACTTAGAAATACATTCAGCAAAATGAAATAATGTTACACTGAGCAGCAGAACTTGAATTTGGAACACATTCATCAATCACGGATGAACGAGGATCTTGACTACGAACGCGAAGGAAAAACAAAAACCTCAGCGACATTTGAGTGCTCCTGGATAGAGGGGACTTACTTTGCTTGTCCTTCTCATTAATCAGAGCTTTGAACCCCTGGTCGACCACGTTTTCGAGAGCAATCTTTCGAGTAATGAGGTCATCCAACCCGTGGAGCTTCCCGCTCGCCACTGCCTCCAACAACTCTGGGTGGTGGCCACGATATACAGCGCTGCCTGTTCCATAAATTCAGTATTTGGCTGCTCTCATCACGAAAGACTCAACGTACCAGTGACCGTTATTTCGCGAAACACGACCAAATTCATGTCCAAGCTCGGCCTCTGTTCCCAAATGGCTATATTCACGAACGTGCCATGGGGGCGAACACTCAGCAATGCGGTGTCAACTGCAGCCTGAACGCCCGTTGCATCAAATGCGACATCGACACCGACTCCGTTGGTGGCTTTCAAGACGGCGGCATCAACTGGGTTGTTAGGGTTCAAAGGATCGAGCACGAGGGTTGCACCATGCTTTGAGGCGAGATTGCGTCGGATCTGTGCTGGCTCCGAGACAACAATCGTACTTGTGGGCCCGAACGCGCTGAGGAAACTTATTACAAGAATGCAATGTAAAGGTGCGTAAGGACAAACCGCAGGATCGTCAAGAGAAACAGACCGATCTAGAAGGGATATTGGGATCTCGAGTGCAATAGCACCACGGACGAATGCTTACGGGTCCAGCACCAAGAATCAAGGCACTTTGTCCATCTTGAAAGTTACCTCGCTTCATTGCGTGCCAGGCCACCGCGAGCGGTTCTATCATCGCTCCTATTTCAACTGTACCGACGCAGTCAACATGATGAGATAAAGAGCAGAAGAAAAGTTCATCCTACGGGAAACATTTTCGGGCAATATGTGCACAAGGTTTGCATCCACCGCAATATACTCAGAAAGACCTCCTCCCCATCCTCCAATTCCCTAATCAAAGGTAAGTGATGCTCCAACAAGAAATCTTCATACGAACAATGAAATTGGTAGAAGGGCAGACATTGGTGGCTCCATGTGAGCAGGAGTAGCACTCTGGCTTGCGGCATGAAACGACGGGTTCGCTGAAGTGATGTTTAATTATAATCCAAGGAGTGTTGTCATAGAAAAAAATACGCACATTACGACGTTCTGGCCAAGTTTGAACTTGCCCTCCACCCCATCTCCGATGCCAACGATCGTTCCAGAGAATCTTTGAAGGTTGAGAATGGGGAAAGCACCAGCAAGACGTTAAGACGCACTCGTGGCCCAGCGTAATAGGAAGGGTCTCTCCAGATAGGTCGTTTGGTTCGGTTAAGGTCGGGAACTTGGTTATTTGAGCCAGATAGGCATGCAGGTCGCTTCCGCAAACTGATAGAGTATTAGAGTGCAGACAATTGTCCATTGTGGTGCGCCACGTACTTCCATTCCTTTGAGAACGGTGTCTGTCGAACATTAATTCGAGCTATCAAAACTAGGAACTGACCAGGCAATCTGAGCACGCCGAAATTTGTCAGACGCTGCAACTAACGACCTGGTATGAAAAATGAACTCACCTTGACCTTGACCTGCCCGGCTCTGGCTTCAGGCTCAGCTATTTGCTCAACTTTGATGTCCCCTGGACCGTAATACCGCGCTGCCTTCATGTTGGTAGAGACACACGGAATGTGCGGAGAACCGCTGGAAAAGCCATGGCGAACTATACCCCATGACCTTAGTTGAATCGAATGAGGTCATCCCGAGCTGGCAAGAAGTGCAAGCTTTGATGAAATAGTTATTTGCAGGGCTGCAGATACAATTTCGGCACGATCCCTGAGGTTTCCGCGGTCCAGTCTGTATAGGCGCAGAATGTGAGGGTGATGGTGGTTGCAATAGGTTGAAATGAGGGCAACTCGCGGTTTAGCGGTCCGGGACCCCAGCCGAGATGTCATGTTTTCTTCTTTCCAGACTGCTGACTCCGACGTACGTACCGAATCATACACCCCTCGAACCCTCGCATCTTTTTTGCCCAGCGAAATATAATACTCGGGCGGTCGGGAATGGGAAGATGTGCGACGAGAGCCTTTCCTCAAACTGGTTGAATTGTGAGTGAGTACTACTTTATTTTAGGTCGCCTTTCTACTTGTATGTATTGAATATTCTCATTCCAAGGACTTGCGGCACGAAGCCCGAATCTACGTGGTAGACCGCCTTTCAAATTTGACCATGTGGCGTGAGGCAGCGGAGCCTCGGTGGTCATGGGACGGTTCTTTTCGCCCCGTCTTCCACCCCCTCTCGCGTCGACTATGAAGGCAGTGCGGTATTATGGTCCAGGAGATGTCAGAGTAGAGCAGATACCGGAATCTGAAGCGAAATTTGGTCGGGTCAAAGTCAAGGTGAACCCCTATGCTGACGATGAGCAATGGATCCTGACGATGTTTACTCTAGATTGCTTGGTTAGTTGTTGCTAACGCCCCTTCACATTGACTGCTTCCTGACCGCCGACTCTGAAGGAATGGGAGCAAGTGGACCCAGAAAATCGGTCATTACTTTCGCGGGCTAATCCTTCTATAGTTTGTGGAAGCGACCTCCACGCCTATCTGGCTCAAATGGCAAAGATACCGACCTTAACCAAACCGAACGATCTGTCTGGAGAGACTCTTCCCATTACTCTGGGCCATGAGTGCGTTCGTTTAACTGCCCAGTTCTTTTCTCTTACAACGCCTGTGAAGATTCTCTGGGACGATTGTGGGCCTAGGGGAAGGTGTCGACGGAAGCCTGACGTTGGGACAGAACGTTGTAATGTGCATATTTTCTCTCTAGGCAAGATTTGTTTTTCAACCTTAGCTAAGTGAACCTCTTGTCTCGTGCCGCCAACCAGACTGCTACTTCTGCTCACACGGAGACATTAATCTGTGCCTCTCGACGAATTCCATTGTATGATTACCTTTTTTTCTGCTTGGGTGCTGCTAATCTTTAGTCAGGGTGTCGGAGGATGGGGAGGAGGTCTCGCTGAGTACATCGCCGTGGATGCTCGCCTCGTGCACAAATTACCTGATGGCGTTCCTCGTCTGCTATTTTTCTTCTTTTCCTTTATTTATGCGACTAATCGTCTGAGACAGTTGAAGTCGGAGCAATGATTGAACCGCTCGCGGTTGCCTGGCACGCCGTCAAACGATCTGGCTTCGAAGATGGACGGAGTGTCTTAATACTTGGGGCAGGACCTGTGAGTGAATCGTCATCGGTATCACAATTTAGATGCCCATATTTCACAGATTGGTCTATTTCTCTTAAAAGTTCTGCGGTCGTTCGGACCCTCGAGTACAATTATCGTCTCAGAGCCTGCACAAATTCGACGCGAGCTCGCTTCGAAGCACGGGGCAACTCTCGCTCTCGACCCCTTGACACTGCTAACCCTGTCGTTGCCGCCGTCATGAACGCTACCGGACTCGGCGCCGACATCGCATTCGACACTACCGGCGTGCAGGCTGCTGTTGACACAGCCCTTCTCAGTGTTCGCCCACACGGCATCTTTGTCAATGTCGCAATCTGGGAAGATAGTCCGCGCATGAACATGAATTTAGTTGTGCGGCGCGAGATCATGGTCACTGGTGTGTTGCTCCTTCGATGTGATAGGAGAGGGTGAAATGCTAACTACCTGGAATAGGCAGCATCGTGTATCGTGGCGATCACCCCGAGTTATTAGAGGCAGTTGCCGCCGGGAAGCTTCAGGGACTCGAAGACCTCGTTACTCGAAAGATTGCCCTCGAAGATGTGGTCGACCAAGGCTTCAAGGCTCTAATCGATGAGAAGGATAAGCAAAGTAAATTTCCCCCTCTCCATGGGTAACTAACCGACTTCATCGTGCTCACTCTATCTTCTTCCGCAGTTAAGATTCTCGTTCATCCCTGATCGACGGATGCTTGCTAATCCGATCTCACTCGCGAGTTCGACGCCTCATAGCCAATATTGTAACAACCATCGTATCACCCAATCAAATGTACTCCTACACATCTGCCCCAAAAAAGAACTTGTAACTGTCCTTCGCCTTTGCTCGCAAATCGTAAGGTCGCCGGTCCTGCAACTTACTTTCATAATGGTTGTTGTGCGTTTGGACTCCCTTCTTTGTAATCGGTCAGCGTTCGACAATGAAACTGACGGACCTCGCTCAAGAACTTGTGGACCTCATTGTCGATGCTTTGCTCTACGGCGATCCAAAGCTCCTCAGCAGCTCGACACGACATGACTTACGGACCTGCCTCTTTGTTACTCAGATGACTCGATGTCGGGCTGGACAGCACTTATTCCGTTCCATCAGGATCTCAGACGAGCAGGATGAGGACGTCCTGACCTCCTTGAAAACGTTGTTACAGCTTATCAGCCCAAACACAACCAGTGGAAGGGTCGGTATTGCTTCGTTTGTGAAGGAACTATCTGTCAAATTCGGTGAGCCATGCTTGGGGTCCACGACTAATTGGAAATATTAACCTAGAGACGCAGTTCGCTTGGATGCCGAAGGCTTTCTGGACAACAATGAAACTCTCATACCCCAGATATTCGACGCACTCGATGCCCCGCAATACGGAAGCTCATCTTTATCCTTGTCTTTCCCTCCCCGATCCCATAGTTTCGGTCTAAATTTGGAGGAACGACCCGAGGCGTTGCAAAAGTCGTTTTATAAACTCCTGCACTCACCCCATCTTCGTACGCTTTCCCTCGAGAACATCTGCGGCTTCTCGGCTACTATCTTTCATGGATCGCACATTGAAACCCTTCGTCTCAAAAACACTGGATACAAAGACTGGGACAATACAGACAAATTCCATAAAATTCTCCGAGCCGCAGAGAGCCGCCGAGTACCTCGAGGCGAGATTTCGCATCTCCGGACTCTTGACATCGACAATTCTGCCCCATTGCATCCTTTTAGATCTGAGGAAGGCTTACAACTCCATCAGCTGGATTCCTTTGTCGGAAACATTCATGAAATCGCTCATCTTAGAAATGTGGGCATGGTTATACGACAGGCGAAGAAAATCAAGATTATTTCCTTCCATTTCTTAGGTTCGCCATCCTCTAATTACTGTTCAACAAAACCCTAATTGCGCACACAGTGAACGACGATGCCCAACTTTCACCTATCCCGGGTTCCCTGAATTTGCGTGACCTGTCTAATTTAAAACACCTGGAGATTGTCATTCCCCGACACACACCTTCCAACTCAATGCCTGACGGTATCGACTCGATCGCCGAGATTCTTGACATGCCGATACCCCCAGATCCGCTCATCACATTCGAAATCAAGATAAAAATGCCAGTATACAATAACCGCCAGTTGCTCTATTTCGACCTTCCGCCGGATCCTAGATGGTTGAAGCTCGATGAAGTCCTTTCCGGTCCCAATTACGCTCACCTAGAGTCGAGAAAATTCATTGTGGAGGTGACTAGGTTTCGGTTTACGGCACAGTCAGGAAAGACAACAACAGATGTTGCGGAACAAAAATTTCGTGATTTCTTTCTTGCTGCCTTTCCTTCATCCCTCAATACCGAACGGGGCCGATATTCTTTCTCTATTCGTATACAAAATGTTGGTTCAGTAAATCGAACACGTTTGGCATAATTGCATTTTATCCCGTCGATCTCCCTCCGATGTGGGTGCTGTTTGTGAACGTTGAATATAGCAGAGACAGTAGGCTGCATGCGCACACATCCTGTTAATGCATGCTCGAATAGAAAAATGAACCTGGTAATTTTTTTCCCCGTCTATAAGGATCAATGAATGAGACGCTATGTGGATCTATTCAAAAAGAGGGTTCAACCCGATAAATTTCGACTTCAAAAAAAAGGTAATGTCGCTGAGAGCAGGATTTGAACCTACGCGGTGAAACACCAAGTGATAATGTGCACGCTTAGACGCGGATTCAGATCACTCGCCTTAACGACTCGGCCATCTCAGCATCATTGAATAGTGGCGAACGAGTGAGCTGGTCCCCGAGCCTTCTGAATCTGTCGGATCTCCTCATTTTATGCAACACCTCACACAGTGACAACTGAAGCCCCGCAAGAAATTCATCAAAATGTAACTTCGAGTGCTGTATTCTACAGGGTGTTTCACTATGAAATTTGCGGGGAACTGAGGTTAAAGGATAAGCTTGAGGAAGGATACAAGACATGTGCTAACTACATATGTAACTACTTGGTGCTGGGCTATAACAGTTTCATTCCGACTTACAGGTTTCTATTGAAGAGCGAGAGAGTATCCATGAAGGAGGCAGTCGGGGCTGCGCGAGGTTGCGGGATGAGGATGGTATGCTTGTATGTAGAGAGAATGCTGAAGAAATGCGCTAAAGGTTGGGATAGATTCCTGCATCCTTCCTCCTCTTCGTCATGGCAGCGATGATGGCGCTTCCGACGCCGCTGCCGTCTTCAGCGTGATGCGTGACGATATTCCTATAGCGAGAATATCTTCAGCTCTGCAGGAACAAGAACGAGAAGTCAACTTACCGTCCCTTGTCTCCAAAGATATCCACCAATCCTTCATGCACTCTATCAGCAAAACCGGGATATTTCTACCATATCCTGTTAGAGCATAAATTCTCGTTATGAAATCCAACTCACGTTATACAAGGACCCATCGGCCCCAACCAGGCACCCTTCCTCCAAATACCCCATCTTGGACACGATTGCAGCGATACCGCACGCACTAAGACGGGCTGCTCGCCGCCCGATCAGTTTTGCGAGCGCGCGGAAGAACTGGCGCTCAGCGAGCGTCGTCTCTACCGCGAAGAAATGCGAGAAGATGCCAATGATCATTAAGAGTTCCTCTGTCGGGTCGCTGCGAAAAGGAGGTAAGCTAGAACCTGGCAAAAGTGACGATCAAGAACTTCGCAAACCTTTCCATTAGAGATAGGAAGGCAGTTTCGAAGACGTAGGGGCTCTCTAGCTTGTACGTGTTCTGACCCAGGAAAAGTACACCCTCGTCAATTAGCTCGCAGATAACGAGTCGTAGGATTTCTCCGAGGTATCTTCCCGAGATTAATTTCTAGATATCACAAAGAAAGTAGAGGTACGAGTGGAAGAAGACCAAAGGGGATTAAACACACCTCGAACGCCTGCTCGCCAGGCTTGTTCGATGTTTGGTCGACTATGATGTCATACTTCGTTCTCGGGAGATGTTCGTGTTCAAAGGAGTCGAAGGCTCCCTATCCAATCCAAGCCGCCAAATGACCCACGTAAGTTGGAAAAAGAGGCAACATCTATACAAGAGCTTACCCATTCGCAATTGATCGCCATATCACCTCCATCAATGCCCAATGGCTGGAGCTTTGGGATGTCTTTGACGTGCTCCATGTAAGCAGCGTTACACCCTGTCCCGAAAATAACAGCTATCTTCGTCTTGGGGTTCACATAATGCGAAGCGATGAGAGTGCCAGTGGTGTCGTTGATGAGGGCTTCGAGTCCCACGGGAACGTCCTACCAATAAATGGAGAATTAGGAAAGAACACTTCAAGCATTTGTGGCACACACATATTTTTCTAGGGACTGACGGAACATAGCAGCAACGTCATGCCCTTCAGTATTTGTTGCTCCGAAGCCCTTGGTCCATCGGATAAGGACACCGTGATCGATTCGGTCTTGACTTTATGTGCCAATGATTGAGCCTTCCAATACCCAATAATAGTAAACCAGGAAACATACCTGCAGGGATACGAAAACTGCGGGACGGCAGGGAAGATCAATTTTGTTTCTACAGCCTAGCTGCAATCACCTACGGTGAAGCCAAGCGGGATCTTCTCTCCTGCGGCGAGATGGAGGCCGCCGTGTTCTGTGAGACTAGTGTCGATGAAAGTCTTGAGACACTCTGCACAGAAGTCAAATAGCTTCTGCCCATCATCTTGCTTCTGTTCCTCGGTAAGGCGATATTTAGATTGGGTGATCTCGAACTTCCCGTCGCCTTGTACTGTGACAAGACAGACCCTCAGGTTGGTGCCGCCTGAGATAACGGTCCGGAGAGACAAGGTAAATTAGTGCATGGTGCATTCTTCTGAATTAAGGAGCTCACCTAGATCGACTGCTAGGAACTCGCCCTTCTCCTCGCCTGTTGGCCAACCGAATACGAAGGTAGGTATCATGGGCTGTAAGCGTCCGAATTTGTGAACACGAAATCCGAGGCTGGAGAAGAGCATACACGTACCACAATCTGACCGGGCTTGTCTAATCCCACCTCTAGCGTTTCCTTGAACGCCTCCACAATCATGCGCATCCGTTGTGGTGTAAGGGTGAATCTAACGTATTCCGTCGATTAGCTTGAACCCGCAGTCCCCTTCGTAGATCGGCCACACGTACGCGCTCTCATACTTCCTGAGATGATCGGCCATCGTCCTGGTGGACAAGAGGTGAAACATCCATCCGTGAGCTCAGAACGCCCCGAGGTGATCTGAAGTACGCACTTCTTGGTCGCATGAGGGAGATCTTCCTCATCATGCGTCCTCGTGTGAACGGCCAATGTCTGGCCGGTGGGGAGGGTGATGCTTCCGCTTCCACGGCGAGAGAGAACCATGGTCGTTGGTGGTGGCGGTAATGAAGATAGCAGAGTCGGTAGAGTCGGTTCTGGCCTTCGGTGCTGACCGCATTCCCTCCATATAGGACCGTGGGAACCCGATGTGATCACGGTTTTCCTCGCGAGCTCGTCGTCTCCTACGTCGCGCAGCCATGATTGGCCTCAAGAGTACCCTCAATGTATGCTTCTTTCCACACATAGTGATGCGCCGCACTTATTCTCCGCATCTCAGGTTATCGATAACTCGGGGGCGCTTCTTGTCGAATGTGTCAATGTCCTGAAAAACAAAGTCAACAACGGATGGGGGTCGGTTGGTGACGAAATCGTCGTCGTCGTTCAGAAAGCCCGCCCTGTCTCAGCTGCTGCGCAGGCATCTGTGAACGCTGTCAAGGTACGCAAGGGAGACGTCCGACGCGCTGTCATCGTCCGAACGCGCAAACCCGTACGAAGACCAGACGGCAGCTTCATTCGCTTCGATGAAAACGCTGCCGTGCTATTAAACAACAAGAGAGAGATGCTCGGTACACGTATTGGTGGTATCGTTAGTGGCGACCTGAGGTTGAAGGGCTGGGGGAAGATTGTCAGTTTGGCACCTAGAGTGAGTCGCATGCGCCCATGTCCCAAGCCGCGTCTAACGAAATGCTCCGATAGGTTGTATAATTCATTCTGCTATAATTCATTGCTATAATATTCTCTCCTATTCTGAACAGCACGCACGTTCCCTGAGAGTTGCAGGTCAAAGAGTGAACGCCACCCGTAATTGAGAACTACGAGGACAAAATGGCGTATGTGCCGTTGCCGGTATCTCGAAAACCCCGTACTCAAACCTATGTGGACGACATCTAGCGCCTATATTTTCGGACCTCCTGGGCAAAAGACCCAAGACAACATCCCTCTTTTTCCAAGTTCCTTGTTTTACCCACGGCACCCACATACAACCAGCACCAGAGCCATCCCACTGTCATCTCGTACATGGATTGCGATTCCGATGCTCCTTATGCGCAATAACCTTCAATGTAATTCCAAGTCAGGACCCGCCCGAGCATGGTTGGCAAGCTGTTGTCTCAAGTGCAACGACGTCACTATATCCAAGTATCGCGTCCTCAACTCTTTTGCTGCACCCTTGATGCCTGAAACGGAATACTCCTTATTTGAGCACCGAACGTCCTCCGATAAGTGTACCGTCCGGTATCTCAAGACACATACCACGTAACTGGTTTCATCTTCATCGCAGGCTTGGAACGTTGCGGCGAGTCATTCCTCATCTTGCCGTATACAGGCTTAGAAGTTGCAGAGGCTCGCATTCCGAAGTCAACAGTGGCGCATTCACGAAATAATTTCACATGTCAGGTATCTCATTGTATGGTGAAACTTGGTTTCAACCTACGAGAGCGCCTGAAACCCATTTGTCCTCGCTCAGAGTCTCTTTTGATCTCTTTTGGTCGCTCTTCAATGTTCTCTGAGTACGGACGTCGCGCTTGAGCATAGCCTCATGCCTTGTATGATGGGCTGACTTGCCCTAGTATCCATTCCTCTGATGACTCGCTTTCTTTTGTACGACGTCATAGATGTGCAATTCTAACATGACAACAGTGACAACACTATGATTAGCTTTCAACGCCCTAACCTGTGGGGAGGATGTATTGAGTCTATTCAATAGGCAAGCAGTTGCTTTCTCCTCCCAAACGAGTCAAAGTTTTGGCAACTCACGCGAAGCCCCTTGTTTCTACAACTTGTACATGCATTAAAATCAACGCCATTTGCACCAGAAAGCCGGGAACAGCATGATCGGGCGGCCAAATTAGGGAATATTCTCCACATTTGGATTGCCGGTTCCGAGATGCGACTCGAGGACCTCGATAACTCCAGGTTAAACACACTAGGCATGAGGAGCCATATAAAGGGCTGCTGTGTCGGAGATATACTAAACCTGCACACCCTCCATTAGGCTCCTTCAACCAGGATTCCTTTGCCTCATTCAGTCGGAACATGAACTTCACGTAGAATATTCCGAAGGTGGCATAACTGTGTCGAAGATAATCTACTGTTGGTCTGGAAGATGCGATGACTCGAGCTGATTCCTCTTCCCTCTTCATAAGCACGTGAAATTCCTAGTGAGCTAAGCTCACCGGCGATCCCGGAGTGATAGACGCCCGGTCCAGGGTGTCGACTCGCTCGATAGCCATGGGTATAAGACGATTGGCGGCGTTGTTGAAAAGATGGGTGGTCAGTCTTGTGGCGTTCCAAGGCTGTATCTTGGCATGTGCTGGAGGAATGCAATGCGGTACCATATGACGCTGATTGCGAGGTTTTGGTAGAACGTATAACCGACATCGTGAGGAAGCATTTCTTTCATTGCATGAGGAGTTCTAGGCCGCAGCTATTGTCTTCACTACGTACGCCTCCCCGCCACTCCGTCATACATTTTTTTGCGGGTGCAGTTCGGACCGCCGCTCGACACGGATCTTCCTTCAACGAAAGTATTGCCTCCAGGCTGGAGATACCGGACGGAGCACTTATCTCTTAAATTAATACTACGAGATAAGGCAAGAGTTGGGATGGAGGCGCGCGCATGATGCTTCGCATGAATGTGGACTTGGAAATTACGGACGGTCTCTCTCAATTCCGAATTGATTGTCTCCCTTGGCCGGGTCTCAAATCTAGAGACCAGTATGATTCAGGAGACGAGTCGAGGAACGTTTTCCATAGTTTTCTTTTTTCCAAGATAACATATTGATTCCACTAGAGTACGATGAGAACACGCCTCGTGTTGGGGTGCAGCAGCCGTTCTTTTTTGGAATGTGCCGGTGGCGGGCGGGAAGTCTATCTGAATACAGAGTGTTATGGGACAGTGGACATCTGCGGAGAACAGAATCGGTAGCAGAGAGGGTTTGAATCAGAAAGACTCGCAGCTCGGCGTGGGGCTCGTGTGAGCAATGTGGGTGCCGATGAATAACCCGTCGTACAGCCTTTATGACCATAAAGCCCATTGCTTCTATCACTGCGTCCTCTGTCGGTGGACGAATTTCGAACGTTCGAACGCATTACTCTGAACGAGGTGAGGAGAGGTCTCAACGCACGAGCGCCGAGCGATACAGCTGCGGCTGAAGTAAGCCGTCTTTACCCGTACGAGTCCACTTTCTGTGCGGGATGCGATGATTCAATGTATCCTGTCTTCGAGGCACCAGCGCAGTGCCTCAGTGATATGCATCTGTCCACGCCCAATCCAAGTTAAATATCACACAGAAATAGCACAGCTGCCCCGACATGCGGTCCGCTTAGCCAATAATCGGTCTGTCTAAGTATTCTTTCTACAAGCTTTCTCCCCTCCTTCTAAATGATGGCGCCCATCTAGTACGGGCGGGTGTTGAAAGAAGCATCAGGTGCTTGAGGGACAGACGCTAGAGCCTGGTAAGTATGTCTAGCATTAGGTCAGTAAAAGCACCGCATCGGAGGAATACATCCCTCGGACCCCGTTTTCTCAATCTGGTATACGGGAATCAAAGTCGGGGAACAGGACGGAACGCCGGTCGACCGAGAGATCTGTCACAAATGTGACCAGGGCCGGAGTTAGGCGCTAGTTGGGCGCTAACGATGTTAATTCACGGAAATATTGAAAATATCAAGATCGAACGCATAAATCGTCAATATCGGTCGCATTATGAAAGGACTAGGATTTTTTAGAGTCTTTTTTTTCTCATATAACTCGTTCTACTTCGGGTAGAGAAGTGAATGACGCAAGGTGGCAGCGATCGTGGAAGCGAATTTTCTGGGATACACAGAAGAAATGTTGGCTAGCTCTTGTAATTTTTGATATGTACTCGGCAATTCTTGAAAAAATTCATACGCAGGACGTTAGAAGACACCGAAAGCTTCTTCATACTAGCCATCATCGGCTGGCAGCAGCCGAAGATGGTCAAATCAAATCATCGGCTGTAGTCTTTTTTCTACGTTTACGTTCACTATAACCAGCCTTCAACATCTTTGTCCTCATTCATGCCACTGAAATATAAACGTTCAACCCTTACTGCAGTATGTACTATGTCTTCCAACTGTCTTTTCTTACCGTCAAAGTCTTGAGTCCTTTCTTTTTTTAACAATAGCCAGGACCAACGAACTTCCATCGGCTTGCTCTCAAACGACTTTCCATGACGCTACAATATATTCAATGGTCTTCATACAACTTTTCATCAAAGAAACTCTTTCAAATTCCACAGGAGTCTACAGGAGTCGTAATTTGTATGATTACTTCCTCTCTGGCTGCCTTGCATCATTCCTGACAATCTGGCACACACGTCCACGTACATTCGGAGGCCTTTCGATGTCTTTCGCTGTCAGGACTCGGGTCTGACGTCGGTTCTTAGAATTTCCAGTACTCGCCAAGATTATTGTCACGCCGCAGTTTGCTTTTGGTTGGCCGGAGGTCCGGATCCGCCGGCCGGGCGCATAAGTACCTGACATTGGGTGACTCGGCCGCAGCTCCGGGGCCGAGTGGATGCACATGTCACCGAAGGAAACGCGATGCGAGTCAAGGACGTCTTCCACTCTGAGCCTCAGATTCAGATGGTCATGGAGCCCCGGTTGGCCAGTTTCGCTTTGGTGCCAGGCTCCTTTACACCTTGGTGGTGCGTGGATTTAGCCACCACGGTGTCCTTACTGATTTCCTCCGCTTTGATGGAATCCCGCACAACGACATCATCAATTGGAGGAGGCTGAGAAGGGATGATGATTTCCGAGATTTCGGTGGCTTCCTCACGGCGCGGACGCCGCCTGAAAGTTTTTGGAGATATGCCTGATGGCGGGGGAATAGCGGGCGGCCCAATTTAGCTGTTCACGCCCACCGAGTTAGCGCAAAGAGAGAAAACACGTTGTTACAACGTTGGCTGCCATATGAAGTCGTGTGCGAGTGGATCAGTAGGCTGCGTTTCCTCGGCATCCTGTTATTCAGCTCGTATTGGTGCCGTCACGTTTTATCATTGCCAATCCTCTCAAGTTGAACGTGCGCACTGCGCCAGGCGTGAGCCTCTGTGCGATTGTTGTGCTCCAAGGATTTCAAGGTATCGAGGGAAAGCTGAGCATGTTTTAATTAGACGCTCCAGCGCTTAATTGCTGTGCGTGCGCGAATTGGGCAGGCACGGGGTTCGGAAGGAAAGCGGATTAGGCTGTCAGGGTCCCCAACTATCCTCGAGGCAACTCTGATATAAAGGCCCCACGCGATGGCGGGGAGGTGCGTTCTACCTTACCTACCACCTCATATCTACTACCACACTACTGTTTATTACTGCTTATTATAGCTTGATCTCTACTACAACACCCGCCGATAGTGCGACACACCTCCTTGCTTTCAACCTACATGAAAGCAGATCAAACCAAGAAGACCCAGGGAAATCCAAGAGGCAAAGGCACATACAATACCGCTTGTGACGTCTGCGCCCGCAAGTGAGCGGTGGTCGTCGTGGTCATCGTCGCTTATCATATCTAATCATCGTTTCACGCAGGAAAACCAAGTGTGATGGCAACAAACCCGTCTGCCAGCCATGTCGTCTTCAAGGGCGCGTATCCGAGGTTCGTCCCTTCTTTCCTGTCAACCACCACCATGTCCTCATTACAACCCCCAACAGTGCGCATGGACGAAGAACCCTGTGAGGAAGCCGCGCACCGAACAGCACTTCGAGGCCATGTACAAGCGTACCGAGAACCTCCGCAAGCTTGTCCTCGAATACCGTAGATATACCGACTACCTAGAGTCGCTCATGGATCAATGCCATGGCGATCAACACCCCCATCGCAGCACCGACTTCCGCTCTTCCCGTCCAGTCGACATCGATAACGTCGTAGGCTCCGAGCCCGACTCCCTGGACGATGATTTCGACATCCCAATAGGCAACGAGAACGATGGGCATTCCGAGTTTACGAATGACCCGACGAAGGAGATCTGTTTGCCCACTCAGAGCTTGAAGGTGCGTTCAGGTGCTGATCATCTATCTTATCTTCCCTGACGAGTCATCACCCTAAAGATCGAGGAAGGAGGCCAGGTTATCCACCATTATGGCAACCCCTCCCCTTTCCGATTCAACCCGAGCGAGCGAACAACACTACCCTCTCGATTCCCTGCCCTCGCCGAGAATCCCGACGCGACCTATGTGCTTCTCGTCGATGGCGCCAGCGACGCCCATTACAATCCCGACTTCGACTGGTCGCGGCACCTTCCATCCGCCGTTCCACTCGACCGCCAGTCGCACGACAGGGCGCTGGACTTGTTATTCAAGTTCTTCACCTCGTGGTGCCACCGTATTGTCCCACAGCTCTTCCTGAGGGACATGTACCGCGCGCTCAGTGCTCCTCGTGGAGAGCCCTCCCCCAAGACGCCTCACTACAGCCCAATGCTCCACAACGCTCTCGTCGCCCTCGCCCTCGCCTTCCTCGACGAGCCCCATTTCAGAGACCTCAAGGCCCGCCAGTACTTTGCGAACACCGCCAAGAGCTTCATTGAGGCCGAGTGTCAGAAGCCCAACTTGAGTGTGGTCCATGCCCTCTCAATCCTCGCCAGCTTCCACAGCTCCCAGGGAGATCAAACCCTGGGGTACATGTACTTCGGTGAGTATGATATGTTCCTAGGATGAACAGTTCTCTAAGTCGTCTTACATCACAGGTATGAGTGCACGTATGAGCCAGGCTTGTGAGTTTTCCTCCTTTCTCGTATTCTAGAACAATCAAGTTTATTTCTGAGTGCCATCAGTGGGTTTAAACGTTGACTGCGCGGACTGGGTGAAACTTGGGCTGATCGAAGAGCCTGACCGGCTCGATCGTAACTGGACCAGTTGGACGACCTTCACCCAGGTATGCCTAATCCTAGTAACCTCTTGCAAAATGGAGCTCAATTCGACATGTAGGACGTATGTTGGTCTCTCTACGTTGGACGCGACTTCTGTGTAATGGCCCCCGACTCCGACCTCGCTATGCCCATTGTCGATCCCGTCTATGACGAGATGCCCTGGGTTCATCCTCCATCTGGCATCCCTCCACAACCCAATTATCTTACAAAGAACTTCGAAGCGACATGCGAGCTACTACTGATCGCACGGCGTATCATGGACGTCGTGTAAGCTTGCCTGATTATTTTTGCTTTGAACACATAGAATGACAATACTACAGCAATGGTTTGCATAAAGCTCGCAGTCGGCCCTTTGTTATCGACGAGTTGATAAGTGATATCGAGTACGTTATCTTTTTCCTGCTCAATTCTCGATGCTCAAGATGATTCCAGCTTGAAACTCAACACTTGGAGAGGAGCTCTTGCCCCAGAGCTTGAGATAACAGTCAAATCTCGGCCGACTGCCACTCCACACAAGTTGATGCTCCATCTGGCGTACTGGTGGCTATTCATTCTTCTCCACCGCCCTTTCTTCCATCGGAAGAGCCGGCCGATTTACAGCACTGACAGAGAAATCGATCATGTGAAGGTATGCTTACACCACCCTTCCAATCTGACATGCGCTAACCCATCCTCAGCTCTGTCGTCGCGCGGCGGAGAACATAATGGAGCTCCTGACAACATGGCGCCATTTGTACACCCTTCGGTACTGTCCCATCACCCTCATCCAAACTGTGTTTTCCGCCGGCACGGTCTATGTCCTCTCGGCGATGCACGCCACCACGGGTGTCCGCGTCGCTCAGAAGGAGCTGCAGCACTCCATGAACCAGCAGAATGTTGTCATGCAGTACCTGCAGGAGATCGGCAAGTCATGGCAATGTGCGACCAATATTGCGGGTATCCTGAAGAGCCTCATGCACGAGCAGCTCAAACCCATGCTCGAACGGACGAAGGCGATTCAAGGTGGCCTCCAAGTGCCCGACATGGATGGCAATGATGAGGACAACGAAGAGCCCCGCGCTTCGCTTTCTCGCTCGTCATCGCTTACCAAGGCCATGAACCGCAACCGTTCTACGTTCCCCAAGGTCAACAAGCAACGCCGTCTCTCGTCTCACTCTCGGTCCCAATCTCTGTCCAACGCACCTTCCATCGTCTCCGGCACCCAGGTTTCTACGTCTCCGACTATTACTATTTCTCCAGTCCAGGAACGTAACGATTCGTCTGCTCATCTCCGTGCCACGTCTTCCTCGATTCTTCCTATCCCCTCGTCACCGTCCTTCCATGCGGGTTCTTCCTCAGCTCTTCCTATTCCTTCCTCTCCGTCGTCCTTGCGTGCGCTCTCTTCTTCGCCTTCCTCTACTGCTCCGATCGCGATCCAGATGCCCCACAAGCCTCCTTCCAACGCCTCCTTTTCATCCAGCCCTTCCAGTTTGGGTGTGGCGTCCAGCTTCTTGGCAGGAAGTCCCAGCCCAAGTTCATCGCCTGTATTCTCTCCTCCTAATTATCCTCCGCCTTCTCCTTCCGCCTCTTCTACGGCGTCCTTTGTACACCGCGGTTTCACAGGTTATCCCCAGCCCTTCCAGCATCCTGCCTCGTCATCCCCTATGGACGATTCAACATCCATGCTTCCAATTTTCTCTGGTAACGGCCACAGACACACTGGTTCAGGACATCTGTTTGAAGGCCAAGGTCAACTTCTCGGCCATGGTCTCAACCCCAGTCAAGGTTCAACATCGCCTAGCAGTCCCTCATTCTTAACCCTCACTCGATCTTCCGATCTCGCCGCAATGAAAGCCTCGTCCGGGCCGCTTTCACCCAGCAAGGAGCTTGCCGGGTTCATGGGTATGCTGGGCGGGCAGACCCTCCCCCAAGCCCCCTTCTTCGGTCCATTCAGCCTCGGAGACAGCGTTGCACCCATGACGGCCACGCCATTCGACAACTACTTGTCCGGCCCTGCTGGCTCGGACTTGTTTACGGGCGAATTCTTCGGGAATGGGTACATTTCAGCGGTTGACGGCGGGGTGGCGATGGTGGATAATATGGACATGTCCACGGATGACAGCACCCTCTCCTCATGGGATCAGTATCTCAACTCGCAGGAGCTGATATCCTAAACACCTCCGATTGATCGCTCAGCTTTCAAGCTCGAGTTCAACGCACCAGCGTCAGCGACGATCGGTTGTCTCGCGATTGGTTGTATGGTCGACGAACTAGGACTCTCCATCTCTTCCGCCCGCTTCCACCTATGGTACCCACAGATTTTGCTCCCTCAGTTGGTACACCGTGGTCCGATATGGTTATGTGCGGTTATTATTGGTACGGCACATCTTATCCGTTCATTCCGTTTGTAACGGCAGTGAGCAGTGCGCATCAGGTTCCTCTAGTGTAGTCATTATGCTGTGCAATATGATTTGGTGGACCAAGCCTGAACCTGCATTGGCAGTCCAAGAAAACCTCAAGAAAGTCGGGCTAGACCACCAATGATCCTTATCCCAAGAGCTGAAGTCCTGAAGATAAGGCAACATCAAAACATCCCTCAAATGGCCAAAAGGTGTGAAAATATCTGCAATATGTTGCTGTGCGGGCACTGCCTGGGAGTCGATAGACAGCTGACGTGCCATACCTAAGACCTGAACACCCACGAAGAAACCTTGTTTCCAAACCTCGAGAGGAGGCCCTTCTTTCCTTGGCCTTCATCCTCCAGCGTCTCCATCTGGTTTCTGCTGTGCAGATTGCGTGTGCTATCCAATCCGGGCTTCTTCTTTTTCCCTTGGTTTTGGGCCTGAGGGGAAGCAGCGGCGCTAGCGTTTGGCGTAATCGTCGCCTTTCCCGACGGCCCACCCGGCATGGCGTGCCCAGGAGGCTTCTGCGAGGATGGGCCTGGAACGAGTGTATCTTCCGATCCTGGAAACATCTTGGCGGCGGGCGTTGTGTGGTAAGGCTGTTGACCAGGAATTGCTGGAGTGGGTGGTCGTGAAGAAGACACGGAACCTGGCAGGTTAGGTCGTAGGGTCATTGATTGTTGTGCTTGTTGTTTTAGGAGAGAATTGTGCGGTGGTCCCTGTATCTGTCCTCGTGGAGAAATGGGTGCGGATGACGAAGGAGGAGCTAGGAGGGTGGAGGGATGGATGTCAGCTGGCACGCTCTCTGCTCCAGGTGGTGTCGACTGGGGCAGTAGCGACCCAGACGGCTGCTTCTTGCCCCGTTCCGAAAACTGCCCTCGCAGGTTGGCCTTTGATTGAGGCGATCGTCCGACATTGTTGTTGCCAAATTGCTTTTTGTGTATAATAGCATCAGTGGGCGCCGAACCGAAGTTGGCGGCTGTCGACGTCGTGGAGAAACTCGTTTGAGAGGAATATCCCTAAGGTTGGGTGTCGTGAGATATTATCAAGTCGGGCGTGAGCGCAAAGGCTTACTGTAGACGGCTGATCGTTGTGCACGTCGTGCAGAAGAAGTCTTCCAGAGAAATCTGATGATTTCATCAGGGACCTTGAGAGAAGGAGGAAATGCAGCTCATGCTTGCCTCTGACAACGACCCTCTCGGGATGTGGTGACCACGCGTGCTCAAGAAAGGGCCAGAGATTGAAATGGCCTTCTGGTATACCAGCTTGGCCGGTATGGGTTCGAACTTTATTGTCTTTTGCGTGGCGGCGATTCACAATGACGTGCAATGCATTCGACTGGGAGATCACTTTTTTCATCACTACCCAAGGGAAAACTGGATAAATCTTTGGGCTTTCTTCATCGTTTGTTGGCATTGCGTCTACGATGGCATCAAAGCGGGCCTTAGAATTCGGGAACATCTCGTAGAGCTGCGGATTTTGCGCCAGTGACAGTGAAAAGCGTTGATCAGAGGTTGTGGCAGAGTGTTCAACGAGCCGACAGAGCATGATGTCGACACTGGCTTTTTCTTCAATTTTGTCTATTAGCAAGCTCGTATATTAGCTCAACTGTCGGACAAGTCAGGAACTCACACTCCTCGGCCACGGAATACGGACCCACGTTCTGCCCGTCGTCCCATTTTACCATTTTTTCATGCCATATAACGACCCTGAATGTTATCTTGGGAATACTAGAGAAAATGTGGGTCTTATTTGACTCGTTAAGTTCATCCGGAAACCCATAGGTTCAAGATATCACCTTCTTCAGCGCCATCATGATTTCTTGAAGACGCTGCGCCGCATAGGTGTCCTCAACCGACGCTTTTCCATATTCCAATTCTATTGTTCGGTGATCCTTAGACCATCTGAAAAATTACAGGCTGCTGGGATGGACGATCGACCCGAACGCACCGAGCTTGCACTGTTGGGTAGGCCTCGCAAAAACCTAGCACCAATTTCATGGCTGTATCGAATTTTTCGGTCACGGTTTTGTCTTCTGTTTTTCCGACAGCCGAATTAGTTGACGCTTCGATGCTGATCTCGATGGCGTTGACAATGCTAAAGAGAACGCAAGGAGAGTTGTAAAAATCGGCCAAAAACGAGGAGTAGCTGCTCACTCTCTCAGGACCTTCTCCTCAGCACTACTTGGAGGAGCAGCCCCAGGGGACGTGTAGTGAAGCTGTATCCTCCGATAAATAGCCATGAGAGTGACACTTTTGAGAAAGTAAGGCCGGCCAGTTCGAGTCAATTTCTTTGGGCCTGCGTGAAATCCTAGAAATTCTGTTACGCCCATTGTTGTGTTCGTCGGTTCGTCTTTGAAGCTCCAAAAGAAGAGAATGGGAAGGAGGGAAGACGCACAGGCCACCGGCGCTTGATTTAAACAACCTTTAATGGGATAACTGCAGTAATCGATTGCTTGCCGGGTATTTGTGTGTTAACATGAACCTTGTCGAACGGCATGAGGGAACAACGCCTCATGCACGTGTGGCTTCAGATGCATCTAAAAATGACTGATGAGTATTTCGACCATGACAGCGATGAGAATTGGGGAAATGTTGGTTGCAGCTTGAAGCTCGAAGAGCGATTGGATTGTCCGACTCGGAGAAGTGTTCCAACCTGAGCTGCCAGGAGACGCGTTCGATGTTGTTTGAGATGAACTACATCAGAAACATGATGCCATTTGCTGTCGAGTTTTGTGTCCGAGTTCATGTTTTCGAATCGGAGGGGTTGCAAGAAGGAATGAATTTGGCCGGTACCTGTCCCATAACGGCCGTGAGAACCGCAGAGCGTATCAGATAAGATGACGCCAAGTGTCTTTTATCAAAGCTCCTATCCCCGAAATAGCACTCATCCTACCACTTTCGACACGCATTGGAAACCCCTCGAGGTCACCTCTACTCATGGCGTCAGTATGCCAACATAGAATGCCAATTCTGGTAGGTTAGTATGTATGACTTCTGGCAATTTATCTGTCATGCCCTTTCTTTCAGAACTATGGGCAAATTACACGGCCGCTCCGAAGGTTTGATCAGCAGATAGGATACCCTGTTGATTTTTCTGGTAAAGAGTTCCTTCAATTCTAGGAACAGAGCGGAGTCTCTCGCCGTGGTTTACGTGCGCAAAATGCCTTCTGCGTCGCAATACCCAACCTCTTCTATCAATCAGAGCTCTGGTCTTCGAGTAGGACACCCTGTGATGGTCACGTTCCTCGATGACCTCACCTGTCTCACCTCGCCCTTGTTCCCGTACCTACATAGTCTACGCCCCTTCGTTTGTCCTCGCTAGTCGAAGCAACGCACCTCTTGTCTCCTCCATCCACGTCCACGGCAGCCGAGTCTTGACCGTGACACACCCTTACCTTCTTAGATGGAAAATCGTCAAGCAATTCCTTCTATTTTGAGTGTTTCTGTTCACGATAGACAGAAACTCTCTCAAGACTGGCTTGGCTCCTCAGGAGCTCATTGCCATCTTATACATTTCTCCACCTGCGCGGAAACTCGTTCTACATAGACATTCTACTATCTTGAGTTGAATTCCACAAGTACTCGACGATGAGACTTCTGCGTCTAATCCCCATTCTCGTCCTTTTCTGCACTGCGATGGCCATCTCCAATGCAATCTACTACGTCATTACAGCGAGATCTGCTTCGAGACACTTGTGACTCCCTAGCCCATGTGTGCAGGCGCTTATGGAGCGGAGTTTATATTTTCGGGATAATCCCGACATAGCCACCACTATCCTAGCCGCCCGGAACCGAGGCTCCGAACCCCTTTTCTTTGTTTGACTCCTACCATCATGAGCATTTTTCGTCCCCGATGGACAGCAGGAGGCCCATTTGTACGTATCGCTCTTTGAAGAAGTAGAAATATCTTTGATTGATAACGCAACTAGGATGATACCTCAAGTGTGCACCCTAATAATCAGCAAATGCGCGATCTTGCCAAGGTGGACGATGGCGTTCAAGGACATCATAGTCCCGAGACTTGGTTCTTCGCCGCCGAAAGACTCTCTAGCGCTCTTCCAACGTTCCCTTGGGCCAAGTTTCGTCTGGCTTACGTACACCTTCTCCTAGAGGATCTGGATGGTGCTATGGAGCTTTTTCAGGAGGCTCGCAAGTTGATCTCCAACGCGGATGCGACATTTGAGGAGTACTTTGCTTCATTGAAAGCTGCAGTTGAGGTGTGGATAGTCATTTTTTATTCTGTCAATCTGACAACACTTAGGAGGAGAATAGAAAAGCTGGTGATTCACAGTCAGATATCTTCTACAAAAGTTAATTTCCTCCCAGAACTTGCCTGGTCCCACCCAGAAGATGACGGCGTCATTGTGCAACATTGGCACCCTCCTCGAGACTTCGACGCCTTTCGGCACCAATTCCCATCACATACCAGCGAGCTTCTTCGGGAATGGCACTCGTACCAGCAGAAGCTCGGACCCGATATCGCCGCTCAGCGCTACGCTCGACTAGCTGCAGTCCAGTCAAGCGAGCTAGAGGACGTCTTCACCCTTGGAGGGGAATCTCTGAATCGCATTGTCAGAGCCGGCTTCTTCGGCCACGCGGTTGACCGAGTCCTTAAAGGACCACCTGGAGGAATAGAACACATTGTCCAAATCCTGAGGGACTTCAAGAGAGTATGTCTGACGTTAAATTTCACTCGTGATCTACCTCACGGCACGTCTAGTGTCTCAATTACTTCTCAGCAAGTGTGTTGCCTGCCGACGCCATCTCTCAAGATGACCTCCGTTCCATGCATCGGGAACTCATGAAGTCGTCTCGTATTGGCTTCGTTCATACCGTTCGTGCTATTCTCTGCTGGCGTCTCCTCAGACTTACGGTTGTAGGATGACGACAGTCCGATACCCTACCTCAACATGGTTGGGGACTACCGCCGACGTCTCGTCATCGCCGACATGAACCCTGAGGACGCCAACGAAGACGAGCCGCCGCGCATTGTTCAATTCGCTCGCCATCAAGAGATCGAATTACACATGCAGACCTTCCTGGAAATGATGCATGTATGTTCACTAATTTTTTACTACTTTTGTCAAAATTTCACCCTGTATTCTCAGGAACGACTTTCGAAATTTACCTTGGGGACTGGCGATCCAATAGCATTTGCTCTCGCCGCGTGGATCCATTATCACCTTGCCGTTATCCATCCCTTCACGGTAAGTTCGTTTGCTTTCTACAAACACGAGGCTATTTACAACATCTTGCTAGGATGGTAATGGACGTCTTGGCCGTATCGTTTCTTCCTTGCCGCTACTGAAGGCGGGTTTTCCTCCAATTAATATTCGCCGATGCATGAAACCTAAGTACTTGGAAGCTCTTCACAAGGCGAGTTTCCATAGTCCCATTCCTGAATGCCTTGAATTGAGTATGACCAAAGGCTGCTACTACTCAAGACCTCGGCTTCTTGACCGAACTTATAGCCAGTGAGATGCGAGAGTCAATCCGATATCTTTCCACGCTGCACCCTCCGTCTTCCGACGACTCTCAATGGCGACTAAACATCAACGACGGTGTCACTCGTATCGTCATATAAAAGCAATCCATATGATTCAGGAGGGACGAGGTTTCTACGCTACGGATGGAATGAGTGGGCGGATCACCGTCTAATTTTAGGCAACTGCTCCTCCAAGTCACCTTCAGTAGTAGTGGACATGGACGTAGTGTCGGGTAACTGAGGCGCTCCTCCAATCCTGGCGTTTCTTGTCCGTTCACCAGCAAATTTCAGACTAGCTGGATTAATCTGGAGCCGAGCGAGAAAGGCACACAATATCTCAGTTCCTAGGTCATAAAGTGCGGCCATGGATGCAACATGTACAGAATACAACATCCGCATGCTGAAAGAGGCGACAAAATAAAGTGGGAGATGACTGGGCGAAAGGTATCCGACGTTACTGGGAAGTTAGAACACCGTCAGACGAAATATCAAGTGAGTTAAAATCAGCGTACCTTGTTCCACAGCCTGAAGAGTGCTGAAAAGATGCCCTTCTTGCGCTTCTGGAATGTTGGCTTGCTCGTTGGTTGGCAGATTCTTTCCAACTCAATCACGATCTCTTCTATTTTCAATGGCTCCAATGCGAGAAGTGTCGATGGCTCGCCAAGCAGACTCTGCGGTGTTGTCAAATTGGCACATGCGAGCGCCCTCGCTCACTACTCTCTTCCAGATGCCTCGTCTCAGCTCGTCTTCTCGTTTTAGAGTAAGAGCGCGAGCATCTGGAGAATATCGATCTCGATCCCATTTCGTAGTTGTTAATAGAAGATGTCCCGCCGGCTCCGGAGACCGAATATAACTCATTAAACTAGAGGACGCTGAGAGTCTCGCCTGAGTAATATCGTGGAGGTATATGATGCCTCCAAACGATGCCGTTGAGGAGCATCTACCATGGGACGAAATCATCAGAGGGTGAAACTCAAGAGCCAGAGCTATACTCACAATTCCCGAAGCCGTTTGACGATCACTTTGAGGATTGCACTATCCGACGCGGAAATGTGATCAAGTCCGGGGGTATCCACAAGAACGAGCGACAGGTGAGGGTGTTGCGACGTTGATAATGGGTAGTGTTTGATCTCTAGACTAGTAGAGATTTGGCTCTCACTGACAAGCGCAACATTGTGTCCAAAGGCGGTGTTGATGAACTGAATGTCGAGGTCAGCAGGCAGTTTGCGTGGTATCTGAACTACAACGGCGTACGTGGCTCTTCCCTGCACCTGTGCATCCCATTAACCTGACAGGCGCCGATCGGTGTACGAGTCGCATTCGTCAGTCAGGGTTGTACCACGAAATGGCTTTGCCACTTACAAAACAACGATGGATTTGGGTGACTGAGGCGTCAGCATCTTAGGGAAACTATGTGAGCGATTCTTGCCGTCAAGTGGAAGATAGGTTAATCAAAAGCTCGTTAGGCCCGTGAACTTATCATAGTCGCCGTTCGTCCATGCTGCGTGAATAGATTGCTTGCCACGGTCGTGCCGATGGGCGCAACGCCAACTCGGTGCGAGCAGTCCGAAACTTTCCTGCTCAACACGTGTCTGCGTTGGCAAAGGAGGCCACAGGAGGCATGCCAATCACTGGTAATATCATGAATGCATTACTTACAACTTACACGAGCTGAACACGAGCATTCCATTTCGAAATATGGAATGTTGCAACGAGATCGCATTCTAGTTTTGTACGTGAGTCCAGGGCACGTACTCCCTTGTACACAGATTTATCGCCTCGACCTCGTGTCAGGATCTACAACAGACGACGAGGTTGGAGGATGTTCGGAAGGGATGGTACCACGCGGACGAGGGATGCTGGGCCAGCTGTATGTCTCTCCTCATCGATATCAAGATACGAAACCCAATGTTCGCATCTCAGAGGTATTGGAAAGGCTTTTTGTGCTTCAAACTTCGATTGATCGCTGCTCGGCACCGAGAACGACGGGGAAAAAAACTTGCAAGATGTTGCTATGTAGTCATCCGAGAAGAGACACCCCTAGTCGAGAAGATTGAACTAGGCTGAGCATATTGCTTTCAAGATTCCACAGGTCGCAATTACAGGTCTTAAAGCTTGCATCCTTATCTGAAGTCGAAAGGAATAAGCAAGTTGGTCTGTTGGCTTCAGAGAATTACAGAGTAACAAGGCCCCAGAAATAGAGAGGGGATTGGATAAATGAATGAATCCAAACGTCGATCGTCCACTCCGCATTAAAAAACGTAAATCTAGAGCTTAACGTACCAAAATCAACCGTCGACCCCTTACTCTGTTGTCGATGTTGAGGGTATCTCGATGACGGAATCGCCTGGCCGAACGTCTTGCTCTCCTGGAACACGTGTGTTACCAGATGAATGAGTCTCGTTAGACTCAAAGCTGGGTGTCGGTGCGAACAAGACGCTAAACGCTTCAGAGGTCGCGCAGAAGTTGTCCCACTTGTATTGGGGATGATTCAGCGCGAGGGAGCGGGATAATTCCGCTGCCGGTTCAAAGCGCCTGCGGTACTCCCGAAGCACAAGGATCAGCTCAGCAAGGGGCTCGGTCACGTTGTCGGTGCGAAAGAGTAGGGCATGGGAAAATATGAACGCCGTATAAAACACGTAGTCGGTGGTGTCCGATTGCGGCGAAGTACTGTTGAGGAAGTTGCGGAGATAGATGGTGATGAAATCCAGGAGTGGGTCGCACGGGGAAGCATCACCTTCCCGAGCAATGACTGTTGTGGCCCAGAAAATGAATTGACGTGCGTACGTGTTGGTGTGCATGGTCCTGCTGAGCAAATTGTCGCGAATGGGGTGAAGTATCGTGGCAGTATGAAAGAAGGCGCAGAGAGTGGTAAGGACCGGTTTTTGTACTTTAAAAAGATGTTATAATTATCGGGATACAACGTGAAGGAAGTGAGTCTCACCTAAATAGCCATTAACAATGCCCATGTCCAATTGTCGACTAATCCACTGAACTGGGAGACTATGTGGCACTACCACCCCCGTAGAATCGTATCGCCGAGGTTCCGGTTGACCATATATCCATTCTGTCAGGCGGATGCATATCTCAACTACTTGTGGAATCATACTCCGAGGGATATTGTCGAAAGAGTCGCCACGTGAGTAGAGCATCAGGAGGGTCTGGTCGTGGAGTACCTCCATACTGAGAAGTTGTATGCCTGATGGTAACCCAAATGTTAGAGGCTGAGACTGAGCCAGCCGGTACAGGAGAGTGGGGTATGGACTGCCTTCCATAGTATTCAATGCCATTATTTGCTCAAAACAGTGGTCCACTGTACTTCGTTCTCTTTGTGCTTCGGGGGACATGCTCCTTTTGGAATCCAGTAGTCCCTGTACGGCATCGTAGAGAGGGATAGGCCGCTCCTTCATCCTTGCAACAGGCGCATTGGAGTCAGGGCCATCCTGCACATAGTCGAGGTCTCGTTGGAAGAGCCAGGCTATTCCATGTTCGAGCCATGTGTCGCCCTTCTTCTTGCGAAAAATGAAAGCAGTTGCACGGGGCATATTCTGCCACCAGCCTTTCCGATTTGTCGCTGATGTTATAGTGCAAGCATCCATTCTCCTATATGCTTCTGGCGGGGCCGAGCCTGTCTGCATGCCGCAATCCAGAATGAAAGCCACGAGCTGGTGGAACGCCCATGACTGCGGTGATTTGTACGGGCATGGAGCGCGAGGTTGATCACTGGTCTGCCATCGGGGTAGAAAGAGCGAGAGGTTTTGCAGTGTAGGAAGCGCAGTTGTGATCAGCAAGAAGAGCAGTGTCAATCCTGTGGCGATAGAGACCCAAATAGCAACGGTGGCGTTCAAGCTCCAAAGGAGGTCCACGACCCCGCAAAGGAAAAGGACGAGGCCGATTTGGAGAAGAAGTGGGAGGATGGTGAATATATGTGGGAAATACCACCTATCGAGGGCTTCAATGTGCATGTTGTGGAGGGCGAATGCGATTTGGGGTTCGAGGTCTTTCCGTGGACGCTGGTGTTCCCTTAGCCATTGGAGAGAGACAATGCCAATAAGAACAGTGGCAAGGCTGAAGACAAGGCTGAGAAACCAAAGGGTGTTGATGCGGACGTTTGACGGCGTTGGCGAGAAATCGGAGGATGGAATTGTTACAACCTGTGGCGCAGGTCCGAGGTGACCAATGATATATAATCGAAATGCTTCGTTTGGGTCTTCTTCGAGGGTTTTGTATGCATCGATTATGAAAGCCGTTACAACGGCTGAGAAAAGACCTGCCTATTTCTCAAATGAGTGCGAAAGGTCCTTGAAAAAAAAACTTAAACTCACAAAAATAAGTAGATTCTGAACTTCTTCCTTCCATGCGTGGCAGCGGGCAGCGTCCTTTTCGAGTAATGGTGCGAGCAATGTTGTCCATGGATCCTTTTCCTCTGAAGCCAGGGGACACTTGTAGGGCTTCTCGTTGCACTTCCACTCGACAAACTAGTAAGATCAAGGGATGAACAAACGGTCAGGCGTGTTGAGCTCCGGATAGACACTAACCTCTGCAGTCTTCTGACGTTCATGGGTTTGTGACGAGGATGAGGACATAGAGATCGAAGGGTGATTATGTGATGCTTTGTCGGGTTGAAATCGAGGAGAGATAGGATGTCTGGCCTGCTAGAAAAGCATAAAATTATACCCAGGATGGGTGCCAGGCAGTGTTGAGAACATGCTCATTCTACATGTTTTCGTTCCTATATGTTTTTCGTTGAAGAAGACGAGCAAGTGACTTGCAATACGGGCGCCTAAACCCTGAGGTCTGCCCGATCTTGTATGAATTAATGGGCGTGAATGGGTTTGGGACGCAAACCACGCACCAAAGAGTGACGGATCATCTTTCCCCTGGGCCCACGACTCCCGTTTAATCCCGTGTCTCTCGTATCGCCACTGCTGGCTACCCAATCGTTGAAAAAACACACCCTCTTGCAGGATGACCTTGCCTCAAATTCAATTCGCGGCTGCAACGAGATACACCGCATGATGTACGCCTGGACGATCAATGGGATCGTGGTGAATTTTAGGGATGTGCAGGTATGCAAAGCTTGGGGAAAGCGATTGGATAGGGTTGAACTAGTCTCTCTAGACAGACCTAATAGTTCCACAATGATAGTCGATGTGTCACTGATATAAGGTCTGTTTCTATTTGCGAGCCTTTTGGTGATGGGGTCGATTCGGCCTTCTTCGGACCAAATCAACGATCTGTTGAGCGTCACGTGCATCGCGACGCGGTCGCATTCCATTTTCGGATAGGGGCAAATTGTCTAAGACGGCCGCTCCCTCATACCTCACAGGCCAAACGATCTTTCAATAGAATTACGATGGTCAATTTTATACCTCGGAGAGGCGACAACGCCAGTACATCTGGGTTTGTCGGTGAATTTTCGATTTCTATGCCCACCAATCCACCAGCAACCCCAACGCCTTTCCAACTGCCAACGCAAAACCAGTCGACACGAAAACCCACTCGAAGCAATTTGGATAAGGTCGTGTTTCCATCTTAGACACCATAACCAGTGTTGTTGCGGACATTGCCCAAGTTTCTAATCGCCCTTGGAAAGAGTCGCCGTGAATCCAACAAACAATCTATGTTTCGCGAGACGAAGGCGGAGGGCGGAGATTCAACAGCAAGCCTCGCAAAAATTCTTCCCCCACGGAACGAGAAGATGGGGACGATTGACCATAGATGTTGCCGAATCTCTTGAAAGAGGTTGCATCCTTCTCGCGACGCAGCCAGCAAAGATTCGGCCGTCACTGACACGGTTCTGAATCCAAACGTAGTGACTTCGCGAGCCTGTATGGTGTTAGTTGTGACAGGCGCTCTCGAGAAAGCAACAACGTACATGGGCATTCCCAAGCTCAATCAACGATGTCACCACAAGTGCGAAACTGGTCTCTCTCGGGCGGCCTTGGTATCTCGAGTCGCAGATTTCGTGGCAGGTGACGGAGGACGAGGATGGGAGCAAAGGAAGCGGTCCTTTTGCCCTGGCTCCTCGAGGCGATGAAAATGGTCGGGATGCCTTGCAATGTGTTCCCCCAGCACTGAAGCTGAGCCGGTCGGGGTCCGTTTGGCCACAGAGGCACGAGTTGCTCGATCATTTCGCAAGTGTACACCCGTCCTCTAAGAGACGTCACGAGAAAGGAGGATCTCGACTGCAAGGTGGTGGATATGGCATAAACAAGGTAGTAAAGTACAGATGCGTAACCAACGACGCGTCTCGCGATGCGTTCACGTGCTCTCTTTCCCAGCTTACGGCCGACGGTTGAACATCCCTTTTTGGACGAATCGACCCCTCCACCCAAGGCCCGGCAAATAGAACAAGCCTAGAGTTGAACACAGCCACTTCATGTTCTCATTATGCAATTTATGGCATATTTCACCAGCATACATTTCACAGAAAAAATCTCACAGACCGGACATAGAAAGCCAAAATTCGTAATATATAACTATATAAAACAGGATCTCCCCAGCCGTTGCGAAGCTATCCTCATGCCGGCTGGTGGCAGAATATATTCCGGACGCGTCTCCACACCGTCGGCCGCTTGTGCCTCTTGTGCCTCAACTCCTTGCTAGCCTCGGCCGCTTTTTGACTACTCTGCGTGCGCGCTTGACTAGCCGTCTGAGGTTTCGCAGAATTGTCGATGTGGTTAAGGAAATCCTCAAGGATTTCCCAAGGATCATGGACATCCACGCCTCTGTCCAGTACCTTAGAACCCCCCTCGATGAGATTCTTCCAATGCATCGACTCGAGCTCTTGTTGGTGACTGCATGCATCAGGATCTTTATTCCATTTAGTCGTTGCAAGGAGGATCCTGGCGTAAATCGGTTGGACTTTTTTACTGAAATGTTTCCGACCAAGAAATGATATGAGGTCGAGGATTTGAGGTCGATTTGATGAGACGTCCTGGAGGTATGCGATACCTCCGTGGTTGATAGTGTCACCAAAGCTGGGAATGGGCGGATTAAGCAAATAAAATGACACTATACTTAGCAATCCTAGACGCGCTTACTTATCCTTCAGCCATGTGGAAATCTGCAGGAGGATCTCCTGGTCGCATTTGTCCGCCTGGTTGAAGCTTGGTGTATCCACCACAATCCAGCACACACCATTTCGATTTATCCGTACGGAGTTCAATTCGGTTGTGCAAGCAGCCTGCCCGTGCCCTACTGGCATCTGCGGGCTGTTGGGGTCGAGTAGGCGATTAATGAACTACCAAAGCAAAGGTGTTAGTACTAACCCTCTCGATCGAGTAAAATGCGAACGAACCGTGCTTTTCCCCGCACCCACTTCGCCTGTCACACTGAGCCACAGTCAGAAATATATGGATGGAGAGACATGCGATTCGAGCGATTCGAAACCTACAGGATGACGATTTCGCTAGGCTTCATGGTGTCTTTATTCTGCTCTTTTATCTTCGCAGCGATGCCCGCAAGGTTTAGGTTATCAGGCGCAAGATTGCAGTTGTATGGCCTATACTTTGAGAGGTCTCTCATGGGGCTGCTTTGGCGCGTTTTTTGGCTGGTGTATCGCAATCAAATTAGAAAGATTGTGGGCAGGCTGTGGGCCGTAATGTCAAACGTTAAGCCATGGCGGTGCCACGTATAACTTACTGAAACGTTGGATGCCTTGCGGTGTGCTAGCTGCGTGTGGAAACAGTGTATCGACGGTACAAGGCGAGTGCTCTGCGTGCCCTTCGACACTGCTCGCCGCTGGAGCTTCAGGGGGGATCGCCGCCCATCTCACTAGTTTTCTTGCGCGACTATTAAGTATGTACAGTTACAGTGGCACGGAGCCACTAGTACTGTTGAGGACACAGCAGTTCCAACGGTAGACTAGGTACAACGCTGTGTGGCTGAGAGGCTGTATTAGCATACAATTAGACATGACAAGCGGGAACACAAGAGCGCCGCACCTCTGGAACACAGTGGGCTCAGGCAGGGCAAAAGTTTCTAGAAGATGTTCACGTGGGCATCGCTGGCTTCAGTGTCGGACGTATTATGGAAAGAAAGAGGGTCAGAGCAGCGGCAAATAGCCCCACGACTTAGCAGTTCGACATCTGACATCGGTGTCGCAGTCGGCGACTCGGGGGTTGGCCAGTGACAGAACGCGTGCGAAGAAGTTATATGTACCACGTGACTAACATCCCTTTCGCGTGATGGCCGCACTGCGCAGGACGGTCTACTCATCTTTTCCATGGTAGTACGGTACGCAAGTGACGGAACTCGCTCAGGGTCTTTGTCCTGCGAGACACTCCGAGCAAGTGAGCGTCCATTGAATCTTTATTTAATCAAACTTTCTAACGCCTCATCTCCAAGAAATTGCCCCCCGGCGACCTCTACCATTATATTGTTTTTCAGATATCTAGTGACTGCAGCACTCTGCAGCGGCAAGTTTTACTATTTGGCTTTCAAGATGAATCCAGCCCTCTCCGCGCGGCAAATCGACAAGCTCATCGCAACCAGCATCATTACTGTAAATTAAGGATGCAGAGCGGTCTTTCTAGTAGTATTCAAGGTGGGCTTACCTTGCGCCAGAAGCCAAAGAGTTTCGCGAAGATACCCTTTTTCTTCGCTGGCGGTTTCGCGGTTCCCCTGATTGCATGACCACTAAGCCTATTCAGCTCTTGCTCAAACATGTGCAGTTCCAGCGGCTTCAACCTTAGGAGGTTGTTTATGACCTCCCAAGCTGAATCCCGTGTATTCCGAAACTGGCATATTCTGGCGCCTCCTGCCAGCACCCTTCTCCACACATTTTCTCTCAGCTCGTTCTCTCGCGCCGTATAGCTCTCTGTCCCTGTCGAATCTCTGTCCCATTTCACGGTTGTCAGTAGAAGATGCTTCGCGGGTTCTGGGGACTTCAAATAGTCCATCGGCCAGTGCTTTGCAACCCTATCTTGTGTTATGTCATGAAGATAAACGACACCGCCGAATGACACGTCCAAGCTGCACCTGTTATGACAGATGATATACTCTAGGAAAATGACGCGGAGACTGTTACTCACGAAGTATACAACCATTCCGCGATCAGCTTCAAGATATCACTATCCGACAGGTAAATGTGATCAAAACCAGGTGTATCGACGAGAACAAGGTCGGAGGGACCTGAGCGCTTGTTGAAATTTCGGACAACAAAAGAGTTGATTTCGGGATCCATCGATGTCTGGTTATCGTTGACAGTCGCAAGAACTCTACCAGCAGCAACGTTGATGAACTAAATGAGAGGTATTACAGCCTGGGCCGGATAGAGGGGGGAAAAAATAGCGTACGTGGCTCTTCCCCGCCCCCGTCTGACCCATCAACCTTTTAGGCGCTCATCAATGAAAGTCGATCAGAGAACCACCTCTTGACTCACAGAATCAGTGTTCCAGTATCTCTAGTGATGAATGGTTCTTGAATTCGAGGCTTTTCAGGCATAGTATCCTCGCGGGTGGTGTCTAAGTGAGTGGCTGAATTTTGCTCTTCTCCTGATGTGGTCCTAAGGTCTCATGAACCGGCATGACACATGCTCATCGTGAGGTCATTAAGATGGGAAGCAATGACGCCTATGTCGGTTAATTTCGGCTTACTTTTCCCAGGACGACTGAGGTGTGTTTGCGGTTCGGGTTCAGCGTGCCAACATCGCTTTGATATGGCGGATATCGGCGTTCGGAACAATCGTGATTGCACAAAAACGCATGCCACGTTGTAGGCACGTGGGCACTGGGTGGTGTATCGATACATTTCAATGGCGGTGCTAGCTCAGTTCCAGATTTGCTGGAAATTTTCCAAGAAGTGACAATCTTCCAGCACAGGGGTTGTTACATAGCGGCGTGCAGCCGCGATAGGTTCACCTCGTGGAACGTTTGTGAAGGTACGAGCTCTGGGCAAGAGTATTTCTCAGGAAATTTGATAGATTCCTTGCGCATGCCAACTCTTGGGCACTTAAGGGCGAGCCGGAGTCATGTCTGAAATTGGGGACGTGAACACAAAAGGAAGTATCAGAACTAAAATTGGTAACTAGCACGCTTCGAACGATGGCCGCCTGCCTGTCTCCACCTATTTCAACCATCGGCGACTAAAAATCTCCATAATTCGTGCCAGATGAAATATACCCCCTGCGGTCGCTTCCTCTTTGCTCCCCTTCTGACCGGAGCGAGCTTTCCGCAGATCAGCCAACTCCTTCTCAATGTCGAGTTTGGATTCGTTCTCCAGGGTCCGGAGGAAGCTCTCGATAATCCTTTGAGAGTCTTCTCTGCTACGAATTCGAAACACTTGCGAGCCTGCAGAGATTAACCGCCGCCAGTGTTGCGATACGAGCTCTTCCTGATGAGCGCTGCCTGTGGCAGCATCGATTTTGTCCCACTTGGTGGTCGCAAGCGCAACTCTTCGACAGAGCATTTGCTGAACTTGGGAAAATGACTGACGGAGAATAAAAAGGGCATTCGTCATCCCGGAATTTCGATCACTTGAGATGTCGTGGAGATAGATGACACCTCCACGGGCAATGCCTTCGGGAAAACTTGGAATGGGACGGTCAAAACCGGGAACGCAACTTTGACGAATGACATACGACTTATGAAGCCAGGTAGAAATTTGCTTCAACACCTCTGAGTCTGGTTTTCCGTCTTGGTCAAAGCCGGGCGTGTCCACAACGATCAAACGGTAGTCTTTGTGAGGCTGAGGGATTATGGCGTATTCCACTTCCTTCGTGCAGCTAGCTGTGGTGTCTCCAACGCGCATACGATGGTTTGAGAGAAGAGCATTGATAAACTAATAGTAGAGTGTAAGTGCCTTTTCCGGCCCCACCGAGTGTGCGATACATACCGTGCTCCGTCCTGCCCCAGTCAAACCCGTCATGCTATGCTCAATAGTTAACAGAATACCATGCAAATAAGACGAGGGAATACAGGATAACGATGTCGGACTTGAGAAATATGTCGCCCATTTTCGCGTGTCTATGAGCGGGACTATTGGTGTTTAGATGAAATACATCAGCCACCGTGGAGGGATTTATATTTGAACAGGGATCTATTTCACCGTCGAGTTGTTTCTTGCAGGGATACAGATGTTTTACGATGATCGATGCTCCAGGGTGGGACCGTGATTAGGAGCCTCCTATCCTGGACTGTGTTGGGAGACGTCGCTTGGGCAGGTCCCTTCATGCTGCCTGACCTAAACCTGTATTAAGAACTAAATTTCCCCTATGTGCACGGCTTGAAACGCACAAAAAGATTGGCGGGTGTTATTATCGATGGAATGTATGGCAGCGTGCAACTTGCAACGCGCTAAAGGTCAGGCTGTTAGACGCGTCTTCAAACTTTATCTCATACCACGTGTATGCGGCATGCACTTAGCCAGCTTACCGGAATCCACGAAGGAAGATCACGCTTTGAGCCTGCGTGTTCGAAAACCGGCCTTTAAGGTAGCGCTGGTAATAATAGTTTCAGAGGTTACCCAGCCTACTCCTTGTTTCTAACTATCAGTACGCACCTCAACGAACTGTCAAATGAGCCGAAACAACATTCCTCGAGAAGCTATCCTAGAAAACGGAAAGGAGACAGACATCGTAATTCCGTGCGTTGTTTCCCGCTGAAGTGAAATTGTCTCCTTACCGAGACTTCTGTCTTCAAGAATCATGGGCGCTACTGGCGCTGGCAAGAGCACCGTAAGCCAATGTCCGTCGCATATGGTCTCACTCATTGAAAGCGTTCAAGTTCATCAACCATCTTCTTGGCGAAAATCGTCTGCAGGTTGGCCATAAGCTGTCGTCGTGCACAGTGGACCTTTGCCCGGTTATATATGAGCATCGGTTGAACATTCCGAGTCTCCGAGGCCGCCGAGTGGTCGTAGTCGATACGCCAGGATTCGACGATACTTACGTAGGAGACGTCGAGATCCTGACACGCATTGCGAGATGGTTGGAACTTTCGTGAGTAGTTAATTTCACAATGCCCATCCTCAGTCGTGACCTTTGACCTAAGTTATCGCAAGCAAATGGTGCTCGGAGGGGTGTTATACCTGCACGATGTATCCCAAGACCGCTTCTCCGGAACTGCACGCAGAAATCTCGAGATGTTCAACCACCTTTGTGGAGACGCTGCACTTGATAAGGTTATCCTGGCGACCACGAAAGGCGGGAGACTTGCTCCCGACAACGTGAGGAGACGAGAGGAAGAATTGAAGAGTGTCCACTGGAAATCCATGATTAACAAAGGTTCCGAAGTCCGCCCATTCCTCGGCACCACGAAAAGCGCGCAAGATATTGTCAACATCTTTCTGGAACGCGCAATCCAGAGACAACGAGAACAGATTATGAAGCTCCACATTCAGATCCAGGCAGAGTTGGTCGACGACTGCAAGTTCATCCCACAGACAGAAGCCGGAAAACAGCTGCGCTACACCCTCCAGGAAGTCCTCGCTCTGCAAAAGCAGATGATATCATTGGAGTCAGACCTCGCCCAAGGAGGCGATCCAGAGGCCGAAGCGAAGCTACGCGAGGCAGAGGAGAAGATGAGGAAAATGGAAGATCAGATCAAAGCTCTGAAGGTGTCCCTTTCCAAGAGAATCGGCAGAAAGATCAAAAAACTGGTAAGAGGTCCTCCAAGCTCGAGGCATAGCGGGCTGACAAACAACGTCCTTTAGTTGGGAATTTGACAACGTCGCAGTCAGCCGCCGAAATGCAGGCAAGAGAGCGAGAGAGACGTCCATGCAGCTTGTTTTAATCTGTATTTATCATTGAATTTTCGTGGAATGCGATAAAGGAGTGATGAACATTAGTCTGGGCGCTCTGACATAGGAAGAAGAGATCTTACACAACTCAAGTCGCCACCGTGCGACTCCATGCTCAGAGCTCTGAAGTGCCACGGGGTAACGAGCATTGACGAGGGTGGGGCAATAGGCGACGTTCAGTTTTCGAATCGAAGTTGGTCCAGCTATCGACGCAGGTGCTGGTGCAGCTTTCCACTACCACTACGAGGTGTCAATTAACGGCGAAACCAATCTAGACGCATTGCGTGCACATACCGGCCCAGCTCCTGGAGGTTACAGGACAATATATTTTCGTCGCTGACGTACTGTCTCTCCTTAGAGAGGGCCTTCTGTTTTCCGTGGAGTATAGAATAGGCCGAAGATACGACCCGAAGAGGCAGCTTGTAGCAGATATATGGCTGAACAAGTACGAGCAGGCATTCACTGGTGTAGGTAAAACTGGTACAGGCTGAGACCATTGGCGTCTGTTCCGACTTCGGGTCAATAGTAGATAGGAACGCACGCGTTTTATGGATCTGAACGCTTGTCAGCATGGGCTGCCGGACATCATCTTCGCTCACTAAGATAAACTGTGAACCTGCATCGAGTTGCTCTGTAAAAAAGCCTGCTGTCGAACAAGCGGCTAGCAATTTCGTCAGCGTTGTCCAACCGGTCCTGCACCGAGCACTGGGCATGCGATTCATGTGAACAAAAGCGAGAGAGAAATCAGAATCGCGACCTTGATGCACGCTTTTAATTATTGCACGGCGAAATAAAAAGGACACGACATCTATCTGGTATTTGCCTTGTACAGCCCGCTTACAGAGCAGAAGCACCTGTGACAAGATAAGAAGATACCCTTGGGTTTGAGCAAGCGAATGCACATACCAGTAATGATATCCACCAGCTCGTTCGTGATGGCGGCTTGGCGACCACGGTTGTACTGCATCTGGAGGGAGGCAATCATGTCGGTGGCGTTCTTGGACGCATTGTCCATGGCGTTGCGGCTGTTGAAACACAAGAATGAGGCATGTAAACATTTTTAAAAGAAGGAAGAAAATTACCGAGCACTCTGTTCACAGGCATGGCCTTCAGTCAGAGCAGCATAGATGGCATTAGCGAGGGAGAATTCAGCAAGATCCTTGGTGGCATCGTCCTCGTTTTCGTATACTTTGAAGGCGTCTATAAAACAAAGTCAGCATGCTTGCTAGACTAAGGGTAGGCGAAGCGCACCGCTCTCCCTCAACGCCTCCTCGCCCTTAACTTCCACGGCTGCAGCCTCGTACGAGATCGCTGACACAAACTTGTTGTAAACAAGGACAACCGAGTCGAACTTGACGCCGCTCTGGGTGATGAGGTCGGCAACTGCTGCAGCGTCCGCAAAGGTAGGGATGTCGCGTCCGATTTGGTTGAATGTAAGCTGGATGTTGCCGCTGAGAGCACGCTGCATCTGGGCCTTGGATTTATCACCGATGATCATGATGGAGGAGGAAGGGTCGACGGTGGAGTCGTTGGCGCTGGCACCAGCGAGCGGGGAGTCTTCGAGGGCTCGGCGAGTAGCCTTGGACACGGAGGAGTGGATACCACCACAAAGACCCTTGTCGGAGGAGATGATAAGGAAAAGTTTGTTGGGCGTGGGCTTGTCTGAAGGAACATGTTGGAAGACCTCTGCAGAATGGATAAATTATAAGATTTTCCTGACACGACGTTCAGAAATGCGTACCCTTATTGGCGATACCGTACTGCTTGCCAGCTTCCATAGCCCTCTGGGCCTTTGCAAGCTTAGTCGAAGCAATCATTTTCATCGACTGCACGCCCTAGTCAGTCCTCCTCCCTTTAAAATACAAGGTCGCGTTCTGACCTTGGTGATTTTCTCGATGTTCCTGACGGACTTGAGGCGCAGCTCAATTTCCCGGAGAGTGGCCATGTTCCTGGTATTTGCGGGTGCAGCACCCAGAGCCCTGGGCTGCGCAGCTGCGCGGGCGAGGGTACGACCAGCAAGCATCGTCGACATCGTTGGTAAAGGTGAGTTCGCTGTCAAGAACGTCGGGCTCGTTCGGCTTCCCAGAAAATATTTCCCACGAAGTCGGAGTGTCTGAGTTTCAATCTCGGCAAGGCATCGGACCGAGTCACGAGTTAACTATATATCTCATCTTTCCTCAAACCATGTCGGAAGAGCCTCTATTCGACCCATCGCTAAAGAAGCGAAAGAAGAAGGCCGTTGTCTTCATCGAGGACCCACTCGGTGCAGATGCGGATCCTACAAAACCAGCACCGGAGACCATCGACAGCACCACAATCAGCGGAGAGACTGTCGATCTTGGTCCGACGACTGCCCATGAGCTCATGAGCAAGTCGGGAGGATCGGAGGCGAAGTCTGAGAAAAAGGAGAAAGAGGATGATGAATTCAAGGCTATGTTTGGCGATGTGAAGAAGAAAAAGAAGAAGAAAGAGATTCCTCTTGACTTTGTACGTTTTTAATCGTCCTTTGGCCGTTGGAACACTGATTATCAAGTTTTATGGTAGGGAGAAGATTCTGGCACGTCGACGCCAGCGGCCACAGAGAAGGCCTCCAACGATGCCTCGCAAGGACCCACAATCACGGCCGACGATATCGACTTCTCTGACATGAAGAAAAAGAAAAAGTCGGGCAAGAAGAAGGTCGATCTCGAGGCCTTCGAGAAGGAGATCAACGAGTCCAAGGCCAAGTCGAAAGACGATGGCGCAGACGAGGAGGAGGAGGGCCTTGAGCCAGATGGCTCACATCTCGACAATATCGATGAAGCTGAACTTGGAGACGATCCATTCGCCCATGCAGACGCGCCCGTCGGATTGGATGCTGGGAACGAAGCTTGGCTGAAGAGCGATCGCGATTATACGTACCAGGAGGTGTGTTGACTAAATCTTGTCTGTTCCAATTCAATACTGACTGGTCCTCAGCTGTTGACGAGATTCTACGCGTCTCTACACGCCGCAAATCCGTCACTCCTCTCCAGTGCCTCCAAAAAGCGATATACGATTGCACCGCCACAACTCTTCAGGGAAGGAAACAAGAAATCCATTTTCGCGAACGTTACGGAGATCTGCAAGAAAATGCACCGTCAGGTGGGTCGTTTATCCATGTTCTTGTTGCTCATGACCTGACTGAGTTCATTGAATACTCTAGCCTGAACACGTTATTGCGTATTTGTTCGCCGAAATGGGTACGACAGGTTCCGTCGACGGTGCCGGCCGCTTGGTTATCAAGGGACGCTTCCAACAAAAGCAGATTGAGAACGTTCTACGACGGTACATGGGTACGTTTTCCCCTCCGATTTCGGCATTCACCCTTGCTGATGGTATATGTAGTTGAATACGTCACCTGCAAGACATGCAAATCGCCGGACACGCTCCTCACGAAGGAGAATCGTATCTTCTTCATGGCCTGCGAGTCCTGTGGAAGTAGGCGGTCGGTTAACGCGATCAAGAGTGGTTTCCAGGCGCAGGTTGGAAAGAGAAGCAAGAACAAGACGGGTTGATTTGTTTTCTGGACAAGTGTTCTGTCCTGCAGTTTTTTTTTGCATTTCATGTTGTCCCAATGATCCGTCTGAAGCTGTTCAGCCCGTTGGTCTGCTTCAGTGGTCTCCAGCTGAAAGCTTCGTCCATGATAAACTCTCTGACAGAAAGTTGATCCATTTGCATCATATATGTCAGAAACTGAACCGAACAGTGCTTAGTTTGGGGCTTCCACACAAGTGTCAGTAATTACTACATAGTAGAACAAGTCACACGCATGACAGCTTCACACGGGCTATTATTACAATTACCAAGTCCATATTCACTATTGCTCTACTGTCCAACTACTCAGTCCCAACCCTCTCAGATCCAGAGCGGTTAACCTACTTTTTCACAATCTATCTTCAAAGGATCCAATGCGTTTCCGTACTCTCGAGATTCGGTGGCACGACAACAAGCCAATCTCCACCTGCGACTTCCAGCCCGTTTCGTTCAAAAAAGCGCGTCCAACAGCTGGCCAGGAGAAGAATTACGCGGGCCAGTCCTACAGACTCGCGACGGGAGGAGAGGACAACCATGTTCGGGTGAGTCGCGCCTGGCGAGCTCGCGTCAGTAAGCTGACGGCTTTGGGATGCAGATATGGATGGTGCATCCACATATTCGACCGCCAAACCTTGTAGCCGAAGCAGACCCAGCAGCAGCCAATGCTCCCAGACCGCCACGGGTGGAGTACCTTGCGACGTTGAGTCGCCACTCAGCAGCCGTGAACGTTGTGCGGTTTTCACCAAATGGTGCGTTTGTTGCTGTATGATGACTCTAATTGTCCTGAATCATGGCTCTGAAGGCGAACTTATCGCGTCTGCTGGTGACGGTAAGCCTCTATTTGTTTGAAATCCGGGCTGCTCTGAACGCCTTCCAGATGGAATGATCATAATTTGGGCAGCGTCATCTAGTCCGCAAGCCGCGACCTACGGAAGCGACCTTACTGCAGAAGAACTTCAACATGAAAAGGAGTTTTGGAAGCCGCGGACAACCTTCCGGTTAGTAGGGCTCGCGATCATAATCATCCTCATTAACAAGCTTCCAAAGGTGCACAACCATGCAAGTTTATGATTTAGCTTGGAGCCCGACCGGAGAATATATTATTGCTGGAAGCACAGACAATACAGCCAGGATCTTCGCAGCGGCAGACGGTACGTTTTTCTTTCATGCGCACCGTTATCGCACTCATTTTGTTCAGGGAAATGCGTGTATGAAATCGCAGAGCACTCACACTATGTGCAAGGTGTTGCATGGGACCCACTGAACGAATACATCGCCACTCAGAGCAGCGACCGTTCCATGCACATCTACCGCATTTCAACCAAACCAGGAGGCGCGTTCGAAGTCCATGCCGTCGGCAAGAACACACGCATGCCCCATCGACACAGCCATAGTCATTCCCGTACACCAAGCGCCCATGGAGGTGCCCGACCTCGAATGTTCCATCGCGAGTCCACCACCAGTGACGTGGAATCATCATCAGCTCTTGTCATTGACGTTGAAGACCCTCTATGCGCGAAAGAGTTGGCACCATTAACACCAGCCACATCCGTCGCAAGTACACCGGCCTTCATGTTCCCACCACCGCCTATCGAGGCATCGTCTCGGAGGTCGTCGTTCAGTTCCAACGCCCCCGGCTCTCCATCTACATTTAGCAACAACAACAGCCGCTACGGCCGCTCTCCTTCTCCTATGCCGCCCCTTCCCGCTATCAGAAGCCCCCAGACAGCTGCTACGGCAGCCTTGTGGGCCAGTGTCAAGCTCTATGGAGACGAGAGCTATACCAACTTCTTCCGCAGACTGACATTCAGCCCTGATGGTGGACTCTTGCTGACGCCGGCAGGTCAATTCGAAGATCCATCTGTCAATCCACTTTTCACCAAGTTTGGCACCGGCACAGAAGATGCTGCTCCTACCCGAGGGAGGAAGGGTCATCCTTCCGAGTTGACGAGCTCTGCTCCATCATCTAATCCGACGTCTTCCGTCTACATCTATTCTCGTGCCAACTTCGCCAGACCACCTATCGCTCAACTGCCAGGCCATAAAAAAGCAAGCGTCGCTGTTCGGTTCTCGCCGATTTTGTACGACTTGCGGCCTGGTGTTACGATGCCTGGCGGTGCGGAGAGCAACGACAAAGAGGGCAAGAAAGACGGCCCTCCGATTGGCGTTCTTGAGAAGGGTGTCGATGGTGTCATGGACGTCGACGTAACTGGCCCGGTTCCGATGACAGAATCTCAGCAAGCAGCAGCGATAGCAGGATTGGCTCCAAGCTCCTCAGCCTCCCTTTTGACGCCTCAACGCACCCCAGCTTCAGTTCATCTACCCATTGCCACTCCTACTCCACGACCTGCAATCGCCACTTCGAACTTCATTGCTTCGTCTCCTGCTTTGTCGCCTATGGACCTCCGACCGCCGACCCCGGCCGCCTCAAAGCCTTCCACGCCGGCGCCATCGCACAATCATGGCTATTCGTATTCTCAGTCGCAATTGCAAGCCAGTGGCAGTGGGCATGGACATGCTGCAACCGTAACCCAGACAGGCTCGGTCTTCGCTTTGCCTTATAGGATGTTGTTCGCGGTTGAAACGATGGATACGGTCGCAATCTACGACACTCAGCAGGCTAGTCCAGTTGCTCTGCTCACAAAGCTTCATTACGACGAGTTTACGGATATGACCTGGTACGTCTTTCGTTGTATCTGTGCGGCGTACATGGATCCTTACGCCTAAAAAACCAGGTCTCCTGATGGCCAGTGCCTTATCCTCTCTTCCCGAGATGGCTATTGCACTCTGGTGGTATTTGATGACATCCTGCCAGCATACCATACCCAGCAACATTCACTGCAAATGCAGTCTATCGCCAGTCACAATTTTGTGCCGCTAACCTTGACCTCCAGCAACCATCCCCAGTCTTCAATGCAGACTACACCCGCAGCTACCCCATCTTCAGCAACTTCAAACCTACCATTTATTAGCAGCACTCCAGTGTCGGCCTCGGCGTCCTCTTCGTCTGGTTCTCAACCTCCAGCGACCAATCCAAAGAAGAGGAGCGATCCTCCACTTACTCCTGCCGCAAGTGTGGATGGCTCTGAAAGCATGTCGTACTTCGCCCCAGGGTTGACTCAGGTGCCCCAAGCTATGGTTGTGGAGGGACCGTCGACTGCATCAGGGGAAGCGGATGCTCCCAGCAACGTTGATAAGATCCAGGAGCCGCCGAAGAAGAAGAGAAGAGTCGCGTTGACGCGCGTTGGGGATTTGGACTCATAATGCTTGATAGCACGTTCAGAGGTTTCTCAGATTATATTTTATTGCAGCTTTTGGCCTATTTTCTATCTTGCATTTTCTTGTTTTTCTCCAACCTTCCCAGTGGCAGCTCTTCCACGTTTTCTCTAAGGCAACTGCCTTGATCTTCTTGATCCTCTGAATCTTCTCCATCTTGTCCGAACTCCATCTATGCGACTGTCGTCTTGGTCTTCTTCTCGTTATGCAACCCGTCATGCCTTATTCTATCGATACTATTTTAGTTATTCTGTCTGTATACTAGCGTCTCCTGCAAGCAGTGAAATCCATTCTAATCCGTGACTCACAGCAGGAACACCATATCACTAGGGTTCAATTATCGCCTTAGGAATCAACTTGGTCATGGAACTGGTCGTTGCCCTGCACTCGGACGCTTCGCAGCTGGAGAGAAATGAAGCGATGCACATTCATTCCAAAGCAAAGCAGAACGAAGGCAAGAAAGGGAGTAACACAGTATCACCTCAAAGAACTTGCCCTCAGCGTGCTCGTTGATCCCCACAGATTCTCGCCCGCCAGCTCGTCTTGAGAGGCAGCCGCAGCTGCGCTTTTGTTGCCCATGACAATGCCCAAGTCCTTCTGTGCCTTCTGTAGAATCTTCGTCAGGTGCTGCAGCCCTGCCTGCTGCTCCGACAGGATTTGCGTGATCTGCGCGAGGCCTTCCTCATCGACGACAGCCCACTCGCTCGCACCGGCACCTCCAGCACCTCCAGCACCCTGACCGCCAGCACGTTCGGCACCAGCACCCACGGCACCAATCAACGCCCACAGCTCGTTCAGGCGGGCTTTCACCCGTCCACGTCGCAGCTCCTCTTCCATCTCCTCCAGTTTCCCTCGTAGGGCTTCCTCCTCCGGCCGCAGTGCGCTCGAGCGGATGGCGGGGATGAGCAGGTGCAGGTGTTGCACGAGCTGCATTAGTCGTTGTGTCAACTGGGTTTGTAGGGCTGATGCACGGAGGAGACGAGAGGTGGTGGAAATGGAGTGTTGAGTTCGGAGTGCGTTGAGTCGCGATTGGAGGTCGTTCAATTTTTGGAGGTGGGAGGCAGACTGCGCCGTTTGGGCATCCGTCCGGGCTCGTAGGTCGTCGAAACCAATGGCTATTACAGGTACGAGGCTACTGAAGACGTTAAATCACGAGAGGCTCCTTCTAGACTATTGCTCACCATGTTGGATCAGGGTTTTCTCGAACGGCCTTCTCCCATAGCGCATCATTGGTAGCATTTAGTGGTCGCCCGTACAGATTAACTTGTTTTGGATCCACAAGATTGTAAAAAGGATACTGGGCGCAAAGTAAACACCTCGAAGCGAGTTCAACAGAGAAGGCCATACCTGGAATCGGCAATCCCTTGACTGGGGATTCCATGCATTGTAGATGGCTTCAATGCTCTGGGCCACCTTGATAAACTGCGCCTGAGCATCCGCGGGTTGCTGCTGGGATCCTGTCGTTGATCTTGACGCAAGGAAATTGTTGGGTGGCGCCAGCGCTGACGTACCTGGAAGAATCTGTCAAGGATCGAGAAGATAAGATGAAAGACACGAACTAAGGGTGCTTCTGTTTCCACCACCGAAAAGCGAAATTCCTGTCGTTGATCCAAAAAGCGAAGATTGTTGTTGTTGTTGCTGTTGTTGTTGCTGCTGCTGCTGCTGCTGTTGCGGATTTCCAAAGATCGAGCCGGTGTTAGTGTTCGCCGTCGTACTTGTGCCAAAGAGATTGTTTCCAGCAGGCCTCGTTCCAAAGAGGTTCGATCCTGCATTCTGTGTGTTCCCAAAGAGACCACCGCCTGCCGTGCCCGTTTGTTGGGTATTCGTGTTTCCGAAAAGGGCGCCGCCACTTCCGCTTGTGTTCGTGTTCATTGAGCCGAAAAGTCCCCCACCCGTTGTATTCATCGATCCAAAGAGCCCTCCTCCGCCCGTGCCGGCATTCTGAGGCGTATTTCCAAACAGACTCGTACCAGTGTTCGATGCAGTGTTTCCGAACATCGACGGGCCACCAGTCCCTCCGGTGTTGGTGTTTGTGTTTGTACCACCGAAAAGCGGGTTCGTATTCGTTGTCGTTGATGAAGTATTGCCGAATAACGAGTTTCCAGTTGCTGGTTGGTTTGTCTGTGTGCCGCCGAATAGGCCACCCGTCTGTGCAGGCTGAGCTGCTGTGTTCGTCGTGTTCCCTCCACTAAACAATCCTCCTCCAGATGGATTTTGGTTCGTGTTCATGTTCGTATTGGTCGATCCAAAGAGTCCTCCACCCGCGTTGGGATTCGTGTTTCCGAAAAGCGAGGCTTGTGTTGGTTGTGCCTGCAAGGGGTTTGGGTTCGTCGTTGTTGACCCAAATAAAGACGTTCCTGTCGTTCCTTGGTTCGTATTCTGGGCGCCGAACAGACCGCCTCCAGCAGGCGTTGGCGCGCTGTTGGTGTTGGAGTTACCGAAGTTCCCAAAGATCGACATTTAGAACGGTGAGACAGCGATCTCGCTCCAGAATCAAGGCCAGGGTAACCTGGTCTACAGTGCAAGAAAATAAGCAGAGACCCGTTAATCCCTCAGTAATTACCCGTAACTTTCATTGACAAAGACTCACCTTACCAGTTGGACGTCGTGGTCGATGTTCACGATGGCGCGTTCACCAGAATGGAAATCCCAGTTCTGCTCGACACGCGCCGGAATTACGCGTCGACTCCCACGCTATTTACTGTGTCTTCACCACGCCTTCACCGCGAAACAACACTTGCTCCTCCTTTATTTTTCGTTAAGCGTCCTAATTCTGGGGTTGACGAGAATCAGATGGAAGAAGGAATGTCGACTGGGACCCATGCGATGCATCATGCCCTCCGGTTCGACAACCACCTTCGTCCGCTGACGCTTCAGTTTCCTGCTCGCAGTGTCTTCAACGAACTGAGCACCAACTTTCGCAGCCAAATCCAATTCTGACCAATTCAGTGAAGCTTAGTTCGACAAATGGACCAACTGAAATAAATCGCAGAGATGCCTTGCCATGACCAACTCGCGCTGCAAAGGCCCTGCTCCGCTTTGCCTTTCAACGATTCAATAGGATGAAAACGAGCGATTCCTGGCAACAGACTCTGGAAAACTGATGTCGACTGTATTCGAGTCTATTTTACGATTGTCAGTCAAGATGACAAAACGGCTTTTCGTCTTTTTGGAACGACGCTTGAACGCTAACAATGTTACTAGTAACAATTCGATCGATCAAAGGGTGCATGCTATCGTCAGCCTTGGTACGAAGACCTCCCCTCGTACCAGATCACCTTGCAGAGCAAGGTCACTCCAACCCTACTTCAAACTACTCGCTCTTTCTATAATTCTTTCTCGCACCGGCTGCGTAGCTCTTGGAGGTGGAGATGATCGCCCTGCCAGCAACCATTCTTCTCCTCGCTGCAAGCTCTGGCCTCGTCGCTTCGTCAATCATTACAACACCCACCTTGCTGAGATTCGAGAGAAGAGCGTCTCCCGACAATACCGTTCTTGTCAATAGTGCCGATGATTACTGGTATTTCTGGTTTCCATTCTTACTTTACCCCGCCGTTACTGATGCAAAGACAATCCACAGTTTAATCGTCCCAAAGTAAGTAAAACCGTTATGCGATTCGAGAAAAAGGTCTGACACTGCAAAAGAGACCCTAATACCAACATAGGAGATAGCGAACATCCTGGAGGAATGACTTCATATTGCTCACCGTCAGCGCATTCCTCTCCCGATCAAGGCTTGCTGCCCAGCGACTTTTGGAAGAATGTGCTGTTCATTTCCGGGACAGGAGCAGGACGATTTGCCCAATGTGCGTCTACTTACCTCGTCAGTACACTGAGTCACGACGAGAACGCCTTTTTATCACCGCAGTGACCGGGTGCATCGATCCCTCCAAGCTCGACAGGCTCAACCCCCACGATTCCGGTGGCCAATACGATTCGAGCGGTGGGGCTAGCGGGACTGGCAACCCGGTTGGAAGTGCGTGTGCTGGGTAAGTTGTTCTTCTTCAACCCGTTCGAGACTCGAAACTGATTCGCGAACGCCTCGCGTTTAGGTACAATCACTATGTCGAGTTGGTTGAACCAGAAGGACAAAGGGCGTGCATTCGGTGTTGCGATGATCCTGCTGATTGCCCCACCCACAAAGGTAAATCATCTTATTCGCTCTTCGATTGAACGGTTGAGGTGATAAAGAACCCATTTATCCTAGATACTTCTGGGTGCCCTAGTGTCATTCCAGGGAATTATTTCGATTGTGCTTGAGAACTACTGTATAATCCAAAGACTGATGGGGCTGGACATACATAAATCCTGGTCACTGTGATTCATAGAGGTGAAGAAAGGGCAGCGACGCCGTGATGATGAATGACTCTCGTGCTCCACCAAAAAAAAAAAAAAAAAAAAAAAAGAAAAAGGATTACTCTCGTGACGCGTGACAGGTTCACCAACTCCTCCGACCAAAGTTAAATAACACTGCGGACAAAACGTAGAAGACTTGTAACAAAAAGTTTGAAGAGACCCACAGCGTCAGGTGGTGTTTGGCTATATTATTATACGTGAATGTAAACAAACGTAGTGCGCTGTGGCCATTGTGGCGAACTCTTCAATGGCAGGACTGGACTTCCACTAGAATTCCGACCTTGGTCTTTACGCCCCATCTCTGGGTGATGACTATACCCTTACAAACTACCATTCATCCCATTGATGATCACTCGCAATGGCCAGCAGAATGCATCTCGCTATGTCACCAATTTACGCCCCAATTGCGTGGAGAGCTTCCGACCCAGCCACTGTCACCTTTAGTTCAAAACATTCTCGAAGAAGTTAAGGAATCTCCTCGTATTTCTTTTACGGATCAGGGCGACCTGCAACACGCGTTATCGATTACCGACTATCTTGACAGCGTCTTGACGTCCGTCCGGATGTTCAGGGAATTGAAGGCGCTTGACAAGAACGAAGGGTTTGGTCCTCGAGCCACCAAACCAATATGGTCATCCCTAATTGCATCTCTATCGACTGCATGGTCTAAAGATGTGTCCGTTTTGTAAGACCTTCACCTCTTCGTTCCTTTTCATCTTCACGGGCAACGGTGGTTCTTATTTTAGGTCAGACGTGCCGTTCTTGCTGCCACGGTCCTTGGAACTGTCTTTGCCACACATTGAATCCGGTTGTGTTGAAGGATGTGCTTCTCTTCTGCTCTGTACATCTATTTCAACAGGGGAGAATGATTTGGATGATGACATCATTGAGCAGGATGCGCAGGACGTGAAGGAAGGTATGTCGACTACTACTCGAATGGATCCAATGAGACTGATATCGACTCAGAAGAATGTTCCGAAGATGATGATCAGCCGGAGCAGGACGACTTCGCCGACCAGTCACTTATGAGTGATGAAGGTGACCCCATCCTTATTCAAACGCCTTCAGTAATGTTCACCCCAATCTTCAGACGAGGATCAGACAAGGTCTTTTCAATGGGCAGAATTAAGTGTTAGATCCCTTGATGAAAGTGAGTAGCATACTTCCTATCACTGCTCGGTCTACTGAAGATTTTGTTTAATAGATGACCTCGATGGCTCTTCATCTGCAATATCTCTCCCATCCTTGAATCTCCCCTTCGATGCCCACATTCTTCCCGGGCAAGGCAGACGCACCAACGTCTTCTTACCTATTATCTGCATTGCTGAAGAGCAAGACATTTTTTCCTTAGTTACCAGCGCCGTCTACCAGCGACATCTATGGGGTATCTCTCGACCAATTATTGGAATATCACTGTCAAAGTTCGGCACGACAGCTAATGTGATGTTAGGATGGATTTCACCCCACGATACCGATGTCGACCAGCAACTGGTGTGTTTCTCAACTCTTCCGCTGTCTCATTCATTCATTCTCCTAGCCCCAAGTCCACATTGCTCTCGGAAACAGGCAAGGCGATGAGTCATTGGGTATCTTCAATCTCCTTGAACCAGTATCTACCCTATACTTCGCTCAATTCATCCTCAACATGTCGTCCGAGCTCCAGAGCCTTTCTGAATCCCTGCAAACTACGACGACTACCCAATTATGCTGGCGATTGGACCACCTCTGCCTCAAAGATCGATCCATTATGCATGAAAGCGAGGCATCCGATAATTGGTTCACCCGCGTGGAACAATGGGCTCTGGATGTTGCGCTGTCGGAATCTTCCGAGTAAGTGTCTGCACGTTCATCGATTAGGCTTTTTAGTCGATCCTTGGCTTTTTGTAGGCATCCACCTTTCTCTCCTGCCCCTCTGGACGGCGCGCAAGAAGAAATGGCAGAAGATCGCCGGCGAAGAAAACCAGTGGCGAAGGTGGCGAAGGAAGCTCCCGTCATCAGTTCCAAGGAAGCGTTATCGGTAAAATCCACAACGCTGGCATCACAATCGAGTGGGAAATTATCCAACATGCCATCCAGTAAACCGGACAGTGCCTCAAAGTAAGGTTTACTCGCTCTCTCGAGAAATGTCTGAAGTTGATGTCCCAAAGATTTGCAGGGCATCATGTCGAAGCCGGTGTGGTTCATATGGAGTCTGGTTACGAACTTTGGGCATGGAATAGGAGATGTGTCAGGATAGGACGTCTTTTCGTGTCACCTGCTGCAGTTGGCAGCGCGGTGGAACAGATCAACGACATGGTCAACTTATACAACAGCCTCACAAATTTTGCTTGGCCTCAAGATTGGACTGACGTGGTGAGACATGGTGATATGTATATTTCGCTACCCTCTAACGCCACTCCAGAATCGAATGCCAAATGTGGACGCTGTTTATCTCTCCCGTCGCCAGCAGCTTTACGACCAGTTTCAGAGCGCGAAGAAAGAACAATTTAATTCATGTCTTGACATAGTGTCCACCAAGCTCTTGGGATCGCGCTTTTCGACCTTTTTCCACGCCGTCGAAACAGCTGCCAGCCTGCAGGAGATGCGAAAAACTGGTCTCAATATTTACGAGAAGGAGACGCGCAATACTTGGGATACCTTGCTCTACTTGTTCTGTTGTTCCGAAGATGTCGCTGTATCTAAAAGTGTTCTGTGAGCATCTCACCCCGGCCGCTCTGGTCCAAACCCTCTAACGTGCCCATTACAGCCTAGAAAGGACCGTGCGGTACCCCCGAAGTAAATTCATTCCCTCCCAAGTGACTGCAGACCAGTATCTATCCATCTCTTATTCTCAGGCAGACCACCAACGCTCCATAGCAACGAGACAGTGGCTTCTGTGTGCGGATAATGAGGTAAAGGAGACATCAAGTGAAAACGTCTTTACCGTTCTATCGCAATGCGACTCCATTTACCACCACTTCAACAAGATAAATGCAACATCTATAAAGCCTGACCAGTTGGTGAAGGCAATGGCAAAGGACCCAACCAATGGAACGACGGATGCCGTCCTCTGCGTCCAAATTCCTGTCACCTCATCCCAGAAACCGCCTGAGTCAGGAGCAGTCTCAATACTGACGAATCTCATGGCGTCCTCGTCCCTTTTCTCCCTAATGAAAGGAGCCATTGCAAGCTCATTCAGTTTGGGCAACACCTGCTCTGCAGAGGACAAGCACAAAAAATGTTTCATGTGCCCTGCTGTGACAGACTCTTTTGCTTCTCATATCATTCTTCACTCCGTCCCCCAGAAACCAGAAACAGCACTCCTGGTCCCGGTTTTTTTTGCTGAGTACAAGAAAATAAAAGATGAAGTAGAGAAGGCATTCAACCAATGCAGGATGTACTGCGTCTCCGGTGTCGAATTTCTATCTACCCTCGGCGTCGATGATTTCCCTGTCTTCGGTCTCGTCACGACAGGCAGCCAGGGGACAATCCTAATGGTTTGGAAGTCTACTAGGGTTGTAAATCCCAAAGATGATTCAACGCGCCGTATAAAGGTTTGATTGGCCTCTATTTCCTTTACCTGTTGACTTACTGAAGTACATTGATCAGGCTGATCAAGCCCAGGCTTCCTCATATACCTACATTATGGATCATAATCTTGCTTCTTTCGACATCTCGATCCCAATTCAGGCCATGCAATTCGTCATAACCGTCCATCGCATCTATCAGTACCAGCTAAGGCTTAAAGATCTCCTGAAGATGTCCGATGTATATTCGAAAATGGCGGATGCAACGTTTAACGACTGGATGATGAAGCCACCGGTGCCAGAAGTAGATGCCAAAGGTAAAGCCGCAACGTCCAATGCCGTTGCCTGAGCAGATACCATGTTGGTTTTTCCTTAGCAGATTAATCCTGTGGCTTCGCGATGTGCTGTTGCTGCGTAGATGTATATCAGATGTCTGTCCAAGAAAGTCAAGCATATTATTCGACTAGCTTTCACAAGACTTGTGTTGTCTCGCCAGTTTTTCTTTCGTGATGCTAACTGTACTCCTTGTGCCATGGAGGTGATTTATCTCATCAAAGCGGTCAAGCAGAAGTGACTGAAATAGTCCAGCATTGTTGGTAGAATATAGTACAAAGAGAAACATTATAACATGACGATCGTAAGTATCTGTATCTTAAAGCTGGTAACGGAATTTCGGATGCAGGTACCCTAGCTCGTGCTCCTCTTGCTCCGTCTTGCTGTCTACACGATGATCGCGCTTCCCCTGGTCGCGGTGCTTGTTCTCCCACATGATGTACAGTCCCTGCAGAAAGATGAACAAGAACGTCGTACATGTCGTCGCGAGGTTTAGCGAGTTGCCCCTGCGGTAGTCTGGGGCGTCCCTGGGTACGTACGTCCAGACACTGTGGGATGAAAAGGAAAACGTCAGCTGGGGCTCTGGGAAGGAAAGAGGGGAAGAGGCGCACGCGATGATGGATCCTATCTGCCCTATTCCTGGAACGAGAGCCGTCGACATAGCCCGCATCGTGTCGGGGGCTGAGTTATCTGTTGCCCAAGTGAGAAGCTGAATGGGAAAGCGGAAACTAATGTCAACGCGTGGGTTCGAAGGACGCGGGGGTGAGAGAAGGCAGGAAAGGAAGTATTCACCAGCGGACCGATGGGCGCGCCAGCCCCGACGTTCAAGAAGCAAGCCACGTATCTGTCATTGCATGGGCATACGCATATACACCGGGTGAAGAAATACCATACCGTGCAGCAGGATTCTTGGTGGCGACGGATATAGAGTACCCGACGACCATAGGAGCAACCGACCAAAGGATAGGAAGCCATCGCTGCCGCATGCGGAAGCTCACCCAGCAGGTGCCTACGGCCCATATCGCTCCCAGGAGATAGGGAGGTACAGTTCTGAGCTGTGCTTCGACGGTGGCTAGGGCAGCGTTAGACTGGAATTCACGACTTCAACGGTAACAAAACATACTGAACGTTCCCACTGCCAAAGCACCAAAAAGAAAGGAAATTCCAAGTCAGCGATGAGCTCGAGAAGCGCATCTAGAAGCGACTCAACGTACGGGTTCTAACGACTGTAGGCAGGAAGAGACTTAGGCCTTGGAAGGAGATATTGATCATCATGAACGTCAGTGAGCATACAATCGTCTGAGCATCTGTGTAGTTAGCAACCAAGTCATCGAATAGTTCTGATCGACGTACATGGAGGTTGCAAGATTGGATGACGAGTTTGAGGCTCGTCCGTTCTTTCTTGCCTTGCATTTTCACAGTTTGGTCAGCGTCCAACCTCGCGATGGCGATGGCACGCTCTTCTTCGTTCAACAGCTTCGTTGTCGTTGGATCTCCGGGAATAAAAAACAGAAGGAAAAGCCCAACAGCGGTGGTAAGAACGCCTGGAAAGAGGACGATTAGAACGGCACCGGTTGTGGAGTCCTGAACTTGCATACCTTCAATGAGGAATATCTGGATATCAACGAATATTCGTTCAATAATTGAGGTTACTATTCAGTGGACACATGACGAACCTTCCTCCACGCTGTCACTATCCCGAAATCTGGGATACTGAGAAGTCCAGATGCCAGCAATCCGCCGACTGTCACAAGAGAAGAGCATTGTGAGGATTTGGTAAAAGGCGTGTAGACGAATGACACTGACAGGCTCCAGCAAGACATGGCGATAAGCCGAAGAAGATACCAATTCTCAACACAAGCTCGTGTCTTCGATAGAACTAGACATGCGTCGTTAGCAATTGAAATAAAATAAATAGCTTTCACCAGGACTCACTCTGGCGAGTAAATACACTAGACCCGACTAAAGGCCCGCCAAAAGTTAGTTTCTCGTCAAATGCCATATGATGGTTAACATACCAGCGTCCCGCCTTCTGTCAGTCCCAAGAACACCCGAGTCACGAGAAGCGTCTCGAAGCTGTTCATGAACGCCGAGCCAATGGCAACCGCCCCGAAGCCGATGACCAGGTATGCTATCCAGATCGACCCAAAGTGTTTCAGGGCAAGGTTTGAAGGGACTTCAGAAACAATGTACTGCGGATAATGAGATAAAATCTCGAATCCCTTGTATAGAAGTACGCACGAAGACATAGAAAACCGTTAATGCAATGTTCAAGTCGTAGCCTTGCATCCCGATCTCCTGTTCGAGACCTAGAGTAAAGAAAACGACTGGTTAGCTAACAGTCAAAGGCTCCACAGAAATGGTAAGTCACCTGCAATGCGAGCGTTTCCTATCGCTGTTCTGCATAGTTTGCCGATGTTATCACGCCTGCATCACCAACAAGAAGACGTTCATCGTACCTGTCGATGAAGTTGAGACAGTCTATAACGGAATCTGTGAGCGCGCCGAACGCTGCAAGAGAAGCTTCACGCACAGATGATAGTGAAAAGGGGCAAGAGGGCGTAGTCCAACTTCCGAACGAGCTTCCTCTCCGCCTCAGGATCGATGACAGGGTGAACATCTTCTTTCGACGCGTTTGAAGTGGATGATTTGGCGAACTTGTCTTCTCCCTCTAGGTGTTCGACCGTAGCTTTCTCGGAATCCATGGCTGAAAGAGGTTATCAGCTTGCGGCAGGGCTCAGGTTCTTGCAGTGCTGTTATATGTTGCGAAACGAGGCACCATTCCCTGAGGAAGAAGGTCATGAGGACAACGGAGCGATTTTGCTCCAAAACGGACGTTTGATAGAAGATGGCCCCGGGAAACAAAATAGAGGAGAGCGACCATCGTACATAATTGCTTCCAAATGCGAATAGGAGCATCCTGATTTGTTGGGATATCTGCAGATACACCCGTTTCGAGACGAATGGGGCTGAAGGAAAGCGGGCAGGAAGGATCGAAGAGATCGCACCTACGTGAGCTTAGAGGCAAGTGACTTCCTCGTTCTGCCAAGAGCGGTGCGAGGAAGACGGACATAGGCCAAGTAGTTATGTTGCGGCGGAGATGGATTGGCACGGCCACGTGAGATGGGCCTTGGAAACTGAACTCATCAGCTGGGCAATGGAACAGGCAACAAGTCTTATCCTCGCAAGCCACGTAAACGGAAAATGTAAATACATTTAGCCGCCCATAGGCGCTACAGCGCTGCATGAGCGTCCTTCCAGGCCGGCGAAGAAGAAAAAGGAAGCTGAAGCCTGGAGCGCTGGAGCACTTGAACAAGAACTTGAGAAGGACGTAATATGTTGGGAATCTCACAGGGTAGTAATCCTCACCACATCCTTTGTTTCAAGTTCTTTCAACGCTGTGCATAGCTTCCAACAGCGTTCTGCTGAACCGCGCACCCAATACAGACGAGAGCAGATAGAGGGGCTCCAACAGGCTTGGGGAGTGATGGCTAAGTGCTGAAAGGCTGAGCAATGAAAGGCTGAGCGATAAAAGGCTGGATCGCGTGCGACGGGAGCGGCCGGGATGAAGGCAACCAAGGAAGGGCGTGGCCGATACACGCATTTGCATCTCGAGACTCGAGTCAAGCTCTGTTTTGCCGTCTGGGGAAGCCAGGAGTCAAATAGTGATTGCCGGCTGTATCTCTTGGCGGCGCCCCTTCCCCGCATCTTCCCCACACTCACGATCGCTTGGCCGATCACCGCTCAACGCTGCTCAACGGTTCCTCGAGGACTTTCATGACGATGCGATTATGCGATTATGTCAAGGAGGATATGAAGGGGTTACAGTCTGCGTTATGGTTCAAACGGCCGATTTATGCAAAGCTGTTGGATCGAACTAAGTTTCCTTACGACCTTCGAGCCGGCACCTTCGAAAATATGCCCAAACCAAGCAGGCTGTCCAGAATCTTCTCCTGATGCTGGTTGATGCGATAGAGTGCGACAGCGAACTGCAAAGCCTCAGTGGGGACCGAAATGTCGAAAGATGCAAGATTATGGTCCATGACATAGGTGTTGGCGGTAGGCCGAGCAAGAGGGCCAGCACGCTAAAGCACAGTGGAAAGTCGTTTAGCATTCTCTTGACAAGTAATGAAGGGGAGGGAATGCACCAACCTTCGCAGGTGGGACAACCTCCACGCCATTAGAACCCAGACCCGAGAGCCGGCCATAGCAAACCCGAAGACAGGGAGATCGTGCACACGGAGCGCAGAAAGGGATTCGAAGGCAGCGACACAGTTCATCCTACACTTATTGAAGAGCTTCTCAACGTTCTTAGTCGGTATGTCGTACTGCACGCGCCTGCGGGAGGGCACTCGAAAGGTACTGGTCTGTCGTCGCTTCGGCGGGTCTGATGTTGCTAGGAGGGTAACGAATCATCTTTTCAAAACTGCGACTTCGATGTCAGCACAAATGAAGGGAAGGAAGGGCACATCATGCACTCACAAGAGATTTCGAGGGACGGCATCCTCCTCCGAGCTGCAGAACACGCAAAGAAGGGCATTCCAAGCAAGCTGATGATCCTTCCCACAAAAACAGAAGCCAGCTTTACGCCTTCTCTCCACATTTTGGGTCATCCCGATTATTTGAAAAAAGGAAGAAAGACGGGATTGCAGGAAATTGGTCGTGCCCTTGTCCAGGTACGAAAAATCGACCTTATCCTCGTCCTCCGATTCCATGGAGGCCTGCAAATCAATCAGCATTCCCTGCAGACGCTCCTTGAAGATTTCGTCTACACAAGGCACCTGGGCCTGGGAAAACCGGGTTAGTTGTACCATTCCTAGCTGTTCCTAGTCATCGAAAAGTGCGTACCTTCTCGATCCAACCTTGTGGGCAAGCCAACTTAGTAAGATCGTGACATAAGCCAACCATTTCGTTGATCTGGTCCGCAGCGCTACCAGGCGGCGCGTATTCATCGGGTACGAAAACACATCCAGTTCTGACACAGCCGCGAAGCCAGGACCAGAGCTCATATCCGGGCTCGAGGGAAATAACACCAGCTTTGGGGAACCGGGTAGCAAACCTTGGTAATGGGTCAGCGTCGAGAACTGGAAGAAAACAAGGAGGACGAAATTACTGGGAAGAACTTTCAGCTCGCATATCACTTCTCGACATAGGTTCATTCCTGGACGTGTCGTTCAGAAGGCTCGTCTTCTCCAGCATTTGAACATGTCATAGGGTATGTGTTCCGTTGTGTCATGGTTGGAAAGAGGCATTCGGAAGGGCTGCAAGGTCTAAGTAAGGTCCTAGATGCAATAAATCAAGGGGTTCAACGACGCACCAGATAGGGCCTAACTATGCAACGTCTTCACTTCATTGCTTGATGTGATCTCTCCAACAGCGGTCTGGCATTTCGAGGTCATGCAGGACGGATCCGTCGCTGAGACAAACATAATCCACTCGCCAGTAGAAATCCCAAGGGGTTTCCTCTTTGCGGAGCAGGACCAAACTTTGACCGAAATGACCGAACACAGGTCACGTGATGGAAAGAGCCGAAATGAGGACAGTTTCCAGGCCAAGAACGGTGCCTGCCGAAGTGTGAGACGGAGATGATGACAAAATAAGACACCTGTGGAGGAATTTGGTCGCGGTTTCAGATGAAAACCACATTCATTCGGACGTATAAATATAATATTACTTGCTTCCCACCACCTCCTCCACCACGAATTGCAACTTGCTTTTGTCAAACTCCCTGTCTTGCATGTCATTCAGAGCCTCGATAAACTTGGCGCATTTCGAGCGATCGATCTCGAGCTCCTTAAATTTTTTGTCCACTTCTTCAATACTATACACGGTCTCCCTACGAGTTTGGAGAACAACGTAGTCATCCTCTGGCACACCTTCGGTAGGGACCATCGCTAGGAAAATCGAACATTGCATTTACAGTCTCGTACAGAAACCTCGTGGCGTAGCTCAGACTTACTGATAGGCTTCGCATAGTCTTCTTTAGAGCTGCCCAGCGGGAGTTGGTCCTGAAACAAACTGTGCACCAGCAGGATGGCGAGTCTGTTTGAGGTTTCGATGTCCCCGGGCTCAGTGAGGAAATTTCGGAGGTAAGGCATGTCGACTGTGTAGCCGATGAATGCTTCGAGTCCTGGCTTGGTCGTCGACATGGTGTGTTTGCGTTGGATTGCAAGACGCAAAAGGCGCGTCTGTTATATCAACTTCGTTTTAGACTCCGTTGATCGATTCGAAGTCCGCCCATTCGCCGTTCTCGTTCGGTTTCGAGGAAGACACTAGCTGGTCACCCTGTGGGACCCAGTACGTCCAGGTGACTGTTGGATTGGCGAGTGACGGCGAATTTTGGGTCTGGAGGTATCGATTTTAAGCGAAGGCAAAGGTCTCGCCGTCAAGGAGCAGGCCCTCCGGATGTAATGTCCTACTTAGGTCGGACAAAAGGTGCAACTACAATCTGTATGAGGTTATATCAACGAATCTTCAAAAGAAACTGACAAAATACTTGCGTCTTGAGGTCGAGGTGGCTCAGGATCGTAGAGAGGGCCTGTCCATGACTGATTAGAAGCTCAAAGTATAAGGAGCATTGCACGAGCATCGTCCTCCGCAGGAACAATGCAGAAAGATCCATAAAAATCCCACTGAACGTGGTAGCTTGCTTCCACTGTCGCGGACTGAGATTGTTGACAATGGTTCGAAGTAGGGCTCTACTCGCGTAGAATGGCATTCATGATACTGCTCAACTTGAAGCTCTGAGAAGCCGGAGGATGAAGGCGTTGTTGGGTGAGAAGTTCTTCCTGGTTCCAAATTGGTGCATCAGGGTGAGTATACGTGAAGCATCTAGGCTCACAACGTCCGCTCTGTGTTGATCGTCTTGAGTACGCACAATAGTACTGATTATTTGCGCCACCTGCATATCGGCACGACGTGAACCAGTCAGGAATGACCTCACAAGCAAAGAGGAGATATCGCAGCATCTTTTTATCCCTGTTTTCATGGTGGGAGGATTGGGTATTATCGTCTCCGGTGGTGGATGGTGATCCAAGTCTGGACGTGCTAGGAGGGGGTAGAAATCTCTTGGGACCGTAATTGTAACGCGCCATTGCTCGCCGTAGGCGCAAGCTTCCTTGCGGGTGTCAGCCATCTGGAGATCGTTGATGCAAGTAAATAGCAGCAGGGCAAGTTGAAGTTGTAAACTAATAAAGTCAAGCTTGTCAATGTCAAGACTTCGTCACAAGCTTGTGCGGTCTCCGGCCGGGCCGGCTAGTAAACTTGGTTGAATTGCCGTAATTGCAACTTGGACAGAACCCCCATCACCACCAGGACAAGGACACGTATCTGAGCCTATAATACTTGAACTATCCACTCAATGTCTTCGGAGACCGATCATAACTCATCGCAGACAGTTTCTGACGAACTTAACGCCCGTCCGCGCTCGGAGGTTCTCTCTTCCAAGTTCTCTAGGAAAACCAAATTTCTACAATCTATAGCCTCTTCCCCGACAGAACTATCTCATGGTACTGGAGTCTCAAGTATTTATTGTCCAGATATAAAACAAGAACCGTCTCTGGAACCTGACCAACGCCTGGGGGAGCTGCAGACCGCGGACGTAAAAGAGGAAGATACCGTTCCCTCACTCCTGCTTGATCTTCCACGTGTATCTTCCCCAATCACCTCTCGGACCCCCTCATCTACAGCCAGCACTGTGGGCACATATGACGCGCAGACTTCTCCCTTGGATGCACCCATGTTAGAAACATCCAAAGACACCCCAGCCTCCGAGGCCAATGAACAGTCTCCCCTCCCACGTAGGCGGTTTTCCTAGAACCCTGATCTTTAGCTCTTGAATCTAATTCCAGGTATCTCTCACTAGTAACCCAAGACGAACTTGATGAAGCAAAATCTCTCATACTCGACCTCCTAGGATGGGGCGTAGCACCTGAATACCTTGTCGAAACTGGCCTGACTCCAGCAGTCGTCTTCAGGGTTTTCACGGATTTAAACCTTCGTTTACCCGATAATCTGGAGTTAACAGACGATCTCAAATCGTTAGCTTATCCTGGAATCCCATCTGCCGAAGTTGCGGAAGCTCTGAACTAATCTGAACTAAGTTCTCCGTGAGTCTCTTTTTTATGGCTTCGAACTTTTTCTAATGAATATGCAGGCCTCTTTGGACTCGTCATCACTATCGCCGGCTTGTGTTTTGCTCTCGTTTACCCGTCCGTATCGTAGCCAATAAAATTTTCCCCCTCCGCCTTGCCGTGTTTCAATTCTAGCCTATTCCCCTCGGTCTTCAAAGCTTAGAATTTGAAAGCGAGGTCCGAAAAGGGTCTGAATGGAGATGGTACCAGGAAATAGCAGACGAGACAAACGTTCTAAAGCGATCCAACGCCCAACATGCACAAATTAGGATTGCGGTGAAGGTCGATGCTAGACGGAAAATATACTGTAAGCGGGGATGATGGGATGGGGCGCAGCTCGTCTCCGGTTCCAACGTCAAACAGCAGGTATTTCAACGATGCCCCCAGGAGAACAAGATATCAAGACACGACATTCACATTTTGTGTACGGAGCCGCCCGACCCACGACGATTCTAAACGATCGGCCTTACAGTCCAGGAGCTATTTCCACATCATCGGATGATCCGGCTGATAGTCCCCGACACATAAGGTCCTCAGCAATGCTGGTGGTTTAGCCATACCTCAAAGATCCAGCATATGGGGTTCTTCCTCCGCTGGAACACGATATCGGGAAAACTAACCCAGGACGGCAAGGCTCGGAAAACTGCTGACGATCTGGAAAATTTCTGACAGAGACCCGAAAGTATTATAATTAGCTCTTGATGCCTGTGAATGTGATACTGTGCACAGCAGACAGGCGTCGCAAGACTGATGAAAAAGTGGTGATGACCCAGGACGTCCACTCTCTGTGGACGATCAGTCCTAGCCACCAGCACGACGCATTTGACGAACGCAGTGAAGGAACACAAAGGGTGGTCCAGGAGGTCAATGGAGTTGGAGAATTTCATATCCCGTTTGTTGACCAGGAGGACCAGCTGTGGAAAGAGATGGAATCGGGTGCTTGGATCCCAGGCTTTGCAGACCATTGTGCCCAGGTGCTGTGTTCGCTTGTGACGTCGCCCGAAGTTGAATCAATTGTCAAGAAATACATACTGATACGAGGTGTACCAGCCTCTGTGCACTGCATATTGACCCTTTCCCAGGTCTAAAAGGCAGATGTTGAATTCGAAAATTTCTTCAAGCCAACCTTCGCAACAATGGCATCCGATGGTCGTGGTGGAAGGTCGATAAGAGGCGTGGGAACTTGAAGCACCCACAAGAGTCCATAAGGAGACAGGGGCTTCCCCCTCTGGATCCTCAGAGAGTTAACGGCGCCAAGGAGGGAATCTTTCATACGAGAGATATGCATGAGTACTAGCATTCTATCGTTTCTATTGGGAATTATTTATGCAAGTCAGTTAGCATTAGTTGTCTGAGTCGTCTCTAAAGTAGTTGAGTGCCTTTCTTCCTTGAAATAAAGAAGCGGGATGTCGTGAAGCATAAACCCCCGCAGCATACGCATAAGCCGGAGAAAAGAATCGGCCGCCACCATATGAAGTTGGAAGACAGAAGCGCTCCGGCAATTGGCATTCCTAATTTCCAATCAGACTTTATTCGTGCCTAAGGTCGTAATAAACAACATACCGATGAGACCTCCAAGACCTTGGCCAGGATTATCAGTTAGAACTCTTAGATGGTAACCTCGGAATGCTCACCTGTGAATGTGAAGCACACGCCGAAACGAGCGCCGATTTCAGAGTCGCTCTCCGCCACTGAGGCGATCATTGGGGCAAGTAGGCCAATATCTATTTGCGTGCATCAGTACCGAGGAGCAGTGGACGACCGCGCCGCACTTACAGGCTCCAGAGAAGAATCCATACAAAACGGCGAAGATGATCGTTCCGGGAGCGTTTGTCACTGCAAGCGTGCAGAAGACGAGGATAGACGCCACAAAGACGCACGGAATGATCACATTGAAGGCACCGAACCTGTACACCAACATATTCGGGGCGACACGGCCGACGACGCTTGCACCGTTCAGGATGGCGATCTGGGAAATACAGCGGAAATGGTTGGTGAGCAGGGGCTACGAGGTGAAGAAATGGAAGTAAGCACCATGTAGAACGCGAGACCGGAGCTGATCCCGTTTTTTATGGCATTCAACTGCACGAAGAATATTGGGTAGTAAAGACCAGCAAGAACGAGCGCCGTTCTGATAGCTAGTTGAGAAGTCCATTCATCTCTGCAGACGCGGATATGCTCACCCAAGGATGAGAATGACATAAGGTAGGTCTCCCAAGAAGTGACGGACGAGCTTGAGGGTGCTGCCCGCCTTCTTTGCGTTGGGCGGATACCGTGGCTTCATGAGGAGAATAGCGATGATCAACAGACCACCTGTGAGACCTGCACTGGCTTTCACGCCAGAATGGAACCCGAGAGAGCCGTGGAACCAGGCGTTGAGCATGATAGGATGGATGGCACCGCCAAAAGCCGAGCCCTGACCTGCCTCATGAGCATATTGATGAGCAGATGGTGAGTATTAATAAGCCTACAGATGTTGCGATTCCCAGTGCAAGGGCTCGTCTTTTCTGAAAGTAATGCGAGACGATGCCGAGGGCGGGTATGTACATGATGCCGACGGATATCCCGAGACCTAAGCCTTGAGCAAGGAACAGCTGGAAAGACCGTAAGTTAGACGACGAAAATATGAGAGGATAAAAAGAAAGTATTCGCCTGGTAGTACTTCTCTGCTTGTGTTATTGATATCATGAGCAAAGAAAATACGAACAGCGCCGCTCCAGCAATCATAAGATGATAGCTAGACACGATGGTGTGAGAAAACAGCGGGGCGGTCCGCGCAACGAGGCACCCACAAGTAGCCAGAGTCAAAACCTCTCCCGGAAATAAGGCCGACAGAGAGAACGAGGAAAAGTTGTACGCTCCCTATCCAACTACAAGGGCGCGTGAGGGTCAGGAAGAGAATAACGTAAGAAAGGTTACCTGATTTGCGAGGATGTGCTCGTATTGACGAGATATTCACGTACGTAGAAGTCTGTCAATGATTTAGAGCAGAAAAGGTAGAGAGCAAACCCAGCGACGAACCGTTGTATACTCCGTAAGCATTTGTGTATCTAGACGCTACGCCTCAGTACGAGTCTCAAAATAAGCGCCGAAAACCACGCTCACCCGAACGTCGCAAACTGAGTTAGGAATCTGAGCTAGCTTTAACATGGCTTTCAAAGAGATAGGTACGACGACCTTTTACTCACACACCCAGGACCACCACCCAGGCCCCCAGACCACCGTCCGGAAATGTGACATCAGCCTTCTTCGTTTCGTTTGACACCTCTGTGGTCTCAGTCGTTTCCTCGTGCTTTCCGTGCTCTAGTTCTTTTTCACTGAAAGGTGACACATCCTGTCATTTACGGCATTGTCAGTGGGGTAGCATTAAAACATGAACGGACCCTGGTGTACCTTTCCACCCCCACGATGAACAGACTCTACACTCTTGTTCATTTTAAGAACTGTCGTGCAGGTTACGCGATCACGAATTTCCGTTGAAATGCCGAACAGAAAAGAAGAGGAAGTGAGAGAGCGACTTCCTGTGGGAACAAAGTGGACAATACAGGCGTGAAGTGGGGGAAAGAAACGTTCAAAAGTCGTCTGCTTTTATGCTCCGCCCGTGGCCCGACCAACGGGCCAAAAGTTTGTCGCAGAGGCCCGACTAAACGGGCTAACACCTCATCTACACGACTCATGGTGCCAAATTGCGACCGCTTTTGGGTCGCCTCTCCATGTGACTGATCTATGTCACGGCTTGGAAGAACGGAAAGACAAGGCGAGCTCCAGGGAAGGTGCTCGTACTTGCTGAATGACATTAAGCGGACTAATCGGGAGCGGGTTGGGTTCTCCAAGCCAATCAACAGGACGGATTGAAGTAAACAAATGCTATTAATGAATAAGCTACGGCCGAAAGAACACCTCGCCGAAAAGACAGCCGAAGAAAAGGAGAGACAGAGACGACATGTAGGCTCACATATGGAACAGCTCATATCATATCATATGAACCTGGAGGGAGACGGGCAAATGAAAGCTATTGCAAGTGAGATGGCAATCGACGAGAAAGTAGTGACCAAGAACCCACCAATAGAAGGTCCAGGAAAAAAATGCGGCTGGACATCTCAATGAGTTTCATTAGTGGGCGCAAACTGCGTTTGTTGACGTTGTCGGCAGCTCTTCGAAGCGCATGTTCATCTTCAACTGATCAACTGATTCCAGCCGATACAAACCGATACAGCAGCATGTGGCTCTCCCCTGATCGAGGCGACATAGCATGATCCGCAAACTTGCTGTGTAATCATCATTAACACCAACAACAAGAACCATGGCAGTCGCCTTGGTCAACTCCAAAGAATAAATGGCGAGGCAGAGTTGGTTCCCCTCAGGTTCCTATAGGTTTGCGGACGACGCCTTCGAGGTCAGGGTTGGCTGATCGCCAATCAATGTGCGAGGGCTTATCGTGAACGTGTTCTCCTTGACAGAAGTTAATTGAACATAGTGTGAGGTGCCGGCGGTGGAACATACCGTTAAAAATAGCACTGGCTATTGTGAACGATGAATTCTTCCATCATTTCATCGTTAATGTTGTTTAAAAAAACCAGACGAAATGAGAATGAAGGAAATATCGGTAGGCTGTTCTTGATGAACTGATGTTTAGTGAATGAAGGCTGCAGTCCAGGTGTAAGGTAAGCGGACATACAAGCTGTCTAGCATCGTCGGCAGAACCCATGTTGCCGCCATTGTGGGCGCATGAAGCGTTGAGGTGAGCACCTGCCGTCTGTAAGCTTCATGGAGATGGAAGCTATGAAAAAGGAGGGTCTGATGTAACATCGTTCTGGGGTGCAAGGCACTTTCATGCCTGCTGAGTCATGGACGGTGTCGAGGCTGTAGACCTGTCGAAAAGAAGAGCCAACCGCGCAATGGGTGGGACAAGCAGTCGCAAAAAATTCTATTTGTATTTCAATTAGTAAAAACACAAGGTATCTATTGAGCGTTTGGCACGAATCGACGTAGAGAGTAAAGGACCAAACGCACCAGTACGGTAGTATAGTGCATGAAAGTCCTTTTCTTCCTCCCTAACTTTCATCAGCATCAGGTCGTTTTGATGTTTGTATGCTCGGGTCTGTGAAAGCGTAATTGCACTTCGCACAGACAAAGAAGAGGATCATCCTCGTCTCCTTGCGTTTCGATTGATCTTGGAAATGTACCGCGCTGCGAGATATTAGAATGAAGAATCTGGCAGTGACCGAACTAACGTACTCGTCATTACCGCATTGCGGGCATACAATGTTCGACAGAGACGCGTTGTCGCGACTGTGGGCCTATAAACCAGCTACGTGAGTCCGTCGTACGAGACTTGGAAAGTTGGGTGACCTACCAAAGTAGGATCCGCGCCTAGGTCGGTCGTAATACCAACTTGCTCTCTGGAACATCCTTCAGTTTCGATCTGGCTCGTCTAGACACGAGATACTCACTTTGTCACCGTAAGCAAGTCATTCCTGTACACGCACTTGTTCTCTACCATCTCGTCGTATTGGCATATCCGACACGCGTAGACCATGATTCGTCGATGAGGATCGGCTTTTGGATAGAGCAGGTTGTTGCATTCTTGGCAGAAATGAAGAGAGGCCTATTCACGGAGAAATGAAGGCTTTTTCTAGTGATGTGAAGCACATATACGCACCATTTGGGGATGTCTAACGGTCGCTGGAGCCCACTATGAGACGAAGGTGACGATGATGGTAGAAGACAAACCAACGAGTGAAGCTGAGTGAAGGCAGAACATCGACGGGTTACGTAAGCGACAAACTTTCTTTCTTGACCAGCCACTGGCAGAACAACCGCTGGCAGGTCGGTTTTCTTCGAAACGGTGGGGTTTTCATACTACTAAAGTATGTGACATAGAGAGCCTATTTTATCGAGCTAGTGCTTTCTCTGGTTTAAGGATGACCTCAGGTTCAGTAGTCGCCGGTCTACAATTCTGTCATGCACCTTCAAAGCTAGCTTCAGCTTGGGCCGCCAACTCTCATGTTTCTTTGGTGATCGTGTGGACTTTGCTCCTGGATGTCGCCACTACCTTGCATGAGGCTATCACAACGTAGATGTCTCGCGGCGAGAAGGGCTGTGCCTCGGTTCCCTTCTCCCTCTCGGGGTCTTCAAAATTGCGACGATCTTGCCTGCACGACCACTGACTTCAACAGCTTTGCGTTTTAACGGCTTGCGCATCCACCAGTCTACAGCCTCGAGATCTGGATTCTTTCACCCTCGAACACCGGCGGCGACTATTCTGGTGCCCATATATGCGGTCTCCATCGTCCACGAGCTCACATGTTTGTCGATCGCAGGACCACGTCGCACTCAGGATTTACATAGCCTCTTGAACTCCAATATGGAGCCACAGCAGCGTCTTTGAGGTTTACGAAAGGATCAATCCATCACCAGTTAGACTAGGCAAATACTCAGCAGATTCCGCCTTATTCATTCGATCGATGCGGCAAGCTATTGAACTCATGCAGCCGACGGGTGTTTCTGTCAGGAGACTACTGCAGACGTTTGCGGCGCCTTCAACTGTGACTTTGGTCGAGTTTCAAGAAGAGGTATTGTCCTCGATTTTCCTGCGTTCCTCTTTGAAGTTTGATTTTGCCTTCAGCACGCCATTCCGTGTTGATTGATGGCTCGTCCCGAACGGCTTCTCAATTCTCCTCTCTCAGCACAACTGATTCCTGTCTGTGTTCGCCGCTGCGGTACAAGGGCAGAACGCCGCCGCCGCGGGATCACTTCACCTCAGACAGCACCTTTCTGATCAAATTCAAAGGCATGAATTTGAACGGCCAGTCCCCCCAGCCAACGCTCGATCTTCACGCCGGGCGTGTGCGTGTTGGAGCGACTCTGAATTACTGATCAACCATCGGCATCGCTCCTTCCAACTGGTGTGAAAAGAACCTGAAAGTAATCACCACTCAATCTCCTCTTCGGTTTCTTCGAAACAACGCATCTGGCTCTCCTCCACTTTAGGATGGCGCTCAGCTTCGACAAATGGCGACGGCAAATGCATTTCCAAGAATAGAGGGAAGCTGAGATAAATTTATCGAACCAACTGTGCACAAGTTGCAACATTTGTGCGTAATCCTCGATGCCCGTCAGCTAATGAAGTATCTTACTGAGCTGCAGGCATTCTCATGTCAGATAAGCAGGCCCGAGCCCCGATTATACCGTCTACCAGGCGGACTCTTATCTGAAAACTCGGGGCATCTGGCGTTCACCGATACTCTAATGCAACCACTTATCAAACTCGCAGGTATTTTCCTACTGAGTAAGGTTGAATCCCCGCTTTGCCCGCGGTTTAGATATTATTGTCTGTCTCTCAAAGCGAACCTCCTTTCAACAGGTCGCAAAAGAATATCCGAGGCACACGAAACCTTTCAGACAGCGACGCATGAGCTGTCTGTCAATGCCTGTTCAACGTTCATTCCTGGTCGGCGCCGGGGCCCTCGAATATCTTTTGGAAGAAGAACCCCGTTCGAGCTTGAAGCTAGGTACTTACAACTTCGTCGCAGGCGCACTCCGCTCATTCATTACCCACTCCACAGCAGCTGGCAGCCTGAGAATGGTTGTTCAAAGCCCATAATGCCCTCATGCCAAGTCCCGCTAGATAACGTGTCTTAATGCCCGAACAACAGGCTTTTGCGCGCTCTTCGTTGTGGTACTTCGCAGACGGCAAGGTGCGCGGTGAGGTGAATTTCCTTCCCTTGGACGTGTGGTTGCTAGGCCCGCCTTGGCAGAGAGCGGGCTGGTCTCTTCATGAAGCTTTCGGTGATTTGTCAACAAGAGGTTAGACTATTTTTCGTAACGGCATGTCTTCTACCTTTGCCGATTGGACCACCGCCGAGACCGCTTTAAACATTTTCATAGATCGCCTTAATCCCGCTCAGGGTTGTCGCGCCGTCCAATCTTGGGTCGTAGGCTTGTGCGCAGTTGTTCAAACATTCACCAGCATTCCTCGAGTATACATACTGCTTTTCAAGTCGTAACGGGCTCCGTGGATACAAGCAAGCTTTCAGCGGGAGTTTATGAATTTTCTGCCGAGATCAGGCTCGCGTCGACATCCGCTCCCGCCGAAAGATCCATGCAATTACCGTATATGTACGTAACGAAGAAGCACTAGCTTGTCTTCGATAATTTCATCAACGTCCAAACCATTCACACGTACCCCCGATGTCTGCGCGGCATTCTGTTATAAAAGACGACAGTCCGAGCTAATCCTTGTTTGAGTTTTTGCCCTCGTCGTCCCCACTTGTCGTCGCCAACTTCCTCGTCGCTCTTCCTTGCGGTCATCGTCAATCGTTTCTTACTCAGTAGCCATGAAGTTCACCACTGTTTTCGTCGGCCTTGCCGCTGCCGCCGCTACCGTTAGCGCCAGGTCGTCGGAGACTAACGCTCAGCGCTTCCAACGCGGTCTGCCACCACTCCCGCCTTCGCGTCGCGCTACTGGGGTCGCTGGTAAGTTGTTCACCCCCCACGTATTTATGCAAGAGGCTTATGAGACGCGTCAATGTAGCCGCGAGGAGACACCAACCCTCCGGCATCAGCGGCTCTTGCAATACGGGCCCCGTTCAATGCTGTAAGTGCCCTGATGCCCCCTTTCGTTTGTGTATCCATAGCGCTGACGCTGCTCGTAGGCAATTCGGTCACCCATGCCACCCCCATAATTGCTACAACGATCAAGACTCTTCTCGGACTGGTCGTTCCAGCTGATGTAGCTATCGGCATCAGTTGCTCACCTCTGTCTGTCATTGGACTTGGAGGCAACAGCTGGTATGTCTCTTCTCATAGTTGTACATCTGCCGTGGCCAACTCGCGCTTCCAGCAACCAACAACCCGTATGCTGCGAGAACAACGAATTCAACGGCCTTATCGCCATCGGCTGCTCCCCTAGTACGTTATGACCCTGCTGTGGTCCACGGACGTTCCTGCTGATCGAGGATCTTTTTAGTTAACATCAACCTTTGATTAACGAGCGCGAATGATGTGGACCACGAAAATAAATACCTTGTGGGCCGCTCTTCCACCCGATGCACCCCCTTCACCCGACACCTTCCTGACACTTGGCACTGACGACTAGACCCGCATACCCTCCATCTGCATTCCTGCATCTCCCTCTCTGACCCAGAAACCCACCTTCTTTTGATCAAGAAAAACCGTGGTTCACTCCTTTGCCACGCTTCTTACCCTTATACCCTCGTACGCCTACGCTAGTTCTGAACAATGCACTTGTTTCCATAATTCTTGCCTGGGTTTCTCTTTTCGTTGCAATCTTGGACTTTAGGGTTGTTCGGTTTACCTGGTATCTACCACTCTTCTTTTAGGCTGACAGCTACGGCTGTGCGCGACGAGTCGGACTAGTGTGAACGGCCATCTCGCTTGTTTGTTTAGCACGACGAAACAACGGGCGTCACGATTGACGTGCCTCTAGACGTTTTTTGACAGAAACGGACAAAAATAGACATCTTTCATGAATTACGCGCTTCTAGCGCTAATGTATCTGCAACCGTGGTATGGACTCTGAGGGTGAGCGTTGTTCCTGCAAGATATTGCCGCTTACCCTGGTTCTCAAGCAGGCCTCGTCGGTCCGTGATGCACGCGTAGCATGGGCGGGTAACGAATGGCAGATGTGCACAATTATCGCCGCTCTACAAATGCTGACAGATTGTGGCGAGAAGTGGAAGGTATTCCCGCAATTTTTTAGACTAATGAGGAATAGAATCTCCAAGCCCGTCGAGAAATCTGAAATGCCGTAGCGCGCCTTCAAGAACTATTCAAACAGACAGCTCTTCCGCAGCTCGAGTGACATTCTGACACCATGCCCCCATCGAAACAGGAAAAAGAAGGCGCGAAATATTGAATTCAAGCATCAGTCACTTTAAAAACTACATGCGTTCTATCAGGCTTCAATGAGCCGCGGAGAGCTAGGAGGCTGTCAGACAAATATGCATTCTCGTCTGTCAGAAGTTGGGAAGTCAGAAGTTGGGAAGTCAGTCGAGGTTTGTAGGCCTCAAGGTTCTATTTCTCTTCTAAATAATTATATGCCATTAAATATATATATCGATCCATTGATGGAAAGGAGACGAAGCCGCAGTGACAGTTGCCGCAGCCTTGGCGAGGTGCGCCACAGTCGGTTCCAGATCATGACCATAACTGGATATCGGCGTCGGACCGTCCCGAATCGGAGTCTGTAATCGAAACCTTGTTTTCACAGCTAGCAAGCCACCTCGGAATTTCCCGGCCCCTCACAATTTCGTCCACCGTCGTCCAAACAGTCGTAATCAAGAGCTCGTCGCCGTTCATCAAGATGGTTAAAGGTATGCCCCGTCGCCGAATGAACCTTTGGGGTTACTGCTGACGATGTGATCCAGTATACAAACCCGGCAAGGTACGCAGTTGGGTCTGGAGTGGTGATTATGGGACATGAACCAACCTCACACAGGTCGCCATCGTTCTCCAAGGCCGTCAAGCCGGCAAAAAGGTCGTCGTCATCAGGCAGCTGGATGAAGGCACCAAGGAGATTCCTTTCCCTCACGCTATCGTCGCTGGCGTCGAGCGTTACCCCCGCAAAGTGACGAGACGTATGGGCCAAAAGAAGGTGGCGCACAGGAGCAAGGTTAAGCCCTTCATCAAGGTGTGTTTGCAGTGCAAAACGCTCTATGGACGTGTGTGACCGTTGTGCAACGTAGATCATCAACTACTCCCACCTTTTCCCTACGCGCTACGCCCTCGAGCTGGAAGGCCTCAAGAACTCCGTGTCGGCTGATACCTTCAAGGAGCCATCACAACGGGAGGCCGCGAAGAAGACGATCAAGAAGCTGCTGGAGGATCGCTATATAAGTGGGAAGAACAAGTGGTTCTTCCAACCTCTGAGAGTGCGTTCCTATTTCTACGCCTTTTGAAAAGTTTCTTACTGTTATTTTCTGCAACAGTTCTAGGCGTTATCTTTTTGTATCCTTATGCTCACAAAAAACCCTGTATGCCATGATGATCATGCCTTTTTGCGCTCTATACATTTGCTATGACAAGTGGCCGAGACGTGACATTGGCGCGTGTACGTCTATTCACGAAGAAAATAAGCGTGCCGGTGATCCGTCGTTCATTGCTGGGGTCTGAAGACGGACGGCAAGGGGTTGAATCACATTGGCACTGTTATTCACCTTGGAAAGCCGATCCTATTCGTGTCTTTGCGTGCCATTTGGGAATGATGATGTTCTGAGGATTGTCGATTCAGATGAGAGAGGGCATCGATACCCATGAACAGATGGTCGCTTCTTTTATCCCGTGGTCGAAGTTTCATCTCCGAAGTCGTGAGCCATCTTATAGCAAATTGCTTTGGGACACGCTAATACAGATCCGCATTTTAGTAAATCCGAACTGACAAATTTCTGGTTGTCGCGACCACTGGCGCCCGGCGGGATCGAAACAAATTTATAAGGCACCCACCAAGGCAAATCGTAAAACTTGGACATCGACAATGTGATTGATATATGATCCCTGAGGGTCACACGCACATATCTATTTACCAATTGCATAAGGCAATTATAGGACATGATGGAGGAGCGGGTTCGGGCATGAGAAGCATGGCCGAGGGCGATGGCGACAACACGGGACTGCAGCCTGCAGTGCATTCCCTGCTCCTGGCACGATGGCGCGATGATGCTCGCCGCTTTCAAGACCCCAATCATTCTTCGTGGTCACGCCTGGCTGACGAGTCGACGGTTCGGGCATGCTTCCGCCAACGCCGACCCCTCAATGCACAGTCTCCGGTCGAGCGCTTCTGCGGAGGGATGAAAAGGGCACGCTGAGTCGCCCACATCTTTGCCACTCGACACCACCACGCGGCGATGGCTAGCCAACGTACTGTCTCAAACGGCTTTCATCCTGAAGATCGCCCCTCGGGAGATACCCTAAAGTTGGCTCGCGACGAAAAGAAAGAAGTATCCGTTTCGGTCGAGGAGACAGGGGCAGACACACCATCGTTTCCAGAGGGAGGCACACAGGCGTGGTTGACCCTCTTCGGAGCGTAAGCCATTCAAGTTCGATTCTATGATCTCCCGCCGTTAAGTACAAATCGTCTGGCTTAGTTTCTTGTTCCAATATGTGACCTTTGGGTGTGATCTCCTTATCTCGCCCCAAAAATGCCAGCTGACCGGTCTCTGAAGGTACATCAACGCGTTTGGCGTGTATCAGGACTTCTATATCCGTTCATTCCTTACCGATTATACCCCAAGTGCGATCGGGTAGGTCAACATTGTCTTGAGTTGTGGTGTCTTTATCACTCTACCTTCCAGCTGGATTGGGGGAACACAAATATTTCTCAATTTTTCCAGCGGTGTATTCGTCGGGAGAGCCTTCGACCGTGGATACTTGTGAGCAGTTCATTTGCTGCGACACCCCAGAAGCTGACGGCCCTCCAGCTATTACCTCATGGCCGCTGGCGCGTTTGTGCATGGCCTATCCTGTAAGTTTATCTTGCCACGAGTCCAGGATTCGAGAACTAAAACAGACCAGTGTTCATGCTATCTCTGTCACATCAAAACTCGTTCTATCAAGCACGTATAATGTTCATCCGAATCCCGATTCTTCAAGTTCTAATTCGCGTCATTTGCAGGTATTCTTGACCAATGGTGTTCTGCTGGGTCTTTCTGGTGGTCTTTGTTACATACCAGGTGCGGGTTCTAGGGTAACTGCACTCTGTCGTCGCATTAATTCACGGGCAGCTCTTGGTATAACATCACATTACTTCCACAAGAAGCGACCTTTGGCCATGGGTATCGCGTCGGCAGGCTCTGCGCTTGGTATGTCGTCGTCTTGTAAGTACGCGTCTACTAGCTCCTGATCGGCTTCTCTTTCACCAGGATCAGTCCTACATCCCATCATGCTGAACAAACTGATCAATGGGCACATCGGATTCCACAATGGCGTCCGCATCAGCGCGGCTCTAAATGTCGCGCTCTTACTCATTGGGCTGTCTGTTATGCGCACTCGCCTTCCACCGAAACCAGTGCAAACATTTCCCGTCCTTAAATGGTTTAAAGACCCTGCCTTTTGCGCGTCGGTCGCCTCGTAAGTGACGTCTTGTCTCTTGTTATTTCTGGATGTAGCTGACGCAGCTGCATTGCGCTAGCGCCTGGTTTATCTTCTTGGGGCTCTTTTACCCGGTGTTCTACATCCAACTCTTGGCCGTTATGCGTGGTGTGGACCGCAAATTTGCTTTTTATGCAGTTCGTGGCCATCCCCGCTTCCACACCGACCGAGTTGATGATCCGGACATCTGCAGCTGCCCATCCTCAACGCTGCGAGCTTTTTCGGACGGATAATACCACCAATGTTCGCTCCCAAGCTCGGAGTGTTCAACGTGTGGGTCTTCTGCGCAATTTCCTCAGGGATTGTTGTCCTCTTCATGGTCCTGGTGAGGGACGTGACTGGCACCGTCCTCGTCGCCATTTTCTATGGGTTCACTTCTGGTGGTGGGATAGCCCTTGTCCCTTCGACAGTTGGTAGGTCGATTATTCCTTAAGCCAAAAAGGGCACAGATAATGATGCCCTTCGTGAATGCAGCGGTCATCGCCAATGATGTAAGTGAACTAGGGACGAGGATCGGTATTCTCTTCGTCTTTGCAGGTGCGTTTGTCAGCAGCATTACTTGAGAAAATACTGAAACACCCATCTTGCTTTCTAGGTCTACTAGGACTCTTCGGTGAATAATTTTGCGGTGACCTGGAAGATCGCGGTTCTAACACTCCTGTGCACAAGCGACTCCCATATCTGGAGCCCTGCTCACCAAGGACTACCACTGGTTAAACGCCGGTCTCTTTTCGGGAGTGAGTTCTTTATCTACATCGGCGTGTATCGCAATGCTTGACTAAATCTGACCAAAGATATCTCTGATCATCGCTGGATTGTGCAATGTCGTCGCTCGACACTACGTCGCTCAGCGCAAAGGAAGCCATAGGGTCTAATCTCGTTTTAATTCAATAATTTCACGGTTTTCTTCCTCCCCACTTTTTGGATGATGAGTACATGTAGTCTGTCCGATGTCTGTCCGATATCTTATTGAATACCAAAATATGTTTCTACCCCCTGCAGTCTTTGAATCAACCCGGCTTTTGTAACTACTGAATCAACCCAGAAATTGAACTACTGATGTAACTAAATATGAAGTACTGATCCAACCCTATACCAAACTACAAATCCAACCCAGGTTCTTGATGTACTGAAGCAACCCTGCTTTTCAAGTTCAATTCTAGCATTTTAAAAGTACTGATACAACCTTTTTTCAACTTGTGATCCAACCCTTATTTCAGAGTGTAACAAAGTACTGGATCAACCCCCATTATGATTAAGAATATGTACTGATCCAACCCTCATTATTCTGCTAGAAAAGTACTGACCCAACCCTCATTATCCTCTAAAAGAAAGTACTGATCCAACCCTCATTATTTTCTAAAAGAAAGTACTGATCCAACCCCCATTATTCTCTAAGAGAAAGTACTGATCCAACCCCCATTATTCTCTAAGAGAAAGTACTGATCCAACCCCTATTATTTTCTAAGAGAAAGTACTGATCCAACCCCCATTATCCTCATAAAAAGTACTGATCCAACCCTTATTATTCTCATAAAAAGTACTGATCCAACCCTGCTTTTTTCAATTTCCTAATTGGGATGTCTCTGATCAACTGCACACAGCTGTGATCTTGTGCTACCTTGATCCTCTACCACCACCATCTCTGGCCTTCAATATGGGTAGAACTAAGAAGAACCCAAAGAAGAGAGCAGTAAGTGTGATAATTTGATATCTTTTGTCTTAGATCTACATTAACCAATAACATAGCTTTCCACATCAATGTCTGAAGATGCCAGTCCACCTAAGATCAAAGCCAGTAATCAAGATGATGCTAAGAGCTCTAGACGTTCTAAGAAGGTTAGAAGTAGATTCCCTTCTTGATACATCATAGATCTAACTCATTTCCACTAGAAAATACACTATCAGGATAACGATTCTGACGACTTCCTTTCTGACAACAACATTAAAGCTAAGAAACCTGGTCCTCCTCAACAGGTATGGTTTATATCATTGATCCTTGAATCTTTCTCTGATAAATCCATATAGCCAACCCGCAAGAAGCCAGGCCGTCCATCAAAGAAGGGTCAGGCAATCAGAACTGATCCACTTCCTGATCAAGATACTGTCATGTCTTCCCAATTTCTTCAGCCTCTCACACCTCCCCAGAAGGCCAACAAGAAGGATCCAAATGCTAACGAGTACACTCCACGTACTGCGCAGGCTGTCTGGTTCAGCATGCAAATACCTATCTGGCAGATTGAAGTGTCTCATATACCAAAGAAACAGCCACGTCACGGAACCACAGAGTCACCAGATATGAGGCCACTGAATAGGCTCACCCGGTTAGAGAAGGATGTATGGACATGTCTTGGAACAACACCTACAGCAAATGTGTACAGGCTGTTCCAGGATTTTGTGATTCTTTATGTTTTATATTATTATGATACTTTTACTGATTTTTTCTTGCTTTTTACAGGAGAATGACTACTCACCTCAGGAGTACAAGATCTCCAGTGGTCTCATCTCTATGCAGTTCTTTGGTCATCCTTGTGATCGGCCTAAGGACATACGTGCTCGCTCCTTTCTTCTTGAACGGGCAACTCAGGATCGCAAAGTTCCATCAAAGTACAAGGATAAATCTCGACCTGTTTTCCGTGTTGAGTATCAATGTCTTGGAAGTTGCAATGCTGAAGCACCTCCTGCAGAATCAGATGAGGATGTGAGTGAAGAAGAGGAGGAGGAGGAGGAGGATGAGAGTGAGAATAATCAAGAGGAAAGTAAAGGTGTGGATAAGCAGCTCAGAGGAAAGTGTGTCAGGAAGAAGCAAAGTCCAAAGGCAAGCAGCTGCCCTAGAAAGGTCAAGATTCATGTGCGTAATTATTTTTTCTTTTATTTCTTTACTCAACTACTATAGGTTGAGGTCATGACAAATGATCTTTCAAATGCTATGTGTCCGGCCCACCACAGGCATCTTGAAATGTCACATTTTGTTCGGCAGAACATCTTAGAGCTAGCCTCACTCGCAAATATGACAGCATCCCAAATTAAACTTAGTATGTTTTTCTAAAACTTATATTTTGAGGACTTTTGGCCTTCTGCGATCAACACCAGGTTCCACGCTACCGCTGGCCTACTCCAAGTCAAGTCAACAATATTGTTCAGAATGTCCGCCGTAAAGAAAGGCTTCTCAATGATCCTTTACTTGCAATTGGGCTTTTTGCAGAGAAAAATCCTGATAAAATCTTCTAGTGTGTTTTGTTTTGCTTCTTGATTATACTATTAATCAGTCAATATTTTAGCTACTCTCCCCCTGATTACACAACAGACCCTCCCACCAACTTTGCTACAGGAATTCAGCATCCCTTTG